AAATACAGGATATGAGTCTTTAGCTCATTTTAGGAAGAAAAGTTTATGTGAACATATGTCCTGAACATCTTAACATTTGGGCTACAAGAGCATCGTTTGTATATAGCCACCGGTAAAGAAAATTCATTTTTAACATCCTAAATTTCCAAGTGTCCCATAGTTTTGCAATTTCTGTTGTTACCCAAAATACGTACAATACAGATGTCATTTGAATCGCATTTGGCCCACACACAGTTTGTCATCTTAGATCAGCCTCTGAATAATTTCGTAGTAAATTCGACAATGATAAATGACATACGAATATAACGATATTTTTTGCTATTCTCTTTGAAGGAACTTTATTAAAATAAATTTATATCAAACAGAGTATCATACATAAACATCTGAAGGGCAATTCAAACAAAAATCCTTATAAATTTACACCTAACAAATAACATGTATGGTGAGGAGTACATTGTAATAAAATATATGGCAGTTGTAAGTGACTCAAATAAGTGCCAAAAGCCTTCCCGTTGTACCAATCAAAAATTTTGTAAGCGCTCATGTTTCCATTGCTTATACAATATATTTGGTGACGACATACCGACATTTAAGGGCGGTATTTTTCAGCTATTTTTATCGACAGATCCACCCCCCTACAATGTCCTACCTCACCACCCTTGAAATGGCTGCCATTTTTACTTTTACGTTACGATTACGCTTGTGCATGTAAAAAATTGTAATAACTGAGTACATAAGTGTCACAGAATGGTAAATTTGGTGTCACTAGAACGATAACATGTTGCCCTATCGTTTATTGAAAAACTTGTATTGATACTAACCGTCAAACATACTTAAAACAGACGAAAACAAAAAAGCATGCAAGAAAATTGATTATTTTGTGCATCTCCGTAAACCATTCAAAAACTAGTATGTGAAGTTGTACTTTTTTTGTGCTAATTCTACAGCTAACTATGGTATCTACAAAATGACACCAAATTGTTTACCCTATGTTAGTTATTTTAAGTACAAACATTGCTTAAACATGAGCCTTGGCAAGGCTCCCAGATTTAGGTAGCGGACCGAATCCAACATTCCTGGTATAGAGATGAATGTATCGAGAGCACGAGTGTGACAACATCTACCGAAAGGGTCACGTTATCGAGATGGTAATAACCGGTTATTTGTTGTCACTGTCATAGTGAATGTTTTGTAGTCAGTCGCCACGCTTGGTGATCATACGTCAATTTTGTTACCAGTGCCGACTAGTTTCAATATCAATTTTCTGAACCTATCCGAGTTGGAAGTGATTTGTGACTGAACATTTTATTAGTCATGCGCAAGTCTCTATCATGCCAAATCGTCCACGTAATAAATTTTCAAATCACCATGCTGCTGATATGGTTGGTGTTTGTTTACGGCTTTTGCAATGGAAATGCGCAGTTGCTGTGAGAGAATATCGAAGACGATTTCCTGACCCAATTACGCAAAATGTTAGGACTTTTGCCTTTACGTACCGGAGACTGGCGGAAAAAGGGATTCAAAGGCCAGTAAACAACCGTTATCGGCTACTGTCTCCATAAGATGAAGAAGAGATTCTCAACATGTTTACCCGAGATCCGAGAGTTAGTATGAGGAGGATCGCTGGCCAGATAAAATTTTTGGATACAGTTTGATATGTGCTCACGAAACCTCAGATTATAATCCATTGTTAAGCCTAAGTTTTTAACTTTATCACAGTATTTTAATCTAATATTATTTATGGTTATATTTAAATTCTCAATCACATAAGAACGGTCTTTACCAAAGATCACAGCAGCTGATTTATTTGGATTTAATATTAATGAGTGCTCTTGCAATCTTTTAGAGAAGTTAGTCAAGTCACTGTTTATTTTCAACTCGGCAGCTGGCCAATCTGAACTAGGAAAAGAATAGTACAGCTGGGTATCATCCGCGTAAACGTGTAACTTACAGAATTCCAAACATTTAAGAATCTGATTAGTATATATAGTGAAGAGCACAAAAAAAGTACAACTTCACATACTAGTTTTTGAATGGTGTGCGGAAATGCACAAAATAATAAATTTTCTTGCATATTATTTTGTGTTTTTGTCTGTTTTTAAGTATGTTTGGCGGTTAGTATCAATACAAGTTTTTCAATAAACGCTAGGGCAACATGTTATCGTTCAAATGACACCAAATTTATCATGTATTCAGTTATTAGAAATTGCTATAGGACATTGTAGGGGGTGGATTTGTCGATAAAAATAGCTGAAAAATACCCCCCTTAAATATCGATATGTCGTGACCGAACACATTGTATAGAATCGGCAAGTAATCGTTGCCTACATAACCACTGACCATCGCACGGTCTTTTTATTATGTGGGTATCTACTGCGAGAAGAACAAAAAAGTTGCCCTCATGTATCATAAAGCAATAAAATAATAAGGTTTTCTGAAGTGTAGGTAGAAGTTCACCAAGCACAATGCTCAAATAAGTTATCAAATTGATTCGGAAAATTCACTAATTAGTGGCGGCTGCGGTAGAATTGAAGGCATCCTTGGAAATCTAATTTATATTACAGTTTACAGATTTAGTCAATTTTCAAATATTCGTAAAGCGTCGAAGAAAATATTTTGGAACAAACTCGATACAAATCAAAAGATTAATTACATTCCCATAATAGTTATCACGAAAGGTTAGAAAAAACATGTCGCTTTTTGAGCACTGTGTTTTGTTCATTGATATGCTGCGCGCAAATTACAAATAAGCATTAGTCTATCACAGAAACATTTCAAGAATATAAAAAGTAAAATGCCGAAATACACTACGTTGTTTTCAATAATAACTACATCTGCGTGTCTGAATACTTAAGTATATGAGTATATTGCAAACCATCTATCTATATTTTGAATACTTACATATTGTTTTATTTTCATCCTAAGCATAATGATTACAATTTGATGACAGCAAAAACAAAACTTGAAATAAAGGTTTTCTAAGTGTATATTTATGATATTTGGTGGATTTCTAGTGAATCGACAAGGAATTTTCGAGATCCGATTGTGGAATATACATGAATCTTTAGGCGCATAATTTGTCAAAAAATTATTATTATTATTATTACCTTGTCTTAACACAATATGTGTATACGATACTAAAAAAATAGTTTATGATACTTTAACAGTTATGTTCAATATGTAGACACATGAATTTGGTCTAAAATGCGGTAAGCTGTATTGTGTCTAATGCCGACATCGTCAAAAGAAAAAAAAAAGATTAGAATGGTTAAGAAATGAAACATTTTCCGAAAATATCAGTTGACGATATTTCGCTAATCGTCATGTCATGTCACGATTCCAGCAATTATTGTTTGGAATATATCGAAAGTTGATTTGAACTTTTTTTTGATTCGTTCCGCTGGAGGTTCAAAGTGGAATTAATGTTTTTTCGTGGGTTTAGTGTACTGATAGATTCAAGTGAAATGTTACTAGTCCATACATAAACAGCTTGCTGCTACAATATCTACGACAGCCTTAGTTTATTTTTACCAACATTCATATTTTAGCAATACGAAGCGAGTGTATTTTCACTAAAAGATGGTTAAATTTTTAAGATTTACGAGTATTTATTATACCTGTTATGAAACGAAAAAATTAAGTATGCGCAGGCATCGATTAGCTAGTCAAAAAACAATAATGATATTTGAATCGATGGTTGGTATGTCAACTCTTCCTTTAATAGAACCCTATAATTTCGACTTCGGAAATGGAGAAAAGAGAAAATTTCATGTTCGAATATGTCCTTAATAATTCTTGGAACTTGACTATCAAAATCAAACACAAGTTTACCGTAGTTTCTTGATAATTCAGAAAACTGTTCAATCCCCAGCTTTACTGCTCATTCAGGATTGTTCCCTGGCAACAAAAATCGACCCGACATTCAAGGTCATGGTCAGATCCAAGGTCGACATTGCATATCCGCGGAAAATCATGTATCTGGGTTTGATCTTGACATGACCTCCTAGGGTCAAAATTTAAAAATGGTCCAGACCATATTTGACCGTAAAATTATAAGCTCGTTGCATTTACGCGGTCAAAAATCGGGGAGCGGGGTTCCACTTAAAAACCTTGACTTAACCTTCAAATGATCCTGAAAACCATCGATCGCGGGGATAAGTTTTTCATACCATTATCAGTTCACAAATTATTGTGGGCTTCCGTGAACTCTTCAGACCCTGTATATTGCTGGATCATTCCGATTAATATTGTTGCATATAATGTACATGTCGGTCCATATCCGTCCTTCGACTATTCCAAAGATACAGCTATCCAATCCAGCCCATTTCACAATGCGGCTTGTATAATACGTAAAGCTAAATACATATGTATTATATGCAACTGTATGACTATCCCACGATTGATAAATAAAATTATTTAGTTTCTCTAAAATTTAATGCTCATAACAGCATCGTTTAAACAGGTGTAAAGACAGATCATTCTATGAATCTAACAATTATTATACACTCGATAAATCCTCGAGTAATCAAAGAATATATTTTAGGCATTATTAAATATTCAGTTGCATTGTTAATCATACCTAAAGAATATTCGAATAACGGAGGCGGAGAGGTAATTACAATCATATTGCCTTCATTTCAAATCATCGTGAGAGTTTAGCCGATAATCAATTAAAATATGTCGTCGATAATATAATTGCTACAATGTAACAAGAGATTTAGGTACAACGAAAAAAAAAGTAGATCAAAGAAGGTGATTTATTGCGATAGCAAAGGGAAAAAATGGAATGCAAAACGGTAAGAACTGAGACAAAAATTGATGAGCAAAATAAGCGACTAATACAATCATTGCGGGATAATAGTTCGGATGATGTGTCCTCGTCTAACATTTGAATGGCGGCCGATGGCGTTTAAAGAGGAGGAGAAAACTAGGGTTGTAGGGGTAGAGGAGTGGGAGATGAATAGGGGGGGAGCAGCTAGTTGCGGCCTCGTCGACGTGCCATCGTCCGATTGGTCCGCTCTCTTCGCTGGGGCCCCCCACGCTGTCATACGTATTCGAGAGGGGAGCGCTTGCCGCCCTTGCAACGCCGCTCCACGTACCGCTCCACCGCTTTCTTCACTTCGGAGAAGATCCACACCGAAGAAGTGAGCACCGTCAAGAAGGTTAGATCTGCGCAAAACAATAAGATCGACATCAATTACATTATTACTGTATATGCAGGCGAACGTATGAATTACTGACCCCAGGCGGTGATCGGCTCCGTCTGAAAGACTTTCTGCAACGGCGGCAAATAAATGACCAACATTTGTCCGACGACCGACAACGTGACGGCGATCAGGAACATTTTGTTAGTGAAGAAGCCGATCGTGAAGACGCTCTTCGTTTGCGATCTGCACGACAGCGCGTTCCACATGTCGAAAAAAACGAAGCAGGTGAATGTCATCGTCGTGTCTCGCGCGGTGATTCCCTCAGAACTCAACTGCACAAAAAAAATAATATCGATGACAATCGGGGAATATCCTTGCATGCAACAATCGACTAAATAAACTATAACAATGATAAATTATTATGATTGAGTTATCAGAACAAAAACTCATGACACTATGATTTATATAAGAACTAAAAATATTCAGACTGGTGTCTCTTATATAAAAGAAGACTTGAAACTTGTCTCAAAATGGTTAACATCTAACAGACTAAAATTAAATATTATACTATATATAAATAATTATTGATCAAAATCATTAATGAATTTATCAAATTATGAAGCTTGGAAATATTCATAATTTTTTTTTGTTTAAGGTTGTCTTCTCAAAAGTAAAAGTTCGTTGTAGGATGTATCTCTTCAGCCCATTGTAAACCTAGCTCAAAGGCGTTAATTGCGTCTTGTGCTGTGACTTGTGGAGCAGTTGCAATCACGTCGTCGTTATTTTCCTGATTGTTTGTTGTCTAATTAGAAACCTCTTTTATAATCTCTTCGTCAGACATTTCATAAAAAACATTTTCCTCTTTATCCATTCCACGGCACCAGATTTCCAAATGTGATTTGTGGAACGTTGCTAGGAATGGTGACTATATCTGGTCATAACTTTTGCCAAGACGATTTAATAGTTGATGACGGTAACGCATTCCACGACTGACAAAGAGCAAAAAACAAGTCTTTCACATTAAATTCTTTTAAAGTTTTTTCTATTGGTTGGTCTTTTGATACGGCTGTCAGAAGTAGGTTTTTCTTAAAGTCTTGCTTGACAAACTGAATGATAATGATATTCTGGTCCATTGGTTGAATCAGTGCAGTGCAATTTGGCGAAAAAAACATCGCAGTGATGCATTTATCCTCAGTTGTTAGTTCTTCTTCAGACGAATCGCCGAGAGCGTTATCAAGAAGCAACAACGCTTTTTGAAGAAAATTATGATCTTTTAACCATTATCTAACTTCAGGTACGAAGCATTCATCAAACCACTTTTTGAAAAGGTCTTTTGTTCATCCATGCTCTTTTTTGTCCATAATAGTGTACAGGTAAATCAATGTTTCTGAATGCCCGTGGTTTGTTAGATTCCCCAATGACCATCATCTTAAGCGCGTGTGTGCCCGCAGCGTTAGCACATGGTAGTATGGTTACACGCTCTTTACTTACTTTTCGTCCAGGTACGGATTTTTCGTTACAAGAAATGAAAGTTTTGTTAGGCATCACACGCCAAAAAAGCCCTGATTCGTCTACGTTGTACACCTGTGACGGGTCAAGATTGAAATCGTTCACCTTTTGCAAAAATCTTAATTTAAAGGGCTCTATGCAGGTGGCATCGTTAGAAAGTTTCTCTCCTGTAATAGTCATTAAACGTATGCCACGACGACTTTTAAAACGTTCTAGCCATCCTTTGCTGGCCACAAAATCATCTTTTTTTGTTATTTCCTTATAAAAAAACTTAGCTCTCATGGCCAACATGGGTCCTGAAATTGGTGCATGCTATTTCTTTCCTGAAGAAACCACATGTACAAAGCTTCTTCCGCTTCTGGATGTTCAGCTTTCTTGAGTGTATGTCTCTTGCCTGGCCCGCAGTCAGTAGTTGACACGAACTTCTTGATCTTCTCGTGGTTTCTTTTAATGTCATAAATTGTAGATCGGCCTACGCCGTATTCACTTGCTAAACTACTGAAAGTTTCATTGCGATTTAAGCGGTCTAAAATATCACATTTTTCTTTGGAAATGTTTTGCGCTTTCGCTTCCGAGTTTGTGATGACATTACTAGGTACTATACTTAATACACAATGAATAAATAGTAAACAATGAACGCACGCTAGGCCGTACCGCTATCACCAGTAATCAAATTCAAACTAAGTAAAACAATGCTTACGCGTCGAGCACGATAGCGGTGGCGCGTACAAGTTGTAACCTGTTCAAACCTGCGTGATCTACATTAGATTGTCAAATACGTATGTATGTAATACATATTCAAAAACATGTCGGATTACAGGGGGCGTCGGATTATGGGGGGTCCACTGTATGATATACTCACATATCCAGTCGATCAAATAAGTTGATATTTTTACAATACAAGGATGACTTTCTGTCTGATTCATCATCGTTTTTTTCGTATTAGTTTATGAATTAAACTAAGTTTTTATGGTAGGTCGGTGACCGACCTCTCTCTGGAATACGAAGAGCGTGCCTCCGATGATGAAGCCGGCCGAGAGAAGCACATTCGCGATGAGCCTTTTCGTGATCATCGGTTCGTGAACATCTCTCGCCTTCTGTTTGACGACGTCCTGTTCGACGGGTTCGACACCGAGCGACTGCGCGGGCGGTCCGTCCATTATTATGTTGATCCACAGGATTTGCATCGCGTTCAGAGGGCTCGGGATGTCGAACATCGTGGTCAGCGCGATCAGAGACAACGCGGCGATCGACGTTGACAGTTGGAAACTGACAAAGTTGCGGATGTTGTAGAAGATGCTTTTCCCTTCTTCGATCGCAGCGCTGCAACAGAAATTATTATTAACAGGGAGAATTTCAAACTTTCATTCGCTCGTGAGATTTTCATAACATTGAGCCACTTTATTAAACGATAAAGTACCTTCTTTGGAAGGAGCCGTTCAAGTATTACGTAAACAGATTTATTACAATTATTTACCCCCCATCCCCCTTGTCAGCAAAAGTAAGCAAAGCTCTTACCCCCTCCCCCCATGCTTATGTAAAGATTTGTCAATTAATGTATTATTTTTTTTAAATATTATAATTATAACGTTATAATTATAATTTGAACAATAAGAAAATAGATTTAGGATAGAGATTATATTTTACTGATACGGTATTCAACATAGAGTAAAGGACAAAAATATTATATCTTACTAACATAATATTTTAAATTTTTAGTACATATATTAAATTCAAATTAAGAGTCTTCAGTTCATGAACCCCGAATCCATGATTCTAAGTTTTCGATGTCATTGGATTGCTTCGATTGCTGCTCAGTGTTGTGAGTTTGCTCGCTTTCGATCCATTCAACATCATGGTGGTCTAAATTTTGAATAATGCACATCAGTTCATTAGCACGACGAGCAGCGACTCTTACAGATCTAACTTTCCTATCAGTGTGCGTGTTTACTTTTTTATGGATGTTTTCGATGTGACGATTTAGTGACTTGACGGAAGCATGATAAAGACCACACGTTTTGCATGTTCGACTTGATAGCCTCAATTTCACCGTAGGACAAAAATAATCGTAGGGCATTTGCAGGAAATCTTTGAGTGAAGCACTTAATCGTAGAGCTAAATTGACTGGAAGATTAAGAAATTGCCCTCCTTCATCCAAAACCAAGTCATCAACTGTTTGTTTTACTTTTACAGGTGGTGGAAGAAACCTATTGTCTAGTAATCTAAATAGGCCACTTCTTGGACGACAGCATTCTATATTTCTACATTTTACAATTTGAAGCAAGTATTGGCTCTCACGCACATGTTCTGAATACCATTCAATGTCTGGAAAATCAGGAAGATCTTGTTCACCTGCCCCAACATATTTTGCATTAACATTATAGCCATCAATTTCCAATGAACTCCATACTTCAGCTAATACATTTACTGCAAATTCGGAATTAGATCTTTCTAAATGTTCATCAATTGTAACGCCAAGTTCATCCAAATGAGATCCAAAATGGTCATGAGGCAATATTAAACCAGCCAGTTCCCGACTAAGAGGAGCCATTCTGCGCTCTACTCTGTTATACGCACTTCTTCCAGGAGCATTGGTAGCTAAAAACAATGCATCGAGATCATGTCGCTTAAAGTGTTGTATAGCAAACCCTATGACTTTTTGATAACATCGATTTTTATCTGGCCCTCCATCAACCGTCATGATTACCACTGGTTTTACTGGTCAGTTTTAGCTAATGGTCGAAACGCTTCAAGTTCGAGAAGCGTCTCGAAATCCTGAGCATGAGTATTAGCAGTAGATGAACTATGCTTTCCACTTCGAATAGCGATGTATGTTGGTCCAGAATATCCAACGTCTTGCGGTTGTCCTAGCATATTGGAAGTGATTTTGATACCAGCATAAACAGATGATATTAATTCATGACGCTCAGCGATTACCCAATCGTGATCAGGCAATTTGATTCTATATTCCATGTGCATTAGAAGAGGTGCTTGCTTATTTGCCGCAGTTACGCCAATAGGGACTCGAGCTTTATCATCTTGAGATATGAAAAATACTTGATCTGGTCTAAGTATGGATGCTATGTTCTCTAAATCATGGATTGATGTTTCAGCGAACTTGCTATCTAAGTGGCTCTTGTGGTGATCAGTTTGAGATCGAATGAGCTGAACAGGGACTGTCGATACATGTATTCGTCCCTCTGAAGAATTAGATTTTCTCGGAATCAAGCGAAGATATGTCCTACTGCGACTAATGTCAAATCCTATTTCAAGAGTTCATCAAGAGTTTTTACGCTGCGAATTGATTCCGTTCGTCTTCTATCATCTGCTGCACTCCCAAATAAAGCTATATCCGCGATTGTTTCTGGTCCAAGTATGGATGCTACCTGTATGTTCTCTAAATAATGGATTGATGTTTCAGCGAACTTGCTTTCTAAGTGGCTCTTGTGGTGATCAGTTTGAGATCGAATGAGCTTAACAGGGACTGTCGATACATGTCTTCGTCCATCTGCAGAATTAGATTTTCTGGGAATCAAACGAAGATATGTCCCACTGCGTCTAATGTCAAATCCTATTTTACGTAATTCTTGTGCGAGTTCATCAAGAGTTTTTAGGCTGCGAATTGATTCCGTTTGTCTTCTATAATCTGCTGCACTTCCAAATAAAGCTATATCCGCGATTGTTTTCAATAGAGAATGTTGATTGCTTTGAACATCAGGACGTCCCACTGAATCGCTCAGAGATAGTCTTTTTTTATTTCTGGATTTTCATGACAAATATCTTCTAACTTTCTTTTCATACCATCCCTGCGTTTCTTCTGGGCAACTGCGTCTTGAACCTTCCTGTTTAAAGACTGTTTTGCTGTTTTTATTTCCTCGCGCAACTTAATGATCTGTTTATCAACTTCAGCACGGCTTGGCATAGTATCTCTGGCAGAATACAAAGCATTTAGATTTTTTTTCGAGTAGAGCAATCTTATTTTTCATAGCTTCCTGAGAAAGTTTTGCTCTCTGTTTATCTGTATTTTCTTTATTTTCGCATTGCTGTTGTGATTCATTACCGGGTTTTATTTTATCTTCTTCCTATTTTTTAATATTGGAAGCTGACTGTCTAATTTGTGTTTTTTTCTGCAGGTTTACAGGTTGCCTAAAAATAAAAACTTTCTATGGCGTCTGCTAAAGATTCTCTTATTAAGCTACATATATACAAAGTATGGCAATTTATATGGTAAATACAAAATCCTATGGCTATAAATCTAATATGTTTAAACGAGCAATTCGTTACGGTCACAAAATACAGGGTGTTAGTTTTCTGTATATATGTATAAAACTAACATCCTGTACTTTGTGACCAATTGACGGAATCAATCATAAGAAATAAATCTATAATATAATGAATATTACCTCTATACTTTGAGATAGACCATAATATTTTCTAATCAGTAAAGAGAAACTTTTTGGCGATTTCTAATATTTCTAGTACTCATAAGTACCTAAAATGATTTCGTCACTCACCTTAGAAAAAAAATTTAGTAGATTGGAATTATTCTTAGTCGCCGCTTGCAATTCTTCTTCTATTCTCTTAGATACAATAATATCTAGTTGCTTGTCGGATTTTGCTTGTAATTTGTAATTTCGCCACACTCCGTTAACTAACTTTTGTACATTTTGTACTTTTGTAAATGTATGAGATTTTTTTAAAACTTTCAAACAAGTTTTGGTATAACTTGGATTTCTCTATATGAAACGACATCTTATTTAAACATTAAACTTTGGCTAATGGAATCAATGGTAACACAAATGTTAACTTGCTTTACTATGCTTATAATACGTCTACTCCCTATAGTATCCAAACGAAACAATACACTGATAGAGGAAATTTAGACAAGTGAATACCGCGCGGTAATTCCCCTACTCCCGAGTAGGGGAATTACCGCGCGCTGTTCACTAAACGTATGCATTATTTGCGGGAATCCCCGAAAATGCGTTTCGTTTTCAAGCAAAGACAATGTGAGGGTTGCCATTCGTGTAAAAAAGTAAATAACTACCGATGACGTAATCATCATCTAGACTCCCCTACCCCCCATGTCGTCCAAAATAAGCAAAGCATACCATAGTGCTCACGTAATACTTGAACGGCCCCTTATAATATTATGGGAGATCCCAAGGGTAACGGTTTGAAACGCTCCGTATACCCCTTAAATGACATTTAGAACCGTCATAAATTACTTTTAGAACAAAAAAAAATTAATGTAACGAATCGCAAAAGACAAAGGTAACAAGAAGTCATTCGTACATGATCGTGTAGAAGTCGTCGTCTACGAGTATCATGTCGGCGGCCTCTTTGCATACGTCTGTTCCATTTTTGCCCATCGCGATGCCGATATCGGCCTTTTTTAGAGCGACGCCGTCATTAACGCCGTCTCCGGTCATGCCGACGATGTGTCCGGTGCGTTGTAACGACTTGACGATCGCCAGCTTGTTCTTCGGCGACACTCGGTAAAAGACGGTCGCCCTCGGCACGCACTCGTCCAATTCCGTTTCGGTGAACGCGTCCAGCTGCTCGCCAGAAAACACCAACGACGCCACCGTCTCCAGGCCCACCAGTTGAGCTGAACAAACAGACAATATAAAAGTATAGCTCATTCGCTTCGTATTACGTAACTTGAAAAGTGGCATTATATCGTTTTTTTTTTTGTTGACATTATGTAGGCTCTCCTACAAGATGTCGACTAGGAACAGTTTATACTGACTGACAAAAAAGGTATCATGTTTGACCGATTTTAATAATTTTTGGCATACATGTTCGGCGTCCGTTACTAGTAAAATGTTAAATTTTCAGCTCGGTTCGTCAACTGACTGCAGAAGTTGGTTCAATAATGTGTTGAGGGTCCACCATTTCTTATACATCCATTGACAGGCCTGGGCATCGTGAGTGAGAGCTGCTAAAGTCTGTGGAAGGTGTTGCAAATTCAAGAGCCTGCGACCTATCATGTCTCAGACATGTTCAAATGTCTTGTTGAAAATCGGGTTTTGGATGGTGTTTAGGTATGGAATAAGATGAGGCTCCACTATAGCGCCGGGCTGTCATATTGCCTAGGATGAAAATTAGCGGTGATCTGCTACGATAAGCAATAGCACCCCATACCATAACTACCACGGTGCGATGAACGCTCGCTGTCAAATTGTGGATCACGACTTTCATCACGTCGCCTTCTCACCCTTGCATGACCATCGTGCATCTCCAGACAGAAGCGGGATTCGTCACTAAAGACCACTTGATTCCTTTCCTGGTCCCATAGAATTCTTTCTCTAAACCAGAGCCAACGGTTACGCCGATGTGGGCGATAAACCGTACGCATACCAACCATCCTTTCATGCTCTTCAAACCACTGATTAGCGATGGCTCGACCACTACTGAATCTGTCTCTCAGAGCCTTAATCGGCGATCTTGTCGCTCTGTCGTCCCTCTGGGACTTGCAGAACCCCTCGCTCGCTGTCCTCGGCCTTCCTGAGTCCACGCTCGTTCACACTGGAGTATACTGCGTAAGGATCTGTTGCTCCTCCTAGAAACTTCTCTTATCGATAGACCGGCTTCACGAAACACGACAATTCGGCCCCTCTCAAAGTCGCACGAAAACTGAACGCTTCTTTATCACCAAACAAAAAACACACAGCCACCATAAAAACTTAAAAGAAAAATCTGACGATGTTATCACTTGTTGTTCATGGCAAGATAAATCGATATGTAAAAAATGCTTAAATTCTAATAAACATACGTAGGTGTTTACCTTTTTTGGCACTCGGTATATTTTCGCAGATAAAACCATGTCTATAACCTTGATAGATAGCATACCACACCAGGCCTATTCAACAAATATTTTCAAAAATAAATAGGTGATTGATTTTTTATGATTGTATATGATAAAATTAAGTTTGTCTCTTCTATGATTTCCTGCACTGTTAAAAATGTTAAATTTTGTCCTATGATTTTGCAGTTAATTTTATTTGAGTCTAAAGTGAAAACGTACCGATAGCGATGGCCGTATCCATGGAATCGCCTGTGACCATTTTCACCTGCACTCCGGATTCTTTAAGTATGCAAATGGCCTCCCTGACCAGCGGCCTGGGCGGATCGCAGATGCCTACGAGGCCCATGTAAACGAGCTCGTTGAGCGTATGGCCTCTCGCCATCGCGATCACGCGCAGGCCTTTTTTGGCCACTTCGTGCGCTTCCGCCATGAACTCCTGCTGCTTGGCAGCGCTCAACGGCTGCACGCCGCCGTTCCAGCTGTATTGCACGCACTTCGGTAGGATTTTTTCAATAGCACCTGCCAACAATAACAATTCTTCGTAATATCCATGCGACAGTTAAAATCACAGTCTGTCAAAGAAACAGATGAACGTGTACAATTATGAATTTTCAAAAGTGAATGACTCGCGCATCGATTAATATTAATGAAATTACAATAGGGTAAGGGCCAATTTCACCAACAACAGTCCGTTATTCTCCACCTATAGGGTAACAGACCGTCAGATTCAACGAATGAGCTTCAAGTTCCAATCAACAAATTTTAGCAACCAATAGCTATAAAATCTTGAAAACAAAATACTGTCAGAGTATGAGATGGCAACTTGTCATTGAAACATTACCGGCTTATTGAATATTAAGAAATTACATATAATTCAGTCAAAATTTTAAGAAATGTTGGATTTTTGAATAAAATTCATGTTTGAATTACTATTGTTGATTTTTTATTCATGTTTATATTATTTTCTTCAATTGATATGCGATACTGGGTGTTTTTTCCTATAAACCTCTTGCACAGAGCCATTAAGCACCTACTTGATGACAGGCTCTACCAAAAGATATTGCTCGTTTCCAAACATTCATTCATTTACTTGCCGTTCATCAGAACCATTATGGCACCTTAGATTGATATTCCTACAAAACCATTCAGGTTTTTTTGATATCTATACAGCCATAAAGTTGAATATTTTTCGTTGTTCAGGAACTGAACAAACATCCACACTATATTCACAGCGATTAAGAAATTCCCAAATATATGCCTTATAGCTACCAGCTAACCTAAAACCTGCAAAAAAACTAGAAATTTGCCATATTTTTTTTCACGAGTACACATTCTAGGTTATATTTATTAGACATTATTTGAATACAGCTGATTATTGCATTTCAAGGAGTGACACATGTGTAGGATGTGTCTACTCTTGGTACCTGTCACAAAACATATACTCTGAAGGTTTAATTCCATGCTATTCAATGACAACACGGTGACTTGTGTGGTTGTCAGCGGCCATTCTGTGAGGGTGCGACAGGGTTGCCAGATTGTGCATTAATATCCCGTTTCACCCTCCTGGTCCCAGTGGGGTAAGTTCCGCCAACTGTTGAAATATACTCTACTATGCCTTATAAGACTATTCGTGACATTTTTCCCAAAATCATTGCACAACACTTGAAAAAATACAAATAAAAATTTAAAATTATTTCCATGACGCCGCAAAATAGCTCCGTCGTTACCTTGTGTTATACATCTTGACAGTAGGGATGTTCGATACGATCCTATATTTAGAAGTATCAATACATTTTACGAGTATCGTCATCTTTCGATCCGGACTGTGTCACATATTATCTGTGTTTTAGGATGGAGAGCACATAATGTTTTTATTGCTTTGAAGAAATTCATGAACGCATAAATTAATAAATGATTATTATTATGACGTAAAGGAAGATGAGGAATTGGATGGAATGTATTTTATATTCTATTTTCTTGCAACATACAGACAAATCCACACTATTCAACAGGTATGTAATGATAACTTTCAGTATATGGAAGTTGGTGAATTCGAGAGTGCCATGCATTAACAAACGTCGAAATCTGCTGCTAATTTTAACAGCTAGAAAATCGACCTGTTATTTGCCGCATTCCCATTCGCTGAGGGGATAACGGATTGTTAAATGTAAACCTATAACATATATCAAAATACATGAAAGTTGTCCGGTTTTTTCTGTACAAAATTATCATGTTGGAATCAAAAAGTGGTCTTGTTTATAATACAGTCGAATTTCCACGATTTTATTCAATATTTCAATAGAAATCACTGATATTCAGAGACCTTTGACAGCTTCTGTCAAATTGCATTTCGATAAGGTATTTTCCCATTTGTTCATAATATAAATGTTGATGAAATTGGGCCTAAATGTACCAGCGAATGCTATACCTTTAACAAAATATATCTCGTCCTTGTCCTTGTCGTATTTGGATGCGCATCTGACTGCCATCATTTTCGCCTCCGAACTGAACGGATACTCTTGCAGTCGAACGTATCGATCTGCCACGTTGTACATGCCGTGTTTCATGGCGGCCGCGATCAAAGCGCCCTCTGTCGGCTGGCCCAACAATACCTCGTTCGTGATCACCGCATTGTTGCATACCGCTCCCACCTGTGTGACAACACCTTAATAAATAATCGATCCCAAATTTTGGAAAATTATCAAGACATTACATTTCAATTAAATTAAATATAAACGCATGAATACCTCAAGGTATTAGGTCCGATTCTATTCTCTTCAAATATAATAAAATTAAAGATAAATGGTAAATTCGTAGTTTTTGCCGACGATAGCACCATACTTAGGCAAAACAAAGATATCGGGTTTTCCAATAGGGACTCGACAAGTTTGAACTATCACTGTGAACAGTAAAGAAAACATTTTCATCACGGTGAAGTACACGAACGGAGAACGCTTACAAATAATTAAAATTTACTAACGAAATTCCGAGAAGGTGACCGCAACTTGAAGAGCCTTAACGCCAATTTTTGGTCGTAATGCTCGTCCCAGTAGTCAAGCATCTGCTGGATGTTCTCGTACCTATGAGGCAACGGCATGTGTATCATGTAAAAACCCTATAAAACGTAAAAAAAAACTTTTTGAAATGCAGCAAATTTGTATATGTAATTTCCAAAATGTATAAAAAAAAAGTGGATGCACAACCAATTTCTAGCTTTGAATCTCAATTAAGTGTATTTGAGACAAGAATCCAAAGTTTTTTTTATAAGAAACTGTAAATCGTTTGGTAGTGACACGGAACCGATGGCTTTCTACTGCACCTTGGTGCGTTCTAAGCTGGAATATGCATCTAGTGTTTGGCATCCCAATCAGCGATGTAGCTCAGATTTGAAATGCATCCTCTTGAGCTGAGAAGAGTTTGTAATAGTTTAAAATTCCTTTACAAACTTGTACACAGTGATGTTGATTCTTCAGCTTTATTAGCTAAAATTGCTTTTCATGTACCGTCCCGCATTTCCCGAAGATTTTAATTAAAAACACCAAATTCTAATGTTATGATTAAGTCACCCGTGTACTTTATGTGCTCCAGCTTTAACACCATAGCTGATAATTGTGACATTCGTCGAGGTAAAGTCAAAGATATATTAGCCGTATTCAGCGACTACTATTATTCAATTTATAACATTCAAGACATGTAGGTGTAGCTATTTATTATTTTCTTTCATTTTTTTTTAAATATATATTATTATTATATTAGTTTTTTACAGATTCCAGTACGCCCGTTCCAATGCCTTCGAAAATCGAGCGGTTCAATTTTAAATACGACAAAACTATATGAGGTGTGTATTTTACTCACCTCTAGTAGCTGTCTAACGCTTTCCCTGGCCTTTTCCGGCGTATCGCATTTGTGCAGCAACACTTGTCCGTGATCGTTGTATCCCGCTCCCGACAGTTCTGCGATGTATCCGTCTGACGTCACCAGCACCGTCGCCGTCATCTCGTTCTTCGTTATCGTACCTAATCATGCAAACCAAGATACCTTCAGTTTCAGCGAAATAACTATTGATATCATCTCATTCAAACGTTTCAATTTCTACAGTCTCCTGGCAATGGCTATTATTTAAAAACAGGATTGTTTCGTTTTAAACATTTTGATAAAATGTTTTAAACATTCGTTTAGGTTTAAAACATGTTTAAAATACTTAAATTAAGCAAGCATTTTTTTCTTCATTTTAATTTTCAGATGGAACACATTTTTGAATACAGTGGACCCCCGAACATCTTTCTTACTTCCTATAGACGACATTTTTCAAATAAAGAACACGAATAACTTACAGTAGACGTTATTGCAATAGACAATTTGCAAGGCGAATTTATAAATAGTAATCTGTGGTTCCCCCAAACCAATAGTTGGTTTTCTGAAAAACAATTGCAATGAGGAACTATTGGCCTGGGGGAACCACAGATTACTATTTATATATACATATATTCGTGTTCTTTATTTGAAAAATAAAGGAAGGAAGAAAGATGCCATTTGGTCCTATTTTGATGTTGTTAAAGATAATAACAAAAAATCAGTGACTGCTAAATGTAAAAAATGTAAAGTAATTATGACTGGACTAGTTTTCTTATTTCGGGGATTCACCGGCACAGCGTAACGGCGGCGTGGCGCGACGTAGTTCGTAACAGGTGATCGCGGCAGTTTAGTACAGAGTCGGACTTTAAATAAGGTATCGATTATTTAGTAGAATAATAGATCGAATATTTTCAATTAATAGGAAAAAATAAGATTTAAACAATGTTTTATTTGTTTAAAACCAAATTTAAAAACAAAAAAATATTTGTTTTGGATAAAATAAACAAATATATGTTTTTTCAACCCTGTTTAAAAAAATAAGCATACCGCTTTCAATTGTGACATCATAGGTCTAATCATCACCTGTTTTATCTGAGCATATGACATTAACGCATCCTAGCGTTTCAACGGTGGGCAGTTTCTTGACGATCGCATTCCTTTTGGCCATCCGCATCACTCCAAGCGCGAGCGTGACGGTCACCACGATCGGCAGACCTTCTGGTATGGCCGCCACCGCCAGACTCACCCCGATCGTGAACATTTCCATGATAGCTTTGCCCTGGACCCAACCGATCACCATAATCAGGCCGATTATGCCGAACGAATAAACGGATAGTTGCGCTCCAAGTTTGTCCATCGATCTTTGCAGCGGAGTTTTCGGGGCTTCTTCTTCTAGCATCATCTTGAACACCGAGCCGAATTCGCTGTTTGTGCCCGTGCTCACCACTATGCCCTAAACAACATACATCCACCATTTTATAAAGTACAAAACATTTTCGTAAATCGTGTTCCGTTGTTCAAAAAAAGGCCTACACAGTTTATGTAACATTACACAGTATCATTTATTAAATAATCAAGGTCCATAAAAAGGTTTGTTGGCTCTCAAAAGAAAAAAAAATCAAATTAATTGGAGAAGTATAGATGAGAAACAATATATTGTAACAATATTTTTAGACTTCAAAAGGGCATTTCAGAGTATAGATAGGGAAAAATTGTTGATGAAATTGCGTCACTATGGCTTTAAAGGATCAGTATTACACATTTTACAAAATTATTTAGTAAAGAGAAGTCAAAAACTAAAGTTGGAAATATTATGTCAAGTGTTCAACATACATCAGTAGTGGTGCCACAGGGGAGTAAATTATGGCCATTACTATTTATTATTTATATAAATGATATCGCTGACATTTTAGAACACTGCAAAATTCAAATATGAGGCACAAAACATATAAACATGAAAGTGTTAGGGCATCATGCTTACGATTAAAACAAAAATTATAATCAAAATCCATTTTCATTTTTATTGTAAGCGAAATGACGAAAACATTTCCAGTCTCTGATTTGAACTAGGAGGTGTTAAGACCATGCGCTCCTATAAAATAGTAGGAAATGACAATGGCTGTAAAAGAACAATCAAGTACTAAAAAAAAAATATAGATACACACCGAGAAAACTTGGGTCAACCGAACAATTTTTCTGGAAAGTTTTCATTACCTGTAATGATTTCTTTAGTTATTCTAAGTAACTAAAGTATTCGGTTTAAGTAAACTGAATTTTCTGGAACGAATTTAATTGAAGATAGCAAACCGGGTACCTGTTAAACCTGTTAAACTAATCAATTAGTTTAGGTAATTTAGTTTTTGTAGAAAAGGTACATTTAAAACAATTAAACATTAAACGCCAATCGCCATATTCTGAATTTCAAGACTCGCAAAAACTGGCTGAACTCTGGTTCTATCGTTAATAAATTATTCAATTGCTGTTTACTTTCCTTGTCTTGATTACGTGACTAGATATCGAGTACAAAAAATTCAAAATAGCTGCTGTAGGTTCGCTTGTGGTCTGCGAAAGTTTAGCCATGTGCCTAAGAAGATCAATGAGCTTAGATGGTTGAGGGTTGACCAGCTTTTCACATATAATTTACTAATTTTAGTACAACGAATAAAAATCAATAGGCTACCTAGTTATCAACAAAAAAATCTGGTACCACGTGGGGATCTCAATTACAGGAATGACTTCAATATACCTAGTTATAGGAGCAACATTTTCCATTGTAGCTTCACCTACAACGCTGTCAAGGTGTATAATAGTCTTAATGACAATTACAAAAAGAAGGGAATACTTGCATCCAAGAGAGCCATTAAGAACCATCTTCTGGGGTCTGCTAGCCAAGCTGCTATTTTTTTTGTCTTTATTGTTTTTTTTTTTTGTTTTAATCTATTTAAGCCTTAATTATTGTATATATTATTTAGTCGATTGCTATTCATTGTTATATCTTTCTTTTTGTATGTGTTCCTGCGCTGTGAGGTTAAGTGGTAGAGTAGCCAGCTGGCTAAACTTCGCCTCGCAGTGTGGATGGATTAATAAAGACATTATTATTATTATTATTTAAATAAAAACGATAAAAGTGTCTATTTGAATCGCAGACTTAAAAGCCCTCTTATAGACCCCGAGACTTTTAAAATGATGTAACGAGCGTCGAACTGACCTTCCCGTTTCCGCATCGCACCAGCGTGCCCATGAACGCACTGTTAGTGTTTGATGAGTGCGCCCCGTTCGGTCTGACAACCGAATCTGTGCTCTTCCTCCCCGGCTCCGTCTCGCCAGTGAAGGAACTTTCGTCTATCGCCAAATCGACAGCTTCGAACAGCCTGATGTCGGCGGGGACGCGATCGCCGATGCCCAACAAAACCACGTCGCCAGGCACCAGCTCGCGAGCCAGGAAAGTGTCGGGGCTGCCCTCGCGAACGCTACAGTTTCACAAAACACTTTAATTAGTCGTGTTCTAGCATCACATTTCCGCCGGTTTGACACCCGATTCAACGTTGCCAAAAAATTAGTTTCAAACGGTTTCGAATCCGATTCTACTAGAACGCGTTTTTCTATCAAAATACGTTTGAGTTGACAGTAATAGCATCTTATTTGATATTTAGATGATATCCCACGTTTCTTTCCTCATTGTTAGACAAATGAATTTCAGTTCCAAATGTACTGCTTAAGAACTTGATCAAGCGTCTTATTATGTAGAATAAACAACTGATCATATTAGACGAAAATACCCCTGGTTTGCGAAATAATTGTAAAGTCTGGTTTTCTTGCTGCAAGTTGCTCAAGGGGGTATTCAAAACATGGACGCATAAAATAGCTACAGCAATTTTTGTGCGAAAACTTTTTATTCGACAACAACGAACATCATACACCATATGGCTTGAATTTACTAGTTCTACGTTGTTTACAATTATTCTGTTTATGTAGCCAAATGTGCTAAATAAATCTTTCTACTACTACTACTACAGTTACTCGAATCGATATCTGAGATCCAATCGGATTCTGATAAGAATTTGACATTTCTGTGAGCAATACAAAGAGCTATACGCAATAAAAAAGTAGTATACACCAAATTTTGCGCATGTCAGAAACAACGAGTCCCGACGAAATCTTGTGTACTGTTTTTACCGTCCGAAAGCAGTTTTTAAATCAAAAATTAGTTTTCTGAATCCTCAACTAGGCGTTACCGTTGTTTGAACATGTTTTCTCGCCTGCGCATGCTCAGTCGGTTTCAAACCGTTGGAAATGTGCTGCTAGAACATTACTATTATTAAAGTTACTATTAAATATTTGATTTGCGGGCGAATTCGTAAATACTGACCAATGACATTGCGGCGGCACCAACTTGGTGAGTTCCTGCAGCGACTGTTCCGATCTGTACTCCTGCACGAACGCGACCGTCACAACGATCACAATCGCCACCGTGATGCTGACAGCGTCATCGATCTGGCTCATGCACGCCGACACCACCGCAGAGGCCAACAGAAGCAAGATCAGAGGATTCTTGAACTGCTCCAGGTACTTTTTCCATGGCGGGTCGCCGTTTTTCACTTTAAATTCGTTATAACTGCAACAAACGAATTAAACGTCGTACACATACAAACGTTAATCGTTTTCTTTCATTTTACAACTTTTACGTAACTTGTATCCGTAAAACTAAAAGAATAAGGTGTAAAATATTTTTCTTTCACTTAGAGATCGGCATTTAGGCTCTGGCGAATAGGAGACTCGCCTGACAGATGGCGCTATTCGTCACAATATACTTTGATATGCAGATATCTTTGAAAAGTCCAAAGAAGAAAATTCAATGAAATTCCTTTTACTTACCCTAAAACTTTTCGCCTTTCTGTGGCTTCCTGCCAACTAAGGCCCTTTTTAATATCTACCCTAAGTCTTTCAGCTATTTCTTCATATCCTAAACTACTAGCTTCGCTAGCTGTCATCCATAATCCTGAATTGTCATTTTTTGTCTGAAACAAATAGGTAAAATAAGACGAACGGCAAAGTATGATATGAAACAAACACAACAAATACTACGGCGAGATAACTTTTTTGAAAATAGGCATACTAACATACAACAGGGTTTTTAACATAAATTATCCACTCAAATCTTCAGATAACTTTAACCAGTTCCAGTGGTATGTTAATACCAGTACAATCAATTTGTTTTGCTGACTTTTCACATTTTCTCTACATTATGAAAATCAATCAAAATATTATAAAAAATTAAAATTGTTTCGATGATTAAATAATTTTCGCATCTTCACCTCTCTAAATCAACTGTAGCAATTTACATGTTATGTATTGTTTAGAATCATTATAGAGTAAGTAATTGGTAACTTCCTATGTAGTTTTCGTTGTTTCCCAATCACTCCCTAATATACATATTGTGTGCATCAAGATAAACATACGTAAACACAAGCCAGTCAATTATTAGGTGATTCATTTAGCTATTAGTGTACTAAAACGAGGGAAAAATATAATTTTTAGCCTTTTAAGTCAGAGCTGATTGGTCGAACAAGCAACTTGAGGTTATAAAAAAGCTCTGTGTAGAGCCCTAAAAGTCAAAAAGCTACCGGATAACATACAGGTTTTAAGAATAACTTCTGTTGTCATAAAATTATATATAAAAGTGCTACGACAGAGAACACCCACGAAAACTGTGACGTATAACTGTACTAGCTTTCTGCCACATGGTTTTACCCGCTGAACGAGTAGATGGCGCCACTAATACAGTAACCAAATGTCCCAAGCATGCAAGTTGGCTGTCAACTTATTGCCATCTAAGATATAAAACTTGATCGAAAGTTTATAGCATTACTGACAAACAATGTTTAATTTTTGTAACAGTTTCAAGCGTACGAACGCGCTGATAACAGCTACTGTAAATAAAACGTCTATATCGGTTGACGGTGTCAGTTCATCACAAAATCGGCGATGAGTTCGAGGATAAAATCATACCTATAACATTCCTCGGGTATTAATTATACTAAGTGACATATAAATCCGAACACCCAGTTTAAATGGTTTTATTTTAATAAAATTTTGTATAAGTACTTAATGAAGCATAATAAGTAAATGATAAAAATTTCAAAATGATTGCACTGCTTTAAAGCCCTTTGACCTTTAATAATGTGTGGATGCACCCTGATGTGCTACGCATTCTCCAACGCGCCTAGGCATGCCTCTGATCAGGTGGTCAATGTCCTCCTGTGGTATCTCATTCCAGGCAACCACCAACTCCTCTCGAAGTGCTTCTAGAGTCTGAGGAGGACGTTGCAAATTGAGCAATCACCTACCCGTCATGTCCCACACGTGCTCAATTGGGGATAAGTCGGGAGATCCTGGTGGCCATGGTAACAATGTGACATCATTATGTTGAAAGAAGTCTATTGTGACTCTTGCAACATGTGGTCGGGCATTATCTTGTTGGAAAGTTGGATCTGCCAGGGTGTCAAGATAGGGTAAAAGATGGGGTTCCAGAACTTCGTGAATATAACGCTGCGCGTTCATGTTACCTCTGATGAAGATTAAAGGTGATCTAGAACCATAAGCTATAGCACCCCAAACCATAACTCCAACAGTGTGATGAACATGTCTTTCAACAAAAAACTGTGGATTCCTCCTTTCACCACGTCGAAAAAAATAAATATTTCTATTGCAATCAATTTTTAAATAAGCCCAATTTTTAGAACTATAAATATTCAAGGTAAACTTCCTTATCTGTTGCTAATTTTTACGTATTTTCGTTAAGGCCAACTGACAACCGCTTTCCACTATTTGCAATTCAAGGATATATTGTTTGTATTAAATATGCAATTTTAATAATTAGCCATGCGGACTCGACTGATAAGTTTTTTGGCTTTATAGTGAAACTATATACAAATATATAAAATAAACATCACAGTTTAGATCTATGAATATAAATCGATAAAATAAGTGAATGTATGTAAATTAATAATCATGTCACTAACTACTCCATCAACCGAAAATATTTGTGACACTAACATTCATTTCAGAGATTAATTGAATTACTCGATTTTCACATCTCAATACTCTGGTTATTACTGTCATATATTGTAATTTCAGCTTCTCTACAGATAAATGTGAATAATTGTCCAGTCTAACTGTCGTTGCAAGTACCAGGATCTCCACTATCAACGTCAAGCCGGCAACAGCGCGGTCTGCCATCGCCCCACTCAACCTGTGACCGTCAAGCGATACAGATGTTTTGTGTGCACTAACTAATACCCGTGACTCGGTATGCTTGAAACTGTTACTGACATTAAACTTAGTAGCACCACCAGCACGTTCCGCGGCTAAACCCGCGTGGCAGAAAGCTGATCATTAATAAAATGAGGTCGACACTGCACAATCTAGACCGTCTGAAAAAAAAGTCATTCAAACAGGTTTCCCCGCCTAACCATTACTGCATCTGGAAACGTCGCCTCCTCCTGATATCTAACACGTTCAGAAGTGGCAGCGCGATCGGAGCATAGGAAACACTATGCTGTGACGCGCAGAAATACCATACCAGAACAACAGAATAGTCACCAAGTGCGGCGACACGCCAGGTAGGTAGAATTACCTAGGTTGAGAGCGTATAAGTGTACTAGCATAAAAAAATTGACGTTTAAACACACACACAGACACACACATGGTTTTTAGTGACGTGCACGTCATTATGGCACCCAAAAATGTAATATCTCATTTTCGAAAACGTTCGTGATTACAGTACTCCCCAACCAGTAGGCCCGTAGAGAAGTAAAAATGTATTTCACATAAACATTAGAATATTCGTAATGTTGACACAAGTTTGAGGAAACACCATTTTAATGTATGCATCAGATATTTAGAGTTTGTATCTGTATAAATAAACAATTATCCGGTGTTTATCTCGGATATAAGCAATTAAAAAAACTGCAAGCAAAGCATTTTTTAACCGGCATCCACCCAGAACAAATGCATGTAACATTTCTGAAAAGATGGAAGTCCTTGTGTGTCAGGTATAAATTCAATTAGGTGATATGCAAAACAAAATTATCCTATTTATGATGCACGAGCTTTCTGCCCCGTGGTTTTGATAGAGTAACCAAATTTCCCAAGCATGCAAGATGGCTGTCAAAGATACAAAAAGGGATCGCATTATTGGTTGCCTATGTTTTGTGAGGCCAAATGGTCCTTGTGTGTAGTTTTCATATGTGAGAAGAAAGTTGGTTGAATAGCAAGATCGCACGCTGCCAATGAAGTATATCTATTGACTGTGCCCAACGGGTTATTTTTATATAATGCTGCTCCGATTCGGCTTTGTTAATAATCAGCAGGTGATGACGGCTGTTATCTTTATGTTCTATGATTGTGATAGCGAATTGTTTATAACGAACTGGTGGTACCAATAAAATAATTATACACAACCACTTCCGTTTTACTGTGTCTGCTTTTTTCATTCGTATCACCGACGGAACAAATTTCAACAATATTGACAAAATACCGTGACGAATATAAAATACATTATTTTTTCTATAGTAGTTGAAAATTATGCTCCAAGATACATACATACATACAAGTCAAGCTAATAAAATTATGTTGCTTGAGACAAAAACGAAACATCAAACAATGTAACATTTTTGGTCTTAGTGATTTTACAGGCTGACCTTTGTTGTAGGTTATCTTCGCAGTAATGCTATGATGGTATCTGTACTGGAACTAAAAAATGCATTTTTGTAATCTGCACAAAAATAATAAAATGTACCCCGTTTCGAAAGAGCTGCTATGTCGCAAAAAAATTTGGATTAGTTTATTGAAGGGTGGTGCGCGGTGTAGTGCTGAAAACCGACAACCTCCGATTCAAGACAGCCAAGGCACAAGGAGCAATTTACCTCTTCAGCCGCTTTGGATGATGACTTGAGACATGGGAACAGATTCCAAGATGCTATCATACTAATGAGACAGTAGTCGCGGTGATACCAATTATAAATAACCGAATCACTGGCGGTGGTTGCGACGGCGATCCAAAAGCAGCAACAATAATCGAGTCCGCACTGATTTAGGCACCATAATTGTTTATCCGCGCACAGTACGGAGCGTCGTTAAACGATGCCGTGTAACATCGCTCGTACGACCACGGTACGGGAAGTACTGACTATTTGTGTGAACGTCGGCGATCGCCACCGCGTCCTACGACAAAAAATTGTCCGGTACCGGTAGTGGTGGGACACCCGTAGCGCCCCCTGGTGATAACGCGGAATGTGTTTTTGCAGCCTGCAAACGTCAATTAATTAACGGTCAACTCTACGCGGTAAGGCACACTGATTGTAACTACCACCACCGTTTGGGATAAAATTGTGATCGATTGTGAGTTTATAAGTGCAATAACATCAATAAACTGAAATAAAACACCTCAAACAAAACATTATACAGAGTGTTCCATAATGACATGCGAATATTTATAAACTGTGGTCCGAAAATGTTTATAAAGCATTATAGTTTATAAAGCAAATTTTTAATGTAAATAAATATTCGCATATCATTGCACCCTGTATATACGAACGAAATTTTGAATAAAAAATAATCTTTTTTTAAACCAACGCAGACAGAAGCTTAAATAATAGCACACTGCTATGAAGATCCGATAGGAACTTTGTTAATCCGATTCTTAAACTGACTAAGGTTAGTAGAACCGGGAAAAGCCTCCTCTTGTAGATTGTTCCACAATTTCGACCCTAGGGATGAAGGAGCGGTCGTATCGGCCAGTTCTGGATGTACGACGTTCGACATGGTTAGACTGGGAGGCCGAAGAAATGTATAAATTAACGTTATAATTTTGTACTTAGAAAAGTATCACTATTTCAATAATCGCAAGGTTGATCTTCCATATTTTAGCAAGCCACATGCTTTGTTAAATCGCTCAGATTCTTCCGTTCGCATATTTTGCAGTTTTGACTAGAAACTGGCTCAATGTCACGTATTTGCATTCATCTAGAATTTCTATATATTGTTTTCTGTTTACATAAATAATTTATGGCGAATAACAAGGAGCGCGTGATAACGAGTGGGGTAGGTTACATTGAATGAACAGCAGTGAAAAGATGCATGCAGAATTTTAAAGAGCCTGTGATGGTCTTCACAAGATGTCGATTCCAAATTGAGCATGTGCGAGTTTTAAATAATTACGGATAATGCAGCTAGTCATTATAGCAAATAAAATTGCAGCAATCTATCTACTACTGTAATATAAACTCTTCGTAATTAAAAATTATTTTCTACTTTTTAGTTCGGTTAGATATAAAAGCGTGTTTTTTAGTTTTTTTAAACTATTATTTTTTTTAATCATGCAATTTCGTAGGTACACGCATAATAAGAAGTAACCTGCTTAAAAAATACTTGACAGAGGTTTGTTAAGGTAAATGAAAGATCACAGTGAATGAAAACGAATTGCGTCAATAATGATCATTCGCACGTATTATATAACGTACGATTGCTAGTTCAATGTTTGCAAATCATATTGTGTATGCAGAATAATAGAAAAAACCTGATCGAGTATGCCTCAGTGACCACGCGATGATTCCACGCGATTTTTCACTTTCAAGATAATAATACGCTTCAGCAATTTTGCATCAAAACGAATGCAGACAAGTAGTCAGACTCTGTATTTTAAAAGCATTTCAGATATTCGAGACTGCTCCAGTCTGCGTGGTGTATCAAAACAAATTAAATACATTGGGGATGTCTGTTTGCAACCCTTCAATATTTTCATAGCGTGATACGACCCCTCAGAGAACAAGGTTAATCACGAACATGACTGTATAAAAGGAAAATTAAAGAGATCAAATTAGTCAAACAGGTCCATAGACATTTTTTTTCTGACCTTCCACACGACGCATCAGACGCGGTAAATCCAGAGAGCATAATCAGTGACGCATATCACATTTCTCTATCATTTTATTTTAAGGGCAAATCTATGATATCTGGAATATGTCTTTTAAGTGCGTAGAATTACCGGGGCGCAGAGCGTATAAATATACTAACAAGTTCAATCTAGTAATTCACCTACATATTGTTATGTTGACAATTTTGGTCGACTTTAACTGTAATTCTCAATTTTCGTCTAGCACATTAAAAAACTAGAATATTCTGGCATTAATAAAATCATAAATTGTACTGAATATTATGTTATGGTTGACAGACTACACAGAAAGTAGTTCAAGGAAGCTCCGCAATTTTTTTGTCGACATGACTTTTATGAGAATCCAAATCCAATCCGTGAAGTATCGATTACTCCGCGATGATCTATCTTATTTGCCATTTTGCTAGAAACTCAATTAAGAACCTCCTTTTCATAATGACCGTGATTACGCAAAGTACAGATTATTCTTATAAAAATATATTATCCACTATTATCCACAGAATATAAAGAAGTATAAACTGTTTTTTCGTTAATTTCATTTTAATTATTTATATTCGATGTTAAATTGGATTACATTAAAATTATATAGTGCAGCTGATCGATTATTATGTACAAGAGAGACTAATGGGAAATGTAAAAGAACCCAATATCTGCATACCTGACCGGTCCCGTAGGAACGTTTCAAGAATTTCTTCAACAGTTTGGCCTCCATGGCCTCTTCACATGTCACAGGCGCAGGTTATCACAAATTCAGAGATTTTTTATGTCGATCACACCACAGCAAGCAACTTTAATGCGAGAGCGATAATACAGCATTTAATATCTGAATATGAACGATAAATAATGATTACTAAAAAAGTATCATCGTCAGCGTCACAGATATTAGAGGCAACTTGTGAAAAATGGTGTTTTCGCTGACATTTGAGATGCAGCATGTACACAGGAGACGACTCACGTAGCGCGTAGGTAATCGGAGGTGGATGATGCGATGTGCTGCTGCTGCTGATGCTGCTTATAAAACGCACGACGACCGTGTAACACGATATACTGCTAAAAGTAATTAGATTAAAAAAGAATACATTCAGAAGGTTAAGGTCGCAAACAGATAAATGGAAAGATGGGATGTATTTTATGTATTTGATAAGGTAAATCGTTAATTGTTTGTTATTTCTGCGCATGGTTTATTTTTCATCGAAAAACATCTCATACCGTGCAGGGAATGGGAAAATCACGAAAACATAAAAGACATTCAAGTAAATTAACCCCCTGCACCTAGCGCACATTTCGTAAGCAGTAATGATTAAAACAACGATTGAATATTCTCCAGATATGTAAATGAAATCAAGGTCTTGATAATTTGTTCCCATAAAATTTCATTGAGCTACGTTGTTTTTTTTTAATTTAGTTTATTATATTTTTTTTTAATTTGTTAATACTCGTTTGGAACTGCCTACCCTAAAAACAAAGACGAGGGATCTTACCGACCAGGTAAACGAAAACCTCTTCATAATATAAAGTGTCACGTATTACTTGAGATGGATATGCAAGGTCATTATGATCTCAAGTATATTGAAATGTAATTATTAAAACGTCTTTTGAACGTTTCAAAATGACGTCACAAAAATTCGATGTTATTTTCAATTGCATGAATATTTTCAGGTTAGTATTTCACGAGTTTCTGATAGTCCGGAACGATCATTTACACCAAACCAAATCAGTTCAGTACGTAACGAGCAACATCATATAATTAACTGGTTTGATTGATTGTATCTTTCAGTCCAAAGTGGATTTAAGCAAGCGCGGTCGCGTCTTCTTGACGCGACACGCGAGTTTCAACCTCTGGCAAAAGTGCCGAGATCGCGACGACAACTTACCATATTGACTCGATAAAGTTGCAATAGCGCTGAAGTAGGAAAACTCAACCGGCGCGGTAGAGGCGGCAAAAGACATCTGACAGACCGCACTCGCGACTCGCGAGTGCAAAAAGGAGCTAGCAAGATGAGTAGCAGCAGCAGATGCCGAAGTGCACTTGTTGCTCTCTCGTCTATAAACCATGCGCGAGCATCACAATATGATGCGATGACTCTTTTGTTAAACAATCAGCGCGTACGTGTTTCACTTGTTCCATTTTATTTATTTGGACTTGCAGTGTGAACAGCCAGCCGCCGTCGCCGCATTTATTCTGGCTCTCGAATGATTCAATTTGTTCTACCGTCACATTTCCAACTTTGAACTCCAACGCGCACGCTTGTCAAACGACTAATTACAAACGGTTTCAAATTTGATTCTGCTAGAACACGTTTTTCTGTGAAAATACGTTCGAGTTGACAATAACAGGATCGTATCTGCCATTTTGATTAAACTCGATGTTTCTTTCCTTAGGGCCAACTTCACCAACAACAGTCCGTTATTCTCCACCTAAAGGGTAACAGACAGTCAGATACGGCGAATGAGCTTCAAGTTCCAATCAACAAATTTTAGCAACCAATAGCTATGAAATGTTGAAAACAAAATACTGTCAAAGTATGAGATGACAACTTGTCATTGAAACATCACCAGCTTATTGAATATTAAGAAATTACATATAATTCAGTCAAAATTTTAAGAAATGTTTGATTTTTGAATTAAATTCATGTTTTAATTACTATTGTTGATTTTTTATTCATGTTTGTATTATTTTCTTCAAATGATATGTGATACTGGGTGTCTTTTCCTATAAACCTCTTGCAGACAGCCATTAAGCACCTACTTGATTACAGGCTCTACCAAAAGATATTGCTCGTTTCCAAACATTCATGCATTTACTTGCCGTTCATCAGAACCATTATGGCACCTTAGATTGATATTCCCACAAAACCATGCATGTTTTTTGATATCCATAAAGTTGAATATTTTTCGTTGTTCAGAAACTGAACAAACAACCACACTATATTCACAGCGATTAAGAAATTCCCAAATATATGCCTTAAAGCTACCAGCAAACCTAAAACCTGCAAAAAAAACTACAAATTTGCCATATTTTTCTTTTTTCACGAGTACCCGTTCTAGGTTATATTTATATTAGACATTATTTGAATACAGCCGATTATTGCATTTCAAGGAGTGACACATGTGTGGGATCTGTCAACTCTTGGTACCAGTCACAAAACATAATATACTCTGAAGGTTTAATTCCATGCTATTCAATGACAATACGGTGACTTGTGTGGTTGTCAGCGGCCATTTTGTGAGGGTTCGACATGGTTGCCAGATTGTGCATTAATATCCCGTTTCACCCTCCTGGTCTCGGTGAAGTAAGTTTCGCCAACTGTTGAAATATACTCTACTATGCTTTATAAGACTATTCGTGATTTTTTTTCCAAAATCATTGTTGCACAACACTTGAAAAAATGCAAATCAAAATTTAAAATTCTTTCCATGACGCCGCAATATAGCACCGTCGGTACCTTGGGTTATACATCTTGACAGTAGGGATGTTCGATACTCAGAAGTATCAATACATTTCACGAGTAGTACCTTTTTATAACACCATTAAGTTCCTGTTTATTTTGCTGATTGCATTTTAATTGTGACTCCTTACTTCCGTACGATTTTATGAACTTTACTTGATGTTACGTATTTTTTTATAATGTTATGAACTGTTGTGTTTTTAAAAATGATTTTATGTATTACGTGACTACTTACGATGTGTATACTGTATCTTGTCTTTAAATAAAGATTATTATTATTAATCGCAACAAACTGTAAATAAAAAATTGTATACTCAAAAGAAAAAGAGGAATGAAAAATAAATCTCAGCAATTATAATTACATACATAGTAGGACAGGTCATTAAGTACTTAATCAGGTATTTGGCAACGGATTACATCTTAAAACGGAATCAAATATAATAAACACCTTATCGTGTACGTGGTGCAAGTCATTCAATCCAAAACCATTGTCACCCGATTTACAACAAAATTTAAAACAATGTGGAATTGGAGGCACTGTCCTGAGATGGATAATTACTTAATTGAGTGACAGAGGTCAAAGAACTAAGATTGGCCCTTCTATCTCCGAAACCATTTCTGTACGTTTTCGAGTTCCTCAGGGTAGTGTTTTGGGGCCATTATTTTTTATAATATATTTGAATGATATGGAACTTTTTCAGAGAAGTAGCTCCATAAATCTATTTGCCGATGACACACTCGTGTACTCAGCCGGCAAAACCTGAATGAGGCTATCGATATTGTGAACAGTGACCTTGCAAACACTGATAACGGGTGATTTTTTAAGAGGCTTTGATTTTCAAAAAAAACAAAAAATTTGAAAAAACGATTAAATCTTTATTTGAGTCGATAGTACGGTCGATATAATTTAATGTTTAAAGATTATTTCATGTAAATGTTGGCCGCGGCTCCGCTTTAGATGGCCCATGCGCAAGGTCCAATTTTGGCACACTCTCTCCAACATATCGGCCGGTATCTCACGAATAAATGCTTCAATATTGGCTTCCAGTGCGTCAATCGTTGCTGGTTTATCCCTGTAGACATTAGCCTTAACATGGCCCCACAAGAAATAGTCCGACGGCGTTAAATCACACGATCTAGGCGGCCAATTGACGGGCCCCAAACGTAAGATAAACTGTTCACCGAACTCGCCTCTCAATAGGGCCATTGTTTCGTGTGCGGTGTGGCATGTGGCACCGTCTTGTTGAAACCACATGTCAGCCAAGTCCAGCTCTTCCATTTTGGGCAAAAAAAAGTTTGTTATCCTCGCACGGTAGCGCTCGCCATTCACAGTTACGTTCCGGCCATTGTCGTCTTTGAAGAAGTACGGCCCGATGATGCCACCGGCCCATAATCCACACCAAACAGTGCTTTTTTCGGGATGCATTGGTAGCTCTTGCAATGCTTCTGGCTGGTCTTCACTCCGGATGCGGCAATTTTGCTTGTTAACGTACCCATTCAACCAGAAATGAGCTTCGTCGCTGAACACAATTTTTCGATAAAAATGTGGATCTTCCTCCAACTTTGCCAACGCCCATTCACCAAATTGGAAACGTTGTGGGAGGTCGTGTGGCTTCAATTCTTGCACCAGCTGTATCTTATAAGGTTTTACACCCAAATCCCGTCGCAAAATTTTCCACGTAGTGGAGTAACAGAGGCCCAATTGCTGCAAACGGCGGCGAATCGACATTTCACAATCATCACTAACACTGGTGGATACAGCCGCAATATTTTCTTCAGTCCTCACTCTACGTCTGCGTATTGGTGGTTTAATGTCCAATAATGTAAACTGGGTTCGAAATTTAGTCACAAGCTTCCGAATAGCTCCGTCAGTAGGCCGACCAAATTGCCCATAAATTGGAAGCAGTGCTCGATGCACTCTCTTAACAGAGCATGAATTTTGATAGTAAAATTCAATAATTTGCAAGCGTTGTTCGTTCGTAAGTCGATTCATGGTTAAATTATAGACCAAACTGAACAAGTTTGACAACGACACAAGACACGATTCACGCGTCATCTGTCAAAAACAGTGTTGCCAAAAAGATACTAGCAAAAAAATCACCCATTACATATATAAAAACAGTAATGAAAGAGAACATTTTGAACAAAATTTAGTAATTTCTATTAACAATGACAGAATCCCCATAGTTCAGGAGACAAAAAATCTAGGCATTATATTTGATAGCTCGCTTGGTTTCGGCAGTCATATAAAAAACAGAACAAATTTAGCTTACATGCGACTAAAAAATATAAACAAATTAAAAAAACATTTATCAGCCAAACAAAAATATTATGTGTAATACCTTAATTTTATCACTTTTTGACTATGGAGATGTCGTCTATGGTGATTCGCTATCGTCGCGAACCAAAAAGTGCATACAAAAAGTTCAAAATAAAATTTGGGTTTGAAATTCCATATCGAAACCATATCACTCCTTATCTGAATAACTACAAATCGAATCGCAGAAAATATCACATGTATTCTTTTATCTATAGGGTTATAAAAACTGGTCAACCGCCCTATTTAAGAGACAGATTTGTGCCTTTGCCTGGTCCCCAGAGGGGCAGAAATAAGTTCAATTTTATCGTACCTAGGCATAGAACGCGTTCCTTCCGACGATCGTTTGCCTATGTGGCGGTTCACTTATGGAATAATTTACGAACTTCAGTTAAAAGCTCATCGTCAAAAACATTCTCAAAACTGACAAAAGCGTTGTTACAGAATCACCAGCTACTTTAGCAGCGTTTGTGTGAGCAAAAATATCGTTTTTACATTCCTACTCGCTGACAAGTTGTATAGATTTGTTCATCGCGTCCGTTGCCAGCTCCCGGGGGTTCTTTCTTCGTTTTTGCCTTTTTGTGTTTTACTGCCTCTTCATTTGCCTCTTTATTGTTGTTTCTTTTATTTTTTTAAGGATTTTAGGGTGTTCAGGGCTTTCTCGCATGGTCTCTTTGTATTGAAGGGCCCAATGTATCGGTTTTATAATCGTCATTGCTCTATATGTAGAATTTCCTTTGTTTATGATGTTTATTCATGACGAAATAAATATTTTGAATTTGAATTTTGAAATCCGAATTCTGCCACCGGACAACCCCGTACGTTGAACGATCGCCGAGGGAATTTCTTTTAAAAAGAAGACCGCATAGAAAATACACGCGAAATTTTAAACATTTTCCGTACCTCCGATTTCAATAAACAACAAATTGTAAAACGTGTTAGAATGTTCATAACAAAACATATGAGATCAGCAAATATCAATCCGATTAGGGCAACCTAAATAAATGAAAATCTACTTAATAAAACTTGATGAGCATTGGGAGGAGCATTACCCAAATTATCAGTGAAACGTGTTTTTGATGTTTTAGTATTTAACTGCGATTATTGTCTAAACAGATCGCAAAATGCATCATTTTTCGGATAAAATCGGTACAAGCATGATTATAATTCGATGATTATAAAAAAAACAAGAAATTTTTATAATAATAATCGTAAAAATATTAAATCGCTTGAATACGTTGACTAACAAAACTATAATAATCAATTATTATCAAAATTAACTGGCGCACATATTCCATATTGTATAGGTAGATAAATATGTATCTATGTAATTTGCACAATAATAGAAAAAAAACATTTTATAAATTTGTCTTAGCACAGGGTTACAAAAAAATATGGCCAACCAATTAAATGGAATGTGGAATCTGCATGTATGCCGAACAGAAACAGAAATAACACACACACACGTTCCAGAGCACCTATGCCGACGAATACCACCGCACATCATACAATATCGATCCATGTTTTTCAGTAGAACTGTACTACTGCTAATGAAAATTATAATAATTTTAAGAACGATTAGATTGATTTAAAAGACGTTTGATGCTACAATTTTTTATGGACAATACAGTTACAGCGTGTACAAGAGTAACAAATTTTCAATTCAAAATACAACTTACCGTACGGTGTATGAACAGGTCATCGATATCTTTGTACGGTAACTTTTCATATCTACTGTTATTTAACAAAGACTTTTTCATTATATCACGACCACCGTCTATAAAATTTCAATAGAAATAACGTATGAAATCAATATTTACATCATTACATTGCACCAGAGAGATCACAACAGCACTGATATTGACAAGTACACGACAATCGACAGACGCTATCGCACGATGTAGAGATGGGCAAAAACAAAAATTTACACTTTGAATCATACAATTCAGCTGCCCTCAACCATTGCTGACAAAAAGCTCTATACCGAGCAAATTATATGCGGCTCATTTGAAAAATATCATACAAAGGACATTATCTCCACGATCGAGAGCAACTAACGATGTGTACCCGGTATTCTGCATGCTGCAACTCAACATATAACTGGTTACTTTTGATTTCGCAAGAAAGAACAGCATTTCTTCTTTGTTCAACAAAGTGGCAAAGTAGTTATTGCCGAGAGGTTGATAACCATAAAGAATCATTCTTTGATCGTTTTAAATGTTTATATAACTTACAATTCGGTATCAACTTCCGTTACGCATTCTAGCATTATGTTATGTAGAGTTATGCTGCAAATGTAGCTATTCTAAAGAACAACTACATATGTTGCGAGAACTTAAAAATGTTAACGAATTCTTCATTCCCGTCTCAGACATTAAACTTACCAAAGGTACAATTAACTGAATGACCAGTGATCTAAACAAAGTTCCAATTGGCAAAATAATGTTCTGGATGGTCCTGATCATGTCGAGATACTTGAAATGATATATTTCGTGACGTTTGCAATAATTATTCCTGGGCAACAAAACTGATGAAATGGTACAGATAATTTGATAAATTGATTCTCAAACACACTCATGATTGTGACAGTATAACCTATATTCATAATGACACAAACATTTTATATTTTATGCTCTATGAATTTGAAATGATAAGCAGAGATTTGATAACTACACTTTGAAAAAGATACGAGTGGTGTTTTTTCTTAGTAATCAACAGTTATTCTAAAAAGCAAGTCCAGTATATAAATCGATGTCTTTTCCTCGACCTTGGAGTTATTTCATCAGAAAATTCAGTCTTTCATTCTGATTGTAAAATTATTACATGATGGAAGGTAAATCGTGAACCAATAGATTTATGTTACAAGGTGGTTACAAGTTGCCGGAACATACGTAAACGATAACGTAGATTTACGTCGTACGAGGTCAGTGGATTATTATTGACAATGTTTACATATGCACCAGGTCTTTGCGATTGCTAAGACTCTTTATTTAGTAAATATGTCACAGTAAAATAATTATTTACTGTTCAGTGGAAACGCTCTCAGTTACTTGACGTTGTTTCTTTTAACATTTTTTGTATTGCGACAGTAATGAGTGAATAAGGGTTGATGCAGTGGCAATGAAATTCGAAAATACTATCCTCTCACTTATCAAAAATGCTGCTCATTCGTTCATTTTCACTAATCTATGGAGAATATTGGTTTCATGTACCGCGATAGTCCAAAATCGAGAACCATAGCACCCATCTTTATAGTAACAAAGTCACTTATGTATTATGAACAGTGTTGCCGAATCTACTGATTTTTCGGTATTTCTACCGAAATGAGTCATTTACCGAAATACCGAAAACGTCCTCATTTTCCACGATTTTTTTAAATAATTCTGATATTTCGTAATGTCTACCGAAAAAAAAACTGTAATCAAATATAAAGCTAAAAAAATGAATTATTTTTAGTCTATCAAGAGTTATGCCCCCCCATACCAGTCATACATAAGCATACACATGTGGGGAGTCGAGCACACGAGGGGTTCCCCTATATTGATTTTGTGTACAAGTACAGACGGGTAGATCACCGTCATTATCGCATGATCGGACAGCGATAAAAGGAAATCAAGTTCAGAATCTTATAAGAAAGAATGGCAAAAGGAGCTTCAATGATGGCTGCAAAGGGGTTTGGACAGCGACTAGTATGCTCAATGTACAAGTTGTAATAAAGTATTTAAGATTTTTTCAGATACACATGCCCTCAAAAAAGATGTGGTGTGTATGCGCCCGCAATACGAAAATATACTTTTTTCATAGACGTCGCTGCGTGACGTAAAGTCCCTTGATTCATCCGCTGATCTTGTGACGCCACTGATTTTTTCCTCCTACCGATTTTGTCGTTGAATCTATCGAACTTCAATGACACTGTCTACCGATTTCGTGTTTTTCGGTTCGGCAACACTGCTTATGTGCATACAATCGATTTGTTGACTTCAATGCCATTTCGAATTTTGACATCATCAAAAGAAAACATTTCTTGTTTACTCGTAAATTTGTGTAAATACGCAGGAGAAATTTGAAGAGGAACTCAAGAAGAAGGTTTTAAACGAGTCGTAGAATGCATGTCGCAATAAAGAGAGAATCGGAACCGAAGGAAACTGTTGTGAAAAAATTCTACCCCACAGTGGAAGAATGTAAAGTAAACAATGTGGTGAGATGCACGGAGGACGGTTGCAATCAAATTTTTCAATGCGACTCTAATCTACAACTGCACGTTGCGAAGACACACAAGAAATCGTCATTAAATGAGTCTTGCGCTAAACAGTATTATTGCCCTGAACTTGGTTGCATGTACAACAGTGACAGATTCTTCAATAGGATGAAACTATTGAGGCAGCACTATTGGAAGGTGCACTTAGAGAAGGTTTTCAGTTGCAGCACGTGTAACAAGCTGTTTCCCACAGAAAAATCCCTAAAGGGTCATACAGAATATTGTGGTGTTGATTTTAAATGTGGTGATTGTAGTGTGTCATATCCATGCTACGAAACTTTGAAAACACATGGTAGACGTAAGAAGCACAATGTTCTTCCCAAATCAGAATATAAACCTAAAGTGCAGTCATCTTCTAGCGATTCTCATATAATAATGAAACAGTCTAAAAATGTGATGATCTTGCCAAAGAACTGTGTAAGCATTGTTATAATGTTGGACCCAAGAAATCAAGAGAGCCAGACAATTGACATCAAACCAAAGTTGAAAAGTAAAATGACACAAGTCAATAGAGACATAGAGGCTGCCTCATCCCAATCCCAAAGCAGCCAGCAAACACAAACCGGCATGATGAACAAGCATTTTACTGTTGAAACACAGACCATTGGTGATTTTGTAGTTGCAGAGAAAACCTTTGACAGCCCATCTATAGATATGATTCCTTTGAAGAGCTCCAAAACGCAGACTGATCTTGTCGAGTCCAGAAATAGTTCTTGCAACACCTCTTTTGACATGGATGAGTTTGAATTTATTGATAAAACAGAGACAATTTCATCGAGTACTCAAACTCATGAAGAATCCGGTAATATCTATTCTATCTCAACGACAACCCATGATTCCACACATACGGATACTTCCGATTTGTTAGCTGATACAATGCAAATGAATGATTTCCAGTTTGATAACTGTCACATGGAAACTCAGACAGATTTTATGTTTGAGGAAGGAATGTTTGATTGCGATTATATGAGCAACATGTACACTCAGACGTGTGATGATATCCTGAATGAATTTGGATTCAACAATATTGAGACTCAAACTGTATTTGAAGATATGCTGAGGTCTGTTGAAAGTCAAACTATGAAGACTCACAGCAGGAAAAATGCAATTAGCACCTGCAAGGATATGACTCATATGGAAACTCAGACTGATGTAGAATTTCGACAAATGCTCGAGGTCATAAACTCCTGACTATAAGGAACTTTTTTTTGTTTTTTTTCTTATGTTTCTCATTCGATGACATTGTGTACAATATATATCAGATAATTTTGATGTTAACTGCTAAATTATATGGCTGTTTTGAATTGAATGTAATGTTCTCAACATTGATCAATACATGATTGTTAACAGATATTGTTTTGATTCTAGGTATGATGTGAATATATTAAGTGTAATATTATCTATTAAAAAATGTTCAAAACATTTATATAAAACTACTAGATTTTATTTCTAGGTGGTTAAGGATGTGTTTTGTATACGAGTATCCATGACGGTAGAGTGACAGCTGGTTATCTAGTAATATTTAAAAATTCCCCATATCGGCAAAGGACATATAATTCTGAGAGATTCGTCAATGCCAGGTAGACAGAGCCATTTGTTTTTGTACGCCACAGATTCATGTTGTACTTGCTAAAAGCTCTTTTATTTAGAAAAGTCCATTTGCATACAAAAAACAATGCTACAAGCAAATGTTTGCTAGATTTACACCCGATTTATTATAGCCAACGTTGCAGACTAACACGAAAATAAAAACTTGCTGTTCACCTCAGTAGACGTCAAAGCTGATGGATACTCGTGAAATAGGGTATATTTGTTTGTCGTAAATGAATCTCGAAAGAGATTCAGTGAGCAGAAGCCGATTCATTACCAAAAGTTTTCAGTGCTCATCGCTGTACACTACTGTCAAAATTGTCAACGTCAGTTAAAAATGAATGGAGAGTTGTGTTTGTGCCTTGTTTTTTTATCACTAATTTTTAGCTTATAAATAGATCATTTGATTTTAAAAGAACAAAATACTTATGCGTGAACAATAAATATTAGAGTACTATTTTTGTCGAGACATGAAAAGTTTTGAATTCGACAGGGATGCTGAAGAATTATCAGAGAATTCGTCACAAGTGAAAGATTTGCTAATTGATAAAAATCTAAGTAAAAAGTCGCAGCTGACAAAATTGAACAATATTTATTCTTCAGAGAACAGAACTCAGGGATATCAGTACGTTTCAACTGAAGATGTGCGTAGTATAAGCCTGCCAGATTGTGCTGCCGACAAATCTAATGGTACTAGTTGTAACAATCAGAAAAAGCAGAATGAACATGGTAACAATTTGAGCTTGATCGCTACTACCGAGGCTTGGTTTAAAACTTGGCCTGAAAGATGTGATAAAATAAAAACTAACGAAACAAGTCCAACAAAAACATCCCCGAGCAAAACAACTAAACATTGTTGTCCACACCAGCCAGAGAATGGCAGTCCAACTAGAACAAAATTTACATTAAATGAAGCCCTACAAAACATTTCTTTAGCTTATAGTCCAATAACGAAACAGTTACATTTGGTTGAGAAGACAGATAGTGTGAAAGAAGAATTTGAACCAAGACTAAGTAGCCCAGATGACTCATGCAGGTGATAACATTTAAATGAACTACGAGCCCCTTCCCACTTCAAGATTTGTACCTAAATATGCTGTTATAAACTAAACATGATGAAATTGTTTACTTCTAAAACAATTTATTTTCTCAAAAACATTTTAGATACACTCTAGTCGTAAAAAAAAATACATATTTAAAATCACTTAGACTAAACATCTGAAAGATTACCATTGGGTAACATCACCTTTATTTTTTATTACGGCTAAAATTCTTTGGGGCATAGTGTTAACCAAGTTTTGACAAAAATTTGGTGTAAAACAATCCCATATTTCTTGAAGCTTTTGTCTCGGTTCAGTGATTGTATGAGCAAGATGTTGTCATAGAACCTTTTTGATCTCCTGCCACAAAGTTTCAATAGGTGACAGATCTGGACTGCTAGAAACCCATTTCAAAGGTGGTACATTATTTTCTTCCATCCATTTTATAGTCTTTTTTGAGGTATGGCACACTGCACCATCTTGCTGAAAGATAAAATCTTGGCCGTCAGTAACCAAATTTTCTCACTAATAACCTTTCCTCTACCCATTTTGAAAACCTTAACTACCCAAAACTATTTTAAACATAATCTGACAGCTGTGATTAATAAAAACAATTGTCATGGCTTTTATTTTTACAGCCACCTATGCGTTATAGACTTATTTTGCATTGAAAGGAAAATAGGTTGATATGCTGTAATTGCAACATGTGTTATTTTTATGCTGCAAATTTGATTAGGGAGTGATAAAGTTGGTGCTTTCTACTATTTATTATCAAATATTCATTGTTAATATTTTACACCTATAACACCCTGCTACATTTTTATTATTTGAGTTTGATAAGAAAAAAACTAAGATTTCAATAGTTGGGCCAACTGAAGTGGGAAGGGGCTCGTAGATATTATCCATCTAAGAGGTGTATCACATATATTTGTTCAAGTCAAATGGCCAAAAATTCATATACAATTTGTTTCTCTATTTCAGTATAAAAAAAAGTGGTCACAAAAGGACAGAGGCAGGGTCTTTTTCAAGTACTGTTTCAACTTTAAGTGCTATCAGTGAACCATCAACATCAGGCAGTTTGCTGGACAGTGATGATAGATCTGTGTCTAGCTTTGATACTTCAGGGACAAAACCCAGAAAAAAAAGCCTTACAAACTTCTTTTCTAAGTAAGTTATAAAACAATGTTATTCATAGATAAAGTAGTACCATAAATAAAGTGAGCATTATTTATCATTTAAAGAATCTAAAGACATGTCTGCACCTAGAATATACTGAATGTTTGTCATAGCCCAAATAAACAATTCATAATTATATCTTGTGGGGTTGTACTCTTAATTTCTATTTCAGACATGTATTCTCATGGAAAACACCTGATGTAACTACCAGCAATCCTGTATGGAAATTGTTTGGGAAAAGTTCAAATTATGCTTCTTCTCCTATTCATCATGTAGCTAGTTCATCAGCACTTATCCAACTTGAAAGGTAACACGCATATGTATTCTGTTTTATATATATCATTTTTTATTGTTATCATCATTAAATACCATAATTGTCCATAATTGACTTTGATTTTAGTCCATTGTATTATACAGATCACTTTGCAATATTAAAAGTAACTTTAAGGATCATTATTGCAGAATCAAAATGTTTCCTAATATATCAAAATAATAATACAAGGTTGAGCTGTCAATTATCCTAGAGACGAAAATAGTGAAGATGTGACTGATTGTAAGAAAAACTGTTTTCCATTATGCTTCATTGACTGTTTTCAACCTTCCAGGCCGTCCACACTACCAGCAAAAACTCAAGAAGAGGATCAAAGACATAGAGATGAGTACAAGGCAATTTTATTGGCAGCGAAAAGGAAGGAAGCTCAAACAAATGCGGCAAAACATAAACAGCAAAAGCTACAACTGAAACTTGAAGAACAACAAGCTGCCGCCACGAAACATTTCACACAACATGTTTTGCCATATTGGGAAGTTATGTGAGTAAATAACTACAGTTATTAGTATTATTACATTTACGACATGTAAAGGAAGGTGGATTATTTTGATTGTTTAGTTAATTTTTTACTCCTTATGTTATTAATTTTGCTTAATAGAATTTGAAGCAACGTTATATTATATGTAAAGCATGATATTTCTTTCATATCAACTGCAGGCGCACAAACAGGAAGACGGTAGAGTTATGGTGGCAGGGTCTGCCTTCTAGCGTGCGCGGTCGCGTCTGGAAACTAGCGATCGGCAACGAGTTGAACGTCACGGCGCAATTGTACGAGATCTGCCTTTTACGGGCTCAGAATCGGTTGAACAACACCGCAAGTCCTGATGCGACCCCAGACTGCGACTCGAATGGACAAAGTGACGAATCGGGGGACCCGGAAAGCAGCATGGACGCTATCCGCTTGGACATCTCTAGGACGTTCCCGCATTTGGGCATCTTCCAAGAGGGCGGCCCCTACTCGGAAACGCTGCACTCACTCTTGGCCGCTTATGTTTGCTACAGGTATGAGACTGTTGCTGTGTAACAAAACTTCTTTTTTGATTAACGATTATCTTACGTTTACAGGCCGGATGTTGGATATGTGCAAGGCATGTCGTACATAGCAGCCATATTGATATTGAACATGGAACAATACGACGCGTTCATTTGTTTCGCTAATCTGCTGAACCAGCCTCTCCATTTGTCTGCTTTTACTCTCAATCAAAGGCACATGCAGGCTTATTATGATGCTTATAATCAGGTAAGGCTGAAACGTAATATGTGCTATTTATGAACACTATGCGGGGTGATTCACAAGCTGTGACCAAAAATGAATCTTCTGTGTCTTCTGTTTGGTATGTGGATTTACCTAAGTATTGTCCACGTAGTCTTTACTTGAAATTAACGTGCACCAGTGGCGGAGATACAGGAGATTTTTGGCATTATTTTTTCAAATAAAAATAGTACGCCACTGTTTTTTCGAAACGCACAATTTTTCAAATCTTACCTTCATTTTGCTACAAATAAGTACTCTTGTTTTTTTCTAGAGTGCATTCTTTTCGTAAAAATAAAAAAGAAATAAATTAATAAGAACCTTTGGGGTAGGTTGGCGTCTGTTAGGAAATCTACGTTGATACTCCCGAGAAGCCACTGAAGCATTTCCATTACAGAACCCGTACACTAAAATAATATCGGCGTACTCATCATTGCTGAATTCCATTTCACAACACTCAAAAATGGAAAAAAGAAACTCTTGACTTGACGTTTCCAAAAAGAAAACATGAGTAGTAATAACAACCATATAACACATAACTTTGATAAACTATCTTCCAAGAAATGTCAAGTTGGTATCAAGCCCTCCTATTTTATTTTGAAACTAATTGTATCTCGGCCCTTCAAGAATGATCTAGCTTCTTTTATTATTATTATTATTTTTACGAAAACAGTTTATTCTAGGAAAAAACAAGAGGTAAGACTATACTTTAGCGCATATAGCAAATAGTTCATTTCTTACTTTAACATGAAAGATTAGGATGTAACTTGCACGAAAATATCAGGTTACCCTCTGCTTGCTATTTTATAGAACTTCCAAAGTGGCATTTTTGGTGGTAATACTATAGAATGGAATACTGTTTTATACTCTTTTTTTCCCTTTTGCACAAAATGATGCTCTAAATTATACGAATATAACATACACTGTACAGTACTAAGGAAAATAGACGTGAAACTGTAAAAAATCGTTGTTTTTTGCAAAAAATCAGCCGTGTTATTACACATTAGCTCATTAGCTAAAATAACAGTTAAAAATACATACGTAAATGATGGTATTTACTTGGTAAACTGTGTAGAGGTGTTGTGTTGTGATTTTTTAAAGTCTTCTTGAAAATCCTTAACCATTTTTTTTTTCGCGTATATTCAATGAGATCAATGTTTTTGCGTTTATAAGAAATATTTGAACGTACAAACAGTGTTGAATGGCCATTTCATAACGTTCATTTCTTGACAGATAAGATAAATGATGTCCACTGTTGCCAAGTTGTTCCTTTTTTTGGGAGAAGTACGTGACAAAAAATGAGGTTATTTGCAAAATAAAAGTCTTAATTTATTGTAAATGACTTGTTTTATGAGAAGTTGACCCAATATTTACCGAAAACTAGACGAACTTTTGAACAGTATGTGTCTAACAGTGGACAATATACCAGCGGCTCGCGTGAAATAGAGAGTACAAAAGGCACCAGCGGTCATTGCATACAAAAAACCCAACTTCGATTCGGTCCACCTCGCTAGTTCCACCCAACATAAATATATCATCGACCAACATTATAGTTAAATAAAGATGAACGAACATTTCATCAAATCATCAAAAAACTTGCAATGTTCTTTGTTATGTTTTCATTATTTTATATATTAACCGAAGTACTTTTGTGAAGGGCATAAGGCATTCTTCAAAATAGAGTCTTTAGCTACCGCTATCGTAGGGCGCAAGGTGGATTTAGTACAGTAAAACCTGCCGGCCACACCTCCAAACCGCATTTTCATGACAATCCTGTGCCAATTGCACATTTTTGCGCTAGTATATAAGTAAGAATTTGACAAACCAAATTAAGGTATATTACTATCCATGGTTTGGCAACACCGCAACTAGATGGAGAGAATATGACAGTGACAGTGGTGTAGTGATGGGAATAATTATCTGAAATAAAAGAAATAAATGACTACTTAACAATGAACTATTTTCATCATTAAAATAATGCAAAATTGCATTATTGCGATGAACAGTGTCACAGTAACTTACGATGTATGTTATATTTATATAATTTTGAGCAATCTTTTGTCTAAACAAGAAAAAACAGCTTATAAAGCAATATTCTATACTGCAGTATTACCACCAAAAATGCAACTTTGAAGTTCTATAAAATAGCAAGCAGACGGTAACCTGATATTTTCGTGCAAGTTACATCCTAATCTTTCATTTTAAAATAACAAATGCAATATTTACGATATGCGCTAAAGTATAGTTCAGCCAACAAATTGAAGGTAATATTCGAAAAATAACGCGCTTCGAAACAGTGGCGTACTAGTTTTATTTGGAAAAATACTGCCCCTGTATCTCCGCCGCTGGTGCACGTTAATTTTAAGTAAAGACTATTGAATATGGATAATACCAGGGTAAATCCACATACGAAATTTTAGTTCATTCCAGTTGACGGTTTTGAGGATATTAAAAAAAATATTTTTTTTTATTTTTAATCTTCAACCGCGTATCTTTTTAAAGAAGCCCTCGAGGAAAAAATGTTACATAGAAGAAATGGGTGGTGCATTTAAAGATCATAAAACTGTTTTCTGTTACAGGTTTTTAGTTACAACTTGCCCAGGTTGTATTCTCATTTCGAAAGTTCTGGTCTGACGCCTGACTTGTATCTTTTGGATTGGATCTACACGATTTTCGCAAAGGCGATGCCACTGGACGTGGCTTGCAGGGTGTGGGACGTTTTCCTGAGAGATGGATACGAATTCATATTTAGAACAGCTTTGGGTAAGTCACTGTTACAATACAAACTTGACAAATAAAAGTAGAGAATCTGTTCAAGTAATTTTCCATTATTGTAGGAATTCTGCATTTGAACCAAGAATCGTTGATGACGATGGACTTTTTGCACGGCGCTCAATTTCTGACTCGACTTCCTGACGATTTGTCGTCCGATCTGTTGTTCAAAAGCATCCAGTCTGTGAACACGACAATCGGCAAAAGGACCTTCACGCAGATCGTTGATAAATGTTTATTTTCTCTGGTTGCCAATTTACCGCAGCAGGACGACACTTAATGAATGTGGAATGATGATATTTTGCCTGTTAATGGTTTATTTTTATTATAGCAGAATAGTGCGGAATTTTTTATCGGGCTGGACTGGAAAAGAAAAGTTGCTCGTAAAAAATACCAGATCAGTGGAGTGTTTATGTCCTTTATATTTACGTTAACGTTGTACCTTTTGCTCAGAATCTCTGTTAGAAATAAATTTTCAAGATGCAATACTCACGCAAATATTACTTTGAACAAAATATCTTTAACTAATTATTGTGGTTTTGTGGTTAAAATACAGGGTGCGGCAGAGAGGATGAGCGGTTTTAAAAAATCATAAAATAGTTAATTTTTACTCGAAAACAAATTTATTGATGGAATCAGGTTCACAAGGAAATAGCATTTGAGACAGTCAAGTGTGGAAAATCACATCAGGCATGTGCTGGCCGAAATCGTTGATGCAGCGCCTGAGGCGTTATTGGAAGTTCGCGTAGACTCTCTCCAACATCGCTCTCTCAACTTGGGCGACTTCCACGAGAATTTCGCCCTTCAATTCGTCCAGAGTTCGGGGCTTGTTCGCGTATACTCATAAACAAAATGAGGTTCTCATTTTGATCGATCAGTGCTTCCATCTCACGTGCGAAGTTCATTCGTTGTGCATAATCTCCGGGCTGTAACTGTTGCACAATGGCCAATTTGTAGGGGTGAAAGCGGAGATCGATTTGCAAAATTCGCCTTACCGAACGATCACTAAGGCGACGTGCAGCAGCATGTTTCCGGGCAGATCGAGTCTGACTGCGAAGAAAGACCTATCTAACGCGTTCAACATTTTCAGGAGTTCGAACTGTTCGCGGCGCTCCTCTTGGTCTTCTGTTGATCAGTTCACCACGCCTGCGAAGTGATTCAACCCAACGAAGGATGGTGTTTCGAGAGGGAACAGCTCTATTCCGATGAATGTTGAAGTGGCGACGATGCTGACTCATTATTTCAACTGGTAAAATAATGCTAAGATCTCACGAGTCAAACGGCACCCTCCCCACCTCTCTCGTAGACGGTGGCGGAGAGAACTACCCATCCCAAAAACGTCCGTCCTCTCTGCCGCACCCTGTATCATTTGCAAATTCATACTGCCTAGCATTCTCAAAGGTGTTGCAAGCAACACAATACCTGAAAATTGTTCAAATATCCTTCATGTAGATGATTTGTGAAATTAACCAACTCTACAGTGCAATTTAATACTCGAGTATAGGCACAATAAACACAGTTGTCTCAAATTTGATGCCATCTAAAAAATTGGAACAGTTCAATAATTGTGTTATATGTATATGTGGTCATTATTCAAATAAATATGGAATGTATAATCTTATTTGAATCTGTGCATAAGTTAAGAGTTACTGCCAATTTACTCTAAAATCTGATAGATTTCTTTAATATTGCATACACAAGCAAGTATAAACATAAATGCTTTTTTTTGAATGTCAATACTTATCATGTCTGATATGACGACTTCTTAAAACATCAATTAGACAGACTGTGCTTTGTATTCTTATTTTGATTTATATATTGATATTTCAAGTTGTTATCAAGAATAGGTTAATTTACTTTTGACATTTATTTTTTATATATTTTTTAATAATTCACGCTGTATTAGCTCTCATTGAGGAATCTCATTACAATTGGCTGTGTAAAATCTTCAAATACAGTAAAAAAAACAGATTACATCGAAATTACTGCATCTTATGTATATTTGTGAATACAAACTATTTTCCATGACATTAGCAGAAAGAAATGAAAATCATTAAGTAGTTTACTGAAGTATATAAGTTACACAGTGTATTAATATTTGTAATTTTGACTAAGTGAATGTTTTTTATGTCAGGTATTTCCTAATATACAGTTACTGAGGGTCTTGGTCCTCTTTTAATTCATTTATTCTTACAGTTTTGTGATAAATTGATATTTGTAGAACTGCATATATATTTCAAATTTTATTACAAATTATATTTATATATTTTTTGTTTATATTTCCTTAGATATATCCTCAAGAAATATATTTTTATTTACAAAATACGAGCACTATTTTTAACCTTCTGAGCGAATCTGCATTTCCGAATCTATGCACTTGATTTACCCAATAAACAAGTATTCGCAAGGATCATAAAAATTCAAATAATTTTATAAATTTTTCGATAAGAAACTCTTTTTCCAATGAGAAAGTTCACTTTTTGATTTAAAAAAAACAAACTTAATGAAAAGAAAATATGTATTACTATCAACATAATTATTCGTAAATTCGGCGGGTTTTCTTTCTTAAATATCATTCCGTCCAAATGTTTGCCGTCTCTTCGGACACACTCCTCTAATCACGCAGAGTTCCTGAGTGATGTTTATTTCTCTTTAAGCTCCTCCAGTGTTCGTGGATTATTGGAATACACTTTTGACTTCAGATAACTCCACAAAAAATAATCGTATGGCGTGAGGAGGCCAGTGAATGTCTCCAAACTTCGATATAATTTTTCGAGGAAAGAGTACATTCACTGTGTCCATCGATTCTCTGGAAATATGGGCAGTGGCCCCATTCTGATGAAACCATGTGTTTCTGTTAAATCGACGTTCTCATGTTCAAAGGAATACATACTAATAATACGCTAGAGGATATGGCACACCAAACAGTCACATTTGGACAATGTAGCTGTTATTGATATTTCTCTTTTGGGTTCGTTGGTGCCCAATGTCGGCAATTTTACTTGTTCACATAACCATCTAAGTGAAAATGAGCCTCGTCACTGAAAACAACGTTCTTGAGTCTGCGCTTCGTAGGAAAACGATTCAACATCTGTTCAGCACAAGATTTCCGTAATACGTTTATGTAATCACTTTCCTTTAAAGCATGGACTGATTGGATTGTGTAAGGATGAAAACCCATTTTTTTCGACATTATGCCATGCAGTGTTGACCTAGGGATTCCCAAAGCAGGGGAATGCTGCCGTACAGAACACCGAGGATTTGCAATGACCGAATCACTTACTGACGCACATTTTCTCCTATTGATAAGGTAGATGTGGGGCGAGAAATGAGTTGACTAAAAGTAGAGCCTGTATCAAGGAACCTCTTAATCCACTTTTTCAATAGATTCTTACTTGGGACATCTCTTTGTTGGCGAATATTGTATCGTGTACCAAATTTCCGAAGGGCAGCTGCACCACTCTTAAAGTAAGCCTCGATAGCTAAAGCACGTTGCGGTCCGGTCCAACGTTCCATTGTGACTATTTAACCCGCACGCCGAACGCGTCGATCAAGACATCTCTTCACTTGGTCGCGAATAAGGTTGCCGTGTAATTCAAATTTGAAATGTGAACTTGCCCACTGGACTTTGTACCGCAGAATGCACAGTATGCGATATTTTTACTACATATGCAGTAAAATATCTAACAACCTTCGACTATGCCTACTGTGACTATTGTTCTGTATTTATTTATCTCTTTTGTTGTTTATGAAGCTTTTAACATAATTTAAATTTTGATTCGGTTCTCTATTTTTCCATTGTCCCATCACTATGACGCTTAGTTATAAAAGACCTCGATAGGTAGCATTACTGTATTTTCATGATTTTTCCCTCATATATTTGAGCATGGCAAAAAGTTTGTGTTATTTACTTGTTTTAATGTTTGCTTCGTAATGGTGCTCAATATTCACGATGCAGGTAGCTAAATCCTTGATATACTCATTTATTAGACTCTTGAAAATATCTGTGGAAGCTTCTGAAAAGCACTTACCAGTTATGGTTTTGTCCCGTTCTCCTGCAGTCAGTCTCTTCTAATTAGTTTTTCTTAAAAGTGCTAACAGATGTCGCCAGGTAGATCACTTTATAATTTATTCAATTTCAAAATACAATGTTTTACTATGACCGATCTAAATTCGAAGCTCAGTGAGGTGGAACCGAAAGTAAACACTTTAGGAGCACTCACGAAGGAGGATCTCCCCATGGGTATCATGTAAAAAACCTATAAGATGTCATCTTGCAAACTAGGAAGTTTTTAGGGCGCAAACATTCATTCCACGTTTGCTCACTAGGATCGTTGTGAACGTCCATCTAAGGAGGAATCACTCAACTAAATAAACTACACGCATTATTGGTTGCATACGCTTTGTGAGGCCAAATCATTGTATAATATTCACTTCAAAATATTGAACATTTGTGCTAGGAATTCTTGATTAGGAAACTGTATACGGAAAACGAATGTATGCGCCCAGCCTAAGTAAGAGGGAGCGGTTCTCAAAACACAAATCACGAAACGACTTCGTTGAGATAGGGCCATGTGAGGGCTACTGGATTGATCAAGTAAGGTGGAGGGGTTTGGGTGCAGGAGCGTCATGGTTCTCAAAACAAGTCACATTTTTTTCTACGTACCCGATATACCCAGGTGACGAGTATTCTTTCTGATTATAGATACCCAAAGGGTTTGAAAATGTTGTCATAGGAAAGGTCCACCTGTCGTCATGTAGAAAATTTTCTGGCAGAAGAATCGTTCTAAAACTAGTTTTTGCGAATTGGTTAATCAATCACTTAATACTGAATCTTGAAATCCTCTCCCATCACGATACGTTGTGACAAGTCCTGCAATGACATCTGACATTGACACGTTTGATTAATTTTTTATCGGTTGGCGATGCTTTTTCGTTGATTGGATTCTGGAAAATTTTGCTTTTTGGTGTCGAAGATCCGAAGATTTTTTATGTTTTAAAATAAATATTGAACAGAACGCTGACAAGTATTATTGATAATCGGTGAACAGGTGAACGGACTCGTCAGCTCCTGCATGGACTCGGTCTTTCTATTGGGCACGCAGATTTCAGCAGCAGAAGAACTATGAACTGAAATATATTAGACATGGCGGCTACGCGAAAGTTACAAGGTAACTACACCTATTTTGCACCATGAAGGAGTGTTTGCTGTAGTTTCCAGATGTTCCTCTAATGTCACGCTCAAATGTGGCTTATTTTAAGTGATACGCGTTGCCAGTGCACACGCGGTAACACCCCAGACGAATCTTGTTTACATGATTAACCACAACATTCCAAAACACAACATGGGCTTCTATAAGGGGGCTATCGTAACGCATACATCGGAGCAGTCTCCTTACAATGACCATATGAATACTGTTTTTCATATTCTCCGGTAACAGTCGACCCTTCTTGATCACAACCTGCTCTAGGATAACTCCAAATTTTGGAATCCAAAGCAATGTAGTTTTGATGTCCAAATAAGCAATGCGAAATTCCGACCCTGTGCAAATTTTGATTATGAATTTAAGGATACATATAAGAAGCTTTGGACCTGCAGCTAAAGGTGCCTCAGGCTATAGAGAAATCCTCTGCCCTACTTTTGTCAAATTGAAGAGCAGGGTCATGTACTAAGAAATTTTGTCAATTTTTGGGCATCTAGGAGCTCATTTATGAAGCTGAGGCCCATGCATTCAGACCTTGTGGGCCCATAGGGTAAAAATAGAATAGCCTAAGATTTGTGTAGCAGATTCTCATTACAATCAATTGAAAATATGTACTATTCTTTTGAAGAAAATTAGCCACAACGTATGAGTAATTTGTAAATGATGATTTCAGGAGAGATAGACCGATGTTTAAAGAAAGTTACGGAGGGTGTTGAGACATTTGAGGATATTTGGCAGAAAGTCCACAATGCAACAAATAGTAATCAAAAAGAGAAATATGAGGCTGACCTTAAAAAGGAAATTAAGAAGCTTCAGAGGCTACGTGACCAAATCAAGAGTTGGATCGCATCTGCCGAAATTAAAGATAAAAGCATCCTCATGGATAATAGGAAGCTGATCGAGACGGTTAGTAGGTTTTAATATATTCCAAAATCTAAACAAGTTGATATCTATTATTAATGCGTTTTCAGCAAATGGAAAGGTTTAAAGTTGTAGAAAGAGAAACAAAGACAAAAGCTTACTCTAAAGAAGGGCTTGGTGCTGCACAAAAACTTGATCCTGCCCAGAAAGAGAGGGATGAAATCCAACATTGGTTGGTGTGCTCGATAGACCAACTTAACATTCAAGTAAGTTGAAATCAGCAAAGCTTTCTTGCATTCAAAAGTTTTTGCAGGAGTAAAAACCATTAAATGCTCAAAATATCTCTCTCACTCTCTCTGTGTGTCTGTGTATGTGTGGTTTTTTTTAACAAAACTATCAGAAGCAATGTATATAAAATCAGGTTGTATTATGCATATTTTGTAACTTGAATATTACTTATTTTGATAGTAATAACAATATTTTTATTTTATATCTTCAATCTAAAAACAGTTGTTTCCATGTAGATTTTACTAAGCAGTTCCTGTATTATTTTTTAGACTGATGCATTCGAAAGTGAGATTGAACTGTTACTTTCCAATAAAAAGAAGAAACTTGACAAAGACAAACAAGATAGGCTGGACGAGTTGAAATCTAGGCTGGAAAGGCATAGGTTTCATATCAGGAAATTGGAAACATTATTAAGGATGTTGGACAACATGTCTGTGGAGGTGCAGCAGGTGAACATATGTTTTTACAAGTATACAGGGTGTAAACGTTATGGTAGTCATTATTGAATTGGGTAATAGGGAGACCAGAGACTTCAAGATACGGGAAGTGTTCAGCCCACTAATATTCGTACTCGTAATACTATCGCATACCATGGTACATAGAATCCTACGGGAAAATTTGCTTTATAAGTACCATGTACAACGAGTGCAGGCCTTGTTATCAGAAGACTATCCTCGCAGACTAATATTCTGTCAGTGGTTTTTGCACAAAAACATTGAAGCGCTAAGAGAGTTAGTGGTAAGTCCGTTTACAGCGGCGTCTGGTCGTAATGGGCGTTTGGCATTGCGCGTTATCAGATGTTATTTTATTTAAAAGTCGCTTTTCTCTAAAAAAAATGCCTGTTGGACCCCCATTATATTAACTTTTTGCTACCTTTAAACCCCTTCGTGAATCAGTTGATAATGACTTCATACGTTTACAACCCTGTATTGCTGTTTGAAATTTTGATCTTTGAAAAAAATAATCATGATTACATTCTTTTAGTTACACTACCTTTTCATTAAATTCTGCAAAGCGGATCTGCCTTTTCTCACTTTCTTTTTAAGTATTCTGGTTTGTAAATTCTTTAGTAAGAACTTCTTCTTTTTCAGTTTTTTTTATTTTACCGTTTCGAAGTTTAGTATGTTGAAATACCTATGTTAATTTTCTTGATAGCCAAAGGTTTGTATTTTATTCTCAGGTATTAGATATTGAAGATGTAGATTTGAAGAACATTTTAAAAGACACGATCTGACATAGCACATCCCCAGATCAGTAAAGTGTATGACATGATGGAATGAAATAACGCATAATAAGCTGTTCTCAACACAGATGTACTCACATATTCTGCTAGGTGTCATTATGCATACAGTTTAGACCCAATTTTTTTTGCCACTTGGTTTGTGTGTACATAATAATAATGCCTTTATAGCTGCAGTGAGGCGAAGTTTAGCCAGATGGCTACTCTTTTAAACACATAAACAAAATAATAACATACCAAAAAAATACAATTCATAAGAATAACAACATTGATTGCACGAGACAAATGCAGATAGTATTGCGAGAGTTTTAAATTTGAAACAAAAATAGAAGAAGCAACCTGTTTGGATCGATAGCCACTGTTGACTGCATTGTAATGCTTGACAGCATTATAGGTGTGACTTCTTTCAAAGACCGAGGTATTGTGAGGAGGCATGTTAAAATTAGCATTAAATCTAAGAGCTCTGGTAACAAAACTACCTCGGTGAACTAATTTGCTAGCGAGGTAAGCTGGTCTGTTAGATAATAGAACTTTATGGGATGCTATAATTCCTGGGTAGTTTGTTGAGTACATTATGTGCTATTCTACTAAAAAATTCATTAAAATTACTCATAAATTACCTATTTATATTTTTATCTATATGCTTCTTTGATATAGTCTAAACCTAGGAACTTTAGAAACAAACAAGGATTTTTATATGATGATCCTTTTAAAAGCTGTTTGGCTGTGCCAATAATAAATCAGGATCTAAAAAAAAAAGAAAAACAGATAAACAAATTCCCGACACAAATCCAAAAAGCCTTAATACAAAATTTTCAGCTATTACAAATATTTTTTGGCGCTAAAATTGTGTTTATCCGTTACTGTGCGGTACTTAATTTTTTATCGTTTCTGCATGTTATAAGCAGTTGTGACGATATTAGGTTTTTGAGATAATTGCGGCGATATAAATATATCCATCGTGTTCTATTGAAGACTGAAAACATTTATGACGGCAAATAAAAGCACACAACATACATATTATGACAGAGAATCGAGAGTACAATTTGAATTTGGTCGGCAAACAGCGGATTTATTTATAGAAGTCTATTTTAAATTTTGAATTGAAGCGTCGTTTTTCGACGACTGGGTAAGTCATTCGAATAAACGGGGTTCATGTTTTGACACGGCATTCGCGGTTTTGCGAACAAAGAACTGTGATATTTTCTTACACTGTTTTTAAATACATCATACGGTTTTGTAAATAAAATTCGTCGGCAACAGTTACAAATCAGCAGGTATCTATTAAAATTGCTCATTGATAATTTTTAGTTTATAAGGATTATTGTTATAAAGCGATAAAAACGTGAAGGTTATGGGTAGAAAAAAGTGCGCTACTGTCGTCGTATTTGACATTTTACACGTGTAGGGGGACTCGTAGGTCATGACACGTGTAGCTTTTCCAAATTAAACAAACGTATTTACTAATGTTACAATATTTTTGTATTGTCATGGGAAAAATGTAACATGTTTTTGAAAACGCTAAGAAATTTTTTGTGACTGCTGTCTATCCAGAGAGTTATTTTTTGGTTAGGACTGTTTACGTGCCGTATACGTTTGAGCTGAGATTTATTTGACTGATATCAACATATAGCCGAAAAATTATCTATAATGCCATCATTCTTACAAATTTCTTGTACTGTTCGTCTATTCTATATTTAGCAAATAATTCCATTTTTGAAAGACTGCACATTTTACAAAACAAATGCATGAGAATAATACCGAATGAAGATAAATATACTCCAATTAGACAAATGCTTAGCAAATTAAAATGGCTCAATGTAGAAAATTTTATCGAATATCTTGTAATGATATTCATTTATAAAGTAAAAAATAATATATTTCCATCAAGTCTAACTAATTATCATCAAATGCTGACCATCACTTGCATAATACCAGAAATAAAGATGACCGAAAAGTATAACATGTGCTACAAATCTGTATTCCATCAAGGGTTGATTGAATATAATAAATTATACATAGATATAAAAGACCAGAAAGCTTTGACAAAATTTAAAGGAAACTTGAGGAAGCACTCGTTAAATGTACAATTATAGCTTGCCCAGCATTTACATCATACATCATATCGCTTGAATTTACTAATTCTAAGTTGTTTACAATTATTCCGTCTATGTAGCCAATTGTGCTAAATAAATCCTTCTACTAATACTACTACTACTATTACTAACTATTTGTGTTGTCAGATAAAAAGGATAAAAGACAACGTGGAGTACTATATAGAGTCGTCGCAAGAGCCTGATTTCGAGGACAACGAGTTCATTTACGACGACATAATCGGCCTGGACGAAGTGGAGCTGTCTGGAGTCGGGCTGCCATCTTCGGCGACCACGGATAGCAACGATACAGGAGGCACGCCTACTTCCATCATCTCAGGTGGGTGATCAAATAATGTTCTCTCACACTGTTGCTCCTACCTTTGGTGCTACAACAGTATGCTCGGAAAGACAATGATCAAATTTATTAAACGTGCTCCGCTTTCGTCCGTCCTACCACGAGACAGCCAACCATGGACGACGTTCTTTTTGGCTACTTATCAGCATGGTCAAGGACGGGAACGAAAGCATCGCAACTATCCGCTATCCAGCAGGTACAGTCTAACGAGCATCATGTTTAATTTATTCAATGGCAAGTAGCCCACATCTACTATACAGCCAGAATCGTCAGCCATCTAGCGGTCTTCTGGTACCTGGGCTATTAAACGTCGTCTGAGATCTGCTCTCCGCACTGATCGATTTTGGCGGTAGATGACGTTTTGCGCTGTCTTATTTCGAAAGACAATAAGTGCGGTGTGTTTAGGTTCGTCGCCGGTATCGTCTCCTCCACCACCGCCACCGCCGCTGCCCCTGGGCGCCAACGGGACCAGCAGCGGCCATCCTTCGAACGACATCGGCCATCACTTCGATGGAGGGTCAGCAGGAGTCGTCGGCGCTCCGCCCGACTCGTCCACGCCCGCCGCAAACGCGCCTCACGCTAATACGCCGGCGGCACCAGCCGCAGCCGCCTCCACCGCCCCCACGATACTAGAGAAGAAGACTGTCATCAAGGAACATCCGAAGGTTAGTACAGCATACCCATTAACAACGGAAGCGTGTTTGTTCATTACTTAAAATGGATCGAATTGAAGCAAACTTGTGAAACCACCGGTCGTTTAATTTAAAATTTTATAAATACATCACTAGGGACAAGTGGGATTGTCACCAGATGAATTAAAAATTAGCACTATTGTCCCTCTTCCAAAAGTAACAAACAAAAGTAAAAGCGCAAGAACAACGTCCTATAAATACACTCTGCCACCTGTTGAAAAAAACTTTAGATATAGCAGTATATAACCAACTGGTTGATCATATTGAAGCATATAATATTTTTTATAATCAACAATCAGCACTTCGCAGGTAAGGTATCTTAAGTTTTTCCTACATAATTTCAATTTTAATGTTGTGTATTTTTATTGATTGTGTATAATAGGATTATCATATCTCTTTTGTTTGTTTGTTGAAGATTTGTTTAGCATTAATGCTACAATGTCAATTTTGTATAATGATGCGGTTACATATTTTTCTTCAATCCATTTTCTGTAATTTTACATTCTTGTCTATTAAAATTACGTCACTATGTATTTTGATTATTCATAAAGTAGTTTTCTTAATTTTACCTTGAATATTTTTAAATTCGAACTCTGTTAAATATCAATATTCAATTTATTAAATTCAAATTATAGCCGAGGACATAACAGAACCACTCACTTACCTAATCAACAAATGCTTTGAATCTGGCATATATCCCTCAATTTTAAAAAAAGGTAGTATAATACCGATACATAAATCAGGAACAAAAACAGATGTTAACAACTATAGACCAATATCAATAATATCCAGTGTAGCAAAGGTTTTTGAAAAATTTTTATCTACTAGAATGATTCGATACCTCACAAAATTCAAAATTTTAAGTGGAAATCAATATGGATTTACAGAAGGGAATGCTACATCGGACGCAATAACTAAAATTGTAAATCAAATACATCAAAATATTGATAACAGAATCCCTTCAATCTGCGTTTTTGTTGATTTAAAGAAAGCTTTCGACACAGTTTATTAAATTATTATTAGAAGCATTGGAGAGAATTGGTTTCAGAGGAAACGCGTACTCACTGATCGAAAATTATTTGTCAAATCGCCCACAATCTGTGCAGATATCAGGATCATTTAGTAAAGAAATGTATATTAAGTGTGGTGTCCCACAAGGAACTGTCTTAGGTCCGCTGTTATTCAATATATATTTAAATGATATTTTCCAAATTAATTGTGTTGGCAAAATAACTAGTTTTGCAGATGATACTGCAATATTATATGAAGGCACTGACTGGTCTGATCTGAAAAATGTAATTGAAAATGATTTTCTCAAAATTATTCAGTGGTTTAACAGTAGAAAATTAAGCATTAACTACTCTAAATCACATTTTTTACCATTTGGATCTTATGCTAGACATCTGCCAAATTACACAAATTTCTCCTTCAACATTAATGATCAAAAAATGCAAATTAATAGAGTGCCCAACATAAAATACCTTGGAGTAGTCTTGGATCCTCACTTACGATGGGACATCCATGTCAATTATATTTTAAAGAAAGTTAGATTTGTATCCTACAAAATTAAATACCTTGGGAATATATTGACAGAAAAATATCTTCGAACATTATACCATGCACTGATTGAGCCTCATCTCACATATGGTATATTAGCATGGGGAGCTGCATGTTCCTCACATATCTATAATTTAGAGGTTTTTCAAAAAAGTATTCTAAAAATGATATTTAAAAAACCGAAACTTTATCCCACTGAAAAATTATACGCAGATGTTCGAATGTATGATATAAGACAGCTTTATTTCTTACACAGTATCACTCACTACCATAAATTTGTAAACACCGACCAAAAAATTAAACATAATCATTATACCAGATACAAAATTCGTGGCACAGTAGTTCCTCAACCGCATAAATCTATAATGCAGCGATCATATCTCTATTTAGCGCCTAAATTTTATGAAATTATACCTAAAGACTTAAAAGATTTACGTTTCGGAAATTGTTTCAAAAGAAATTTAAAAAAGTGGCTACATTCTATATCTAGGACTGAAATTCATAAACTCATAAATACGAACATCAACTAAACACATAATCTACTGTAGCTAATTTTTGTCCTTTTTTATCATTTGCATTCTACAGTTTCAACTTAAATTATTGGTCCATGTACAGGCGATGCCTTCTATTGGGCTTGTTTTGATTTTATAGTTATTTACTTATATTGTTTGTTATCTTTGTACATTGAGTGAATAAATATTATTATTATATTATTATTAAATACTCCCTTTTGAAATACAGATTTACTAGTTACACTACTATTACAATTTTGTTATGATAATGACTATTTAATTTTGTGAAGTTCTCTAAATGTGGTGGTAATAAATGATTTTTTAATTAGAATATGAGAACGAGAATTAAATAATATATGAAATTTTTCACATCCAACCGCTGCAGTTCTTCTAACATAGACTTAATCCTAGCATATTTGTTTATATTTAAAATGATTCTCATAGCTTTATTTTGTAGAATTTTTTATTTTATGTTCTGTTATGTTGCAGCCAGTGAAGCCGACGCCGGTCCGCGCCTCCGTATCATTGGCGGGCGGGTCTGCGGTGAGCCACGGCGCGTCTGCGTCCGCGTCCAATCACAGTTCGGCTTCGATGGCGACGGTGACGTCATCGTCGACGGCGAGCGCAAAGGCGGCCGCCCTGCAGGGGGCGCTCGCGTCTGCCGCTCAACGGGACCGCGCGGCAGCCGCAACGGACAATTCGCCGGTGGCGCCGCCATCGATGCTGCTGCTGCCGCCGCCGGCCGCGCCATCCGTTGGACAAACAGGAGCGGGCACATCGCTGTCTGCGGGGAACTTTGCGGCCGCGGTCGCAGCCACTAACAATCCACACCACAAACATTCTACTTCATGTAAGTTGAGAACATTCACCTTTCATACCATCGACTATTTGAGGGCCGTATCGTCAGTCGTTCCTACAGTTGTATGACCTTTAAAGTCTATGTTCGAATTTGTTCTACATCTGGGTTATCTTGAATCCTACTCGATCCCCGTTGCACTGTACGTGTTATGTACCGTGGATATTTTGGAGTTTGAGATTTTCTTTTTTCATTTTTATAGGTCACGCTGCTCGAATTTTTCTTTTTCTGTGAAACTTTTCCAGAGGCTTTAAAACAGCTCCAATTAACAGATTTGTACTTTCCTCTGGATTAACCGGCCCCTTCATTAGAGCAACTTTTTCTCAATTTTTCTTATTAGACTCCACTTAGTTCCCAACCGTTTCTGCGTATTTTGTTACTTGCCTGTCTTAACGTGACGATCTGTACCGCTTTTGTCTACTTCCAGGATCATCTTTCTTTTCCTAGGGAACGTTCTGGGCATAACGTTCTTGGAACCTCCGCGTAGTCCTTCGCTTCTGACGTATTGTAATTTTGGAGCTGCCCTCGTATGCCAGTATTTTCTTCATTGGCGTTCGACGCGTTTTCGTTTGTTTGTATTACTTTTTTCAGAAAAACCTATTATCTCAGTTAAAAAAACTGTTTTATATGTCTGTCGTTTTTTCCTCGCGCCGTTTCTTACACCACTGCTAGCATCATTCATGGTACTTTTATCATTTAAATAATACGATTAAGATTGATATTTCGCTCGATGTAGGAGGGCGATTAAATCGCCCTGTATTATGTCTTCTACGTTATAGACTCTGCAATGTTGATGGTTTATCTACGATTTCTTTTATAGCAAGCGGAGACTCAAATCCGTCATCTGTGATAACTATTGTAAGTCAAGTTCAGTCACAAAATACGCTGTCGAATGCCGTCAACACATCAGTCCATACGAATCCGATTTTATCCGTAGTAAGTATTCGCATATCTTATAATGATTATAAAAGTCTGAATGTTTTACAAGTTTTATCGAAGATTTAGAAAAATTGCGAGCTAACATTTGTTTGGAGCTGTTCATATGTTTACACGTTGTAGCCAATCGGTTTAAATAACAATTGATATTACTGTCAATTTTTTTAAGACATTAGTAATATTTCAGATTATTATTGTATTACATTAATATACATATCAGATAAAAATATAGACACTGCTTTAAAAACGCTAAATTCTGACTTGGCAAAAATAATAATAATAAATGTAAATAAACTAAAATTGAATACTTCCAAAACAAAATGTATGCTAATAAATGAAAATATTATCAGTTAGGATAAATGGTGGAATAATTGAAAATGTTGAATCAATTAAATATTTGGGTATATACATTGATAGTAAACTAAAGTGATCACTATGAATACATTATTTCAAAAATTGCCAAAAACACAAATTACTTTTATAGGGCTCCTCATAGTTTTTGTACATATACCAAAAAAAAAAATAGTTTATAATACAATTATTCCACCACATTTACTATATTGTTCAACTATCTTGTTCACTGCCAATGAAGCTGTATTCTCAAAATTACGAGTCCTGCAACATAAAGCTATGAGAATAATATTGTTTTTTTGGCAATTTTATATGTATTGTGTCATCTGCAAATATCTGAAGTTTACAATAATCTAAAATATTACAAATGTCATTAATGTATAAAATAAATGGCAGTGGACCTAGTTTACTACCTTGTGGTATACCAACAAAATTATTTTTTGATCTTGATAATGTAGATCCAATTCAGATTTTTAAAAGAAAATTAAAGGAATGATGAATGGACAGTAAACATTCTTAGAGATACAAATTTTATTTTTTTCCGAGTATCTGCATGTTATGTATTTGTTTAGTTTTTCAGAAGAATGTAATTGTAGCAATCATGCTGAATAAATCTTAAACAAATAACTAATTATTTTGAGAAAATGTTTGAAATGTATGACATTGTAAAATGAATAGGTAATCAAGGTGCGTTTATAATTTTTTTAGGGTAGTCAAAATGCTCCGAATGTGGGGGCGACATCTCAGAAGGCATATGGTGATATCCTTGTACAAAGTAATTGTTTAAGTCCCGAAGTGAATGTCGCGAAAGAGCAGCAGTCGCACCAGACTATCGACCCTATGCAACCAACAACAAATGGGCTACCTATTGACAAGGTACCAACCTATTTTGTTTATATCTGCGTTACAGTGCTCGAAATCATTGATATACAGAGTGGCCGATATGTAACTGACTGGTTTGTATCTTGAATATTTGTGAAATGAAATAAAATACGTCCATTTTTTTCATCTTAATCTTTAAGTGAAACTTAGAAATTATTCCGGGGATTCAGCATTGTTTGTACGTTCAAATATTTCTTATAAACGCAAAAACATTGATCTCATTGAATATACGCGAAAAAAAAATGGTTAAGGATTTTCAAGAAGACTTTGAAAAATCACAACACAATTACGTATGTATTTTTAACTGTTATTTTAGCTAATGAGCTAATGGTTAACACGGCTGATTTTGAACCTTTTTTGCAAAAAACAACGATTTTTTACAGTTTCACATCTATTTTCCTTAGTACTGTACAGTGTATGTTATATTCTTATACAAAAAAAATGAGTATACAACAGTATTCCATTCTATAGTATTACCACCAAAATGCAACTTTGAAGTTCTATAAAATAGCAAGCAGAGGGTTCCTTAAAGAAAAAATGATATTTTCGTGCAAGTTACATCCTAATCTTTCATTTTGAAATAAGAAATGTAATATTTGCGATATGCTCTGAAGTATAGTTCAGCCTGGACATTTAAGCAGTATCATGTGATCATAGAACATAACAACCTTTGATGTATGTACGTATGCACAGATCTCCGATGGAATGACGTCTCTTAAATCGATGGCGCAACAAGTGATCGACCAGGCCGGTCTGCAGATCAGCGACAGCGATGAACAACAACAACAGCAGCAGCAGCAGCAAGTGTCAATATTGGAAGCGAGCAAACAACAGCAACAGCAGCAGCAACAGAACCAAGGCAGATCCGAGGCGCACATCCCTCCGTTGTTAGGCGTAGCCCCGTTGGGGGCGGTGCCGCTGCAGAAGGAGCATCAGCAGCAGTTCAAGTTGATGGAAGCCGCCTTCTATCACATGCCGCATCCTTCCGACTCGGAAAGGATCAGGACGTATTTGCCGCGCACGCCGTGCACCACCCCATCCTATTACATTCAAACGCCGCTGCCTCATTCGGACACGCTCGAATTCTTCCAACGACTGGCGACCGAGACGCTCTTCTTCGTTTTCTACTACATGGAGGGCACCAAGGCGCAGTACCTCGCCGCTAAGGCGCTCAAGAAACAGAGTTGGCGGTTCCACACCAAGTACATGATGTGGTTCCAAAGGCACGAGGAACCAAAAATCATCAACGAGGAGTTTGAACAGGTATTTATAACCCTGCTTAAATTACATTCTCCTAACTAAATACAGTAGCGATTCGATAATACGGATCAATTAAAACCGGACTAACGAAAAATCCGGATTAGTGGGAATCATAAGGAAAACAAGTTCTTGATATTACGAACACGTTTATTTCATAAAAACTGAAACATAAATTATCGACATAGGTAAAATAAGCAAATAAGAAAATAAAAAAGTAACAAAAAATTTAGTTATTAAAAAAATCAGTTATTTTTGTTTGCCTTTTATGTTCAGAATGCAACTTAATAACAATGTAACTTCACAAATTTGAATATTTTGCACAATTTCTTTGAAAATGATGAAAGATGTGTCTGATTTGGAAGGGTAATGTCGCAGCCAATTTGCAGTCACTCTTTCTGACAGAGTCCGGATCGAAAGATGACGATACTCTAAGTATCGAACATCCCTAATGTCAAGATGTATAACCCAAGGTACCGACGGAGCTATTTTGCGGCGTCATGGAGATAATTTTAAATTTTCATTTGCATTTTTTCAAGTGTTGTGCAATGCTTTTGGGAAAAATGTCACGAATAGTCTTATAAAGCATAGTAGAGTATATTTCAACAGTTGGCGGAATTTACTCGACTGGGACCCGGAGGGTGAAACGGGATATTAACGCACAATCTGGCAACCATGTCGCACCCTCACAAAATGGCCGCTGACAACCACACAAGTCACCGTGTTGTCATTGAATAGCATGGAATTAAACCTTCAGAGTATATGTTTTGTGACTGGTACCAAGAGTTGACAGATCCCACACATGTGTCACTCCTTGAAATGCAATAATCAGCTGTATTCAAATAATGTCTAATATAAATATAACCTAGAATTTGTGCTCAAGAAAAAAGAAAAATATGGCAAATTTGTAGTTTTTTTTGCAGGTTTTAATACCATCATTCTTCCAAATTTCTTGTACTGTTCGACTATTCTATATTTAGCAAATAATTCCATTTTTGAAAGACTGCAAATTTTACAAAATAAGTGCATGAGAATGATACTAAATAAAGATAAATATACTCCAATTAGGCAAATGCTTAGCAAATTAAAATGGCTCAATGTAAAAAATTTTATCAAATATCTTGTAATGATATTCATTTATAAAGTAAAAAATAATATATTTCCATCAAGTCTAACTAATTTAACATCATCAAATGTCGACCATCATTTACATAATACTAGAAATAAAGATGACTTCCATTTAATGACCAAAAAGTATAACATATGCTACAAATCTGTATTCCATCAAGGGTTGATTGAATATAATAAATTATACTCGGAGATAAAAGACCAGAAAACTTTGACAAAAGTTAAAGTAAAATTGAGAAATCACTTGTTAAATCTACAATTATAGGTTGCCCAGCATTTACATCATACACCATATGGCTTGAATTTACTAGTTCCAAGTTGTTTACAATTGTTCTGTTTATGTAGCCAAATGTGCTAAATAAATCTTTCTACTACTACTACTACTTTTAGGTTTGCTGGTAGCTTTAAGGCATATATTTGGGAATTTCTTAATCGCTGTGAATATAGTGTGGATGTTTGTTCAGTTCCTGAACAACGAAAAATATTCAACTTTGTGGATGTACGGATATCAAAAAACCTGAATGGTTTTGTGGGAATATCAATCTAAGGTGCCATAATGGTTCTGAAGAACGGCAAGTAAATGAATGAATGTTTGGAAATGAGCAATATCTTTTGGTAGAGCCCGTCATCAAGTAGGTGCTTAATGGCTATCTGCAAGAGGTTTATAAGAAAAAACACCCAGTATCACATATCATTTGAAGAAAATAATATAAACATGAATAAAAAATCAACAATAGTAATCAAAACATGAATTTAATTCAAAAATCAAACATTTCTTAAAATTTTGACTGAATTATATGTAATTTCTTAATATTCAATAAGCTGGTGATGTTTCAATGACAAGCTGTCATCTCATACTTTGACAGTATTTTGTTTTCAACATTTCATAGCTATTGGTTGCTATAATTTGTTGATTGGAACTTGAAGCTCATTCGTTGTATTCGACGGTCTGTTACCCTATAGGTGGAAAATAACGGACTGTTGTTGGTGAAATTTTTCCTAAATGCATTAAATATAAAAGCATTTTTTTCAAAATTGTATAACTCTTACGCATCTGGCTTGCCTCTGTTTTTCTTAATATCTGATTTGGTGGATGTTCCCACTCCATACATTGCAGCTAACTTTTTACCACTATCACCTCGTTTTAGTTTATCTAAAATTTCAGCCTCCTTTTGGATCGACAAAGTTATGTGCTTTCGTGCAGGAAGCATGGCGTTTGTTGCTGAATGACCGACCCGTGGAAACGTTCTGCTTTATTTGCGTCCCGGTCGCGTCGTTCATGGTGTGATATTTAACAACATCGAATTTGTTAAGAACTTGACTGATCCGGACTAGCGAAACATGACAATCCGAATTACAGAATCTGCGAGGCAGGTCTGAATTGTTGGAACATTCGGATTATAGCAATTCGGATTATCGAGTCGCTACTGTATCCTTCATTATGGTAATCGCTAAGAACGTTCCGACATTGCAAATATCCTCTTAAAAATATGCTGCTAATAAAAAATCATTCGAAATTACTAAAGATCTCAATGTATCTTGTCTAATATTCATTTCTGTTTCAGGGCACTTACATCTATTTTGATTATGAGAAATGGGGACAAAGGAAAAAAGAAGGATTCACGTTCGAGTATAAATACTTAGAGGATAGAGATCTTAATTAAAAATATTTATATCAGACCTAGTTTTATTTTACCTAACTATACTCAGTGACAAAAAAAGGTAAACACCGACGTATGTAATTCAAGAATTTTTCACATATCGATTTACATATCTTGCATGAACAACAGGTGATAAAATAGTCAGAATTTTTTTAATAAGGTTTTGTGGTGACTGTGTATTGTTTGGTGATAAAGAAGCATTCAGTTCCGTACATTTACGGTGCCAGTTAAATGTTAAATTTCGCTTATTGAGAAGAAGGCTTATTGTGATCGCTCAAAATGCCTCGAGTGGGTAGAATTCGCCGGATGTCTCGGCTAAGTGACTTTGAGAGCGGTCGAATTATCGGGTTCCGTGAAGCCGGCCTATCGATAAGAGAAGTTAATAGGAGGACCAACAGATCCCAGAAGACCGGGGACAGCGAGCGAGGAGTTTTGGACGTCGCAGAGGGATCACAGAGCGACAAGACCGCCGGTTAAGACTCTGGCTCTGACAGATAGATTCACTAGGACTCGAGCCATCGCTAATCAGTGGTTTGAAGAGCATGAAAGGATGGTTGGTATGCGTACGGTGTATCGCCGAATACGACAGTTTGGCCTTTTTTCTTATCGCCCACATTGGGTGCTACCTCAATTGAGAGAAAGAATAGTTGCAGCTTGTGATAGAATAAAAAACACTCCAGGGATATTTCAACGAGTACGCAATTCCATGAGGAGGGCGGAAGCAGGCATACTAAGTGAAGGGGGCTATTTTCAACAATGTTTGTAATCATTTCGTTCGTTTTAATGTTATGTTTATGTTGTCAGTTGTTGTTGTTCATTACCCCTAATGTGTTTAGTTTTTCCAATTAAATAAATAATAATTTTTCAAGTTAGACAATAGAACGGTTTTTATTTTTTAATCAAAAATTTCGCATCGAAGGAAAACAATTCAAGAGAGATCATTTGTTTTAAATTGAACGGGAAATTCGAAAATAACTTTTATATGGCAAACAAACATTGGCGTACCATGTTTTTCTTGGAAAATATTGAAGTCAATACCCGTACGAACGCCACTTTTAACGCTAAAAATTATTTTTGCATTGAAAAATATGCAACTTTATTAACTACGTACTAAATATCAGTGAAATATCTGAAGCAGTACTGAGAATATTAATTGATTTCCATTTTCTTCCTACAACTTCAACACCCCGAGTTTTTGTAAGGAAACCTTTTAGGACGATAGTTTATAAAGCAAACCAACATTAATTTTTCATGTTGATTCACACCCTTAAATATTCGCATATCATTAAGGATCACCCTGTATAAAGGAAGTTCTAATTAAGAGGTTACATGTAACAACATATATCAGCAATTAGCAATGCAACTGTTCTGGAACAAATATGTATAACTTTTTTAATCTGCAACGAAAACTGAGCTATATTTCGAAGATAAATTAATATTTTGGGGTACCATAATGCAAAAACCTTTTTTTACACATTTTATTGAGGAATCATTATTTGTAAAAGATACACTTATGACTATAAACATATAACATCCTCTAATAAAATAATCACAGTCAACATAATACTTGGCAATATAGTAACTTACGATGATTCATAAAATTACCAATCAATAAGTTTAATTGTGCTAATTCTGTATAACATTTTAGGCTAAAATAATGAATGATAAAAAACGAATTGCACTCCAATATAATTAATAATATGCGGGATAATGATAGGAGGGAGGTGATGTCGATGCCGTAATATGCGTCCTGGGCTGTGGCGCGAGGGGTGTGGGGTGGTAAGGAGGCTGCGGTATGGCAGCGGGAGCGGAAAAGCCCCCAAACGGGGAAGGAGACGTCGAGACGCCGTTATTGCTGGCGGACGGTGCAGTCGGTTGCACCTGCAGAAGACCGCCACCGCTGGTGTTGCAAGCGGTGGCCAGTGTGGGGCCCCCGTTGCGAGCCGCTTCGGTGATCATCAGACGGTTCTGCTGCTCCAACAGACGGACTGATTGCTCGGACAGCAATCTGCCACCGTTGCTGTTGCCGCTGCCGTTATTGCTAAAAACACAAATTTACATCTTGATACTTTTCCTTACTAAGCGAGCGATCCGCCGTATAATGACTTTTAATTGCAATTCTTCAAATGATATCATTCACAGATGTTTATTGATAGTGAAAACGTGTAGTAATTTTATTTAAATTAATGGCCAGCTTTAACCATTGTTTAGTAGCAATTAATCAGCTATTATCGCACTTTAATGGATACTCGTGAAAAGTACATTTTTCTTTTGTTACTAAACTAGATCCTGTAATCTTCTGCGTAGGGTCTATAGCTATGGAATGATATTCACGTTTTTGAGAACAACTTCTGTGTATTATACATTTGCTCGCAATTCAGATTTTTTCCAACTTCAAATTGCTTATTTACCATGGTTGCCAGTTATCTAGACGGCCTCCCTTTAATGATATATCGCCAGGTATATATAGAGAAGAATAGAAAGCTGGCAAAAATATAAAACCTTACCCAGTATCATCAGCTGCTGAGGCAGTAGTGAGCAGATGATTGGCAGATGACTCGTTGAGTAACCTGGATGTTGTGTGATCGGTGAGTAGCCGCGCGGAGGCGATGGCGGTCGCGTCGGACAAAGACAGGTGGTGTCTACAAAAATAATATTAATTAACAGCTTTTTGTCACGCCAATCTCTCTCTCTTTCTCTCTTTTCGAGTCTCTTAACTTATCAGCATGACAATCATCATTTATATCATAAAGAGACAGATAATCAAATATTAGTGATTATAATAGTAATAATATAAATATCACATTACAGCATTTTTACCTAAAATCTTCGGGAAATTTTGGATGGTACATGAAAGTCAATTTTAGCTAATAAATATGAAGAATCTACTTTATTGCGTATGATTGCAAAATTCTGAGTTATATACAAACATGCGGTCAATTAGTGTACTGCCAGATGTCGAGAAGCTCTTGGAAGGAATCATACATGAACAAGTCATTGAATATATTGAAGAAAATGAGATATTGACAAAATTTCAAGCAGGATTCAGAAAAAAGTATTCTACTGAAACATCAATTCAAATGGTAGTAGAAGAATGGAGGCGAAATATGGATGAAAAAAAGTTTACAGTAACATTGTTCTTAGATTTCAAGAGAGCATTTGAGACTATTGACAGGGAGAAATTGTTAACGAAATTGCATTGCTACGGATTTCAAGGTTCAGTATTCAATTTATTACAAAATTATTTAATCAATAGAAGTCAAAGAACTAAAATTGGCAATACATTATCAAACATTAAAAACATTTCGGTAGGTGTGCCACAGGGTAGCAAATTAGGTCCATTACTATTTATTTTACATATTAATGATATTCCTGATATTTTACAACACTGCAAAATTCAACTATTTGATGATATATATATATATATATATATATATATATTTAATTGATTCAACATTTTCAATTATTTCTCCATTTATCCTGTGATAGTATTTTCATTTAGGTATTTCCCTATTAGCATACATTTTGTTTTAGAAGTATTTAATTTTAGTTTATTTACATTTAATCAATTTACGATTTTTGCCAAGTTAGAATTTAGTATTTTTAAACCAGTGTCTATATTTTCATCTGATATGTGTATTAATGTATCATCTGCAAAATATCTGAAGTTTACAATAATCTAAAATATTACAAATATCATTAATGTATAAAATAAATAGTGGTGGACCTAGTTTACTACCTTGTGGTATACCAACAGAAATATCTTTTGATCTTGATAATGTAGATCCAATTTTGTTTTTTTGACTTCTATCAATTAAATCGTTTTGTAGAATTTTAAATACAGATCCTTTAAATCCGTAGGGATGCAATTTTGTAAGTAGTCAATAGTCTCAAACACCATTTTGAAGTCAAAAAACACTGTTACTGCATGTTTCCGATTGTCCATACATCTCCTCCAGTCCTCTAAAACCATTTGTGTTGTCGTTTCAGTTGAGCGTTTCTTCCTGAATCCAGCTTGAAATTTGGTTAAAATGTTATTTCCCTCAATAAATTAGATGATCTGTTCGTAAATAATTTCTTCAAAAACTTTTTCAACATCTGGCAGAACATTTATTGGCCGCATATTGGTGTACAACTCAGAATTCTTAACTTTAGAAACAGGAGTTATGGTAGAACACTTCAGTTCCGTTGGAAATTCGCCATATTTTAAACAGTAACTTATCAGGATTAATATTCTTGCTCCAATAATATCTAAACATTCATTAAGTACACTTTTAGAAAAAAATTCACTCATATCTCAAAATTTCACTGTTATAGTAGAATTGAGTGGCTGATTACTTTCATTCTTATCACTTTTTTTCTTCGAAAAATCATTTTGCAGCAAATTGGGTTTTCAAGAAAAGCAAAGACTTTTTGAAGAGAGAAAGTGATAAGAAAAAAGTAATCACTCGCTAATTCTTCCATAACAGTGGAATATTCACATACAATTTTAGAGCCAAACCATTTTTGGTTAACAAGCTATGATTGTAGAAAAACGCATAAAAATGGATTTTTTGACAAAATTGTTTTGTCACCTCCATAGACATCATGAAAGAACCAGACGAAAAGTATTAACAAGACTTCTCCAGTGAGGCTGTTGAGAAAAAGGTACATGCGACGTTAAGAAACCCCCGCTGCATACTCTCAATCAAAAATACGTTTTTTTCCTTTGAACGAATGGATGATTGTTACCTGGCCGCAGCGAGGTCAGTTCCGAGCAGCCGGTGCGAAGCTGCAACCGCGGCGATTTGGTGTAACGCTGCAGCAGGATGTGCGCGCAGACTCAAATCGACCGTACACGGACGCGCAGGTGGAGCGGCAGGATTGCCAGGGGGCGTACTCAAGTCTAGCGAGACGACACGCAGCAAATCAGCCGCTGCGGCGGCAGCAGCTGCAGCGGCGTGCGAATAAGACGGGGGCGGAGGAGGTGGAGGGGGGACAGCAGGAGCAGATTGCAGCGGAGGGGGCGGGGAGGTACTGCCGTAGTTCAGCCGGAGATCCACGCGGTCCATCTGGAAAAAACAATATACTATACATAGTAAAGAAATGTATATTAAGTGTGGTGTCCCACAAGGAACTGTCTTAGGTCCGCTGTTATTCAATATATATTTAAATGATATTTTCCAAATTAATTGTGTTGGCAAAATAACTAGTTTTGCAGATGATACTGCAATATTATATGAAGGCACTGACTGGTCTGATCTGAAAAATGTAATTGAACATGATTTTATCAAAATTATTCGGTGGTTTAACAGTAGAAAATTAAGCATTAACTACTCTAAAACACATTTTTTACCATTTGGATCTTATGCTAGACATCTGCCAAATTACACAAATTTCTCCTTCAATATTAATGATCAAAAAATGCAAATTAATAGAGTGCTCAACATAAAATACCTTGGAGTGGTCTTGGATCCTCACTTACGATGGGACATCCATGTCAATTATATTTTAAAGAAAGTTAGATTTGTATCCTACAAAATTAAATACCTTGGGAATATATTGACAGAAAAATATCTTCGAACATTATACCATGCACTGATTGAGCCTCATCTCACATATGGTATATTAGCATGGGGAGCTGCATGTTCCTCACATATCTATAATTTAGAGGTTTTTCAAAAAAGTATTCTAAAAATGATATTTAAAAAACCGAAACTTTATCCCACTGAAAAATTATACGCAGATGTTCGAATGTATGATATAAGACAGCTTTATTTCTTACACAGTATCACTCACTACCATAAATTTGTAAACACCGACCAAAAAATTAAACATAATCATTATACCAGGTACAAAATTCGTGGCACAGTAGTTCCTCATCCGCATAAATCTATAATGCAGCGATCATATCTCTATTTAGCGCCTAAATTTTATGAAATTATACCTAAAGACTTAAAAGATTTACGTTTCGGAAATTGTTTCAAAAGAAATTTAAAAAAGTGGCTACATTCTATATCTAGGACTGAAATTCATAAACTCATAAATACGAACATCAACTAAATACATAATCTACTGTAGCTAATTTTTGTCCTTTTTTGTCATTTGCATTTTACAGTTTCAACTTAAATTTATTGGTCCATGTACAGGCGATGCCTTCTATTGGGCCTGTTTTGATTTTATATTTATTTACTCATATTGTTTGTTATCTTTGTACATTGAGTGAATAAAAAAAATATTATTATTATTATTATATATTATTATATTATACCCCGATTTCTATCTTTCAAATAGAACACCCTGTATTTTCATCCATTGCTTAGTGTATAGTGGAACTTTCAAGAAAAATTACTCATCAAATAGGCCTCAATCACTAAAAATATTAAATTCATATAGTAAATAAACGTTTGTTAAGTGTAACCACAAGGTACAAATTTGGGTCCAGTGTTATGCAATACTTATTTGAACCATATATTGAAAATTAATAGTACTGGTAAAATATTCAGAGATATATTGTTTAAAATGACTTTTGAAATATATCCAGTGATTTAAAACTGAAAATTAACAATTAACTTTGTTAAGACTCATTTTTTAACATTATCTACCTAGTTGTAACCACCTTTTCTTTAAGGTAAATGATATAAATTTATAGAATCAATTTAGGAATTTATCTAGGTCTTCTCTTGAGATGGGAGAGAAACAACAGTTTATGCGGTAATCTCAAATAATACCAGTGGCGAAGCGTCCATGTAACCATTGTTACCACTGGTAACAGTTAAAAATCTGTGAAATAATTTCATTTATTTGTTTGCCAACAACGATACGTAATAGTAATCAGTAAATAGCAAATTAGCCCCACGAAAATGATGCGCCCTCTATAGTGTCTAGGTATAGTTTCTCCTTTTATGTTTTGTATAGAGTAAATAAATAATATTTTCTCTATTAATACAGCAACAACAAAATTTGAGGATGTTTAATCGATAATTATCTCTCTTCGACTGAAACGATACTTGTTTATTCTTATGAAAGAAAAAACACGAGTGATCCGATTTTTTTAATTCAGAATTGTGCGTTCTATTAAAAAAAAACAGAACAATTACCTCAGGATACAAATGATGATATCTTTGTATGTTGGCATAACTGTGAAATCCGCTTCTGGCCGACATGTCCAAGCCTTGAAGTTCTGACGTGTTCAACATCAACGGTTCAAATGCAGCAGCCGGCACCCTTTCCGACCTACAAAAGTCCGATTCCAGCTCGTACTGCTTATTTCGGTTCTCCATCACATCGCAAATATCGTAGCTTGTCTTGCTCCTAAACTCCATCTGCCGCAGATAAAATATCGTTATTCAGAATTGTGCGTAGAACGCTTTTTCTATTGTAAAGTATACGAGCACCTTCCCACTTCAGTTGGCCCAACTATTCAAATCTTAGTTTTTTTCTTATCAAACACAAATAATAAAAATGTAGCAGGCTGTTATAGGTTTAAAATATTAACGATGAATATTTTGATAATATATATATATATACTATAACTATCTAAAACTGTAATGACTGATCGATGTTCACGTGAACATCACTTAACTACCAGTATTCGGCTGTTCATAGGCGGGGTATGAATGTTTAACATGGGTGAACTAGATTTGTCACATGCTTAATAAAGAGTGGTTTGAAACATTTTTTAATTCTGGGAAATCAAACTCAGAAATTGCAACTTTGTTAGACTTATCTCGGTACAGTGTGAGAAATATTGTTAGAAGATATAACGTAACTGGTTCAGTTAATATTAAGCCACGATATGTGAAAAAACGTAATATCACAAATGCCGACCGAAGAGCATTATGAAGAATAATCGTGAAAAACAGGCGTGCCAATTATTTACAATTAAGTGCTCTGTGGAGTGACGCTGTTGGAAGGAGAATTTCGAGGTCCACAACTCATACAGAGGCCCACAAATTGGGATTTAGCACTTGCAAGGTAAGTTTTCTTATAAAAAAAACTGAAGTAAAAACCCTAAAGTTGCACAACTTGTTTATAGGTCAAAGAAAAGCCACTATTAACTCCACTGCAAAAGAAAAATCGGCTTAGATGGGCTAAAGAACATAGACAATGGACACCTCAACAATGGTGTGCAATACAATGGAGTGATGAGGCCGGATTCGAAGTTTGTGTTGGTGACAGTCGCAGTAGAGTTATTCGCAAAAAAATGTTGCATTCCATGTTGACTGTCTGAAGAGAAAAGTGAAATTCCCAGCATCCATTATGGTCCGGGGCAGTATGTCATCAAAAGGAGTAGGAAAACTTCATTTTATTGATGGACATGTGGATACAAATAAATATTTGGCAATTTTAGAAGAATCGCTTTTACCAGTGATGGAAGAATGTTTGGCATCCGGCCAAGATTTTGTGTTTCAGCAAGATGGTGCAGCGTGCCATACCTCAAAAAAGGCAATAAAATGGATGGAAGAAAATAATGTACCACTTTTGAAATGGGTTTCTAGCAGTCCAGATCTGTCACCTATTGAAACTTTGTGGCACGAGATGAAAAAGGTTCTACGACAACATCCTGCTCGTACAAACACCGAACTGAGATAAAAGGTTCAAGAAATATGGGATTGTTTTACACCAAATTTTTGCCAAAACTTGCTTAACACTACGCCCCAAAGAATTTCAGCCGTAATAAAAAATAAAGGTGATGTTACCTAATGGTAATCTTTCAATTGTTGTTTTGTTAACTTCGCGCATTTATTCGTACATTGTTTATTTGTTCAGATGTTCTATTGGTTATAGGTCTAAGTATGTATTTTTTACGACTAGAGTGTATCTAAAATGTTTTTGAGAAAATAAATTGTTTTAGAAGAAAATAGTTTCGTCATGTTTAGCTTATAAAGGAATATTTTGGTACAAATCTTGAAGTGGGCCAACTGAAGTGGGAAGGGGCTCGTACTTGTTACAATTTATGACTCACCTCATTGCTTTCATACAAATGATTCCGTTCCATAGCCTCGTAGCTTTTCAGTCTCATCTCCAAATCGATGTCAAACTTGGTGCGTATATCTGCGGTCAGGTCTTCCGAATATTTACAATGTTCTTGATTGTCCGACTTTTTTTCACTGTCACTAGTTACGATCGGTTGATCCACCTGAAATTTTTCAAAATGAAAAGAGGATTTATTTAAAAATTCAGATGTTGCAACCCTCAGTATGCAGTATGATAGGATTACAATTTTGCACAATAATATGTTCATTCTCGACCTAAAACTGTATTGTTTCGAACAACTGAGATACCGAATTTATTCGATTGATTACTACAACCTCCTCTATATATTTATGAAAATTCTAACTGAAATTCATTAGCCAAATGATTGTAGAGTTAGAAAAAGTGTAAGGGTGTTAATGTAGATTAAAGGTAGTAATGACGAATTGCTTTTATAGTCTAATCATATTAGCAAATTTGTTCAAGATGGTATTTAAAATATGGACGCATAAAATGGGTACACCAATTTTTATGTTTTTTGGAAATCAATCGAAAAGTGTTAACAGGAATGGAAAAACCACACGTAAAAAGATCCGACTAATAGCAAAAATGTTATGGCCGAAAAACGAGGCAAAATGAAGGTTTTGGCGCTTGGCAGTATTACACATTTTACAAAATTATTTAGTAAATAGGAGTCATAAAACTAAAGTTGGAAATATTATGTCGTGTTCAAAATATATCAGTAGGGGTGCCACAGGGGAGTAAATTAGGGCCGTCACTATTTATTATTTATATAAATGATATCTCTGACATTTTAGAACACTGCAAAATTCGAATATTTGCGGACGATACACTTATATATATATATAGAGAGAGAGAAAATGATCATGCGGAGAAAGGTATATAACAAAAAGAAGAAAAATAATAGGCAAAATCTGCAAAAAAGAGGACAGTGGATTCGAGCAGAAAATAGGATAGATAACCCGAGCGATACGTATTTCTGCTGGTTGGCTTCATCAGGCCCGATATGAATGCACATATGAAACTACAAAAGTAGATACACATGCCCACACATCCGGATACGGGTGTAACCTGAGGAAACGAAGATGGAGAGGGAAAAAAACGACACAACAATAGCCCACCTACACATATAATTCTTCCCGATTTTTCAAATTCTACAAAATAAATGTATGAGAATCATTTTAAATAAAAACAAATATACCAGGATTAAGTCTATGTTAGAAGAACTGCAGCGGTTGGATGTGAAAAATTTCATATATTATTTAGTACTCATTGTCATATTCATATTAAAAAATCATTTATTACCACCACATTTAGAGAACCTCACAAAATGAAATAGTCATTATCATAATTACGAAACTAGAGGCAGTATAGATTTTCATCTGCAAAATTGTAATAGTAGCATACTAGTAAATCTATATTTCAAAACTGACCTCAATTTGATCTTGTTCTAAGTCATCCGTCTTGTGTTCGAATGTCAGCTTTTTCATATAGTCCTGAGATGCTTTGTAGGTCTTGTAGATGGACAAATCGAGCTGCATCTCGCTTTTTGACGGATGAAGGCTTAGATTTTGAACAGCCATCCCGTTACTGTCGTCGGACGAGAAGTGATCCGCATATCTACACAAACAAAAATTGTGTATATTGATTACAGTAAGAATAATTCAGGCAGCAAAACGTGTGAATATTAAAGTAACCCTAAAATAATTTTAAAGTAAAAATCATCGAGACTGAAAGCTGATATTATCAATACCAACACGCGAAGGACCTTTGTAACCATTTGTAACCACCCGTATAAAAGTCGCGTCTGTGTGATGCCAGGGTAACTATTTTGAAAATTTAGACATAGTAAACGAATAAAAGATGTTTACCAATACCAAGATTACCGAAGCGAGACCGCGCTTATGATATAGTCATCTCGTTTTTGAGACTCTATATCAATTTGTAACAAGGGACTTGATGCACATATTTCTCAAATTAGAGATTGTTAGGTATAATGTGTAACGTTTGTATTGCAAATACTTAAGAAAAAAATCACAGTAAAGCAGACAGGCCCCGTATTTTTGACGTATTCGTATAGCGTTGGCGTTTTCTGTTTCATTTGTTGATGCTGCTTTTCTTATTTATGGATAAACGTATATTTCTGTAATATCATCATTTTTATCGGAATAACATCGTCGTACCTAGAGGTAGCCGGCTCTGGGGAGATACTTTTCTGCTGTGAGTGTTGGTGATGCGGCTGATGGTAGGTCATGTTCTGAGGAGACAGGCTGTTTATGTAATTCCTCACGAAATTCGAGCGATTCATGTCTGGCGAGTGAGGAGGCTGAGGACCTGGGGGAGGGCTGAAGTCGTGCTGGTGGAACTCGCCATAATGCATACCTGAAAGTACAAACAAGTGTGACGGATGTGATATGCTGATATTTTGAATTTATAACGGATTTATAACTCGAATTTAAAAAATATATTTCTGATTGTCTCATCACCTACCGATCGTATCTGCCGTTGTGTGCCTGTGCAACTTGTCGCTGAGCTCGTCTGTGACGGAAATGTGTTCGTTCCCGTGCGGACGCGGAGGCGACATACCGAGCCCACCGCCATCTCCGACCGCAACTCCATATGGCACGTCAGCCAGATGGTGAGCTAGGCCGTACAGGTTGCCGACCAAAGTGTCCGTATTGCAATGAGTCTCCAATGGTATCGGCGGCGGTTGTGTTTGCGTGTCAGGCTGCGAATGTGCCGCGCCACCGCCTCCGTCAGAATGCTCCTGCTGGCAGACAGAATCCAAGGCCGCCTCCACCAGCAAGCTGGCATTCGATGCAGCCACTTCGTGACGCCCGAACTCGCCGCCTCCGCTGGTGCCGTTACCGCCTATAGACGAGAACTTGTTGCTTCGCTCGTACATGTCATTCTCCTGTTAATTATATCGAATAAAATCACCATGATTTTGAAAACGCTCAAAAATAATTTAAATAGGATAGAATTTCCAACGTAGCCGCTATTTTTCATTACAAGATCGGTGCTTGTTTGTTAGCCTGTGTGGGATAAATCTTGGAACTGAATTTTGAACCAGTTAACCTCAACCAATTGAGCTGAAATTTTGTTACACAAGTCTGATTCGCGTAACGATACAAAATGAAATGAACCGCCGCCATTTTGTATCCAATATCGCGGATGATACAAAATGGCGATTTATCATTCCCGCAGATAGAAATATCATGTTGAAAGCAACGCGATAAGCAAAGTGACGTCATTCTAATTCCAATATGACGACTTATATTTTTCATACTCGCTCCTATGACATGGGGGTAGGGGAGTCTAGATGATGATTACGTCATCGGTAGTTATTTACTGTTTTACACGAATGGCAACCCTCACATTGTCATTGCTTGAAAACGAAACGCATTTTCGGGGATTCCCGCAAATAATGCATACGTTTAGTGAACAGCGCGCGGTAATTCCCCTACTCGCTTTAGAAATCAAACCAAACTAGTTATTTAACATCATGAATACTAAAAAGTAAAAAATAAATAACGTAAAAAAGCTTTTAGTTAGCTGTTAGTAATACTGCGAACTAAAAATTTAAAAATATTCCAATTTTAGAAATATATTTAAACCATAATGAAGCTCCTTCATCTCAAATGTTCTAATAAAAGCGTGTTACGTTTTGACAGCAGCATGGAACATATCTTTTCAATTGTAAAAAATTATTCAAGATTATTATACAGTGGACCCCCGATAATCCGGCACCCCCTGTAATCCGACATGTCTTTGAATATGTATTACATACATACGTATTTGACAATCTTCGCTAATGTAGATCACTCAGGTTTGAACAGGTTACAACTTGTACACGCCACCGCTATCGTGTTCGACGCGTAAGCATTGTTTTACTTAGTTTGAATTTGACTACTGGTGATAGCGGTACGGCCTAGCGTGCGTTCATTGTTTACTATTTATTCATTGTATATTAAGTATAGTACCTAGTAATGTCATCACAAACTCAGAAGCGAAAGCACAAAACATACATACGTTTAATGACTATTACAGGAGAGAAACTTTCTAACGATGCCACCTGCATAGAGCCCTTTAAATTAAGATTTTTGCAAAAGGTGAACGATTTCAATCTTGACCCGTCACAGGTGTACAATGCAGACGAATCAGGGCTTTTTTGGCGTGTGATGCCTAACAAAACTTTCGTTTCTTGTAACGAAAAATCCGTACCTGGACGAAAAGTAAGTAAAGAGCGTGTAACCATACTACCATGTGTTAACGCGCTTAAGATGATGGTCATTGGGAAATCTAATAAACCACAGGCATTCAAAAACATTGATTTACCTGTACACTATTACGGACAAAAAAGTGCATGGATGACAAAAGACCTTTTCAAAAAGTGGTTTGATGAATGCTTCGTACCTGAAGTTAGAAAATGGTTAAAAGATCATAATTTTCCTCAAAAAGCGTTGTAGCTTCTTTATAACGCTCCCGGTGATCGGTCTGAAGAAGGACTAACAACTGAGGATAAATGCATCACTGCGATGTTTCTTCCGACAAATTGCACTGCACTGATTCAATCAATGGACCAGAATATCATTCAGTTTGTCAAGCAAGACTATAAGAAAAACCTACTTCTGAGAGCCGTATCAAAAGACCAACCAATAGAAAAAACTTTAAATGAATTTAATATGAAAGACTTGGTTTTTGCTCTTTGTCAGTCGTGGAATGCGTTACCGTCAGCAACTATTAAATCGTCTTGGAAAAAGTTATGGCCAGATATAGTCACCACTCCTAGCAACGTTCCACAAATCACATTTGGAAATCTGGTGCCGTGGAATGGATAAAGAGGAAAATGTTTTTCATGAAATGTCTGACGAAGAGATTATAAAAGAGGTTTCTAATTATACAACAAACAATCGGGAAAATAACGACGACGTGATTGCAACTGCTCCACAAGTCACAGCACAAGACGCAATTAACGCCTTTGAGCTAGGTTTACAATGGGCTGAAGAGAATGGTACATCCTACAACGAACTTTTACTTTTGAGAAGACAACCTTAAGCAAAACAAAATTGATGAATATTTCCAAGCTTCATAATTTGATAAATTCATTAATGATTTTGATTAATAATATTTGATTATTTTAGTACATATGTATGTGCATTTATGCTTAATTTTATAATAAAACGTAAGCTCTCTATTGTTATTTAATTTACTAAATTCGACATACATAAACTATATATGATTTGTACTTCAAAGTACATACATATACATAACATATATAATCTTACCATTGGATATGTAATTTGTCGGATTACCAGGTACTCTTTTGTAAAAAATTCCGGACTTAAGGGGGTCTTAGGCAGTGCTCTATAATCCGACAAATTCGATAGTCCGACACTGCCCCGCATAATGTTCGTCGGATTACCGGAGGTCCACTGTAGTTCGTTTTATTATCAAATTGATTTAAAACTAGTAGATTTTTTTTAAAGTTCTGCGATGAGTCAAGAGAAAATGTCGTTGTCACAAAAAGTGATCGTACCTGCATAGCCACGTTCGTCATAGGGTCCTTGCCAAGTCTGTCGATAGCATTTGTTGGATAAATATCGCCTAATGGATGAGTCTGGCCATGATCGGCTATCCACTTTTTGGACCCTTTGCTGAGTACTTTCATCCCTGCAACCTTTTCTGGCGGAACGGGAGGAGGTGATGGAGATAAGGAGTAGCAACAGGAGAAGGAGAATGTGCGGGAGGAAGATCGGACTCTTCGACCTCCTCCTCTACGTCAATCCTGCCTGATCCGCCGCGCGGCGAGGCGTCTGCAGACATCGGGTCGTCTATTTCCGAACCTGATTACGAAAATGACAAAAAGTATAAATAGTTATTGCTAACACATTAAAATTTTGAAATAAAATTCGCATTATTAAACTTAATATTTACCGTGATATACAACTATATCATTATTAAGTAGAACGGCCATTTTAGTGACAAAACCATTATTAATTAGTAAAAAGGTGTCTGATGAAATTGCGTATTCGACATGAAAGTATGCCAGTGCCACATTTTTGCCCATCTTAGCTGATAATACAGCAACAAATCCGAATTTGTAGCACTACCTATCGAATTTTGTGAAAAACTCACTATCATCGCTATCTTCGCTGATATTTCTTCTGTGCTCTGAAGTCTGTAATCCGTTTTCCTCGCTATGCTGTTGTTTTTCTTCACTCTCATTCGCCTGATCATCTGGTCCGTGGTTACCATCTGCAGCACCGCTGTATGCTTGAAACGTATAGTCGATGCTTCTTTCTATCTTTGGCATCGTCTCATCAGTGTAATTGTGCACTTTCTTGTAATGAAATTGTAGACATTGTTTTGTAGTGAATGCCGATTTGCACCCTGATGTCGAACACCTTGCAAAAAGACACAAAAACGTGCGAATTGATGAAAATTCTCAGCAGAATCATCAAGTCATATCTAAAACTGTACGACTTACTTGAACGGTTTTATGCCAGCTATGCGTAAGCATATGTATCTTCAAGTTGGACTTATTCTGGAACTTTTTTCCGCATCTTCCGCACGACCACTGACCTTCCGTCTGCTTTTGGTGCACTTCCTTGGCATGTCTTTGCAACGCTGCTCTAGATCCTAATATCTTCATACAGTTTTTGCATTGAAATTCTTTCAGTACCTCTGATATGTCTGAAAAATCAAATAACCCAAACTTCCAAAAAATCCAATTGTCATTTTGTGTGGGACTCATCTTTTGTTGGACATATTCATTCGTTTGGAAATACTTAAAAAAATGTTTAGTTTGATTTTATTCAAAAATGGTACAATTTATCGATATTCAATAAGAGTACCTTTTTATGTAGAAAACCCTAAATTTTCAAATTCTAAAATTGAATTTCAAAAATAGAATCACACAACAATTTTGGGGCTATAATAACCTGATTCCGTCCCTGTTACATACGCTTCCAAACAAAACTGTCTAAAATTGTTAATATTTTTAAATCTACTATAAAAAACTAGGCTAGGATACCAAATTTTATGTTTTTATCTCAACACGTTTCGGAAATATTAAGGAAAAACCATCTTCAGGGGAGCCCCTTTAAAATACCGTAACGCCCTGAGGGGGCGTTTGTCGACCTATGTTATATAAACTTTTCTTCCTATTTTAAGCTCTAGAAACCGCTGGTATATGGAAATAGATAAATACCTTTGACAATTGTTCATTCGTTTTTACTAATACGTTAGTATTTTAAATAGATGTAGTATAATTTGGAAATGATTCATACAGTAAACAATTTAAAAAAATCAAAAGAACTTCGGGTCGTTTTATAATGCTACCTATAATTTGTTGCTCTAGGCATATTTTGCGCAATTTCAGATGTTTCATAATTGAAATGCTTATACACCTATGTATTTGAGATATATTAAAGACATACCACTGTGCATCCTTTTAATATGAATTTTCAGTTTCTGTGGCTGGCAAAACTTTTTGCCGCAAAAGTCACACAACGGCCTAGAACGATGGGGATTGGCCGAGCAACCATATGTACGATGCATCTCCAGATAATTAAGCCTCAGAAAAAACTAAAAATACAATAAGACATTCTGGTAATTATTTAGCCGCGGCAAGGCAATATTGGATAGTTACCTTTTTACAGAATTGGCACTGATACGCCCCTTGTCCGTTGTGCAATTCTGCGGCGTGTTTCATGATATTCTCCTTGCCCAATACCGCCTCTCCGCAAACTTTGCAGTGATATTTCTTTATCGTTAGACTATACCTTATGTCGTGGAAAACTGAACAGTGTGTTCTGTAGTAATGAGGATGGCTGAAGTACATGTTGCAACCGCCGCAAGCTGAAAATACGAAAATGCAATAATAAAACTAAAATGCTTCATCATGATACATACTTGTCTTTTCCATTTTCTTCTTAACCTGTTGATTCTGGTTTTGGATGTCTTGCCAATACAATAGCTCGTCACCAGCCTGTATGAGTTTTATAGAAACAAAATACAACTGTTCATCTTTAACGATTACAGTTAGATTCTTAGTTGCACGACTTGGCGCTGGTCTAATGAACTTCAACCAGTTCGAAACGTCATTGTCTTCGGTGTTGTAATAAATATTCCCTTTTTCTGTATTCACTTCCCATAGATATTTCATGTTGAGATCTTCCGCAATAGTCCATTTCTTTGACAATCCTTCCTACTAAAGGGCCCATCTGGGTGAAGCATTCTATTTCTGACTTTGCAAACACCCCCAGACCATGTTCTGAGTTCGTTTCAGCCAATCGGAGACAGTTCGGCAGCGAAATAACTGCATAACTATACTTTAATTTTTCGCTTTCCGACCTATCACTTTTTTTGCTTTCTTTTTTACATTGGACCAGAAATTCTCAAATAGAGGCTTGTAATTTTGTTTCCATACATCGAACGCTACGTTATCAAAAATGTTGTACTGTGGCAAATTTATCGGACAGTGATCTTGAATGTGATGTGTGTTGCAATAATGACATAATCTTATTTTTATCACATCTAGACTAATGGGTTTTTCTTGTACGTTTTCTTCTGGTTTTTCAGTTTTGATTTCGTTCTCTGATCCATTTAACTTTACACTATTTTTGACCATTAAATGACCATTTTCACAGCTTTCATTATCTGGTGCTACTTCTTGATCATTGCTGACAGATGCCAAATTAGAGCTTCTATCATCATTTAATTTCTCAGATTGCCTTTCATTGGTTTTCACACTATTTTTTGCATCATCATTTTCATCATTCTTATCCAACTGAAATATCCAGTCGTCATGGACTGTTTTGTTTTTATATTTTTTCTTTCCTTCCTCATTTACGTTTTTTTGTGACACATTCACCTCTACATTTCCCCTTAAAATCAAAAGAAGTTTACTCAAAGATTAATATAAAAATGAACAAGTTTCATTTGGCCAACCTCCAAAACCAATCGTAGCCGATGCCGTTTCGTCTTTAATGAGGCTCGTCAGCACAATATAAACTCCAGATGTACCCAGTGACAAAAACGTTCTTATAAACAGAAAGTATAATGGAAGTAAATATTATACATGTTATTATTGAAGATATTGCCAATAATAGACAAATGCCCTATGAGGTATTGTAGTCTAATCATATTGCGACCCGTCTGCTTCTCCACAGATTTGAATCCGCGCATGTCGTCTAACGGTCATGGCCTAGGACCTTTTGAAACACCACCACCGAATCATGTCTCCATGTTTTAAATACCCCCTTGAACAAATTACACCAATAAAACCAGACTACAATTATTTCCTTGGAATGTTCTAATATGATTAGACTATTGAGAGAGATGATGTTATGGAAATAGAACTTGTTGGGATATTATTAATTAAAATAACATTGTCGATCACATGGATGTTGGTAGGTATACAGGTGATTCAGCCAAATCAAATAAATTTGAAAATCTATATATTATAATCACCTACCCAATTTCTTGAATGGTCCTGTATTTAAATTTGAAAAACAAACAAGTCACGTGTTCCGTGTTTATTATTGATCTGTCAAATATGCACCGCCTACCTTCAAAATGGCCGGTCGTAAATTCAATATATGTGAAAATAGAAGAAATTTGCTATAAAACTACTATAGCTATAATTTGTGACAATTAGTGAATAAAAACGTACTTGTTTAAGAATTGCTGTGTGATGTCCAGCAACTTCGTAGTGAATTCGAAGTTCGTTTCACAATTGAGTGCAGTTTTCAGGGCATTCCATCGCTTCACATTTGCGGCTCCAATCACTTTTATTAGCGAAATATCGGCTTCCGGTGAGTCTTTTTCGTTTACACATTCAAAATCACTCTTGTAAAGGGATCTGTTTCCGTTTTGGAATTTCCTAAACATTATAAAAGCTAACTTAAAGTGGATGGTCTGTTTAAGAGTCCATCCTCTTTAATATCGATCTGTGACGTCATGAGGTCATGGACGCAGAGGGGCCGATCGTACGTTCCCAAGTTTTTTTTTTGATTTGTTACAAAGAAAATACATATGTATCATTACTGGAATGCTTCAATTTTCTACTTGTCTGCAAATATGTTGACCAAATGGTACATCTCACCGAAGGAAATACGAAAAACTGTATCACGTTTTGAATAAAGGCGGCATAAATTATGACAGATATGTCATGTGTGAAAAGAGTTTATGAAAAATGGAGCACACCAACAAACCATTATTCGAAATGGTTTGCCTGCAATACATGGTAGGAAGGTGGCAGGAAATATAATTATATCCATTTTCGCTATCCTGCATTGAATTATAAATAAATAATTCGTCAATTTTCTTAAATGAACCGATTCATATTTTCGCATGTTGGCCCATCACTGCACTGCTTAACGTTTTCCGCCAACTGTCATCTGTGATCTGTCGAGCTGTCATTTTGACTTTTATGATCCTCCATTTTGTCTCCTCCATTTTCGGCATCCGTTTCGGAGGACGGTGCTTTGATAATAAATTGATTGTTTATCGAAACTTTTTTTGCATGTAATTTAAATATACTGAAATAATGTATATACATTTATAGGAAAGTATTGTTAGAACAGCCTGTGGTGATCCTGTGTCGATAATAAAGAAAATGAGGCGTCGGGCCAGAAGGAGGTAAGAAACTTCACATTGTCTTTTCTGGGCATTACCTTTTAGGGATCTGTTTATATTCGGTTCTTTTACCTATACTAAGAATATTCTAGAATTGATAATTATTATATTACTGCATCCAGAGTCTTGGGCGCTGTAATTCTATTTTTATACATTTCATTAAAAACCGTGTATATATGTACCGATTGCTTCTGATAAATCCGCTCATGTTTAACGTGACCATCAATCCCAGTTTGAGGGGAACCTTTTTTTCTCAGTCCCTGTGTTCGTGACAAAAAGTTGGGCCAGCCAGTTAGGAGCTCAGCATGCACAATCTTCAGCTTTAATCCTGGAACTAACGGACAAACATAAACCAGTCTCCTTTTGACTAATAAAATGGTCACACTATTCATAATCATTAGGATTTCCTGTAGAATCTAATTTGATTCAGATATTAATTTGGTTAATTTGTAGTGGAACTGCAATCTTGATACATTATTTGTAGCACTCGGCCATCTTCATTAAGATCACGTAGCAGGCCAAGGAGGAGAAGCAGAAGTCGTGACAGAGGTTATGGAGGTGGTGGTGGTGGTGGGGGTGGAAAGAGGAGAGGGGAAGCAGGAGCCAACCTGAGGAAGCCCAGATGGGATCTCAGCAGATTGGAGCCCTTCAAGAAGGACTTTTATGTGCCACACCCTAATGTCACTGCCAGGTATTCATTTATTATTGAAATATCAGTAATTTTATTACACTTGTTTATCAATAAACAATGTAAACATTTGCACCATAGTAGAAATTGTTGAAAAATTACATCAAGATCTTTTGGATTTTGGTTGAGAAATGATAGCTAGTCTGTAGAAATGATGATTTGTATGCATCAGTGAACCTGTTGAAATAAGTTTATTTTTGATTACAGCATTATGAAACATGTTTAATCAGCATTTTGTTTATTAATTTTGTCACACAGATCACACCATGAGATTGATGATTGGCGTCACAGCAAGGAGATCACGTTGAAGGGCAAAACCATACCAGAGCCTGTAATGACCTTTGAGGAAGCTGGTTTCCCAGAATATGTTTTGAATGAGGTGAAAAAGATGGGGTTCAAACACCCTACTCCTATTCAAGCTCAAGGTATGTCCTATATTTATCAACTTCATTATCATGTTGACAAATGTACACATTTTTCATGCAGATCCGCATTAATTTGTTATTCTATAGGTTGGCCGATAGCTTTATCTGGTAGAGACATGGTGGGAATTGCATCAACCGGTTCTGGAAAAACACTGAGTTACATCCTGCCTGCAATCGTGCACATCAACAACCAGCCGCGTCTCTGCAGAGGAGATGGTCCTATTGCACTCGTCCTGGCACCTACCAGGGAATTGGCTCAACAAATACAACAGGTATGTTTTTTATTGGTTAAACAGGTTGAGACAGAAAATTAAAATCATGATGTCTGTATTAATGACCATATAGGAAACCTGAAATTGAATAGATTGTAGTTGATGATGAGATAATATCAAACAAAAGTCAAATGAGTGACACTTTTACAGATTAGTTTTCTACTATATGCAATAGAAAACTTGCTGACACTTGTACCCATTCAGTGTCAAATCCATCAAATTCTATATATTACACAAAATGAACTAATATTGAAGAATAAGCCGGATTGTGGTATATATGAAATCCCTGCGAAAGTTCTAAAGTCAATTGTTCCTTTCATAGTGGTATCTTTTGCTTATTTTGCCTGTACACAAAATTATAGAAAAATCCTGCTGTCAAACAAAAGGTATACACTCCTCCATCCCCATAACCCCTTAATTCCAACCCCTACAAAAATATCTTCTGAAAATAATCAGGATGGATTTTTAAAAACTACAAAGCTTTTTTGCCCTTGACATAGAATAGAAGTAATCTTGTGTGAAAATTTCATTAATGAAAATGAGTATAAATCTGATTTTTGAAAATTTTTGCCGTTACAATACTTTGTAGGAACAAAAATGTACTGTTCAATATGTGTTAGGTGGCGCAAGACTTTGGGCATTCTTCAAGGATCAAGAACACCTGTGTATTCGGTGGGGCTCCAAGGGGCCCTCAAGCCAATGATCTTGTGGATGGAGTTGAAATCGTTATAGCGACGCCTGGCCGATTGATTGATTTCTTGGAGAGCAACAGGACAAACCTCAAAAGGTATTGTTATTTTCTATTTCATTTTTGTTGTTTTGTTCAGAATTAATTTTTGTTTTGTCAGATGTACGTATTTGGTGTTGGACGAGGCTGACCGCATGTTGGACATGGGTTTCGAGCCGCAGATCCGCAAGATCATCGAGCAGATCCGTCCCGATCGTCAGACGTTGATGTGGTCGGCGACGTGGCCGAAAGAAGTGCAGCAACTCGCCCAGGAGTTCCTCAAGGACTACATCCAGATCAACGTCGGTTCTTTGCAGCTCTCCGCCAATCACAACATCCTTCAGATCATCGACGTGTGCAACGAGTACGAAAAAGAGACGAAACTGAGCACGCTGCTCAAGGAGATCATGTCCGAGAAGGAGAACAAGACCATCATTTTCATAGAAACCAAGAAGAAGGTTGACGAAATCACCAGGAAAATGAAGAGAGATGGGTAAGTTTTTTAAAAAGAATATCATTTGTTTCAGATTTATTTAGCATTCATGCACAATGTCCATAATATGTATCCATATTACACAGTATATCACAAAATATATTATGGATTCTGGTTTTCCATGAGATATTTTTTCAATTTCCCTTTGAACATTTTCAAACTGACACATCTTGATATCATTTCTTAATTTATTAAAATCGTACAATCCCTTTTGAAATACTGACTTGCTCGTTATATTGCTACTGCAGTTTTGTAAATGAAAGTCTATACTTTTTCTATACTACAACTATTTAAAACTGTAATGACTCATACGCGTGATCAACACGTGATCAGAGCTCGATCCCGGCTTCCTTCCAGTACAGCCGTATAGCGTACGACACATGTCGTTTCTGTGGCTTTGCGGTGATCAACAGCACAGATAGAGATGGAAATAATGGCTGATTGTTCTCCGCCGGTAGAACCAATGAAATCAAAGACGCGCCTCGACCGGCAGACTCATAGGCGTCGGCAACGCATTGGAACGTGTTTCGTTGAGCGATCGCATATTGTATGTTTTTATAAGAATTGTTGTGTGATTGTTATTGTTGTGGTTTCTGTGGTTACTGTTTTGGTTATACTTAACCATGGAGAGTACAAATGGCACGAGTGGAAGTACTGAAAGCCAGGGAACAAGTAGACGGCTTCGTAAAGCACTGGAGAGGGACGCGAAAGAAATCGTGCTCAACGTGTTCAATTATCCGAACAGAACTATGTCGCAGGGAGATGCACTCGCGCGATGTGAAAGTATGACAGGCGTTCCAGAGTGGACCATTCGCAGGGTGGTGCATGAAAAGAAGAAAACTGGAGCTACTACTGATCCTAAGTTTAATTTGAAAGGACGAAAGGCCGTTAAATTGGATGACGATAGCAAAATGGCGTTAAGGCGAACCGTACATTCATTCTTCTTTAGGAATGAGATACCAACCCTCAAGGCTGTACATGCAACGATCAAGGAAAATGAAATTATACCCCAAATGAGCCTCGAGGTAATGAGGAAATCCCTGCACGAAATTAATTTTCAGTATTGATAGAGATACCTGAAATAGTCGCCTGGCGTCGAAAATACCTACGCGAAATGATTGAATATAGGCGACAAACCAGAAAAATCTATTATTTGGACGAGACATGGGTAAATGCAGGTCACACAGTTAAAAAAACCTGGATAGACAAAAACGTAGTGAGTAACCGACAAGCAAGCATTGAAGGTTTGTCAACAGGTCTTCGTGGACCGTCAGGGAAAGGTCAAAGATTGATCATAACTCATATTGGTAGCGATAGTGGCATTTTAGGAGAGTGACTTGATTTTCGTCTCTAAGAAAGGAGGTGATTACCATGACGAAATGAATGCCAGCTGCTTCAAGAGCTGGTTTTAAGGGGTGCTTCAGCGAGTTGAGCCCAACTCTGTGATCGTCATGGATAATGCTTCCTACCATAGTCGTCGAGCCGAACGGGTACCGACTATGGGATCTCGAAAAAGTGACATGCAGCAATGGTTGCGCGAAAAAGGAATCCGGTTTGACGATTCATGTGTGAAAGCTGAATTGTATGAAAAAATTAAACAGCACAAACCTGCGAACATTAGTTACGTGACTGATGAGATGGCCCGTCAATGTGGTGTCACAGTGCTGCGGTTCCCGCCCTACCACTGTGAACTGAACCCAATAGAGCTCATCTGGGCTCAAGTGAAGGGTTATATTGCGCGCCATAACACAACCTTCAAATTACCAGACGTTAAGGTTTTACTTGAGACTTCCATACAGCTAGTAACGCCCGAAGCTTGGCAGAATGCTATCCGTCATGTTGTCAAGGAAGAAACAAAAATGTGGCAGCTTGACCACCACATCGACACCATCATAGAGCCAGTTATAGTCAATTTCAACGAGGAAAGCGATAGCGACAGTTTATTACTGTCAGATGTAAGTGGAAGCGACGATGAATAAAGGTAATTCCCAAATTTTTGACTTACAATATGTTTCAACCAATCTTTATTAAGCATGTGACAAATCTAGTTCACCCATGTTAAACATTCATACCCCGCCTATGAACAACCGACTACTGGTAGTTAAGTGATGTTCACGTGAACATCGATGAGTCATTACAGTTTTAGATAGTTATAGTATAGTAGAATAATTGTAGCACTCATTGTTCAATAAACTTTTCTAAGTGATTTATGACTGGTTCATTTTTTGTTATAGGTGGCCTGCAGTGTGCATCCATGGAGACAAATCCCAACAAGAAAGAGACTGGGTATTACAAGGTAAATTCTTCCAACTTCTGACAAACATCTGATCTTATGTATTTCAAGTAATCTTCCAGGTATATGCAACTGTCATACATTTTAATGGTTCCAAAACACATTCCTGTACTTTGACGAACAAGAAGTGTCCTAGCGGCAGCAACTGGCAAAAAGCTAGGCTAGTTGTTTAGGGCTAAGAAGTACATTTCTCCACATGGCCGTTACGACCGCTCCGTTGTTCCTATTGTGAAACAATATAGTTGTTTCCAAGGATGATGCGATATTTTAGGGAATTAAGCCGTTTCATAAAAGTCGTAAAATCCCGTATGTGTCTGGTATCAAAAAAGCTTATATAAAATTGAATCCAAACTTGCACAAATATACAGGGTGATGTATTTGAAATGTTTGAGAAAAACTACGATTTGCGTTTTTGACCACCCTGTACGAGCGAAAATTAAAATGCGAAACAGTAACAAACAAGATAAAAGCTGAGGTATGTATTTTTTTTTTTTTGATACAAAATTCAGCACTCCAAATTTCAAAGTGGCGGACTGAGGGGTTGCCGAAGTGGGGGGTTTTTTCAGACAAAACACCTTACATCTCAGTAGCTAATTACCAAAACCCCATAGTATGTTATATCAATCTTCTCCTTTTGGATTGGTTTATCCAAATATGCAATAAAATTTGATGCATTCCGTTTGAAAAATGCAACTTTGATATGTAGGTCGAAATACCAATACTTATGAAATGTGCCCTCAAATGTCATGTATAACATCTCATAAATAGACCGCATCTATGGGCATGTGTATCTACTTTTGTAGTTACATAATTATGTGAGTAGTTACATAATTATGTGAATTCATTTCGGGCCTGATAAAGCCAACTGGCAGAAATACGTATCGCTCGGGTTACCTATCCTATTCTCTGCTCGAATACACTTTCCTTCTTTTTGATGATTTTGCCCATTATTTTCCTATTTTTTGTTATATATATATATATATAGATATATCCTTTAATTTCTTTGGGAGAAGGCAAAGTATTGCAAAAGTACACTCTTATAACTTAAAATCTCAAGCTTTCGAAGAATTTTTTCTTCATCGTCTCTAGCTGGAAACAATTATTAAAATAGCAACTAATAGTAATTAGGAGAAAAATATTTACTTACTAAGTCGGCGAGATTGATGCTGAAATTGTTTTTTAAACAACAGTGAAGGGAACACATAGTCGACGAATAAAAAAAACTGGACCGATGAGGTTCGATTAGGACGAATTATTTTATTGTTGAATGGCAAATCATTTTGAAAGGTTTTATTTAAAATTAGGCGTTGATTGATTTTGGAAGAAATTTGGAGATTTTGAAAGTATCAACTACTGAAAATTCCCCCGAGATTTCATCTTTTCTCCACTGATAAACCTCCACATTATCCAACCCGTGCCGGCCGACTGACATTCTACAGCAGCGTCTGAGGTGTGACCTTGAAAATTATTGGTAGGTCACCCATTATGTAGTACTGTGAAGTGTGTTGCCTAATAGTAAGGCGTTTTTGTAATGTATGGTGCAAGAGGTTCCGCTATTGTTGACCGATGAAGTGCGAAGAAATTTCCAAAACCCAATAGAAGTTGCTTTGGAAGGAGTGACTTTTCCTACTTCTACTAACCTTGGTCGGTTAGAAAACCGGATTAACAAAACACCCTGAAGGCCGGCGTGTTGACAGATTTTGATGTATGAGATGTCGCTAGTTTTCTCTTGATAGCACGATCGAATCTTTATACTTTTCAGTTGCCTCAGTCGGGTTGCTTGTATTTTTTAAAAATGTACCTGTTTATTTTGCTTTCAGACTTCAGAACCGGCAAAGCACCAATATTGGTAGCCACTGATGTCGCAGCCAGAGGTTTAGGTGAGTCACAGATAACTGAATACGTTTATGTTTCCTTCCTGACCAGGCTATTAGGTTTTAAGATATCAGTCTGTATATATTATAATCAATTTATGTTTGTTTGTACAAATTAGCGTCAACTGTTAATTTGATTTGTCAACTACTCTTTGAAACGTATCATTCGCTGCGGGGCAGTTAAATTTCCAATTGTGAATAACACGAGTATATACCGCTGGGTTTTTCGTAGAATTTCAATGTATAATCGAGTCACAATCTGTCTGTTTGAAATAAAAGAACATCCGAACCGGTTAATTAAAGTTAATTTTTGAGAGATAGTTGGATCTGCATTGATTGAAATTGCCAATGTTCGTATATGAAACGGTTTTGATCGTGGTGGGTTATCGTGTGTTAGCGCAGCGTTATAACGATGATAATGACTTTGTGCGAACTCTTCTTTTCCAGAGGCACAAAAAGAGACACGGAATGACACGCGTCACTTGACCGGCTGCGAGCTTGGCGCTGGTAGCGCCGAGTAGTGATGTTGTCATTCGTGTTAACGGCATGTGCCTCGAATCAGTGAGAGCGAGAGACAGACACAGACACACGGACGAACAGATCGAGAGTGGGCCTCGTTAGAGCGGTGTTAGCCCCCGTATTCGAATGTGTGCGTCTGTCGTCAGCCGCCGCCGGAGCGCCCGCCCGCCCTTTTGGCTGGCTGCCCCGCCCGGCGACCACGATGCCGCCGCCGTCGATGACGGCCTTCTTCCTACCATTTTCAGCCACATTCCGCTGTGGCCACCACCACCGACAGCCTCTCGCTGTTCCCCCTTTATTCCTGATGATGACTCACTTATTATTGGTATGCATTTTGAGTGATAACCAGACGCATTTTGTCTGTCAGGTCCCATATTACGTACTACCGCTCGCAACCTCGTACACAAAAATAATCTTCTCAAAGAAACTCACTTGAATATCTAGATATCGTATTAACGTTTATTAGACCATGAAACATTTCTTGATACTGTCTGATGAAACACATTACTAATTGATTATAACACTATCCGCATAATAAAGAAATAAATATAGGGGCCGTTCAACTATTACGTATGCAGATTTATTACAATTATTAGATTGGATTTATTCTTAGTCGCCGCTTGCAATTCTTCTTCGATTCTCTTAGATACAATAATATCTAGTTCCTTGTCGGATTTTGCTTGTAATTTGTAATTTCGCCACACTCCGTTGACTAACTTTTGTACATTTTGTACTTTCGTACTTGTATGAGATTTTTTAAAACTTTCAAACAATTTTTGGTATAACTTTGATTTGACTATGTGAAACGACATCTTATTTAAACATTAAACTTTGGCTAATGGAATCAATGGTAACACAAATGTTAACTTGCTTTACTATGCTTACAATACGTCTACTCGCTATAGTATCCAAACGAAACAATACACTGATAGAGGAAATTTAGACAAGTGAACACCGCGCGGTATTCCCCTACTCGGTTCTAAAGCGAGTCGGGGAATTACCGCGCGCTGTTCACTAAACGTATGCATTATTTGCGGGAATTCCCGAAAATGCGTTTCGACAATATGAGAGTTGCCATTCGTGTAAAAAAGTAAATAACTACCGATGACGTAATCATCATCTAGACTCCCCTACCCCCATGTCATCCAAAATAAGCAAAGCAAAGACCCCCCCCCGCCCCCTCATAGTGCTCACGTAATACTTGAACGGCCCCTAACTGAGACTTCCTGTTTTCAGCCCCCAAATGAAACCATATATGTTGAATTGACTGTTTACTGAACTTCCGCCTGGGGCAGGTATTCTCGCTCCCAAAAGGCGAACTGACGGTGATTCTCCTGTTTCGAATCGGCTCGCGTTAAATCAACTCGATAACCGCCCCCCGAACCTGAACCTTATATCTGGATCAACCCTCGTACTATTTCTCGCATTTTGGAGCCATCAACAATGCAGACGCAGCCTTTGTAGTTGAAGATTGAATAGTCAACCGGTGTGTTGCGGTTACAGTGCGTTTTCGGATAGACGAGCGAGCGTAATGTGTCTGGTACACCCAGAACAACGAATAAAGTCATGCTCACATGTCGCCTTGGAGAGGTTGGACGTCTTTCGGAAGCGAGAACACCTTCAATTCAACATATGTTGTTTCATTTGGCGGCTAGAAAATGATGGAGATTTATCATCGTGAAAACCATAGGATACAAGATTTAGATGTTACATTTGTATCCATTCACTCACCGTTCAATGGCAGTGTATATTTTCAATTTGTAATGTACCGTCAGCAGTATTAAGTGTGATCCGTCAGTATTTACCGTGTAGCCTGGACGTCAGTAATTATTGACGGTTACATAGAAATCCGCGCTGACACTGACGGAATAATCTGTAAATTCTGATAGTACGGATCATAGTAAATGCTGATCCTGTGATATTCGCCTTGAACTTAAATTGTCCTTTGGGAAAATTATTTTTTTAAGTGTGCGATCTCTCGGAATTAGCAATCTTACAGCTCATTTAGGGAGACTAAAGGGGTGGTGTCTTTCTGATTCTGGAAGTTAGATTTTTGACATGTTATCAGTGTTTGTACTGAATCTACAAAAATGCCACATCATTTTACTATCTCTAGTATTTTACGGCTGAGAATATAAACCAAATTTTATGTCATGCACTTGTTTATTGATAAGTATTCCTAAATGCCATTACTGTATCATGTTTTTGTGGTGTGAACTCTCAATTGGTAAAGCATTAGTAAATTAGGAGGAAACGTTCAATAAAAGTGTTTTTTTTTATGAAATTTTATATAAAGCGGTAAATATAAGCAAAAACATATAGTGATTACATTTTTTAATGAAGACATTTGCTGTATCGCAGGATTTTCCTAATAATGTGTTAGGTTATCTCACTGCTAGATACAATGGATTGTCGCTGGGACATACTTCTGAGGAGGTGATTGACGTTGACTTCATAAAACTCCAGGTCCATTGGATATGTGGAAGGTATGATGGAGAGAACAGTCACCTGTCACCTCCTCTACAAACGTTAGTTGCTCTTTAACAACTAGATACCTCAAGAAAACATAAATCATATTATCAGAAGTATGCCCGGGCTACTGAAAAGTATTATCAGGCATTAACACATTATTAAAGAAATCCGGTAATACAGCAAACATTTTCACTTGATATTTAACCACGATTTTTTCTTGCTTATACATAACGTATATAAATTTTCCTGAGAAGTAAATCATTTTCATTGGGTGTTCCATTTTGTTTATCACTGAGTATAGTTTTTGATAACTGAATAAAAAATTGAATACATCGTACGTAATGTGGTGTAGTTGTGGAATAGTAGGTCATTTGAATATTTTTATAATCTATTTTTTTTTAACCTTGTTAAATCTCTGGGTTTTCACATGAAATATTATGAGGGCTACACTGCTTTAAAATGAATTGTTATAATTTGATGGTGATATTTGAACGGTGCTATCAAACTTCAGGTCGCAAATAAAAGGTTGATAGCATATCCACTATCATCATAGATATGAAGATTATCATTCTTGGGGTATTCTTTAAATATTTTTATTTCTGGTTCTTTTGATATCACAATAAAGTATCCTATCTTCGTAATATCTTGGAAATGTTTTGAACAAGATAGAAAATGATACAAGTTCGCAAATATTCAGCTTATCAAAGTGTAGTAACTGAATTTATAGTGATCATTCATCATTTTAAATACGGAATTTATAAAATTAGAACAATTCCAAATCTAAAGAGCACCTCATTCAGTTAGTACATTTTTTATGCATAGACATTATTACCGTCTGGTGAGTATTAAATAGATGTAAGCTTACTGGATACAAGATATAATTAAACTATTTTTTTATTTATTTAAGCGGATTTAATTTACAAATTCTAATATCGGATTTTAAACGTCTTTATAGTCGGCTATTTTAAGAATTTTACAAATTTATATTGCTGTTCGATCCACCATCTAGATAGATTCAAAAGAGACAATTCAAACATACAGAGGTACGATGGTACTTTTATATGTTATGAAACATTAAATGCATTCATATTTTTACGCATTTTTAATTCAGACAGGTCACGTAATTGTAATGTACGTATACATTTCTGTAGTCTGATAACGAATTACAAGAAACGACTTAACACTTTTACAACCGCATATGGTATTAATTGTTGTGCTGTGTTAACTAATAATAATAAAATAATATATATCATTTATTAATAACTTTACACAATCGTACATTTGAGGTCCTGTGCACTATTTGAAAGAGTTCATATAGTTCCAGTTTTCTTCATAAATCGAGAGAAGTGTGTGGTTGACATGTATGTCATGCCCTCTGTTGGTATTCTATAATATTACATTGGGGCTGTTAATCTGAGTGAATAGTATATGATTTTATGTTAGTATTGTGTCATAATCGATATATTTTCCATAACGCTGACGCACTGACTTTTATTTTTCCCCGTTTATTTTTTCGTGCAGACGTGGAAGACGTGAAGTTCGTGATAAACTTCGACTATCCGAGCAACAGCGAGGATTACGTGCACCGCATCGGCCGAACGGGCCGTTCTCAACGCACCGGCACAGCGTATACCTTCTTCACGCCCAGTAACGCACCAAAAGCGAACGATCTGATCGCCGTGCTCAAGGAGGCCAAACAGGTCATTAATCCCAAGCTAATGGATATGGCCGACTGCGTCAGGGGGTATGGATCAGGATCGTCCAGGGGTGGTGAGTATTCGTTGCTACTACTGAAAATAAGTCATATCACATGGTATATATCCTATATATACAATTGTCAGTTTTATTTATTTATTTTATCCATAAACTACTATATTTTGGCACAAATTCTCAAAAGCTTATGTTCTATACAACAAAACATTTTATTTTACCTCTAACAGAAAAAAAAAACATTAAAAAATGAATCAGGTATATTGTGTTGTAAAAGTGTTTCTCGTAATTTTGTGAATTCAATGACTGTAATTTCTTTCATTTTATTTTCATTGAACATATTTCCCACTTCGAAATATATCCGTGAGTGATCACTTATCTTTGGGGTATGTTTAACTTTAGCAATTAGATTTTGTTCATTAGTTATGAGCAAATCGATTTTTGTATTCGAAAAGTTCGTAACCCTTGTATAGTCATTTATTTTCTGCCATAATCCATGTAAGTTTAGTACTTGTTTAAATTTTGTAACATAGAAATTTTTACTGTCAAAATTTATATTGAAGTCTCCTAAATGTACATTTGTGCAATTCCTGTAATAATGTTTTTCACATATACTTTCAAAAAATTCAATAAACCTATTGACGCTGTCCCAAAAATCGGTGATCCATGATGTTTCCCAAATAATGCACGGATCCAGGTAAGTAAGATTGAAGCATGTATCGGATAAACATCAGGTTATAAATGTCATGATATATATCACTTGATATTGTTATTGGCGGATCTAAAGTTGTAGTAATTAATTCATATTAAGATGATTGCGGTGATATTGATTTCAGGTGGTCGTAGATGGCGTCGCGGTCGTCGCAGCCGTTCAAGATCAAGGTCAAAGTCTCCGAAACGTGCTCGTCGCGATCGGTCGAGAGAGAGACGACGGTCCAGAGGCAGGTCGAGGTCTAAAGAGATATCGCGCAGTAGGGACAGATCTAGGAGTCGGAACAGGTCCAGGACGAGGAACAACAGGTCCAGGTCTAAGGATAGGAGGTCCAGATCGAAGGACAGTAGCAGCAGCAGTATGAGTAGGAGCCGTAGCAGGTCGATGAGCAGATCAAGTAGTAGCAGAAGCAGGTCCAGGGATAGGAAGGATGGCGTAACTGCAGGTGATGGCATCGGAAGGGGCAAGAACTCGCCCAGCAGGTCAGTATTATATCCATCTAAGGAGGAATGACTCGACTAAACTACACGCATTGTTGGTTGCATATATTTTGTGAAGCCGAGTAATCGGTAGTTTTTATCTCTGAGAAGAAAGTTGGTTGGATACCAAGATCTTAGCTGGATGATATGTGTATTCGTCTGCATGTGTATAAAATCAGGGATATTTATTGTGTAAAAAAATCATTAGTGAATACGCTGTCAATGAAGTACATATAATATGTATTAGCTGTACCCGACGGGTTATTTGTGTTGTGATTTCTGAAAAGAGGTTATGTTCAAAGTTATAAATTACGATGAACTTTGAGGAGAATTACGGTAAATTATTATCATTTCTTATCTCTCATTTTTGAAATTCAGCAGATTTGCATATGTAATTTCCAGAATGGATAAGAAAAAGTGGATGCGCAACTAATCTCTAGCTTTGAATCTCAAGTAAGTGTATTTGACACAAGAATCCATGGAATTATCATCAACACATACAACTTACAGCTTAGACCTCCAGGCCATCTTTAAACCTACATAATGTCACAAAAAAGCAATAGTGTCTAAAAATCGTCATAATGTCACTTTTCAAGATACCTAGTACCCGTGCCGGAATAATGTACAGTTCAAAATTCAACAGTTGGCTGGCTGAAGATTGAAAAATTTGGTCCGAGTCGTATTTTTTCAGATGAACCAATAATAAGGATTTATCTGTATCTAGAAGTCATTATTATAGTATTAACTGTGTAAATTTGTTACAGATCTCGCTCCCGGTCTTCTGATCGGTCTATAGACAGACACAACAGTGTTGCCAATGGCTCACCTCCTCGTCAGCAACAGCAGCAGCAACCGCAACGGCCTTCTTCACCAACTCGCCAATACAATGATAGTGAAGACCGTCAGCAGCAGCGCCAGCCAGAACAGCCTGCGACTCCTCAAAAGGAAGACGTCAACAATCACTCGGCACATCAACAACCAGCCGCGCCCCCTCATCACGAACAACAACAGCAGCAGCATCAACCGCCTCCGAATGTCATGCAACAACTTCCGCCACCAATGCAGCAACAGCAAATCGCCTCCGCTCTGCCTCCTCCTCCTACTCATATGATTCCTGTCAACCAGCAACCAGTGTCACAAGCACAGCCCATGCCACAGCAGGTAAGTAACATTTCTAATTATATTATTAACACTATATTGACAAAAAAGAAAGACAGGCGAATAGGCTGCGTAGCTAACAACGTTGTTGCGTGACTTACTAGACTACGTCTTGTTACGGATTCAAAATGATTAATTAGGATGTAGCCAGACATTTTATCTTACCTGTTACCATTACTTTTGTCACCTTGATTTAGATGTCTGAATCATGTAGATATGAAAGCTATGCCAACATTTTCTAATATATAGTAAATACATACGAAAATATTTTTTTTCAGCATGACTTACAGTATCAACATGAGGAAATGCAGCAGCAGCATGTAGCGGCGGTTTCTTTAGGTCAAGGCCAAGTTGCGCCGCCACAAAATTATCAGCCACCCCCATCGTTGAGGCAGCAATTCCCAGGACCACCTCCTCAACATCATTTTCCACCGCAACAACAGGTATAGGTTCCTTACAATTATTTTACAGCCATATCGTTGGAGGTCAATTTCTCTCACAAATTATATAATCTTTGTTTGGAAGCATTCGATAAGCGCACAATCATTTCCGTGAATTAACTTTGATCATTTCTTGGCTAATTTAGCTAGATAAATATACTGTAGTGTCTGAAGAATACAATCATTCTTAATGACGAAGCTAACTTCAAACTATAACAATTAAATGTGTAGCACCATCATCTTCAGCAGCAGCAAGTACCTCCACAACAGATGCATCCGATGGAACAGCCTCTCCCTCCCCCTCCTCAACAGCAGCCGCTGCCGCCGCCACCACAACCGCAAATGCTTCCTCAGCAGCAACAACAGCCACCAAGGCCAATGATGAACAACCATTTCGCTGGTCAGGGTCCCCCACCGCCAATCCCTCATCATCAACGAATGCCCAGGCCCCAGGGACCACCTGGGAGCTACAACCATCAGGGAGGTTTTAATCATCAAGGAGGCGCGCCTGGAGGAGGCAACTTCAGGCCCAGGCATAGAGGACCACCACCACAGGTAGGGCAACTTCTATACTCAGTGTTGATGCTTCTGGTGTGATGAAAGATGTTTTACGCAAATGGATCGGACAAGTATTATATTGGTCCACTCTACATAGGACGTTACTTAATGATAGGCCATAATTACAAAAAAAAAAAACAGGAAAATTAACAGTAAACTGTCACATAAAGTGTGGAGCATAATAACAATATATCATATATGAATCTTTCGTTTGCTTTTATTCCACTGCCGAAGTAAGCTCCACTGATATGAATGTGAAGTGTGTATGAATATGAAATGTTCTCCATGATCATCGTGAATCTGATGCAGTCTTTTGATGTCCTTCAACAGCAATTTGGCGGAGAAGGCGTGATGGGTCCGGGGGCGGCGCACGTGCCAGGACAGCAGCAGATGTTCCAACGGCCCCCGCCGGTCAATCACCATCAGCACTTCAACAGGCCGCCAATGGGAGGTGGAGTATTACCTGGTGGTGGTGGTGGTGGTGGTGGGTTCAATCAACCGCCGCCACAACGCATGTATTTCCAGTACAGGCCGCAACGGTGAATCGTCGCATTTCGATAACAAATTATGAAAGAGCCGGATGCACAGCACGTTCTTTTTTACAGCAAACGCTCATCGAGTTTTATACTGATAATTATACACTGACTATTGGAAAAAACATAGTCAAGCAGATTGGCTTGCCCAGAAGTGATCCCAAAATTAAAAAGTCTGAGGAAATTTTGATATACATTACAGTCAAACAATGGCTGCATTAAAAAACCAATGGAATAAAAAGCGCTCCCAAAAAGTAACGAAATATACGAGATACAAAATTTGAGGATGTTTTTACATCAATTCTGCGGTTTTCATGCTGATAAATCTCCATGTTGATCTTCCGACTGCCAAATGAAACCGCATATGTTGGATTTAATTTTTGCTAACGTTTCGACCACCTCTGTGATGATACACATCATGAATTTACCTTAAATGTAATGGTGTGATGGCCATATAGAAATCACAGAGCCATTCCATCAAATGGTCACGTTTTTTTTTTCAAATGGACAACTAAATTTGTGACCGTATAGTTAAATTATAAACGTTTAACGATCTGGTCAGTCACAATTGATGATATTGTAACGTAAAATATCTATTGAATATTTAATCAAAACCCAGAATATGTTTTAGGCTCATTTATTGTTGTCCATCAGGTAAGACAAACCTTTTTATTACAACTAACATACATATTAACTTTAGGAAATTAAAATAATTATATTTAAACTGTATCAACATACCAAAAATTGCACAACAAATTATTACCTCGGAGTGACAGCTTTTCCCTTATTTATAATAATGAAATTTGCAGATACATCATGTGCATATTGTGGATTATCATCATTGGTCAGGAACACCAAAATGCGTTTATAGTGTATGTTTCAGGTACATATGGACCATGGAGATTTATCTGTTGACTTATTTATTACAAATGTCACCTGTATATTTGTTTACGATGAAATTCCTTAGATGACAAACGCTGATGTGAAAGGAACGCACAACAAATCAAAATTGATTCTAAAAAGAGCTTTTGAACAGTTCTTCATATATCCTCAAAAGGTATTCTTTTCGTGGATGTTATATCCATTCAAAAAGCAAAAGTTACACTTGTGTAATAAAATATATTTATGATATTTTAGTCTTTACCGAGACATTAATTTTCTTCTGGTTATCGTTTCAACTTGGTTTGATATAGATGTTCGCCAAGTTTAATCATAACTATTTTCTAACTTTGCAAATAAAATGCATTTCTTTATACATTCTATAAGCTGAAGCCTCAGTGGGTTCTATTTAGACAGTGTTGTAAAATAGAAAATAAAATTTTGGCTTCCAACAATTTCATTCATAATTCTCAAACACCAAATATATGTTTGCCTGTTAAAGTTGGAAGTAAAGAACGTTATTCGTATTTTTGACGATCATTAAAGAAAAAGAAATTAATAACTAGATTATCAAAAACATGATAGTACACAGGATAATAACAAAAAAAGTTTTTCATAATTTTGTACAAATCAAATTGGTGTAGTCATATGACTGGCCATTGTGTTACAAGTTTATGAATTTTGCAATGCTGTGTAGAACCGTGTATATATTTTCAAAACATTCATTATGTTGGACTTTTTAGTGTTATAAGTTTACAAAATAACTTTGTATCATAAAATTATGTTATATGAGTATGTAGTCTCAAGAATAAATCATCTTTCAAAATACTGTTTTTTTTTTCAACTAGCACAACGACACCAAAATTCGGCCACTGTATTCCGACATTGAGAATAAACCTGAAGAGGTTTGCGAGCAAGTAAATTAATCGTGATTACAAACCAAAAGCGGTATTTGTTTTTTGGCGGTATACCGAGTGACAAAAAAAGTAAATATCCAAAACCCGATTTTTCAGCGAAACAATGCCCGACCGCATGTTGCTAGAGCATTGTTAGCCTTCATGGATGAACATCGCATCAACAGTTTACCTTGGCCACCACGATCGCCTGACCTCTCTCCAATTGAACATGTCTGGGACTATTGAATTTGCAACAGACTTTAGCAGCTCTTCTCACGAAGTGGCGGTAGTCTGGAATGAAATACCCCACCAGGATATCAACCACGGCGTGTCAATGAGTGTATAAGAAATCGTGGATCCTCAACACATATATGCCAAAAATTATTAAAATCGGATAAACATACGTACGTGTTTATCTTTTTTGTGCCTTAGTTATAATTTTGAAAATTTTGTTACTTCAAACCAATTCTATGCAGTGATTGAGTTAACTCAAACCAAATCAGTCTAATATATTAATTTTCCCATCTCAAACCTTTATGACGTTTGTCTGTCAACGTGACGTCTGTCAAGCCAACATAAACATAACCTTAATAAAAAGCATATTTATTCTCCAAAACTTTGGAAATGGCTAAATTGGGATCCTTTAAAATAATTGGTTCAAAAATTGTTGGCCCGTTCTTTTATGAGGGAACCCTAACTGGTGAAAGATATGTGGAATTTATGTCAGAAATTCTGACTAATTTCTTAGACGAATTGGATCTTATAAGTAGACATCATCTGCATTTTCAGCAAGATGGCGCACCTGCCCACAACTCCAGAGGTACTTATCATTTTCTAAGTACTACTTTTAATGATCAGTGGATAGGAACAAATGGCCCAATACAGTGGCCTCCCAGATCACCAGATCTAAACCCACTTGATTACTTCTTGTGGGGTTACTTAAAGAACCAAATTTACAAGCGAAGGTACGATAACCTTGACGCGTTAAAGACTGCAGTTAGGGAAAAGATAACCCAGATAGATGGTAGGACCATACTTAAGACAGTTCAAGCAGTTGAAAAACGTGCCCAAAAATGTATTGAAGAACAAGGTGGTGTTTTCGAGCATCTTCTTTAAAAAAAATTGTTATTGTATTTTGTAAAATTATAAGTTGATGTTGAAAATAAAGTTTGTCGATACAATTTAATTGTTTCAGATTGGAGGCCATAACTTCAACAATTTGTAACGTAGGAGAAAAGTTATTGTAAGCTTTTTTGTTTAAAATTTGATGCTTTAACAGAAAAAAATATAATATACAGGGGTTTCCATTTAAAAAAATGTTATTTTACTGAAAAAAATCAAAATAACGACTCTCAATTGTTTTTTTTTATTTCTCATTTTTACCAGCGTTAAAAATGCTACTAGTTTGCTAATTCAAACAACTTTGTATTTTCACTAATAACAAAGTTACTAATGGTGGACACTTAATTTGGATAACCCTGTATATGATAGGTCGCAGGCTCTTGAACTTTCAACACCCTCCACAGATTTTAGCAGCTCTTACTCACGAAATTGCAGTAGCCTGGAATGAGATACCCTAACAGGATTTCGACCATCTTATCGGCGTGTCAATGAGTGTATAAGAGATCGTGGATCCTCAACACATATATGCCAAAAATTATAACAATCGGATAAACATACGTACGGGTTCTTTTGTCACTCTGTATATATGATCTTGAAAATTTTGTTACTTCAAACCAATTCTATGCATTGATTGGGTTAAGTCAAATCAAATGTGTCTAATATATTAATGTTCCCATCTCAAACCTTTATGACGTTTGTCTGTCAAGCTAACATAAACATAACCTTTTTAAAAAGCATTATTCTCCAAAACTTAATTTAATCATTTTACTAGTCTGGGATACGAACATATAAGCCACAAATTATTATATATAAATCGGATAAACATACGTAGGTGTTTACATTTTTTTGTCACTCATACATATTAAAAAAGACAACATGACTGCAACTAAAAAGAATGAAGATTTAATTATGCGTTCAAGAGGAATCTAAGGGCACCTCAAATGTGAAATAGAGATTACAAAGTTTGCCGGTTAGGATAGTAGAAGTAGCCTAGCTTTTTAGCCCTAGATAATTGGATAATGAATAAAAACAGTACAAACAATTAATATGTATAATGCTGTAATATTATTTACATTGTAAAAATGTATTATCTAATACACAAGTTGTATTCTTTCCTCTTACTGACAATGTACCAATCTTTTTACAGTTCTTTCTTTTCATATAGAGATACGAATTTCAGAATTTTATGAATTATTGTTCATTTGTTAATACAGACTTAGTTGCTCTATGGAATATCTCAAATTGCAACTGTAATCCTTCTGCTGGTATTTTCCTTTAATTAAAGTTCTAAGTATTGGTTCTAACTGTTCACATTCCTCCAGATAAGCTAGACTTTGATCTACTAATTTTCTCAGCTTATAAAACACTTCCAAGATTTCCTCATCCTTGGACAATACTATTTTTTGATAATTTGCATCAATAAGGATGCAGCTCCATTCCATCAGCTTTTTTTCTGTTTCCACAGCATTCAAATTGGGCAGTAGAAACTCGTCAGATTCCCAAGCATAACAAATATATTCTAGCAGCGGTTTGAGATCTTTTAAAGTAAGCATTGCCTTCAAGTGTGGCAACAAAATTGTTTCACTGTATGATATGCTCATTATTTTGTCTATCAACTTTTTCCTCTGTAGCGGCTGTAAACCAGGAGGAAAATTCTCAATAGAGCACTTCTTAAATAAGAAAACTTGTGGGTTTGCAGTGAGTAGATATTGCAGAATTCTAGCCAAACATTTCTCTGGTATATCAGAGAAAAATTGGAGGCACGCATTGAGCATGTCCACATCGTTGTTTTTTAGAATATCTGGAAGCAACTCTTCCAAAACAAGTGATTCAGGATATCCTTGTTCTATATATATGTCAACTTTTGTTTGGAGCAACGCTGGAATGTTTTTCTCTTCCACTTTGATTTTTGCATCCCAAGATGAAACCTCGACTTCAGTGACAATATTAATGTCAGCATCTAGACGATCGTTCAATGCTTTGTGACTTCCGATCAAAGCTGCGAGTTGCTCAGTTTCTAAATAGAAAGGAATAACTGCCAAGTTTTGACCAACAGGCAATATGAGGTTATTGTCAACAAGCCATATTCTAGAATTTTCATTGAACAATTTGAAAGGTTGTTTAGTTTGAGTAACTTTGAATTGAGTGTTGTACAATACTAATACAGCTCCTTCTTCATTTGAGTTGGCTCCAAATAGAGCAACATAATTCTCGTCCAAAGGCGTTAAGGAGACTTTATGCTTCATTGAAACTGAATCAACGACAGTGAACAGATCTCCTATAGTGTTTTGTGCTTCATTATCATCTAGGGCAGTTGAAAATATGCTCTGGTCTGACCCTAAAAATAATACAGTATGTACATACTATGTTTTGTGATTATATCAGCAGAAATGTATACGCTCCTTGAGTTACATACAGGGGTCCTGATGCTTTCATTTTCAGAAACAACTACATCTGACATATCAAAGGTAATGTGTGGTAAAACAATCGGAAAAAGTACTCACTATTTACTGTTAGTCACCACGTTTGGGTTTTTAAATCTGATCGTGAATAAGCTAGGTTAACCTAGACACTGTTCAGCACCTGATGTGGATATCAATACAGTCATACCACAAATCATAATACTTTGTATTATAGCATACAGGGTCAAACTTGGCCCACATCGAGTATTTTAGAACTGTTATTTTTAGGGTATGTGTTACTAGAAAAACTTGCATATTGTTACCTCAGATATACAGGATGACTTGTAATGTCACGTATTCCTGTTAAGGGGTGATAGATTAGGTGAAAATTTACAAAATTTTTAGAATTACGCTTTTGAAATGTATGATTTTCTTATTTTTTAACTAACTTATTCGATAAAAAAATGCAACTTTCTGTAAAAAATAACCTAGTAATGAAATGTGCGAATTATGTAAATAATATCTCTATCTAACAAGCTTTCACTTGAGGTATAAAAGTTACAACTAACTCAAGTACAAAGACATAAAATTAAAAAAAGATGAGTAAAGTTGTACGAACGATAATTACGTAGGATAAATAAAAGCTTTTATTTTATTTAATTACATTTTCTTTAGTATTTTACAGATTCTGCTCAAATTGTAATCCCCTATTACGAATACACGCACGCATTCTCTTACGTAATTCACTTTTGGTAACTCTAGTTGTTAAGCGGCTTTTTATTTGGTCAGCTGCACTGATTATCCTTGTAATTAATTCATCGCGCGTTGCTACGGGCGAAACATTGTACACCAGGCTTTTCATATGTCCCCACACATCCATCGGTGTGAGTTCTGGGCTTCTTGCTGACCAGGCAATGGGCCCGCCTCTGCCCATCCATTGCTTTGGAAATTTAGAGTCTAAATACGACCGTACTAATCTACTGTAGATGGTACAATCACTATGTTGCCTGTGAACACGTCCGGTTTGGCGGATGCGCCGATACACAGAGTCAAACACAGTAACATGAGGTGTTCGGCGATTCGGGAAACGTTGCCGATATTCACGGCGGGCAGCTGCAGAATCGCCGTTACAAAGTCCATAACAGAACATTATGTCTGCGTATTCTTCATTTGTAAAAGTTGATGAATAATAACAGCTCTCTCTCTCTCTCTCACTCCTCCACTAAGTCAGCTCTTCTCGCTCGCTTCCTCATTGAGCCGATGCCATAAAACAATCATGGCATGCAAGTCCTTTGAGGACAGTAACGACTTGTTCAAACAGGTAATACAAATTCCTTAAAAATCCAGTCTCTGTGAGTGTCATTGTTGTTTCTCTGCATGTACTTCAGATAATTGAATCCTTTATACCTCAAATGAAAGCTTGTTAGATAGAGACATTATTTACATAATTTGCACATTTCATTACTAGGAGTTTTTTTACAGAAAATTGCATTTTTTATCGAATAACTTAGTAAAAAAATAAGAAAATGATACATTTAAAAAGTGTAATTTTAAAACGTTTGTAGCTTTTCGACATTTTATTACCTATTATGAACTATTGGAATGTCTGCTATGCGACGATAACAAAAAACTCAAAATCAAGCATGCAGTTTTTTTGTATTTCAATTTTAACCGTTTGAAATCGGAATAAAAAATAAAAACCTTAAAATTCAAATAACTCAAAAATGGTTAACTTTTGGATAAGACATGATAGGACAAAATCTATCACCCCTTAACAGGAATATGTGACATTACAAGTCACCGTGTATGTTCTGTAAAGTCCCAGCTTTAAGGCACCCTGTATAGTTTCTAAATTTATACTTACAACATGACAAAAAATTCATTCTATCTTGCCATACATGAAATGCCCATCCTTTAAGTGCCAAGTCTTCTCTGTTCAAATCTATTTTGTTGAAAATTGCTTTTCCATCATTAAGTACTGTCCAATGTAAGTGATATTCTTCATTTTCAACAACTATCAGAGCGACATACAATGAGTCTTTCAATTTCTTATACAAAACATCCACAATTTCACCATCAAATATATCTGAAGGATGAAGAGTTTTCCTTTCATCCAAAGCTTCTTGTAACCTATATACAGATCCATTTTGGAAAACAATATATGTGCTATCTGAATTGTTGAAGATTGTGTGTATCGGTTTGTTAAACTGGAATAAATTAAAGTTAAAAACTATAACATTTACAAATAAATCGCGTATTGAGTCACGAGTTCTCAGGATATGACTGTATTGAGAATAATACCTTGTATTTCTTCACTTTGTCCAAGTTTTCTTCAGCATCCCAAACCTTGATGTAAGACTGATTGAATACAGCTACATATTTTGAAAGCGTTTTTACGTATAATACAGGAGAACTGAATTTTTCTCTGGTACGCCAACATACTATTTGCTTTTGGTCCGATAACTGTAAATGAAAAATATTTGAAAAATTGGGACATTATAATACACCGCATCCACGCATACCTTATATTTGCTGGCGATATTTTTATCCAATGTCGCAATAACGAAACCTTTTTCTGCATCTTCTGTTATACCTAGGATACTTTTTGTGTCAATTATTGGGCATAGTGCATAGTAGGATCCCAATTTAGCCATTTTCAAAGTTTTGGAGAATAAATATGCTTTTTATAAAGGTTATGTTTATGTTGGCTTGACAGATGTCACGTTGACAGACAAACGTCATAAAGGTTTGAGATGGGAAAATTAATATATTAGACTGATTTGGTTTGAGTTAACTCAATCACTGCATAGAATTGGTTTGAAGTAACAAAATTTTCAAAATCATATATACAGGGTGACTTTGAAATTGAGTCATTAATTTTCAGATAATGATTGTTAAGAAAACGTGGAATTATTGGACCATCCTCCATATAGTCCCGATCTAAGTCCTAACGATTTCTTTACTTTCCCGAAAATTAATAACAGACTGCGTGGTCAAAGGTTCTAGTCACCAGAAGAAGCAGTTGACGCATTCAAAAATGCCGTTTTGGATCTGCCAGCAAACGAGTGGAATAAGTGCTTCGAACGCATGCAGATGTGTATTAATCTTCGTGGAGAATACTTCGAAAAACAATAAAGTCATTTAAAACTACCTACCGTGTTGTTTTATCTCCATATGCAAAACTTAAAAGACATCCCTCGTATGCAGTTATTTTAACGTGAACATAAAAAAACGGGAAGTAGATTTTAAAAAACATTTTGATTCAGTAATTATTATATTGTGGAAATATAGTACAAATCAAATTGAACCTCATACCATAACTATACTATGATTGTGAGTGGCGGAAAGACACTGTTTACGAGCGCAATTAATAGAAATCCTCATCATTATCTTTAGCATCATTCTGTTGGTTCTTCACTTGTTCCTGACTCGAATACATGTGAGCTATCTGTTGCGATGTGGTGGCGTCTTCAACGTTCTTGTCATCTCTGATTCGTATAAAACGCGGGAACCTCAAAGATATACCCTTTTCTGGATCCACCTGTAAAAAAGCACACATTTTGCTTAGTATCATCTTCCTTACACGATACATTCCTACTTTTATTTTATGCTACTCACAATTCCGATCGCCGCTCGGTGCACGGGTGATAGTGACAAATCGGCACACTTTATTTCCCAAACTTGCATCGCGTCGAACCAATGATCAGGGTTCAGCGAGCCGTCAAATCTGTAGTATGGTTTTGGTTGTGGTATCACGTGCTGTTTCAAAAACTCGGAGTGTTTTTGCAGCGCTTCTTCACTGAACCCTGTTCCAATCTGCAACAACAACAAAAAAATCGCGTCAAGTTGGTTAACTCCGCAACGCTGTTACCAGTTCATAAACTTAGTTCCTCCCAGGAAAAAAAAATAGTTTCACAATACTTCTTCGCCAAGTGGCGTAAACATCCTGAATATTTACCTTACATATACTTTGGAACTCCTCGTTATCCTTGTCATAACAGGCGAGCAAGAATCCCCCGTAGGTTCCTGTGCGTTTTCCCTTTCCCAAATAACCACCAATGACGACAACGTCCAAAGTGTCTCCAACACCGTCCAAGTAATCTTTCTTTAATTTCAGCCACTTTCTGGATCGCTTCGCTATTTCGTACGTTGCGTCTTTTTCTAACGTCTTCACCATTAGCCCTTCACAGTTCCCTTAAAGTATAAAATAAAGTGTGCATTACAAAAAAACGTATAACAAAATTACATCTTGATGAAAATAGTCTTTCATACAAAAGTTATAAAATTTTAAATCTTCATTATACCTTTGACACTTTCTTCTAAGAAATCTTGCACTTCCTCCATAGCTTGAGTGTCAATACTTTTGGCGAAACACCATTCACCTTCCACTTCTTTAAAATGTTCTCTGAGTAGAATTCTGCGCTCTATGAAGGGTTTTGTAACCAAAGATTCGCCATTAAGGTAGAGCAAGTCAAACATATAAACGCATACTTGCACCTTGATATCTTCTTCAACAGCATCCTATAAAAAACAAAATGAAAACGTGTCGTGAAACTTTTATCACATTATTCCAATACCTTTCTTTTTCTGGTACTGAGAATCTGGAATGGTAATATTTGCTTCTTTTCTTTATCCCAAGCTACAACTTCTGAATCCATTATGCAAGACTGAACCTTGTCTGTTTTACAATGGTCAATCCTGTGGATAATATCGGGATATTTTGACGTGTTGTTTTCTTGATTCCTACTAAATATCGAAATCGAACTTCCATCGATGTGAATCTGTAAATAACGATTCCTTAGGCACTGTTCTTTCAGAGGCAACTACAGAGCAACTGGCGACCTGTCTTTGAGATTGTGAAAAAAGTCGATGAGTTTGCACAGTACAATCAACAGTTAGTCAATTTTGGCCTTACGGACAAGGTTAAAAATCGCATTGAAATGAAATAATTTCAAAATACTCTTTCGGATCTTATAGAACAAGGCCATATTGTTATATGTAAATAACGATTCTTTAGGCACTGTCCTTTCAGAGGCAACTACTGAGCAACGGCTACCTGTCTTTGAGATTGTGAAAAAAGGCGATGAGTTTGCACAGTACAATCAAAAGTTAGTCAATTTTGGCCTTACGGACAAGGTTAAAAATCGCATTGAAATGAAATAATTTCAAAATACTCTTTTGGATCTTATAGAACAACGCCATATTGTTATATGTAAATAACGATTCTTTAGGCACTGTTCTTTCAGAGTCAATTACTGAACAACTGGCTACCTGTCTTTGAGATTGTGAAAAAAGTCAATGAGTTTGCACAGTACAATTAAAAGTTAGTCAATTTTGGCCTTACGGACAAGGTTAAAAATCGCATTGAAATGAAATAATTTCAAAATACTCTTTTGGATCTTATAGAACAAGGCCTAATTCCTCAAAAATCGTGTTGTTTCACCGAGTTTTTAGTCTTTGAATATACCCATTTTAAGGTTTTTCAGACATTAAATCGTGTATAGCTCGAAAATAGTGTACTTAAGAAAAAAGTTAACAGAAGCCTTTTTTATTCAGAATAACCCAAAAAATCTGAAAAAAATTCGTCCTGACAAAAAACATAGTGATCTATAAAAAAATGAATATGAAAAGGGTTGTCCTGCGGTACATTAAATGCTTAAAAACTTGGTTAAACAATTATAATTTTTGAGGTCTCCAAATATGTAAATAAATTAAAGTTAAAACCTTTCTCAACAAGACCTCGAAAAGTATTTCAAGATTAGTTTATTTTAAAGCAATTTTTTATCTTGTTTGGCTAAAACTGACGAATGTTTGATTTTTGCCAAGTATGTGCTAGTTAAGAATATGCGGAATATAAATATAACATTTCTATTTTTAAAAACCTGCACGTTACCTGCGCTCTTTCTCCGTCATATTTCCACTCGCAGGTAAATTTGAGATTGTCAAATCTCTCGAGTACTTCTTGAACGCCTTTGGTAGGATGCGCCAACATCGGCTTCAAAGGAATGCCCGGCCTGATATGGCAATGCTTCGGCAGTTGATTTATTCCCAAATCGATTATCACCGGGATGATTTCGTCATAACAGGGACATTCACAGTAAGCAGTTTTCACGAGAAGACTGTTTGTTTCATATTCAGCTTTAAAAGCATCCGATGACATTGTCTTTGACTTATCCAACACTTTAGGTGGATAATCTTTGCTTGGCGGTGTTTTGGTGCTTGCCAAAGCCAACGCGAGTAAAACTGACTGTTCTGCAAGGCCAATCCTTAGTTTACCCGCCAAAGAACGAATAAGAAAACGAGCCTCTTCATCTTGACACGCTACAAACATGGACTGGATCTTTTCTATCTTCTTTGTTTGTGACTACAAGCAATCATAGGAAATCTGTCATTTGCAAGAATCCTATAATTATAGTGTTAGTATAATAGTATTGTCTGGAGTCCGTATTACGATTATTACGTGGAAAACATGGCGTCAAGTGGGTTGACACTCCGAGAAAAAAGTCAGTCAAAAAGGTCTATACAATTAGTGCTTAGACCTTATTTACCTGCCTTACTGGTAATGCGATGCTTTCAGAACCAATTAGTCATATTTCTATTGTACCAATTTAGGTTTTCTTATAAAAATTTGGCTGGTACGATTTGTAAGTATTGAAAAGCATACAAACTACGCAATGGCTTATTTCTTATTGAAATTAGTGAATGGTAGTATTAACGCTCGATTTCGTATACCAAGGAGACAGGTAAGGTCAAGACAATACTTTTACACTGATCATCGTAGAACTAATTATAGCTCTTTTCATTTTCAGAGAGGATTCTTAAAAATTACGACACCTATATTGAAGTCGACACAGCTCAATAAAGTCACAATAAGATATTCATAAATACTTGACACTGTATTTACTGTTTTGTACTTTTATTAATATTAATTTTACATTTACACTTAGTGTTATGTATATTACTTTTTGTACTATTTGGGATCTTTTCCTGTATGTACCAAATAAATAAATAGAATATAACACCTAAAATGGTATGCTCGGTTGGTATTGCAAAAAAAATGCTAATATTATTCACCAGGTATATAAAGATCATATAATACATACTGCACTGCCAGACATTTTAGCGATTTCCTTTAATTTTTCAAAAACTCCACGGACAGTCAGCCTGGCAGGTTTGAAAAGCATCTTTTGATTGGATTTGGATTTCTCAGCCACCAGCCCAAAATCTCCTATTTCTTGTACATCTGCCTTAACTTGAGCCAAAGTTCTGCCGGTCGATTGTGCTATCGCTTTCATCACAATTGTGTCCGCTATACCAAGCTCCACACCTTTAAAATATTCACAGCACTTAAGCGAATAGCCGATTTTGCTGAGTATTAAATAGGCCGAGTAATTACTCGGTATCAACGCAAGACGCACAACTTGCGAAAATAAAAAAATTGTAGATGCAATTTGCCAAACCTTCCTGATACGTTCGTCAAGAAATTGATGCAAAAACACAAATAAATACCCAAGGTTACAGCACGTTTTTGTCAGTATCAGATGCTTGATTTGCATGAGCGATTAGTGAATGTAGTGTATTTATGGTATTTGCATAGCTTATTTTTTATATATGCAAGGTGTTACTTCATTGTTTTTTCATAAAAAAATATGGTAAGTCTATAGAGCAACTTCTATAACTATCAAATATTTGAAAAAAGATTGAATATCATATATAATACACTAACCTGGAACTTTTGACTCACAAAAAATTATTCAAGCTATACAACCGTCTTTTTGTGGTGTGTTAACTTTTTGCAAAAGTAAATCAAGCATGACAGAGAAGAAGCACTAAAGAAAGCGCTTTATAAATTTGTGGTAATAAATTATCCTATAAGGAATTAATAATAGTATTTTTTGTTATACTCCTTAATCTTTATAATAAACAACAATAAAATAGCTAGAAAAACAACATTTAACAAAAAAAAAACATAATACATATTAGCAAAACTAATATTTTCCACGTTTTGTGATTCACAGTATCCACACTATCCAATACAAAAGATCGGATACTATCGGATACTTGAAAATATCCAAGTTGCACATCACTACTCGGTACCCAGTACTCGGTATTCAAATCTGACTGAGTACTTGGTACTCAACATTTTGAAAAAAGTAGTACTTGCTGCATCCCTAGTAAAACTACTTTTTACCTTCATAAGCTGGTGCAATTTTATTCAGGCACAAATATACACTGGGTAACAGATCTTCGGGTGTCAGTACAATAACTGACCGGAAATAATTGCTCAATATTTCAATCATTTTTAACCTGGCCGATACATTTTCAATTTCATCAAAGGTTCTAGCTAAAGCACTGTATGGAACACTGCAAGATCAACAATGCTTTATTATTTATTGTTACAGTATGCAAGCTATTTTTTATACCTTTCTTTATGTTTCCAAGTTGCATGCTTGATGGGATCATAATTTGTAACATTGGGATTATATTTAGGTAGGTCATCCTTCTTTGTACCAGACGGTTGTCCTACAATAAATTATTACATTCATTTCATCTAAAATATCTATGAAATGAGGGTGTCACCTTGTTAAAATACATCATTCAGTTTGATTACTTGATGAATACGAAATCAATACAGAAACAAGAATTTGTTGGTAATAATATCTTTAATACATACCAAATATTGAAGCCAGTTTCTTATCATCCTTTTTTTCATTTTGTGACCCTTTGGTTTCATCAATATCTTCCTTATTTTCATCTTTGATCTGCTTGTTTTCTGTAGTTTCCATTTCAACTTTGGATTCTTCAACGCTTTCTTGCTTATCAGAACGTTCCTCATCAACTAATTTCTGCTTTTTAGCATTTCCAGTTTTTAATGGGGATATTTCTTCAATGGACCTGTACATTAGCGCCGAAAACATATTTTCATAAATTTCTCTGACAAATAGAAGAGTTGTCTACAACTCACAAGTTGCCTTCATCATAACTATATAATTTTTATCAGTTTAGCTTAAAATAGCATAACACATGGAACAAAGTGTTACCTCTCATCACTAGACTCATCACTGCTTAATATTCTAGCTCTTTTACTGTTTCTTCTCTTCACATTCACATCATCTTCATCTTTTACAGGACTTGTAGATCTGAATATTGATATACATACATTATCCATAAAACTGTTTAATGAAAAGCATATAACTTACACTTTCTTTATAGACTCGCTATCATTTTTTTCATTGGATGATACAGGTTTTACTGTATCTGGGCTGCTTGAAGATTCTGTTACAACTGTGGCATTTTTTATCAACCTAAAAGAATTTATACTGATAAAACTGGACTGATCCTTGTTACAAAACTCATAATTTTTGTGAGTTAAGTTGTCTAATCCCAGACTGTGCATTATGAAAAATAACAAAGAAACCACAAAAACATTCATTTATTTTGATGCTTACTTGTCTTCTGTGACTTCATTATTTTTCTTTGGAGGAGATTGTTTCTTTTGTGCTCGGGGACTTTTCTTGACTTTTTGCTCACCGGCAGGACTTTCCTTCACCCTAGAAAGTTCACATTGTCTTAGTGCATTGAAACATATCTAAGAAATAACTTACTTTTTCTTTCTCGACTTTTCAGTTTCATCCCTTGCTGACACTTCTTTCTTCGGAATCTTGGAACTAATACATACATGATTAATAAAACATTTGGGCTTGGGCTTTAGAATCTGTTTACCAACATTAATATAGCTTGAGATTCTGCAGAAGGTACGAAAAATAGAAAACATAGTTATTAGAACAAAACATACCCTGATGATGTAGAATTGGTATTTTCTTTTGGAGACACTCTAGCAAAAAACGATCTAAAATTGAGAAACTTCAATAGATCTGTATAAAAGCTATAATTATTGATATCTTACGTGATGCTTGATTGCTGCATTTTGTAAAATACACCCTTGATTTATAACTTTTGCTGTTTTACTAGTTGTTTTTAAATAACAATGAGTAAGGTTATGGTTATGATCCGTCGATTTCCCGCCGCGTCAAACATGAGACACTCGATAGGATATTTAACATTTGACAATAATCCTTCCCTGGATTTATTTCTTCACGAAATTAGAACATGTCAAATTCCATGGTACCAACTTTGTTTTCCTTTCAATATATTGAACAACTTTTCAATTCAAGTATAATATAAATTATAGAACTCTGATATTTTGGATTTATTTAGGTCTGAGTAAAGATAACATGGCAAGACAACTGTTGAAATGTATTCTACTAGACCCTAGAAGACTATACGTACCGTGCCGAAATAAAAAATAAAAATAAAAAATTGCCGCTTTGACGTTCTAAATTACTCCGTCGGTACCTCGGGATAGACATCTGTCTTGACAGATAATCTTGTCATTCTTGTCACCTGGATTGCGGCGTTGCCAGCTCATCGGACGATTTTGCTACCGCTGCTATTTTGATAAATGATATAAAAAAAGAAGTTTTGAACAAAATATTGAGGAATACAATGGAGATATATAAAATTTGAGGCGTAGCAATTTTAATGTCTCTAAACATTTTTTAAATGCCCAGTTTTATAGTATAAAATACTTTTCGAATACTTCTTCCAAAAATTGGAAAAAACAATGTTTTATTATATAATTATATTTATTAACTATGATCTAAAATTACATGATCATTAATAGGAGAGGAACGATTTTTATTTTACTCTACTATTTATTAGTATCCCTCTTATACACAGAGATATTAGGCATTCATTTTGAGGCAGCTAAGAATGGACAGTTTGATAACTTGAATCCAACTTATAACTCGTCGATCATGTGGAATTACAGGCAGGCGCATTTTGGACGCATCACATCCCTACTCTTGTAGTTCATTTGGTGCCTACGTATCATCCAACAACCAAGGTAAGACATTGTAGTTTTGTAAACACGGGGCAGATATTCCAGGTTTGAAAACGCCAGAGAATCAACGCTTGATTTTTTGCACCATATTTAGTAAACATAGTGCCAAGGGTTTAGTGTCAAAGCACGATACTGTCAATTATAGACTATCATCAGTTCCTTGAACTAAAAATAGCATTTTGTTCGAGGCTTTGCCAATAGTTTTGAGACTTTGCAGAAATGAATGTAAGTACATAAGAATATATTAACGTTAGATTAGTGCACGTTTCTTTTTATAATAATGTATTACAGGCTGGCCAAGATAAGGATCAGACTAGGTTAAATTCACTAATTACACAATCTTGCATCAAGCATTTGTTTGCAACGCCTACTTAAATAAAATAAAAAAATAGAAAAAGAACACGTTTGTTTATAATTTTAAAAAAACAATGTAACGTGATACATCGTAGAAAAAGATGCTATTAGATACAGGGTCGTACTTTTTTAAATGTTGTGCACTTCGGACACATTTAAAAACACCATCATGTAGTGCCATTAGTTTTTTGACATTTCTTAAAATAAAGTCAGGCAAAAATAAAAACGATCTGGCCAAATTTTAGTTTTTCCCAAATACCTCAGTATATGACTAATCTCTCAGTGTATGCAATGTGCGCAATTTATTTAAAAAACATAGGATGTCAACCCTAACACACAAGTAGATGGGTATGCAAAGCTCACCTGGTTGCACATGCATCCTGTTTCCCTCAGAAGAGTTGGAAGTAGACTAATTTCCACTTTGGAGACACTTGACAGCCACGTCCCAACACTTATCTTTACTCGGGCCTTTACTTAATAAGGGTGGCTAGTGTTCATATTAAGAACTTATAGAGATACCAGTAAGAATAAATTGATGATTAAAATCAAATTTTATGATGTAGTGTGGCATTAATGTACAATCTGGCAACATGGCGTATCTAAATAAAAATGGCCGGTGACAATGACATAAGTCAGTCGTGTTGCCTTGAATAATACGGAGTTCAACTTCTTCAGTATTTATGTTTTGTGGTTGCAATTATTGGAAAAGCCATTCAAAAGTCAAAAAAAAAGACAAAAACTTAAACAAAACTGTTGCATGGTAGAAGAATTGTATTTTTGGAATCATTTCTCTGTTACAGTTACTTATAAAAGACTTTGGGCCTTTTGTGTTTCAAAGCATGAATTATTTCTTAGGGATATTTTTTTTCTAATACTGGCACCAGCTCTAGATCTGTCAATCAAGACACCATCGTATCGTTTGGCGTTTTAGGAATGTGTCAAAAAAGGAACTCGATTATAATTATGTGATTAAGTAACTTATATCGCGTTTTCGTCTGGTTCTGGGCATTTTTCCACAATATTAGTATACGTTTTGCGTCTACAAATACATCGCTTGGATAGAAATACACATGTAAGTACTTCATCTAGCAAATGTAATTAGAAGCATACTGCTGTCAGAATGGAAAAAATTAACGTAATTTATCTTTTTTATTTAAGGTTTACTAAAGAAGATGACAATTCTGGAGAATGAAGTGATTTCTATGCGCAACAAATTATCACTATCCAAAAGGAAGTATAAGAACAGCGAGCAGATCAAGCGAAAATATCTGTACGAGGAAGAGGACTTACCTGCTAAGAGGCAAGTCTTTGGGGAAATGATAAACGGGTATCGCTCTGATCAGAGGAACAATGGAGATGTCCTTCAAGACTCTCCTGTCGCCACTTTGTCAAATATGGGCAATACTTGTTTCCTAAACAGTGTGATCTATACTTTACGTTTTGCCCCGACATTTCTTCATAACCTTCACCACCTTATTGGGGATTTAGCCTTGGTTAATTCTAAATTCAACCAGCACAAAGCTAAAACATCTTCCTTAGGCAGGAATATAGGAGCACTAACTGGACCAAGCTCACGTAGTACCAGCAGTAAGGATCTGTTATCAATCGGCAGCTTATGTGACATCATACCAAAATCAAAAGTTCAAATTGTGACTGAAAAACTGCACGAGCTATTTGTCACAATGCATAATCTTGAACTAAAAGATTCTACTGATCCATATCAGCCTGTTGCATTCTTACAAGCTGTAAGGGAAGCTAATTCTATCTTTGAAGGAAACAATCAGCAAGATGCTCATGAGCTATTAGTGTATTTACTAGATAACATCAGAGAAACGTGCGACATCCTTACGCAGCAGGTTCATCAATATCCAGACCTGATGAACGAAGCTGAATCAATGTCACCTGTAAACAATAGTAAAATTTGGAATGTTAGAAGGTCATGGAAAAAAACATTAAAAAAGGACAAAAATGCCAAGGATGCAATTTCAGAAGAACAAGGAAACGGATCGAATGCAACAGATTTTGAGGATTCTTCAACTGTCGATAGTAATAATGTAGGCAATAGAAGAAGAATTGGATACAACTTTGTTGCGGAAGATTTTGAAGGCATCACACTTCGCCGCACTAAATGCTTAGAATGTGAAAGTATTACAGAAAGGAAAGAGCCATTTTATGATATTCCAGTTCCTATCATATCTTTGAAGGACAATATAGACGTTTTAAATGAATGTGACATATTTAGGAAAGCGTGCGTTACAACTGAAAAACTGTGTGATGCTAACAAATATCTATGCGAAAACTGCGAACGCTATAATGAGGCCAGCAGAGAAGTACTCTTTGAAAAGCTACCTAACATCATGGTATTACAACTGAAGCGGTTCACTACCTCCTCTATGGGGGTTCAAAAAGTCAACACCTACGTACCAACTCCATTAGAAATAGAATGCTTCTGTCAGAGTTGCTGCATAGAAGATAATATAGAATCATCAGTTCGTCATAAATACCAGCTGTGCTGTGTAATTATGCATCTCGGCGGGACCATGGCTTCTGGTCATTATATTGCTTATGTAAAAGCTTCAGACCACCTGGAAGACTATGCAGATTGTACTAGGGATATACCAAAAGGGAGCTTGTCAGCCAGCAGTAGCGAGAAATCTCTTAATATCCTGAAATTTCTGAAACCCAAGGCACTGAGTAATGCTCTTATTGATAAAAATGGGCTATCCTCAAAATGCGTCATGAACGGTGTCAGAATGTGCAAAAGTATAGATTGCTGCAGTGTCAGGTTGAACACCAATGTCATTGAAAATTCCATAAACTGCTACTCCAGAAAAATCGGTCAAGATTACTATTCGACAAATGCGGCAAATGAAGATATGTGGCTGGAATGCGATGATGAAAGTGTAAGGCCTCTCACAACACAAGAATTTAAGGAAGAGCTCGGATTCAAGGCAAACTCCACATCTACACCGTATTTACTTTTTTATGCAAAGATGCCAGACGTTGCTTTAGACTAATGATAACTGCTTTGGGTAGAAATATTACACATATGCATTATTTACTTTTTTCATGAGTACAAATTCAGATAGTAAATTATTGTGATACCACAATACTTTCGTTGAAATTCATAGGACAAAAGTATTTAAATGTATATCTTTACATTAGCGATGCATTTTTGTATCTGGTTATATACCATGTAATATTTATAGTTTCATTCATTTGAATCTCCATATTTCTGCCTAAACTGGGGTTATGTTGTACATACATATTATCTTTTGTCAGTTACTTGTATTTCAGAAATAAACAGCTTTAATACCAAATAGTTTTATTTATTTAATAATAGTTATATATATAAAAAAAATAGGAAAATAATGGACAAAATCAGCAAAAAGTGGATTCGAGCAGAAAATAGGATAGGTAACCCGAGCGATACGTATTTCTGCTGGTTGGCTTCATCACGCTCGAAATGAATGCACATATGCAACTACAAAAGTAGAGACACATGCCCATACATCCGGATACGGGTGTAACCTGAGGAAACAAAGTTGGAGAGGAAAAAAAGACACACGAAGTCCACAACATACTAACGTGGGTGAATCGACGGTTACCGATGTACTTCTTGCATTTTCTAGCAAAAACTCGATTCCTCCTCGAAGATAGTAGGTCTACGATTCTTGGCTGAAACTTCCAGATAGGCCGCAAGCGCTCACGCACGGTCGTATAACTGGTTGCCTAAGCGTCGACATCGCGGGAACGCTCCACCGCGACAAAATGTCGCACTTATAGGAGCGCGTTCGACAGTATTATTAACTGATACCAGAATTATTTGTGTGCTCAAAGATACTGTTTTGAGTATTTTTTTCAATTTCGGGAGAAAAAGGACATAACTAGTTTTCTAAATTTCATCGAAATATTGCGATTATTAGAAATAAAGGCTGATTTGTAGTGTTTTTTTCATGGAAATGCACTAATATCCATATCAAATAGGGAGCAGTTTTTGGAGCATCTAAACTATTTGATAATCAAATAATTGCTAAAAGAAGACCCGCTCTTAAATTTAGGTTTCGATTAAAAAAACTACTTTCGATCGGACAGTACTTATTAGGCATGAGGGCGTCACCTCTCGCACTTCCATTTTGGAATGTCAATTTCTCCGAAATCCCATGCCCAATTTTGAAATTGTATAAAACACATTGATATCAAAAAGGTTTATTTATAAAGTTGTAACAGTATGCGTAATAATTAAAACTAAATAATAGTACGATTTATGCTTTTGAAATAAATCACTGTGCAATGAAGTTACTTTAAATCATAATAATATCGCTGACCATACAAAAAACAAAACAGAATTATGTAATCCCAAATGTAAATTATCAACTGCGTTACTTATAATAGAGATTGATATAAAAGTATAAAAGATACAGTACTGATTTCGTGCGAGATTATAGGAAGTCGTACATCACACAATTAGTGAAAGGGAAATAGGTACGACTCGCGCTTCAATTAGAATGAAAATCCTCCATTAGGCACATCGGTAGGAGATGAGAATTGCAGTTGACCATCTGCAGTCTGAGGGGCTGGCATGTTTTCGTCGATAGCAGGCTAAAAACAAAACAGTTCGATCACAGACGGTTTCACACTTGACAACGTTGGATGTCCCAAAAAATTAAGTAAGATTTCAATTGAAAATAACAAATCAGGGTTATGTGTGCAATAACACATCAGACAAATGGTCTCTTCAGCTACATTGGACATTTCCTAAGGGGTTATTAAGTAAAAAAAAACACTAGAACTAAAATTATAGCCTTCTGAATTTCGAGGAAACACAACTATATTACAACTATTTAAAACTAATGACTCATACGCGTGATCAACACGTGATCAGAGCTCGATCCCGGCTTCCTTCCAGTACAGACGTATAGCGTACGACATATGTCGTCTCTGTGGCTTTGCGGTGGTCAACAGCACAGACAGAGATGGAAATAATGGCTGATTGTTCTCCGCCGGTAGAACCAATGAAATCAAAGACGCGCCTCGACCGGCAGACTCATAGGCGTCGGCAACGCATTGGAACGTGTTTCGTTGAGCGATCGCATATTGTGTGTTTTTATAAGAATTGTTGTGTGATTGTTATTGTTGTGGTTTCTGTGGTTACTGTTTTGGTTATACTTAACCATGGAGAGTACAAATGGCACGAGTGGAAGTACTGAAAGCCAGGGAACAAGTAGACGGCTTCGTAAAGCACTGAAGAGGGACGCGAAAGAAATCGTGCTCAACGTGTTCAATTATCTGAACAGAACTATCTCGCAGGGAGATGCACTCGCGCGTTGTGAAAGTATGACAGGCGTTCCAGAGTGGACCATTCGCAGGGTGGTGCATGAAAAGAAGAAAACTGGAGCTACTACTGATCCAAAGTTTAATTTGAAGGGACGAAAGGCCGTTGAATTGGATGACGATAGCAAAATGGCGTTAAGGCGAACCGTACATTCATTCTTCTTTAGGAATGAGATACCAACCCTCAAGGCTGTACATGCAGCGATCAAGAAAAATGAAATTATACCCCAAATGAGCGGCGAGGTAATGAGGAAATCCCTGCACGAAATTAATTTTCGTTACGAAACGCGTAATCGGGAGTCAGTATTGATAGAGAGACCTGAAATAGTCGCCTGGCGTCGAAAATACCTACGCGAAATGATTGAATATAGGCGATAAAGCAGAACAATCTATTATCTGGACGAGAGATGGGTAAATGCAGGTCACACAGTTAAAAAAACCTGGATAGACAAAAACGTAGTGAGTAACCGACAAGCAAGCATTGAAGATTTGTCAACAGGTCTTCGTGGACCGTCAGGGAAAGGTCAAAGATTGATCGTAACTCATATTGGTAGCGATAGTGGCTTTTTAGAATAGTGTGGCTTGATTTTCGTCTCTAAGAAAGGAGGTGATTACCATGACGAAATGAATGCCAGCTGCTTCGAGAGCTGGTTTCAAGGGGTGCTTCAGCGAGTTGAGCCCAACTCTGTGATCGTCATGGATAATGCTTCCTACCATAGTCGTCGAGCCGAACGTGTACCGACTATGGGATCTCGAAAAAGTGACATGCAGCAATGGTTGCGCGAAAAAGGAATCCCGTTTTACGATTCATGTGTGAAAGCGGAATTGTATGAAAAAATTAAACAGCACAAACCTGCGAAGATTAGTTACGTGACTGATGAGATGGCCCGTCAATGTGGTGTCACTGTGTTGCGGTTATTACCGCACTACCACTGTGAACTGAACCCAATAGAGCTCATCTGGGCTCAAGTGAAGGGTTATATTGCGCGCCATAACACAACCTTCTTCAAATTACCAGACGTTAAAGTTTTACTTGAGACTTCCATACAGCTAGTAACGCCCGAAGCTTGGCAGAATGCTATCCGTCATGTTGTGAAGGAAGAAACAAAAATGTGGCTGCTTGACCACCACATCGACACCATCATAGAGCCAGTTATAGTCAATTTCAACACGAGGAAAGCGATAGCGACAGTTTATTACTGTCAGATGTAAGTGGAAGCGACGATGAATAAAGGTAATTCCCAAATTTTTGACTTACAATATGTTTCAAACCACTCTTTATTAAACATGTGACAAATCTAGTTCACCCATGTTAAACATTCATACCCCGCCTACGAACAGCCGACTACTGGTAGTTAAGTGATGTTCACGTGAACATGAGTCATTACAGTTTTAGATAGTTATAGTATAGAAGAATAATTTTATTACTGCCTCTCTCTTTAAGTAATTTACAACACTTACCTCTGAGAAGTAGTTTTCGATTATACTAAGCGCTTTTTCGTAAATTTTCTCATTGTCGTGATTTTGTAGAGCTTCAATCCCATCCAAACCTCCGCATTCTTCTATTAGGATTGCTATTTTTTCTACCTCACCCATTCTATTTGCAGCCTGAAAATGAAGGTGGTATAAACATAGTTCAACAAGTTTCGATATCTCAGCATAATATCCAAGAGTCAATAACCAAATTTTGGATAGGTTTTGAACTGAGCTGGTTTGTCAATGAGTAGCAATCTTAACCTAAAGGTTATAAGTATGTATCATAGTCAAAGTTAGCTCATAGCTGAAAATAATGGTTAACCTACTTATGTATTAGTCAGAATTATCAGACACATTGACAGAATTTGCTTCCTCCACTTTTCAAAAAAGCTTAGGTCTAATGCGCTTACATGATACCTGCTGTCAAGGTCAGTCTATGACCCAATATATAATTTTCACGCTGTCGAATTCTATAAGTAGACCGGTAAGGGAACGCAAAATTTTCCCAAAACATCACGAAAATTCTATCATGGATGAAAATTTAGATTCGAGTCGTTGAAATAGCAATTCCGGATTCTGCGGTAGGTAAGAACTGAACATTTTTTTAAAGACCTTGATTTTTTTTCTGTTGCGGACCTTTAAATGTTGTAACTTGAGGAAACCGATGCGAGTTATACTTACATTCAAGATATTGGCTAAGCCATCCAAAATGACTGCAACAGTCTTCTGGTCTTTCGAATTGAGGAGGTTACACATCGGCTTCAGTGCACCCATCTCAACCAGTTTGGCCAACTGCCCAATGGTTCCTCCACTAGTATAGTTTGTTACTGCCCAAGCTGCTTCCTTTTGACTTTTGAAATCACCTGTTTGAAGTACGTGCAGCAGTGGTGGCATTATGTCTGCGTCTATAACTTTTTGGATCTGCTCACTGTTACCTTCAAGCGATGAAACAGATATTATAAACACGCAGATTTATGTTTTTTGATAAAGCGCAGACACGTACCATATACATTAACTAAGCTCATTTACATCTTTACTCTCAGTTACTACAGGTTACTGAAAACATTAATTTATTATCTGTAAGTGCTGTATAGTCAGTCGATCCTACTTTGTAGGGCGCCTTAATAGCTTCCTTGATCTTCGTTCAGATCTTTCATATACAGGGTGGCCCAACAAAAATTCTATAAACTGTGATAATAAGGGATTATATCGTAACAATAATAACTGTTATAGTTCCCATAGTAACAAGACGTTTATATGTTAACATTTTGAAATCGCATTTTAAAGGAGGCCAGGAAAAATAAAAACGATTTTGGCGGAATGTTTTGTTTTCGTCTATCTCCTGAACTCTGGAATAGTATCAATTGAGAACCGTACCAAATACCGTGTTCGTAGCCTAAATGCGCAACTTTACTCCCAAAAAAATCGGTGGGATATGAAAACGTAACATTTGTTGTAAAAATGGCGAATTGAAAAAGCAAATCAAATAAAACATACCAGCAGTGATGTTGGAAATGGCCCAAGCAGCTTCTTTCACGATGTTCAGCCTAGGATGCTGTAGCAGTTTTGACATGGCAGACAGGGCGCCAGCACTTATCACGATATCTGTTTGCTGATCGTTTCCGGTTACAATGTTACCCACCGCCCTGAGCGCCGGCGTTAACACTGTATTTTCAGGGCTGTACAGTAGCTCCACCAACCTATTGAATGTATATCATTATGTTAAAAGTATTATGAAAAAATAACTAATGTCAACGGGGGTATTTTTATTTTTGCTTAGATTTCAAATACTTCCATGTAATATTTCCTATTGTATGAGAAAATTAATATACTAAGTGACATATAAATCCGAACACCCAGTTTAAATGGTTTTATTTTAATAAAATTTTGTATAAGTACTTAAAGAAGCATAATAAGTAAATGATAAAAATTTCAAAATGATTGCACTGCTTTAAAGCTCTTTGACCTTTAATAATGTGTGGATGCACCCAGATGTGCTATGCATTCTTCAACGCGCCTAGGCATGCTTCTGATCAGGTGGTCAATGTCCTCCTGTGGTATCTCATTCCAGGCAACCACCAACTCCTCTCGAAGTGCTTCTAGAGTCTGAGGAGGACGTTGCAAATTGAGCAATCTCCTACCCATCATATCCCACAGGTGCTCAATTGGGGATAAGTCGGGAGATCTTGGTGGCCATGGTAACAATGTGACATCATTATGTTGAAAGAAGTCTATTGTGACTCTCGCAACATGTGGTCGGGCATTATCTTGTTGGAAAGTTGGATCTGCCAGGGTGTCAAGATAGGATAAAAGATGGGGTTCTAGAACTTCGTGGATATAACCCTGCGCGTTCACGTTACCTCTGATGAAGATTATAGGTGACCTGGAACCATAAGCTATAGCACGCCAAACCATAACTCCAACAGTGTGATGAACATGTCTTTCAACAAAAAACTGTGGATTCCTCCTTTCACCACGTCGCCTTCTAACCCTGGCACGACCATCGTGCTTGCCTAAACAAAATCGAGACTCGTCACTAAAGACAATACTGTTCCACTCCTGATCGCAGAGTGACCGTTGTCTGCACCACTCAAGGCGATTACGTCGGTGTTCTCGAGTTAAAGGGAGGACCCAGTGTGGCCGCTATGAAAACAAGCCAAAACTTCTCATTCGTCGGTAAACACTTCGCATGCCAATAGGTCTTCCGTGTTCTGCAAACCATTCATATGCAATGGACCTGGTAGTGGAGAAACGGTCCCTTAAGGCCAATAATCTTAGGCGGCGATCTTCACGGTCTGTTGTTGTACGGCGGCGTCCAGTGCCCCTTGCTCTTTGCGTATGGCCTTCTCGAAGCCATGCCTGACAACACCTAACCACAGTGTCTACACTTCTTTGCACTCTAACTGTAATTGCCCGAAAAGAAAGTCCAGCTTCCCGAAGTCCCATTATACGGCCCCTGTCAAACTCACTAAGTTGACGAAATCGTACAGGTCTCCGTACTCTAGGCATCGTAACCGATCGTAAAGGATGTCAAGAACCAAAATCCGCCAACGTTGATTCTTTACTGCGGCTGAAATATTCATTTTTAGAGCGTTAGTGAATTAAAAAAAAGCAGTATAAAAACCGGAATGTCCAACTGATAAGGCTGAAAATTTTTTCCACATGTTATTTACAGAGATAAATACATTCACCAACTTTTATTAAAATAAAACCATTTAAACTGGGTGCTCGGATTCATATGTCACTTAGTATACAAGTGTAGTCGTACTGCTTCCTTTTTTGTCACCATATCAATCAGTAAGCTCGCTGATTGTGAAGTGCGCTCCGTAATTCGTTTTTTAAATGCACAAAAAGTTCCTCCTGTTGAAATTCACCAGCAGCTTGTTAAATTAGGGGCGCTGCTTCACGACAGTGCTCGACCTCACATTACCGCAACTGCAACAGTTTCTTGGGATTTTTTATGGAGAATATTGTCTTACGATTTACATTTTTAAATAAAGTTTATCTGACTCCACTACGAAACCTTTCTTGCTTAAAAAAATTACTCTCGTAACTAGTGTCACGGTAGCGTGATCGGTTGTCGTGAAATAAGCGGAGTACCTGTTTGAAACACACTTAGAAATGGTACAAAATAATTAATTACCTGGGAACTAGTCCAGTATCGATAACTTCCTGAATCTTTTCATTGGAACCATCGGTTAGATAGCTTAGCGCCCAACACGTGTCACCTAACACATCCAAGTCGCTGTAGTTGAGCAGCTTGGCCAAAGTAGGTAGAGCTGGTCTGACTAAATCGAAATTTGGAGGTGGATTCTGAAACGTAATAAAATTCTTGTTGCCAAATATGAACAGAATATATTGTTCAAACTGCAGTACATGTGATGTACAACAAAGCAAAACATTGCTATGCGCAATCTACCTTTTTCCTAGCTATCAGGCGGTCACGTTACAGATGAATTTCGTTTTAAACGGCACACAAAGTTTAAACCTTTTTTCAAAAGAAAAACTGTTAGTGACATCGGAAATAAATAAAACTTCATATTCCGGAGTGTCTCAACAGTTTTCATTAATATGACCTTTAAAAGAGATTTTCGAATACTATGAATGCAGCAGGATATTCCATACAAAAACATTTTTAATATTATATACTTTTCACTCCACACGAGAAGAGAGCCGAAAATTTTCTTAAATATTTTCATGTATTTTGACGTATAAAAAACTTTATTATTCAAAATTTCAATTTGTCCTCAGCTGAGTGAAGAACTTAGTCACAAAGACTTTTTGTGTTTATGAACATATTTTATGGATGGTGAACATAATTAAGAAAAACCTTAAATGACCATACATTCTAGGATGTGAAGCTCATTTTGTTAAAAAGATTGCTACTTTATCTGCAAGCTTGAGCTGCAAGTTGAGTGTTTTTTCGGACAAAATCCTGCAGCTCCAGAAGTAGCAATCCAAACCTTACATATACTCATATTACACCAAAGAAGCTTTTCAGAAGATACTTTTTTGTTCGTTTGTTGAAGATTTATTTAGAAATAATGCTATACTGTCAATTTGTATAATTATTCATTTACACTTTTTATTTTTTTAATCATTTTCAGTCTTGTTTATGAATATACTAAGTGACATATAAATCCGAACACCCAGTTTAAATGATGTTATTTTAATAAAATTTCGTATAAGTACTTAATGAAGCATAATAAGTAAATGATAAAAATTTCAAAATGATTGCACTGCTTTAAAGCCCTTTGACCTTTAATAATGTGTGGATGCACCCTGATGTGCTACGCATTCTCCAACGCGTCTAGGCATGCTTCTGATCAGGTGGTCAATGTCCTCCTGTGGTATCTCATTCCAAGCAACCACCAACTCCTCTCGAAGTGTTTCTAGAGTCTGAGGAGGACGTTGCAAATTGAGCAATCTCCTACCTATCATATCCCACACGTGCTCAATTGGGGATAAGTCGGGAGATCTTGGTGGCCATGGTAACAATGTGACATCATTATGTTGAAAGAAGTCTATTGCGACTCTTGCAACATGTGGTCGGGCATTATCTTGTTGGAAAGTTGGATCTGCCAGGGTGTCAAGATAGGGTAAAAGATGGGGTTCTAGAACTTCGTGGATATAACGCTGCGCGTTCATGTTACCTCTGATGAAGATTAAAGGTGACCTGGAACCATAAGCTATAGCACCCCAAACCATAACTCCAACAGTGTGATAAACATGTCTTTCAACAAAAAACTGTGGATTCCTCCTTTCACCACGTCGCCTTCTAACCCTGGCACGACCATCGTGCATGCCTAAACAAAATTGAGACTCGTCACTAAAGACGATACTGTTCCATTCCTGATCCCAGAGTGACCGTTGTCTGCACCACTCAAGGCGATTACGTCGGTGTTTTCGAGTTAAAGGGAGGACCCAATAGGTCTTCCGTGTTCTGCAAACCATTCATTTGCAATGAACCTGGTAGTGGAGAAACGGTCCCTTAAGGCCAATAATCTTAGGCGGCGGTCTTCACGGTCTGTTGTTCTACGGCGGCGTCCAGTGCTCCTTGCTCTTTGCGTACGGCCTTCTCGAAGCCATGCCTGACAACACCTATCCACAGTGTCTACACTTCTTTGCACTCTAACTGCAATTGCCCGAAAAGAAAGTCCAGCTTCCCGAAGTCCCACTATACGGCCCCTATCAAACTCACTAAGTTGACGAAATCGTACAGGTCTCCGTACTCTAGGCATCGTAACCGATCGTAAAGGATGTCAAGAACCAAAATCCGCCAACGTTGATTCTTTACCGCGGCTGAAATATTCATTTTTAGAGCGTTAGTGAATTAAAAAAAAGCAGTATAAAAACCGGAATGTCCAACTGATAAGGCTGAACATTTTTTCACTTGTTTTTTACAGTAAGATAAATACATTCACCAACTTTTATTAAAATAAAACCATTTAAACTGGGTGTTCGGATTTATATGTCACTTAGTATAATAACGAAGCTATCACATATACATTGTTAGTTGTCGTAGCGGTCCCTAGAAACATAGTGTCAGTTTGTAAGGTCTGTAAGCCGGAAACCAGTCAATGTTTGGGAAGGTGACTAACCTTATTCCTGCACAAGTTACTGATGGTCCAAACTGCATTTCTCAGCAAGGAGACGCTGGAGTCTGGTCTGATAAGCACCAACAGCTCTTGTAGTACTCCGCAGGTTAGCACCATGTCTCTGGTATGGGGCCCATCTCCAGCGATGTTTCCGAGCGCCCACACCGCTTGGTCTGCCACATCGGACCGAGGCGACGATAACAGCAAACGTAAGCGCGGTATGGCACCCTCTTGCACGACTGCAGCAGTTTGTTCGGAAGTTCCTGAAGCGATGTTTGTTAGCGCCCAGCAGGCTTCGAATTGCAGCGCCGGACTGCAAAAATGGGGTTTGAGATACTCTTTATGTCGGAGACGGTGTCACATGCAATACCACCTATTTGATACATATGTTATTCAAGTACGTACAGTCAGGCTTTCGTGTAATTGTTTAGGACGAATGTTAGTACCAAATAAAGCATTGCATTCTTACTTGTGGGTCTTCCCCAAGAACTCTACACATCTTGGGACCACGCCTAGTCTGATCATATGATCAATGGGCGGATTCCTCTCCCTACTCAAAATCTTCCTACAAGCTTGTGTTGCCTTAAACTGCACTTCTTCATCAGGACTCATCATACCAAAACTGATCTCGTCAGCAGTCATTGGAACTGGAGAAGAAGACACGTTGCTCTCTTGTAGTGGTGATGTGGCCTCATCTGTAGATATGTTTCGACGTTTGAGCAGCTGATCCTCCTTCCTGGCCTTTCGCAGTTCCACAGCTTGACCTATACGCCTGCGCCTCATTTCCTAGACATAAATAGATTTATTTTTTATGTTTGAGTAGACATTATTAACAAAAAATGTTCCGTGTTATAAAAACTACCACGTGTGGGTTTCCTGCTTTGCTTCAAAAGATACCATTTCCATACAAGAAATGCATATTTTCAATTAATGTAATGAGGTGCCATTTCTTTCCAATATCAAGGTTCACAGTGCTTTCAAAATAGAGAGAGAATATTTTACGATTTTGCCTCAAATACCTAAATATCTCCAAAACGAGAGACCTGAGAAAAAATGCTCAAGAGACAAAATCTATGGACAATTGAATGGTATTTCATAAAATATTTCCAATTAGGGTCCAGGAACACCAGTTTTTACGTCGCTGGTTTAGTTTGGGCCAGAAAACTCGGCGTGTTTATTGTTTTGTGATCGTCTAAAATCGTGACTCAGTAGATATATATTTTTTAAATCCCGTAAATAAAATGTCATCATCCTATATCTTGGTATGGGAGCATCTTTGGACCCATATTTATGTTTTTTTTTTAGTTATTTTTGGATGTACTTCCTACCCAAGAAATATTGGCAACTCTGTACAGTGGACCTCCGGTAATCCGACGAACATTATGCGGGGCAGTGTCGGATTATAGAGCAATGCCTAAGACCCCCTATAGTCCGGAATGTTTTACAAAAGAGTACCTTGTAATCCGACAAATTACATATCCAATGGTAAGATTATATATGTTATGTATATGTATGTACTTTGAAGTACAAATCATATATAGTTTATGTATGTCGAATTTAGTAAATTAAATAACAATAGAGAGCTTACGTTTTATTATAAAATTAAGCATAAATGCACATACATATGTACTAGAATAATCAAAAATTATTAATCAAAATCATTAATGAATTTATCAAATTATGAAGGTTGAAAATATTCATCAATTTTTTTTTGTTTAAGGTTGTCTTCTCAAAAGTAAAAGTTCGTTGTAGGATGTACCATTCTCTTCAGCCCATTGTAAACGTGCTGTGATTTGTGGAGCAGTTGCAATCACGTCGTCGTTATTTTCCTGATTGTTTGTTGTATAATTAGAAACCTCTTTTATAATCTCTTCATCAGACATTTCATGAAAAACATTTTCCTCTTTATCCATTCCATGGCACCAGATTTCCAAATCTTCCGGACTTATCTGTGCTTCAATAGCGACTTGTTCTATTAATTCCGAAGCAACACTGATTTGTGGAACGTTGCTAGGAGTGGTGACTATGTCTGGACATAACTTTTTCCAAGACGATTTAATAGTTGATGACAGTAATGCATTCCACGACTGACAAAGAGCAAAAACCAACCTTTCATATTAAATTAAGTTTTTTCTGTTGCTTGGTCTTTTGATACGGTTCTCAGAAGTAGGTTTTTCTTATAGTCTTGCTTCACAAACTGAATGATATTCTGGTCCATTGGTTGAATCAGTGCAGTGCAATTTGGCGGAAGAAACATCGCAGTGATGCATTTATCCTCAGTTGTTAGTTCTTCTTCAGACGGATGACCGGGAGCGTTATCAAGAAGCTACAACGCTTTTTGAGGAAAATTATGATCTTTTAACCATTTTCTAACTTCAGGTACGAAGCATTCATCAAACCACTTTTTGAAAAGGTCTTTTGTCATCCATGCACTTTTTTGTCCGTAATAGTGTACAGGTAAATCAATGTTTTTGAATGCCTGTGGTTTATTAGATTTCCCAATGACCATCATCTTAAGCGCGTGTGTGCCCGCAGCATTAGCACATGGTAGTATGGTTACACGCTCTTTACTTACTTTTCGTCCAGGTACGGATTTTTCGTTACAAGAAACGAAAGTTATGTTAGGCATCATACGCCAAACAAGCCCTGATTCGTCTGCATTGTACACCTGTGACGGGTTAAGATTTAAATCGTTCACCTTTTGCAGAAATCTTAATTTAAAGTGCTCTATGCAGGTGGCATCGTTAGAAAGTTTGTCTCCTGTAATAGTCATTAAACGTATGCCATGACGACTTTTAAACTGTTTTAGCCATCCTTTGCTGGCCACAAAATCATCTTTTTTTGTTATTTCTTTATAAAAAAACTTAAGCTTTCATGGCCAACATGGGTCCTGAAATTGGTGCATGCCTATTTCTTTCCTGAAGAAACCACAAGTACAAAGCTTCTTCCACTTCTGGATGTTCAGCTTTCTTGAGTGTATGTCTCTTGCCTGGCCCGCAGTCAGTAGTTAACACGAACTTCTTGATCTTCTCGTGGTTTCTTTTAATGTCATAAATTGTAGATCGGCCTACGCCGTATTCACTTGCTAAACTACTGAAAGTTTCATTGCAATCTAAGCGGTGTAAAATATCACATTTTTCTTTAATTGTCAATGTTTTGTGCTTTCGCTTCTGAGTTTGTGATGACATTACTAGGTACTATACTTAATACACAATGAATAAATAGTAAACAATGAACGCACGCTAGGCCGTACCGCTATCACCAGTAGTCAAATTCAAACTAAGTAAAACAATGCTTACGCGTCGAACACGATAGCGGTGGCGCGTACAAGTTGTAACCTGTTCAAACCTGCGTGATCTACATTAGCGAAGATTGTCAAATACGTATGTATGTAATACATATTCAAAGACATGTCGGATTACAGGGGGCGCCGGATTAGACAGGTGCCGGATTAATGGGGTCCACTGTAAATGTAAAGTGTTCCTTTTATGGGTGGCTATAAGCCCATATAGATCTATCTCCTTTGGACCGATCCAACGGATTGACTTCTTACTTTGAACATAAAAAAATGTAAATTTATGCATTTTACACCTTGCAAGAAAACATTTCTTCAATCTGTATCTAATACACCACAAAGGTCCCATGAGAGGGTTTGATTTTACCCCTTGAACCACGAAAATGCAAAAACCTAGTCGGGATGAAAGTTACACGCTAAAAATGAAGAAAAGGTTTTCCTTTCATTGGTAGCTACGCTAAAGAGGTTGATTTCACCCTTTGAACGTCAGAAGTGCGATTTTTCGCATTTCTTACCTAACCAGAAAAAAGTTACAGGTTAAAAGTGAATCAAGTGTTCCTATCATTAGTAGCTATAAGGCCATGTAGGTCCCATCTTGTTTGGACCCATCAAAGGGATTAGTTTTGAACCAACCCTGGTAATTATATCATATCTTTGTGAATTTCATAGGCACAATACTGCAAATTTGTAAAGAACACCCACAAAATGACCCACACTCAAAACATTTTTCTATCCTGAAATAAGACACTGAAGAACACTCTCACATGAATGGTCCTTCCTAAAAACCGCTTGGTATTTTAAGTAATATATTTTCTTCTACATATTGACATGATTGTTGATTGACAAAAGTTTCTCATATATCATGTTCAGAGTATCTTTTTAGTTTAAATGTTACCCCCGTGGCCGCAAATTTTCCCCTGGTACCTATAAAAGCTGTCAGAACAAAAACACCTGACCCTTTCAAATATGTACCACATATTATATTCATATGAATATAAAAACAAAATAAGCTATTTTTCGTAGTTGACTAGAAACTCAAATACTGTATATTTACCCATATCTATGTTATAGAAACTAAGCCAGTTGAGCAAAAAGGAAATGCTTTTTGTGAGAGTCCCAGATTTTGTTAGAGAGAATAAAACTCAACTTTTTGCATTTTATTCAGTACAATCGAATCCATTGGTCAAAATCTTATCACCTTTTTAATTCTTATGTTTTTAGGCAACATATACCATATACTGTGTTATCTCCAGTATTCCACAGATGCAGTAGCATAGCTTTGTGTATCATTTAAGAGTGGATCATCAAACAGTGAGCAGTAGTACCATTCACACTCCTAGTAACTGTGTAATACTGTAATTGTTACAGATCACAGAATCTCTAGGGGATATGTTGTAACACCTTTCGTCATGAGATAAGGCAAGATTTGTATTCTACAAATCTGTTAAAGTGAATGTTGCGAATTATGATGTACACAACATGGCCATATGTTGAAGAAATATGTATTTTTTGTACACTATTCTCATTATTTCCTGTGTGTTACCGTTACACTGTGAGCTTACATCACAAGCCAATAAGTATGAGTATATAGTAAAAGTCAAGATGCAGGACAGAAGAGTTTCTCAATTGTTAAATTGCTATTAATATAGGAGTGTAAAACCCAAGCTAGACGTGTAAGTATGGAAGATATGCGTGATCCTTGGCTGAACCTCTAGTACCGTTTAGGCAAAATTGATTCTAATAGCACCATTCTAGATACCATCTGAGCTGCTTTCCAGTGACACAATTGAGTTACTTGGAATAAAGTAGACCGCAGCACCAATATCATTCACTGCATATACATTCTTTACAGAGCACCTCAGAAGCATATCACTCTCAAAGCAAAAACCACTGGAAAGCAGCTCTCTCCATATATGCATATCCAAAATCTTGAGCCAAAACAGTTAGTCACAGTTAAAGATGAAAGGTAGATACTAAAATATAAAACATTTTGTGCATATCTGATGGCAGGCATAATCTCTTCAATGTCCTTGGATTGGTTTGAATCTTGGTAGACGTTTTTATATGCAGAAGTACAAGTTGAAAAACTCACCTCCGTGTCTTTGCCTTTGTTTTTGAATGCCTTGATCCTGTTTTCGTCAGCCATTTCGCTAAAATGAAGTAAAATGGTTAGCAATCACAAGTGAAGGAGGAACTTTTATGGAAACTTTACACAACCTTTGTTCCAAGATATTTATAAACATAATATATAATAATATGTTATTCTTACAGTAACGGAAGTTCTTTTAATATTTGAACGTGGTTTCGTAAGCACGAATAAGAGGATTGTGGAGATGAGTTGATTCCTTTCTTCCACCTTTGAGATGACCGTTAATTTTACGCAGTAGATGACAAGTTTGAAATAACCAATGAGGTCATAATGATTATAAAGCCAGCCATACACATGGTTCTTTGGCCGTCTTACCTGACGTACTAACTGTAGCTGCAACTATAATCAAATCCAAGCGAATAATCAAAATTTCTGTGTTGTGTGCCGCGGTTATAATATGGTTCAAGATGACGTCAGTCACACGAATCGCTCGAATGCGTTGGTTTTAACCGCGGTTTTGTTGCAAGTTGTTTATTTTAGAAAAGCGCGTATATAATCTCTGATTATTTTTATTATCACTTAATAATAGGTGCTTTTTCGTCTACAACTGTGTATGGAAAGCTTAAATAAGAAACCTTTCATAATATTCATGGGAGATATGTTTTTTCAGATTTTTTTTTTAATGATGGAACCATGGCTTTGTAGCTATGATAACTTTCAATTCTCTAAAGTTTTTCACATGTCAAAGAAAACATTTATTGGTTCAGCAGAAATGATGAAAAAGCGATGAAAAAAGATATTAGCAAAACCGTATACAGATGGACATCATCTAGTGAGCTTATATGGCCATATTTTAATATTCTTGTAGTATATGGCTGCACAGGATACTTTGTTAAACATAGGAACTACATTTAAAGTGTCCCCAACAACCGTAATGAGTATAACTAATAAGGTGCTCCACTTTATGGTAAACTGAAGTCAGCCTGTATCATGTTTCTCAAAAATGAAGCTGAAGTACAATAAAATATCCAATACCCGGCAAAATTCTAACTTGTCACATTTCAAATAATAACCAGAAATATAAAACTACTCTTGAGTTGGGTAAATACCACAATTTTGCGGTGATAACTATGACATATAACAGCTGATTCGTGACGTCACGGATCTTATAACCAAACTGATAACTACACTCGCTTGAACGAATTGGTAAGTACCAACCCAAAATGGTAAATACCATTTCCATTTGGTTATCCGCTTGAATTTGATTATTGACATATAACAGCTGATTCGTGACGTCACTGATCTTATAACCAAACTGATAACCACACTCGCTTGAACGGATCGGTAGATACCAATCCAAATGGTAAATACCATTTCCGTTTGGTTATCCGCTTGAATTTGATTGATGTTTTGTCATTATTATTTTTGGTTTATGTCAGAGTTTATGTTTATATTAGATTTAAAATTGTGTTCGAAATCAGGTCGGAGTTGTATGTTGTACCCAGTTGTTTTGCGTGGCCGTTCATCTTTACTCGGTCCAAAATTCAAAATGAATGTAATACAGAAATTGGCTTCTTTACAAGAGATATCAAAAGCCCAACTTTCTGTTATATTTAGCTGTAACACGAACACCAAGTATTTGATACTTGATCCTCGGATCATCAGACCATTGGAAAGAGTATGTGGAGTGAAATGGTTAAAGTAAGTGGTGATTTACTGTTGTGTATCAACCCAGGTTCATTTTCAACAGCTCGCTGTTTATTTATTTTTATTCCATACAAACACCATTTTAGGTAATTACAATTAAGCAACCGGAGGTATTCAAATCGCATTCACTCCTCGTCAAAACAAACACCAACCAGGACGCGACGCGTATTTTGAAAAAGACCACTTTAATAGATCGGACTGTGTATTGATATGTTTTATATTTCAGGGGGAATGGCGTTGAGAAAATATTCAAACTGGAGGCTGTTGCACCTAACTTCAATGACAATGCGGTGTTCTACATGATATTGGCAGAAACAGGAACTTTTAAGAAAGCAGTCGATCAGATACGTGCCCAAATTGACATAGAAACATGTGTTGCTAACAAGTTCCATATTGTAGTTGTACCAACTTGTATCACAACATTTGAGGATGAATTAGAGAGCTTGGGGTTACTCGATGATATTGTAACACTCCACTCTTTTATTTGGATGCCATTATATTTGGATAATAGTATTTTAAGTTTGGAAATTCCAAATATTTTTGGAACATTATTTGTCTATGAAAACTTCTACTTTCTTTCATCACTGTCCAGAACCTTTTGGTATTTAACTTTAGTTATAGGCAAACCAAAATTGTTTTTGGCTTTAGGACAAAACTCGAAAGCCTTCTTGACGCAATATGAACTATTTTGCAAAGAAAAAGGAGATAGTGATAGAGTATCATCAGATTTTGGAGCAGTGGTAGTGATAGATAGGAGTTCTGACTATCCAGCAGCTTTATTGACACCTGGTACCTATACGGCTCTACTTAGTGAAGTTTATACTGTCAAAACAGGTCTCTGTGAATCGCTTTCTACTGGAAATGAAAAATATGATGAAAAATTTAATCCAATCGTACAAAAACAATCAGTCAAATTTTGTCTAGATAGCAGGCAAGATACTGTCTATGCGGATATTAAGAATAGATACTTCACTGAAGTAACATCAGTGTTGAGCGATTTGACAAAGCAGTTGAAGAGTGAAAAAACTAATTCAAAAGACATGGCTCTCGATGAAATGAAACATTATGTGAAAACTAAGTTAGGTGACGTCAAAGCAAGAAAAAAGTATATCACGAATCATTTAATGGCGGCAGAAAGTATAATTAACACTCTAGGAAACAGATATGAAAAACAAAAGATTGTTGAACAGAACATCATAAAAAATTCAGAAAAATCCACGAGTTTCAGCTTTTTGGATGAAATTTTAGTAACAGAAAATGATAGATATGTTAGCCTCAGGCTATTTTGTTTGATGGGGTTGTTGTATAGGTTGAATGAAAATGAGATAAGGAAATTTTGGGCAAAGTATTTGAACCACTTTGGCTATAAATGTGGTATTGCATTCAATAACTTAATCAACATGGGATTTATTTCAGATACAAGTACGACATCCAGTTCAAACTTCCAATCAAAGCTGAAAATACCTTCATTTACCTCGAGCAATTTCTATACACGGGCAAAAAATTTAAAGCTTGTGCCTGCAGATCCTGACAGCGTTAATCTGAAACATCCTACATGTGCTAGTTACGTTTATGGCGGAACGTACGCCCCTTTGATCAGTCAAATAGCCAGTTTAATACTTAGTTCAACTCCACTTAGTGAAATACAAGCCAAACTAGAAGAACTGGGTCCATTAGAAATCAGAAACGATAGGGGCTATCCATTACAGACAAGATCTATTCTGATTTGTATGATTGGTGGTATCACATATGCTGAGATAGCAGCATGCAACTTAATAGAAACACTGACCGGGGCTTCGATTGTCGTTTTAAGTGATAGGATTATAAACGGTAACGATTTGATGCGTGATATATTAGAATACCCAAAATGAGACGTCGATTAATGCGAATACGTATAGGTTTGAGGTCTAACGTGCTGAAAGTGTTTGAAAAAAGGTAAAACGTTTTGTGGAAAAGGTATCGCAAACAAAAAATTCTTACTGCAATACTTCACCTGTCTGTACTCTATCTAGAGATACAAACTAATTGAAATCAGCGACATTATCAAACGAATGAGTAGGAAAAAAAACTACTCGGTTGACTTACGCACAAACCGGGAATAGAATTGGTAACTGTTTACTAACGTTTCTTTAAAAGTATATTTGATTTTCAATAAAAAAAAACTGGGCTGCGCCAGGGCCCTGTAACTGCAGTTGCGCCTTCCCATTCCTTGTGGGTGGCATGATTTATCGCATTCCTATGAGGTGATAAAATGGAAAAACCATAGATGAATAATCACTATGTGCACTCATGTAGAGCTCCTTTGATTTGGACACAATTGTCACTGCTATTAAACCATTCCATCCGTTTTTGAATATCGCAAATTTTAGCGTCATTTCGAATTACGCGCCACAGCTATCAGCTGTCATAGTCCGTCATTTGATAAGGTACGCAACGTTGGGTAGGTGGTCTGTCACTTATGTCCTTACTCACTAATGTCTTTAGTCATTAGCATCATATGTCAGTTATGATGTTCGATTTATGTACAAAAATATAGAAAAACTTATGAAAATACAATGCCATCCATTTATTTGCCCGACCATCCGCTATACTAATGATTATTGCTTGAAACAAGTAGATACACAGTCTATTTTGTAGCTGGAAATATCGTCGATAGTATTTATGACAGCTAGGTAGGCTAGTTGATAAATTAGTGTATTTGGAAATGATTGCGAGGCGAATAATGTGTTGATATTTGCCAGACTCTATCATGTACCGGCAGCGTCTCTCTCCTAAGCATCATTCTGAGATATGCAGATCTTCAGATATTGCGTCGGCTTTATTCTGACAGTGTTTTCGGCCCATCAGGAAATTACTTGGATATGCTATATTTTAAGTTCTAATCAAAGCAGGTATGCCGTGATATCCACGCGTAGGAGAGGAACGCTATCGCTAGCTAGCAGTGAAACAATTTTACATATAACACGGTGGAGAATTCTATTATTATCCTCGCACATTAAATCTATGCATGTACCTCTGATATAAGTGCTTGGCCATTAATGGCATGCTCCTCCACCAAGGTACGTAATATACTATTAAATATGTAATTCAGATATTATATTTAATTTTTGTATAGTAATATAGATATTGTTGCATATATTCTTGCCTTGTATCCTATATACAGGGTGACTTTGAAGTTGAATCATTAATTTTCAGATAATGATTGTAGAAGGAAGATAAACCAAAATATGTGTGTAAAAATAAAAAAATAAATAAAAAATAAATGTTACCTTGTTTAATAAAGTATCCTTCCGACAAGTATTTCAGTTCGGACCTGTATTTGATCGTGCGGTCTTGGAGCAGCATGCCCTCACCTGTGAGGTCTTAAGTCACCTGATTCACGAGCCCTTTGCACTACATTAACAAAGGCACGAGGGGTTGGTTGCACTCGATTGGGAAACCGATTCGCATAAATCCGTGATGCATCCGGGAGCATTTTGTAAAGACTGTCCCCCCGTAAATAAGAATCATGTCCACAAGTTCAGCATTTTCGTAAACATGTGCCATTTTTGATTTCGTTTGAGCCACGCAACACACTACTATTCACTCAGGATTTATCGACTGACGAAAAACATCGTGATAAACGTTTCAAATTCTTTCGCTTTTTTGTTTCCGATGCGATGAACCGGTCAGGCGGATTATATCCGTTGTCGCCAAACACGAGCATATAATAGGCAGGGCGGTACTCAAACTTCCAAAGGGCTATAACTTTGTTACTTTAATTTTACCAGAAAAATGGTAAAGGAAAAAAACATTTCTTTTGATCAGATCTACTCACTGTTAAAATAAATGACTCAACTTCGAAGTCACCCTGTATATAAGGACCTAGTGACCATAGTACCTTAACAGTTTGGTCCGGTATTAGCACAATTCCCATTTCCTATTTCTGACGTAGAAATTATTGTATAGAATGGGACGATAGTACCAAATGCAAGCGACTCTCTGACCTCAGGAAATAGCCGATCACTTCAACATCCACTTTATAAATGCTCCCCTGGAAATCATAGAGAAAACATCCAGAAATACTGATACAATTCCAAACCACAACGATGTAATTAAAGGACACATGTGTCTATATTCATTTACGGAAGAATTCTCCAATCTAATCGACAAAAGGTTAAAAAACAAGGGTCTATCAAGTGCTGACGAAATTCCTAATTTCCTAATTAAAAACGTTTTGGTATAGATTGTTTTTCTCATCAATCTGTCTTTCTGCACTGGATCTGTCCCAGAGAGCTTTAAAATGGGAAAAGTAACTCCCATACGCAAGAAGGAAGAAACTACGAGGGTGGATCAAATATAAACCGGAATTTAAAAAATACTTTTCTCACCGCTCTTACAATGTAGGTCCTTGCAGTGAGGTGTATTAGGAGTGGGGATAACGCGCGGTGAGTTGTTCCACTCAGTCAATGCGTCAGTACAGCCATGACCGAGCAATCGGTTCCACCGTCCGTTGCGCAACGAGTTATAATAAAGTTTTGACAAAAGAAAGCGTAAACCGTGCGAAGATCAAAAAACATATGACTGTAAATGAGTAGCAGACATCTCAATCGATTTCGGTGAGAGGGAAAGATTTTTTTAAATCATATCGTGACGTATGATGAAACATGGGTGCATCATTACACTCCCGAGTCCTAGATGGCGAGTAAAGAATGGCTTCGTGAAAGCCAAAACCCATCTCTCAACCGGTCAGGTCATCGAGAGCGTTTTTTCGACTGCAAGGGAGTGTTGCTCATTGATTTTCTACTGGACCGACGTACGGTTAATGCTGTCTACTACTGCCAGCTGTTGGAGGCAGCGAAAGCAGCATACACACGCAAAAGACGCGGTGTCCCCATTGTAACGGTTTCACCGTCCGATTGTATTTATTAAATCACTTCTCGATTATCATTTAGCAGAATCGCAAATCATTAATCCCATCTCTAGCTTTTTTACTTGGAAAATTTTCCGCTTGGAGCGGAGTTCCTGATCTGCGATCTTCCTCGCGCTTCCTTTTCACTTGAGCCGCCGATCGAATAAGAGCTAAGAATTTTCTTCTCTGTAGCACAAGGTCATATAGCACCATGTGCTAGAATTTTGTAGAATGTGTGTCCGTATAGGACAAAATGATTGGGGCCACCCCCTTTCTCTTTCCCTTTCTCTTTCCCTTTCTCTTTCCCTTTGCCTTTGTCTTTGACTTTGCTTTTGCCTTAGTCTTTGACTTTGCGTTGCTTGGCCTATCACTTCACCCATGCATGTGCCTTGGCAGCGCCATCGCCTTTAAGTTCAACTTCGCCTACAACTGGTTTTGAAGCCACTATATGTAAGGTCACCCCTCATAACTGGGACCTCCACTTCAAGCACCTGGCCATCCTCGCTTCAGTCGAGTCAAAATGGACCAGCGAAAGATAAGTTGATAGTTTTATAGCAGCGCCAAAGATGTAAAACTTATTTTGTACTTTAAAACTGTAAAATTGTAATGTAATGGAAAAGCTTTTTTTTTGTTAAATAAAATCTGTTAAATTTTTGTGTTCTGTTTGTTCTTCTATCCTCTAGCCATGCCATGGTCGACACACAGCTACACGCCTGTAGATGTCTTCATGCCACCGACTGAGCTACCGGAAGCTAATGGTAACCCCCTTTCTGTGATTGTGCAGAAAAGTTGGAATCTTCATTGCATTCCATCTTTTCTGGACTTTTTGCGGAAAGGAAGCGCTACACCATCAGAAATGTCATCCTCCTTCATGACAACGCCAGGCCACATACAGTCGCTGAAACGAAGCAAAAACTGGAGGATATGCATTGGGAAACTCTGTGACTATCATTTGTTTGTGACCATGAAAGATGCACTTGGAGGATTGCGATTTGACAACGATCGAGATGTGGAGACGCAATTGGTTGATCACTCAGCCTCCAAGTTTCTACAAGCAAGGAATTTGTAAGCTTCCAAATCTCAGGGAAAAATATGTACAGCATGGAGGAGATTAAGGCCCGTATCGTCAGTCGTCCCTACAATTGTAGGGCGCCTTTATGGCCTCCTTGATTGTCATATTCTTTTCTCTCCTTCAAAAATTTCTAGATTACACTCGTCCCGTGTCAGCGTCAGCGCTCTCCTATTGTTAAGATATGTTTTCCTTTTAAATTGTAGGAAATTTCAGGCTGATAAAACATGATAAAACTCAAAAGCAAGCACAATTTGATGCAAATAGATGTTTGTGACATAACCTCAAAGTAGAGCGCTGACACGGAGAGGCCATAAACGCGCCCTACAATTGTAGGGACGACTGACAGGTCCCCGATACCTAACCCGGACAAACGTGGCAACGCGGCATCTCGGTCAGAGCATATAAAACACTATGCTGTTGCGTGTGATTCCATACCAGTCGGCACACGACGCGACGGCAGCAGCAGCCACGACCGAAAGGTACGCGATGCGTTCCCGGAGAATATTTTTCCAACTGTTCCGGGCTAATGTGTGAAATATGTCTAATAGGTGGGTAGAATTATCAATGTTGGAAGCGGATAAATGTACCAGCATCAAAAAATTGAGAAAAACCCTCTCCACCCCTCACAACCACCACCTCCAAGTTTTTTTACCTCTACATTCTTAGAAAGAAACGGCAAAAAACTAAGTTTAGCAATTTTTACTTTTTTCGTTTAAGACCGCCACTCTACCGATTTTCAAAACCCATAAAGCTTTTGCTGTGTTAAAATTTCTTCGACATCCGAGTGGTACTTCTCAGACAGATATGAGAGACACGTTTTTTTGGTGATGTACATGTCATATAAAGTTCAAAAAAACATTATAAAATATAGTTATACAAATGTCAAAATGACTATATTTTTATATTAAGAGCGCAAAGTGATACTTTGCCGCTCGTGATCTGACTTGAGGTAAAACGCGGCAATAGTTTGCAATTACTATCCAACGTCGTCCTTAACAAGAAGAAGGCGTCTGTTTGGAATCTGCGCGTGACGAGATGAAAAATCGATAAATTTTCAGCTGATGCTTCTATCCTGCGCCTCCAGAATGTTTTCCATTTGTCCATTAGCCAGATACCGGCGTGACCTATTTTAAGCTACTGTATGGTACATATGGTGTTTTTAACGTGATTTGTAGGTTTGTGACAATGCCTGGAAAGGAAACTAATAATACACAATGTTCGAGAGACGTAACAGACGACGTATTGCCCATACCTATACAAATATTTTTATGGAAACAAGTGAGGTAAATGTTTAATGCACTTCACTTTAACAATAGTATTAGCTCAGCAGTTTATGGAAGTGTAATCTGCTAAATTGAATTTATCCTTAATTTATGTCATAATTTTTTGTTCATTTATGGCATGTTAACAATGTTTTACAACCCTCGGAGCAAGCAAGAATAGTGTCGAATGTCGTGCTTTATTTGTAACAATATGATAATAACCATTCAGATTTAGGCACTAAATGCGTGAAAATTAACAAAATGCTTATGCCATATACTCCCCTGGTGTGCTCCATTCCCTACTTTCATTACAAATATCAATAAATCTCTAAATATGTAACTGGTACAAACATATGCGAATACACGTTGTATTGCTAAATACATATGTATTATAATATATTTTCATGAAAAGAGACACGCATATAAACACGTTATTAGCGGTTCCTGGAAATTGTGTCACCCTCACCTAGCGGAATTAAAATTGGATATTTTCGAGTAAATGTCGCAATTTCGTGATTTGGCCTTGACCATTGCGTAGCAAATCAATGAATGATAGTTTGAAACTAGCGCGATTTGGCCTTCCGAAACCACGAACGCGTCAGTTGTTCACATAGTTTCGGGATACTTTTTCTGTTCATATTCTAGCGTTTTTCTGTGTTCTTTTGGGTGCGGATTAAAACACTGGATTCCAAAAAAAGAAATGCACTAATTTATTAAACTGGATAAACCATTTATATACACTACTATTTATGTCTAACTAATTCTTATGTCGCGCCATTGACACTTCACTCTGCTCTACTCTACTGTATTCCGTACTATCTTCCATCTCCCGGCCGCCGAGTTACATAATCAGCATCGTTGAGTCTAGAAGAATCGGGAGCCACATAGCGACCTTCCCGAATAGTCGAAGTTGCTTCGCGTCGATCCAGATGGCGATGCGCCGCCAGGTGGCTGGTGCGGTCGTGATTCGCGTAAAAGCAGAGATCGGCCATGAAGCTCTAGCGAGTAGGAGACTCGCCCAACAGATAGCGCCGATAGTATGATTCGACACAATATATAGAACGCAATGTGTTCCACATTTGTTTTACAGTTCAAAATATGTTGTTTAGGAATTTGAGATACTGTGGAACTAATTGTATAACGAGCAATGGCATCCTTTTTCTCAAACTCTTTTATGAGCTTCCTATCACCATCTGTTTCATTTGACTGTGGTCTGACCAAAATCGCTGTGACAATAAACGTCATTTTGGCGAGAGTCAACTGAAGATCTATGTCGAACTTCCAGGATAGCCAGTTTTTGCCTTCCAGCTTTTCCACTTGAGTTCGCTCCAACTTTACAGATGACATGTGGAAGCAAATGTAGAAGGGCAGACAAAAACCAAACAGTACAACTGGACATAAAATATATCTTCCACGCAATTGATAATATTGACCAACAACATCAGAGTATCACAAAAACTGTTTCCGTTTACCGTACCCCGGTTCTTCACCTACAGCTTCCTAGTTATTGGATTAATCAACGTCCTGGGCCCATAACCTGTCGATTGGCAGAATAGGAGAAGTTGATCAACAGCAGAGTGGACTGATTCTGCGGCGTGTTGTAGGGAAATAGGCACTGGTTGTAGGTTTTGGGTTTATTTAAGTTACGATGCGAATGTGATTTTACAATATAAAGAAAATGTTGCGTATGGCTTGGATTATTGATTTGATGCGAAGGCGCGAGGCGAATGCTTACGTGACCAAAACGGCGGCGTCTTCCTGTGGTTCCTCCACTCTTGCGTACTACTCAGTAGCGGGACATGTAGGGCGCTTCATGTAATGGCAGGACATGAGGTTTACGGAACAGATTCAATCTTGTTAAAGATGTATACGCGGAAGTAGAATGTGTAATACTCTTTTATTCAGACAAGATACATGACAGTTATCACCACTGAAGACACAAGGCTCTCTTGGTGAAGCCATGCTGCTGTTCTGGACTGATCCAACTGCGACCAAGCATGCGAGCTTTCAAGTCTTTCTGTGTATTATCCTCATATTGATGGAAGAGAATCAACAATTTACACGATTCTGTTTGTTATAGTCCATTTGTTCGGCCGAAGCTTGGAAAACACCATGAAGCTTCCTGTGTGGTGAGTATTAAGTACAATCGTAATACTTCGCCCGTGTTAACGCGCCAACCTTTTGAAAAATCAAAAATAAATCAAACATACAGAATGTGAAGTTAGCAGTGGATCAACGGAAGTCAGGTGATAAAGGGCCTCAAAACCTATCGAATGAACCCCTATATGGGTGGTCCGAAATTTTATAGTCCAGGAGATATTTGCAGTTTTGTGAAATTTCGAAAAAACGGGATAATGAACTTTCAGTCGCAATTACAATTAAACCGTTAAGCTTAGGGATGTGATTTCTTTCTGAGATGAGCTAAATGGTGGGTTTTAGCAGTGCGTATAACAGAGGAGCCATTCTGCGCTCTACTCTGTCTCATGTCGCTTAAAGTGTTGTATAGCAAACCCTATGACTTTTTGATAACGTGAATTTTCATCTGGCCCTCCATCAACCATCATGATTACCACTGGTTTTACTAGTCCATGGTCAGTTTTAGCTAATGGTCGAAACTCTTCAAGTTCGAGAAGCGTCTCGAAATCCTGAGCATGAGTATTAGCAGTAGATGAACTATGCTTTCCACTTCGAATAGCGATGTATGTTGGTCCAGAATCTCCAACGTCTTGCGGTTGTCCTAGCATATTGGAAGTGATTTTTATACCAGCATAAACAGATGGTATTAATTTATGACGCTGAGCGCTTACCCAATCGCGATCAGGCAATTTGATTCTATATTCCATGTGCATTAGAAGAGGTGCTTGCTTATTTGCCGCAGTTACGCCAATAGGGACTCGAGCTTTATCATCTTGAGATATGAAAAATACTTGATCTGGTCCAAGTATGGATGCTATATTCTCTAGATAATGGATTGATGTTTCAGCGAACTTGCTATCTAAGTGGCACTTGTGGTGATCAGTTTGAACCCGAATGAGCTTAACAGGGACTGTCGATACATGTCTTTGTCCCTCTGCAGAATTAGATTTTCTGGTAATCAAACAAAAGTCGACTGCGACTAATGTCAAATCCTATTTTACGCAATTCTTGTGTGAGTTCATCAAGAGTTTTTACGCTGCGAATTGATTCCGTTCGTCTTCTATCATCTGCTGCACTTCTGCAGGTTTACAGGTTGCCTAAAAATAAAAACTTTCTATGGCTTCTGCTAAAGATTCTCTTATTAAGCTACATAAATACAAAGTATCGCAATATATATGGTAAATACAAAACCCTATGGCTTTAAATCTAATATGTTTAAACGAGTAATTCGTTCCGGTCACAAAATACAGGTTGTTAGTTTTCTGTATATATGTATAAAACTAACATCCTGTACTTTGTGACCAATTGACAGAATCAATCATAAGAAATAAATCTATAATATAATGAATATTACCTCTATACTTTGAGATAGGCCATCATATTTTCTAATCAGTAAAGAGAAACTTTTTGGCGATTTCTAATATTTCTAGTACTCATAGGTACCTAAAATGATTTCGTCATTCACCTTAGAAAAAAAATTTAGCAGATTGGATTTATTCTTAGTCGCCGCTTGCAATTCTTCTTCGATTCTCTTAGATACAATAATATCTAGTTCCTTGTCGGATTTTGCTTGTAATTTCGCCACACTTCGTTAACTAACTTTTGTACATTTTGTACTTTCGTACTTGTATGAGATTTTTTAAAACTTTCAAACAATTTTTGGTATAACTTGGATTCGTCTATGTGAAACGATATCTTATTTAAACATTAAAATTTCGAAATTTTACAAAATCGCAAATATCTCCTGAGCTATAAAATTTCGGACCACACATAAATATACGGGTTCATTCGATATGTTTTGTAGCCCTCTATCACCTGATTTCCGTTGATCCACTACTAACTGCTCACCCTGTATATATTTCTGCATTACGTAAGTCATTAGACGAGTAAATTACACTTTTGCCTGTTCGGCATTTATTCAAAATTTTGATTGGCGTTTAACGTGAGTTATGTCGGGAGTTTCGAGAAACTAGTTTTTTAAAACTTTTCTCGAAATACTTTGACAAAACTATTGAGACCGTTCAATTACAACGGCAAATTAGTAAAACCATAACGAAAAACAATAGCTGCAACACACATTTAATACATCCTGGGATGAAAGTGCTGTCTCTAGATATTATTGCTGCACGTGGTTGCAATTCCAGTGGCGTAGCTCGACGTTAGTCAATTTGTTACACAAAATTCTTCAACACAGTTTGACAATCACACTGAGAAACGTAATACCGCTAAAGTTTTACTATCTCTTTTCCTAGTATACAAGTATTTGTGTACAGCTTTATGTGCAAAGAAGGAATTGGCCGCAATAAGCTGGTTGTCGGTACATATCTGAATAAATCACTTACCAATATTGTTTTTTCTTTCTTCTCCTTCCAAAAGCATTAAATATAATAACTTACATAGCTTTTATTTTCCCAGTTTTGTCAGCAGGCAAGCATAGGCCACCATGTACGTACCTGAATATTTTATACAATACGTCGTGACATTTGTATGCACATATGAAATAATTATTGCTTTTAGGAGTTAAAAGAAGCCTGCAAAGTATACGAAAAGGTTGTAGTACAAAACATTCAAAGCGGTCTAAAACCGGATATTGCAGAAATTATTAGGTCTGTTCCAAGATGGAAACTGATACAGGCTTCGTTACCATATGTGATGCACTCAGTCTCATCAGTCCTGCACAACAGGTAAATATCGTATATTTATCTACAGTCTCCAGAATACGCCGGCAATCTCAAATAATAACACAGCCCTACAAAAAAAAGAAAGGTCGAGATCCGTGAGACAAGCCATGATAGTCCCACGTATGTTTCGACACTGAATCCGAATTTGTGATCCAAAAAGTTCCTAGACAGCTGGAGTTCACCCCGGGCCCAAAAGCTACCTAAGAGGAGTGAAAATTGAGATTCGGATGCCAGATCCTGGAGCGTGGTATTCCTACTTTTTTGAAGTACTGCCTTGTGGCGCTGTTGCAATAAAAACGCCGAATTCCTTGTTTCGGTTTCAGCCAAATATGCGAAGCTTATTGTGATATCGCTGGTAATTGATATATGTCTCCTGTCAAACTTTGGGGGCAGTAGAGACAAAGCTTCTGTATACCTTACACTGGATTATATATATCACTATTTGATACGGAATATGATAAAGCATTGGCGAAAATTCACTGTAAAAGGGTATATGCATAGCTATCTTTTTGTATATTTCAGATTGAAAGACGGAAATCTGCAAACTTTAGGGGCAGTAGAGACAAAGCTTCTGTATACCTTACACTGGATTATATATATCACTATTTGATACGGAATATGATAAAGCATTGGCGAAAATTCACTGTAAAAGGGTATATGCATAGCTATCTTTTTGTATATTTCAGATTGAAAGACGGAAATCTGCAAACTTTAGGGGCAGTAGAGACAAAGCTTCTGTATACCTTACACTGGATTATATATATATCACTATTTGATATGGAATATGATAAAGCATTGGCGAAAATTCACTGTAAAAGGGTATACGCATAGCTATCTTTTTGTATATTTCAGATTGAAAGACGGAAATCTGCAAACTTTAGGGGCAGTAGAGACAAAGCTTCTGTATACCTTACACTGGATTATATATATCACTATTTGATACGGAATATAATAAAGCATTGGCGAAAATTCACTGTAAAAGGGTATATGCATAGCTATCTTTTTGTATATTTCAGATTGAAAGACTGAAATCTGCAAACTTTAGGGGCAGTAGAGACAAAGCTTCTGTATACCTTACACTGGATTATATATATCACTATTTGATATGGAATATGATAAAGCATTGGCGAAAATTCACTGTAAAAGGGTATACGCATAGCTATCTTTTTGTATATTTCAGATTGAAAGACGGAAATCTGCAAACTTTAGGGGCAGTAGAGACAAAGCTTCTGTATACCTTACACTGGATTATATATATCACTATTTGATATGGAATATGATAAAGCATTGGCGAAAATTCACTGTAAAAGGGTATACGCATAGCTATCTTTTTGTATATTTCAGATTGAAAGACGGAAATCTGCAAACTTTAGGGGCAGTAGAGACAAAGCTTCTGTATACCTTACACTGGATTATGTATATCACTATTTGATATGGAATATGATAAAGCTTTGGCGAAAATTCACTGTAAAAGGGTATATGCATAGCTATATTTTTGTATATTTCAGATTGAAAGACGGAAATCTGCAAACTTTAGGGGCAGTAGAGACAAAGCTTCTGTATACCTTACACTGGATTATATTAGACGCGGGAGAAGAATGTTCAGATGAAGATTTTGAAAAAGGCGTTTTTCATCCTTCTCCTTTTTACTACATTTTCCCGATATCCAGCATCGCGGTAAGTTATCAGTATGACGACAATGAGGATGTTAGATTACCAAAGCCTTGTGTTAAACTATACAGGGTGGCCCAACATAATATCAAAATTTCTAGAATCATAATAAAGTCAAAGAGCTTCACGACGATTGAAGAAAGGTATAAACTTTATTATACAAAAGTTACTATAAGTAAAAATTGACGTGTCCGAGCGTTTTCCCCAAAATATGCCAGGAGAGTCACAATGCAAGTGCTATTATTCTATCATTTGGTTGTCATAATATTTTTTTTTCAGTTATTCATCTATCTGTTTGCACCTATCTGCAACAATTTGAAAGAATCTGACTTCCAAAATTTCCGGCTGGAGAATGGCCTGAAAATTTGGCAAGCCTTGTGGGATTTCAAACATCCGGATGCTGCTTGCTTCTTTACCCAGTGCAAGCCGGAACCAAGGTTTCTCAGTGGCAAACGACCCAGGAGCAAGCAATTTGGAGACGTTTTTGTAGGAAGTGAGTGTTTCAGTACGATGAGCGGTCCTGGCACGAATCAGATTCAATGAAACGATAAAGGACGCCTCTAGAAATTGATTTACTTTCGAAAAGTATCATATATTCCAATGAATTTTCGACAGTGCCATTACTATTTCATGCCTTACATGATGCTGGCCATTGCACTTAATTAGCTCGTTTCGTTCGTCATGAATGAACTACCTCTAATATAGTTATATTGCTATTTTTTTACACCCATAGTGAATCGATCGTAATATTTTCAGAAAGTTTATTCCAGTCATTATGCCAAGTTATACAGGGTGGCGCATCGAAAACGAAACAGACGCAGATACTGGCAGCTCAGTTTTTTTTGTATCATGCCCTTTTTAGGAAAACCATCACAAGAAGATCCACTAGCTAGAGACAGTCCAACAATGAGCCACGCTGTAAGCGCGTCCAGCTCAGACCAACCATCTTTTCCTATGTCTGGAGCTCCGTCTACAGTTACGATTACAGCAACTATTACGAAAATCGATGATGAGGTATTTATTGTATTAAATTGAGGAATTTTTAGTAATGGTGAGATTCCTGTTGTCCAAAAACTCGATTAGTCCAGGAAGTATCTTCGCGTCCACTCTGAAAAATATTCTAACTTGTTTTTTCTGCATAACCATCAGGCAGTGGTTGCTAACCCGTCGATCGCGAGCTACCGGCAGCTCTCAAAGACAATTCCGGTGGCTCACAACATATTTTAAAAAGGTGTAAAAATCACAGAAGCTTCCGTAAATTTTGTAAATTCTCATAATGAACACAAACAGCGGCAACACTGCGGTGAGCGATCTGTTCGAGAACGATCTCGATTACTTCGGTCGGAATAAATACGCAAGACGCGGCGACAGTACGTATTAGTATTAATAAAATAAACACATGTATGCCGCATACAACTGTGTTTAATTTCATTTAAGTTGGCTTAAATTGCTTACGACTAGTGAAGAGGTTCGGCAACAGCGCGACCGTGTGTGAGTGCGTGTCGAGTGCAAAGTGCGACGGAGGGCAGGTGGTAAGACCCTGAGGACGGGTTGCGAGTTGCGAGGGAGACGGGCATGAGCATCGGCAGAAAGAGGACGGATACGGATATCGTCGCTCGACCCGACGGACGTACGAACATTGTGACTGCCATTTTTATTATAGTGTGACTTGTAAATCGGCCTCTATTTTAGAAAATAAAGTGATATCCTTGTAACACCGTCTTCGTCCCATTAACTTGTGAGAGGTAACTCGGGAACTATTTCATTTTGGCACCCAACTCGTGGCCGGTGTTCTACGTTATTCATTATTCAGTGGAGGAGAGTGGAGAGCTTCTTCGAGGCGGCGTGCAGCACCACGTCTGACAGAGCTGCAACTACGAAGGAAACAGGATACTCTGGTGAGATCTGTCCTTATTATTATTGAGCAGTCCATGTGGAACCAGGATCTTGTAATAAATCAACTACGTTGCTGAGTAGCTGATCTAGCGTCGAAATCAAGTCGGCGACTATCCATCGAGAACTTTTGCATATTTTGAAGAAAATCATAGTCTGGAGTTGAGTGGAACATTTTCGCCGAAATTTCGCGGGACGATATATATATTTTCTCGTATACTTTTATGTTTTCTTGTTGTCTTGTTTAACAACATATTTTTCGGTGTACTGGATCTGTATGGTTAATGTATAATCACCAATGTAATGTACATGAATATTGATTTAGTTTAGTTCTGTTATGCCTAAGAAATGGAGGGCTCAGAAAAACAAATCTACCGAGGTGCTGGATGATTTTTCAGGGAATATGGATTCTGAACTAAATAGTGTTTTATCACAGCTAGCGGCTGGCATGATAGGATTACAAAAATCCTTTGAGGGCTTATCTATGATTGTGAAAGGGAGGTCAGACAAAAAAAATGTTTACAGCGAGAGTAAGGCGCCAGATCACAACTTTATTTATATATGGAAGGAATTGGGGGGTAATGATGTTGTTTTTAGCCCGGATGGTAGGAAACACCCACAGGCTTACATAAAAAAGTTAAAGAAATTCTTTTTGGATGCTGGCGTTCCGGATAGCCACAAGATCGGACTTGCTGTTTCTTGTTTGCGAGGTACAGCGGCGGATTGGGTTACAGTAGGTTCGGTCGAAGCGGACATAGTTGTCGATAGCGGTAGTGAGGTTTCCGCGGTCTCCGACAAATTTTTCGAGAAAATAAAGCCGCGGGTAAAGGTTCCGGTGTTGCCTGTGTCAACTTTAGCGATTTCTCCAGCTTTTGGTGCCAAGCAACAGCGCATCAAATTACAGATTCTGTTATCGGTTCGGCTGTTGGCGGACTGTAACATTGATTTAGATGCCAAGTGTTTGGTAATTCCGGGACTTAACTGTGACATTCTTTTTGGCTGCGATTGGTTGTCGTCCGCCAAGGCAAGTGTCGATTTTGAAAATTTAAAAATTACTTTTTCCTGCAACCAAGAGGTTTGCACCATTCCTTTTTACAAAGAGCTGAGTACGGGGGGTGACTTGAATATACACCTATGTGGTAGGTTAGACAATGTCGTGGAAGTAGATAAAAATGAGGAGTTAACGTTTCATAGATACTCTGAAGCAGAAATTAAAGTGGCAGCCGGCAGGGCTGAAACGGATGAAGCTTCGCGGAAGAAGCTAGAAAACTTACTTTTTAAATATGGGAAAGTGTTTTCTGAGCATCCAGGATGCGTCGAGTCTTATGTTCATAAAGTGGAAATGGAAGACGATTCTCCATTTAATGCACCTACGTACCCGATACCGTTCATTCATCGTAATGAAGTTGATAGACAAGTAAGAGAGATGGAGAGATGGGGGGTGATCAAAAAACAAAAAACGCGCTACATGTCCCCATTAGTGGTAGTTAAGAAGCGAGATGGGTCACCGAGAATTTGCATAGATGCCAGACTTCTCAATTCTCGGATGAGAAAGGACTTCATCCCTCTTCCAAATCCCGCAGAGTTACTTCTGAATTTTAGGAAGGGCGTTGTACTTAGCACAATCGACCTCACGGCCTCATATTGGCAGATAAGAATACATGAGGAGGACAGGAAGTATGTCGGTTTTATTCACGGGGGCGAGACCTACGTGTTCCAAAGGCTTCCTTTTGGGTTGTCCACATCAATAGCTTCCCTTATACGATGTTTGAATCAGGTTCTGGGACCAACCTGTCGCTCTTTCACAGTGATATATGTTGATGATCTGCTGGTGTTCTCGGATGGAATCGAGGAACACCTAGAGCACTTGAAGATTTGGTTCGAAAAATTGTTAGCAGAGGGCATTACCTTAAAGCTAAGGAAAAGCCAGTTTATACGGAAAGACGTAATCTTTTTAGGTCACGTCATCTCTAGCGATAGTGTCAGTATAGACCCTAGTCCTATTGAAGCGATTTCCAAGTTTCCTAAACCGCGAAACGTCAGGGAACTCCGAGCATTTTTAGGATGTATCAATTACGAAAAGCGTTTTTGTGATTCATATTCGGATTTAACGCTCCCATTGGTGAAATTGTTAAGAAAACAAGAAGTTTGGATTTGGGGTCAAGAGCAAAAGGTGGCGTTTGAGGACGTGAAGCAGGCTTATCTCAAAGCGACGCTCATGATCCATCCAGATTTTAAAAAGACATTCTTTGTCCAATGCGATAGTTCGGACTATGCTACGGGGGATTGCCTTTTTCAAAAAGCTGATACGGGGGAACGTCAAGTGATAGCCTATACGAGTAAAACACTAAAGGGTAGTCAGTTGCGATATACGACGACTGAGAAAGAGATGTTGGCCCTATTAAATTGCCTGGAACAGTGGCGTAGTATTTTGTTGGGAAGGGACATAACCGTTTTAACAGATCATAAAGCTCTTACATTTTTTCTGACATGCAAGCTGCGCTCCGTGCGATTGTCTCGTTGGATACTCTACATTCAGGAATTTTCTTTCCAAATTGAGCACTGCCCGGGCGTACCAAACAGGATTGCTGACACTTTGAGTCGGTTTCCCCCTTATAAAGGTATCAGGCCTGCTCCGACGCGGTCTGGTTAAGGTGACGGACGCGTTTAGTCAACTTAAGTCGAATTTCAGGAATTGGCGAGAAGAACAGCTCAGGGATAGGTGGACTGCCAAAAAATTGTCATTTCTGGAAACTTCACCTTTCTCGGTACCAATATTATCCGCAAAAGAATACCAGATTACCAAATGGTATATCGTTCACAATGGGTTGTTGTATATCGGTCCTTACGTGGTTCTTCGGAAGGCTGGACCTAACTGTTATATTCTGAAGGACTCAGAAGGTAATGAAATGCCTAAGCAAAATGTCGTTAATCTCAAGGGATATAAGGAATTACCGACGGATTTCCCGATGTAGCGGCCCGATGCGGATTTTCCTATAGTGATTTTTCTTTTAAGTTCAAAGGATAAACTAGATTTCCTCACCTAGGAAGGGATGTTTTTCTGCAGTATTGTGATTTATTTTGCCCTTCTCATCTACTACTAGTTTTAGTTAGGTTAAGAGATTTATTGTACTTAAATTTAATCACAGGCGCTTAAACTTAAGTGGGGGGTTGTAAAGAGGTTCGGCAACAGCGCGACCGTGTGTGAGTGCGTGTCGAGTGCAAAGTGCGACGGAGGGCAGGTGATAAGACCCTGAGGACGGGTTGCGGTTGCGAGGGGCATGAGCATCGGCAGAAGGAGGACGGATATCGTCGCTCGACCCGACGGACGTACGAACATTGTGACTGCTATTTTTATTATAGTGTGACTTGTAAATCGGCCTCTATTTTAGAAAATAAAGTGATATCGTTGTAACACCGTCTGCGTCCCATTAACCTGAGAGAGCTAGCTCGGGAACTATTTCACTAGGTAGCTCATTGTTTATTCCAAAATTATCAAAGTAGCTCAACACACCGAAAAGGTTGGCGACGACTGCCATAAGGTTCACAGAATCAAAGTCCCCTTTTGACAAGTCTGCATGTTTCTAAGTGCAAAATTGCGTCAAAAATTGATATTTTTAACAAATTCCGAAAAGTCGCCGGATCATTCTTTACAGTCATTTATGAACGCTTCTCTAAATAGATATAAGCTATATTTGAAAAAGTGCAAAATGCACTATTTATGACCTCGAAATTAATATGAAGAAAAAAAATTATTTATGTTGCTGATGTTCTTAAATTTCCCGCAAACATCCATCCGAAACTATTTTAAGAGGTATTGTTTGTTAATTGTTACTTAATCGCGCGCGGGTGCTTCTTGAATAACATTATACAAAAATCCGATCAGAATATTTTTCCAAGCAGATATGGAGATAGTTCCTGCACTATAAGATCGGCGTACAGTTAGCAACCGAAATAGTTAGCAGTCATCTTCGACAAGTTATTATAAAGAACTGTTAGCGCAAGTGTCTATTGGTAGAACAGGATTATTATATCAGTAGCTGCTAATAATATGTCACTCCTCGGTTCATACAACCAGCAAAACAACTCTAAATTTCAGCATTGAAATGGCATAATTTCACTTTTCCAAATATTAAATCGCTTATATTTCCAAACCTTTCAACTTCGGATCGACTCCCCGACATGTTTTCATCAGCGAATCACTTGCCTTGTTTGAATTTGTCAGGCGCGGATTCCGCTCTCACCAAGAAAGCGTTATTGTTCGTTTAAGATCCAGGGAAATATTATTTCACGATCGGCATTCAATCCCCAAAGAACGTTTATAAACGCTTTGATATTGCCGAAGTACTGGATCACAAATGATTATTAACGGTATTTAGGTTCGAACATCACTTCCGTGGATTTCATAAGTACAGGGTGACTTCGAAGTTGAGTCATTTATTTTAACAGTGAGTAGATCTGATCAAAAGAAATGTTTTTTCCTTTACCATTTTTCTGGTAAAATTAAAGTAACAAAGTTATAGCCCTTTGGAAGTTTGAGTACCGCCCTGTCTCAATAATAATATTATGTGCTCGTGTTTGGCAACAACGGATATAATCCGCCTTATCGGTTCATCGCATCGGAAACAAAAAAGCGAAAGAATTTGGAACGATGTTTTTACAATTATTTTATTCAGTTGTATATAGTCAGTGTCAGTCGGTAACGCGTGAGTGAATAGTGGTGTCTGTTGCCTGGCTCAAACGAAATAAAAAATGGCACATGTTTATGCGGATCGGTTTCCCAATCGAGTGCAACCAACCCCTCGTGCCTTTGTTAATGTAGTACAACGGGCTCGTGAATCAGGTGACTTGAGACCTCACAGGGGACGGCATGCCGGTGCTCCAAGACCTCACGATCAAATACAGGTCCGCACTGAAATACTTGTCGGGAGGATACTTTATAAAACAAGGTAAATTTTATTTTTTTTATTTTTACACACATATTTTGGTTTATCTTCCTTCTACAATCATTATCTGAAAATTAATGACTCAACTTCAAAGTCACCCTGTATATCATTGCCAAGAAGTTATGATACTCGTAGCAACTGCTTTTCGTTGTTGCTCTTTTTAGTACAGTTTTGAGTATACAATACGATTTTTAGGGCGGCTGGGTGTCGTCACCAAAAGACACCGCCTTTCCAGAAACCATTCCTGAAGAAAGCTCCAGCACCGAGGAAGAGCATGTCGTTATATTTAGATTGCCGTCACTGCACGAATCTGATGGATTCTTGAGAGATCCTTCTATTTACACGGTATGGTTGAATATAATCAATATATTATTATGTTGTTGTTGTTGTTGTTGTTGGAGATTTATTTAGCATTAATGCTACAATGTCAATTTTTGTAATCTGAAATTCTTGACTATTAAAATTAAAATTACGTCACTATGTATTTTGATTATTCATAAAGTGATTATTTAAGTTCACCTTAAATATTTTTAAATTCGAATTTCGACTAATATCATTATTTAATTTATTAAATTGAAATACTCCCTTTTGAAATATAGATTTACTAGTTTTGCTACTATTACAATTTTGCACTGCAGTTCTTCTAACATAGACTTAACACTAGCATATTTGTTTTTATTTAAAATGATTCTCATAGCTTTATTTTGTAGAATTTGTAATTCTGAAAATATGTTTTCATTTGCTGTAAACAAGATGGTTGAACAATATAAAAAATGGGGAAGAATCATAGTGCTATAGACATTTTTTTGGATTACATACTAAGATTATGGGAAGGTCTATAGAAGTGATTTATCTTTTTCGATATTTTTGAAATAATGTATTCCTAATGTTCGTGAAACAGTAGCTTACTATCCACATATATACCAAGATATTTAAATGACTCGACTATTTCAATTTTTTCATCATTAATCATGAGCCTAATTGTATAGTCACCTAAATGTTTCCCTATTGACATACATTTTGTTTTATTAGTGTTAAATTTAAGTTTATTGACATTTAATCAATTCATATTTTTTTCAATATCACTATTTAACAGTTCTAATGCTTATGTGCTATATATAAGTGTATCGTCCGCAAATATTTGAATTTTGCAGTGTTCTAAAATGTCAGAGATATCATTTATATGAATAATAAATAGTAACGGCCCTAATTTACTCCCCTGTGGTACCCCTACTGATATATGTTGAACACTTGTCATAATATTTCCAACTTTAGTTTTTTGACTTCTATTTCATTAACAGTTTTTCCCTATCTATAGTCTCAAATGCCCTTTTGAAGTCTAAAAATATTGTTACAATATATTGTTTCTCATCTATACTTTTTCTCCAGTCTTCCACCACCATTTGGATTGCCGTTTCTATGGAACATTTTTTTCTAAATACAGCTTAATTTTGATCAAAATTTTTGTTTCTTCAATGAATTCTATGATTTGTTCGTATATTATCCCTTCGAACAGCTTCTCGACATCCGGCACGACATTAATCGGTCGCATATTTGTATTCATCTGAGAATTTTGAACTTTTGGCACAGGAGTAATGGTGGAACACTTTAATTTTGATGGGAATTCACCAGGTACCCAAATACTTTTGCCATTTTGATCTTTCTTTATTTTTTTACGTTTTTTTTTCGACATATTTGAGTTTTAGGTAATAGTAATACAGAAACCGGTTTAAAGTCAGTACCTGCTTCCATGATTTTCTTAACAGTTCTCAGTCATTGTGTTCTGTTGAACCGACAGATAATTCAATACTGCCATGAGATGAGCATTGGGGATAAAATGTTGTTGTTTTAGTCTTTCGAAATCCAAGCCTCGTCGACCGAATGCGTCATAACTTTGAGCGTGTTGTGGCTCTGTCTATGACAATCTTCCCAAATGTCTGCCCGTTAGCTCCTAAAGATTGCACGTCTACTGGTGCGAAGCGACGTAACGGGGACCGCGGTGACATTGGTCATTTGCACGCATCAAACGTGACATATCACATCGCTTCACTTCGCGTCGCTCCAGTGCGCGCGCTCTCATTTTAACGTTGACGTCATAGCTTTGTAAGTATTTCCGGACATGTTCAGCTTCTGAGTTCTTGGATTCGAAGAAGTACTGCAGATAAGAGTGACAAATTTTCTCATATAGAGCACTGTGTAATTGACAGCACCAGTCTTACGGTCTTTATGCCTGAATGTTACTTCCCGCAGAGTGAAGAGTATTCTTTGGGCGTCGGCAGCAAAGATCTTCGCCAGCACTTCCGCCTTGACCTTCGAGGTGAATACAATCATTCCGTCCTGACACGTAAGTGATGGAAGGCTACTCTATGAGAGGTTCCTTTCAATTTTACCTGTTCCCAACTTTTATAACGAGCTGGTCTTTGGCATTGCGAACCGCTTCATTATATTTGTTTGAGGACTCGACAACGGGGGTTTGTAAGAAGGCTCAGTGTACCTTGATCTTCTGCCGGCGAGCCTGTATAATAATTCTACTATTAGTTATGCTACGTTTCTGTGTTATTTCAAAGTTGAACGTCTTTGATCATGGTTACCACTGTATAGAGGTAGTTCCAGCGCTCATTGTTTTGTAAGTGGGGCTTTCAAATTTCCTCCTTCCGTACATCTAACACCAACTATATTTCTAGGCCGAAACAAGCATTATTCAATTGGCGATGAGAAGAAATGGGGCTGGACGAAGTAATAAGGTAGATCAAGCAGCTGTTACTGCAAGTACCGATAATAAGTCAACCGGAAAACCGCCTATGCAAAAGGCTGGGTGAGTACATTGTTTCACGGCAAAGTAGAGACAAAAAAGTCAACCTAATAGAAAGCTTGTTTTTGATTTTGTAATCATTCTTTTTAGTACTTCCAGTAATTCAATTATCATTGCCACTTAACTACGTCTTCGGTCAGCCTATTTCTATCGTACAACAGGTTTGTCGAACAACTGGCATGGCCATTAAGAGGACTCTGGTATGCCCTTGTGGCGGTTCAAAAATTCATTATGTCAAATTCACGAATATTTACTGATTGTGGCAAGACAGAAAGAAAACAATACCTTTCATACCTTGAGAGGACTTACAACTCTCTTATACCTCCTACTGTCGTTGCAAACCCGTTTTGGTTGGTAACATATTGGTGTTACTCGGAACACATAATTGTAATTTTAAGCATTGAAAATGAGCATGGCGATCGACTAACTTTTTCCTACATTTCCGTAATTTGTTCGGCTTTCGTGATAAAAAATAAGCTGAACCTATTGGATTCAGGTATCTTTGATGCAGCCTCAACAATACATTTAAGAATATATGAAATTTATATAACTTCCATATACAGGGTTCAACACGCTGTATATGTATACTAAGTGACATATAAATCCGAACACCCAGTTTAAATGGTTTTATTTTAATAAAATTTTGTATAAGTACTTAATGAAGCAAAATAAGTAAATGATAAAAATTTCAAAATGATTGCACTGCTTTAAAGCCCTTTGACCTTTAATAATGTGTGGATGCACCCTGATGTGCTACGCATTCTCCAACGCGCATAGGCATGCTTCTGATCAGGTGGTCAATGTCCTCCTGTGGTATCTCATTCCAGGCAACCACCAACTCCTCTCGAACTGCTTCTAGAGTCTGAGGAGGACGTTGCAAATTGAGCAATCTCCTACCTATCATGTCCCACACGTGCTCAATTGGGGATAAGTCGGGAGATCTTGGTGGCCATGGTAACCATGTGACATCACTATGTTGAAAGAAGTCTATTGTGACTCTTGCAACGTGTGGTCGGGCATTATCTTGATGGAAAGTTGGATATGCCAGGGTGTCAAGATAGGGTAAAAGATGGGGTTCTAGAACTTCGTGCATATAACGCTGCTCGTTCAAGTTACCTCTGATGAAGATTAAAGGTGACCTGGAACCATAAGCTATAGCACCCCAAACCATAACTCCAACAGTGTGATGAACATGTCTTTCAACAAAAAACTGTGGATTCCTCCTTTCACCACGTCGCCTTCTAACCCTGGCACGACCATCGTGCTCATAAAATCCGCCAACGTTGATTCTTTACTGCGGCTGAAATATTCATTTTTAGAGCGTTAGTGAATTAAAAAAAAGGAGTATGAAAACCGTTAGAATTTTGATATTACGTTTCTTATTGGACAGGTCCTCAACCGACAAAGATTCACTTGACAGTAGCAAAGTACCATCAGTAGAAGCACAGCAGAAGGAAGAAGCCGGCAAGCCGCTAGATCATGAACATAAGGTAAATGCGGCGACTTTTTTGGATGTGGCTGTACTACGTTGTCTCTTCATGACTCATTGGCAAGAAGATGGGATTTATTGGGCATTGGCTTTTCTATACAACAGGTGAGTGGAAGCAATGTTAGTTTGATGTGGTTGAGGAGATACAACTTTTTCAAACATTACTATCTGCGGCAAATACACTCAGGTTCAAAATTAACGCAACAAGCAAATTCGGAAGGTCTTTGACTCATTATAGATATAACCAAAATTTTCAACCCTTATACAATTTGTTTAAAAAATGATAACGAACCGCTGAAACGTCGAAAAACGAAGTTTGAGCTATTTTTACTTATTTCGTCTTGGGCATTTTTCACTGTGGCCACTAGACTGGAAGGATTTTTTTTCGTTTTTGGCCTAAAAATACTCACCTCACCTTGGACCTTAAGGATCGTAGTCAATGTCACCATCTGCGAAATCTTACAACTTTGGTTTGAAACTTTTTTGTCTAGAACGCACAGTTTTCGAAATGTTTAGGCGAGGAGATTGAAATGAGACACCGTGTATATAATTGAGGATGTATTTTGCTATTTGCAACTGTGCTTTTTCATTTAGACTTCGAGAGATCAACGAAGAAGCTTCTAACCAACAGCAACCTAGGAGGAGGAGCAATTCCTTGCCGATACCCAAGATTGAAGTGTCTTTATATCAGAGCAATGATTTCAAAAAGTCGTCTGATCACAACCAGAAAGATTTCATCGAGGTTCCCGAGCCGAAAGACGTATCTCTTTTAGCAGGTAGTAAATTTATTGTTATGCTATTAATACGAGCGTCAGTTGTCAACCTAGCATAACAAAATGTCACGTATATTTTTTTTGATGAATTGCGTATCATTTCAGAGTGTCCGTATTCATCACAAGCAAAATCTGACGAATCCCTGCATAAGAGAGCGGGGAGCGAAAAGAGTAAGAGAAGGATGAAGATAGCTGATTTAAAAACATTTGTTGAAACCAAGCTATTATCGAAATCGGAGAAGGCGTTAGAAAAAATTGGACAAGAAGAACCGAAATCGCTGGGACAAGTATCGGTGGGTTCAAGAAGATTTCTAAATGTATGTATCTTCCTTTAATAAGCTGTCTCACTCGCAGACTATACTAAATGACATATAAATCCGAACACCCAGTTTAAATGGTTTTATTCTAATAAAAGTTGGTGAATGTATTTATCTTACTGTAAATAACAAGTGAAAAAATTTTCAGCCTTATCAGTTGGACATTCCGGTTTTTATACTGCTTTTTTTTTTTAATTCACTAACGCCTAGAGTACGGAGACCTGTACGATTTCGTCAACTTAGTGAGTTTGATAGGGGCCGTATAGTGGGACTTCGGGAAGCTGGACTTTCTTTTCGGGCAATTGCAGTTAGAGTGCAAAGAAGTGTAGACACTGTGGTTAGGTGTTGTCAGGCATGGCTTCGAGAAGGCCGTACGCAAAGAGCAAGGGGCACTGGACGCCGCCGTAGAACAACAGACCGTGAAGATCGCCGCCTAAGATTATTGGCCTTAAGGGGCCGTTTCTTCACTACCAGGTCCATTGCAAATGAATGGTTTGCAGAACACGGAAGACCTATTGGCATGCGAAGTGTTTACCGACGAATGAGAAGTTTTGGCTTGTTTTCATACCGGCCACACTGGGTCCTTTTAACTCGAGAACACTGACGTAATCGCCTTGAGTGTTGCAGACAACGGTCACTCTGGGATCAGGAATGGAACAGTATTGTCTTTAGTGACGAGTCTCGATTTTGTTTAGGCATGCACGATGGTCGTGCCAGGGTTAGAAGGCGACGTGGTGAAAGGAGGAATCCACAGTTTTTTGTTGAAAGACATGTTCATCACACTGTTGGAGTTAAGGTTTGGGGTGCTATAGCTTATGGTTCCAGGTCACCTTTAATCTTCATCAGAGGTAACGTGAACGCGCAGCGTTATATCCACGAAGTTCTAGAACCCCATCTTTTATCCTATCTTGACACCCTGGCAGATCCAACTTTCCAACAAGATAATGCCCGACCACATGTTGCAAGAGTCACAATAGACTTCTTTCAACATAATGATGTCACATTCTTACCATGGCCACCAAGATCTCCCGACTTATCCCCAATTGAGCACGTGTGAGATATGATGGGTAGGAGATTGCTCAATTTGCAACGTCTTCCTCAGACTCTAGAAGCACTTCGAGAGGAGTTGGTGGTTGCCTGGAATGAGATACCACAGGAGGACATTGACCACCTGATCAGAAGCATGCTTAGGCGCGTTGGAGAATGCGTAGCACATCAGGGTGCATCCACACATTATTAAAGGTCAAAGGGCTTTAAAGCAGTGCAATCATTTTGAAATTTTTATCATTTACTTATTATGCTTCATTAAGTACTTATACAAAATTTTATTAAAATAAAACCATTTAAACTGGGTGTTCGGATTTATATGTCACTTAGTATATTTCTCTTCTTTCGCTTTTATGGCTTCATCTAGATTATCCACTTTCAAGATACCTGTTTATCATCTAATACTGTGATGGTTTATTTTCTCATTCCACAGCAGGAATGTCATAGGAGTCTAGATACCGGAGATGACACTTTGTCGTCTAGGCCACAATCGTCGTTTTCAAAAATCTTCGAGCCGCCTAGCAACCTTGTGAAAGGGAAAAGCATGCCTAGCCTCAGGTACGTACCAACCATTTATTATATTTTGTGGTAAATCTCACTATTTAAGGTGGTGATAGATACAGGGTATTCTTAAAATTGAAATATTCCGAAAAAATGTGCGATACCTAATTCAACTCGGCATCTGATTAGGTGAAAATTGAAAAAATAAGACGTGCGTCAGTATTCTACCCTTCGCACAAGGAAATGGAGCTGTTTTTAGAAAGTTAATTAGTAAGACCGAACACTGTACACTGTCCGCTGCTTAAGCATACGAAAAAAACGAAAAACTACCGCATTTGAGATGCGGAAAAAAATAGTTCTTTTTCAGTGTTTTAATTTTTACTCAAAATCTACGTAGTTTTTGTATTCTCATATAAACCCCCAATAGAAAAGTTGTTTGAAGTGAATATCCCTATCAAAATGTTATCCTTCTAGGTCGAAAATATTTTTTTCTACATTGTTGTAGATATAGAAGATCTAGCTCTATATACTTTTTGTACATAAACTCCCAATAGTTTTTTTTTTAAATTAATATTCGTACTAAAATCCTATCTTTCGAACTCTAAAATATTTTTTTGAGAAAGTATATAATAATATTAATAAAGTTGTAGTCACAATTCTCATATGACGTCGATGATGTAACCTCCAAGAACGGTGACTACAACTATATCACACCTTTCAAAATGTCGTTTAGTAAAATGCTTCACTTACGATTTAATTTTGAATGATTTAAATATTTCACAAATAGAAGATATTTTATTTAAAATAATATACATTATGTAAAATATATAGAAGGATAATGAACGGATACTCTCTCTCAGTGGTCTAGCTCGCGATCCACCAGATTTCTTGTTATACCACTAAACAAAGCTTATAAATGCATTAAAATGAAGTTATATTTATCACATAACAATTCGACGTGTTTCGGAATTTTCCACTGTAAAACGCAACAAACAAAAAATTGATAAATAGTTTGTCGGACTCACCAAAAGGAAGCTATATGAAGTTTCAAGTATATATAAATCATTCAATAAAATCAGTTATGTATTGTGGACTAATTCGTCAGCTGTCTTTCTTTGTAGTACCAAAACACCTTTACATTGTAACTCAATAGTCTTAGATGTATTGATTTGGATTTTGCATTGTTTTACCTTTCTCTTGAACATATTACATACTAAAATGCTTGGCTGTCCCTCTTTCCGGCATCTCTGATATTAGTAGTCTTTTTTTAGTTAATAATCAGTAGTTCACTTGTCTAACTACTGAGTAGTCGTTTTTCTAGAACCTTGGTATAACAGTGCAAATTAATTTTAACTTGAAATAGTTTGAGGCGATACTGAAACTGCATCAGAACGCTGGCAGTGTCAGGCAGAATTACCCAATAATATCGTCCTAGTGAAAAAGGAAGCCAAAAATAAATGGGATGTGTTTTTTTCAACAAATAATATGTTTATTTTATTTCTATATCTTTCTATATCTGATGGAATCAATTGCAGTATTTATGAATCTGTTACTGTTATTCTTTCTTACCTTAATTATATTGATTTGTAGATGACATGAATATCATTTAGAAAAAATGGATGATTTCTGTATCCTCTTACAGAGGTCTAACTTTAGTCTATTTCTTTAGCCATTACTGAAACTTGATGGAGGCCTAGCCCAGAAATTCAATCTAGCTAACCAGAAGATTGATACAACTATTCAATTATTGATATTCTTTATACTGTAGCCAAGCTATATTGCAGAATATAGTCTTCTGTACGGTATTGGAACACACTGCTAGCACTGTACGTGCAGAATTCATTACTTCCTTGGAATGCCTACCTTTAAATTATGACGGTTGGTTTCACTCGTGTTAAGCAATTGAAAAACGCAACCACAAAACCGTACAAGCAAAGCATGAGCGTCTATGCCGGCCTTTATTCGTTATTTGTTTTAAGCAGGGTGCAAGAAAGGCCGATAGCCGAGTTCTTATTATAAAACCTTTTCTATTGTTCGTGATCTATGTGTAAATTCTGATGCGATACATTTTCACCCCCTACATGTCATATTTAGTGGAGTGCATTTTACTATCTGTTTAGATGTTGTTTCCTTCATTTCCTTTGAATATCTGTTTCATGTATGCGTATGTATATCTTCACATTCTCTAAGATTATTTTTGTCTTTCCTTAGCTGTTTAATTGATGAACTTAACGCTGGTGGGTAAGTAAGTGTACAAGCTCTACACCGGGATTCTGCACTAACCAAGAAATTACTTTTTACTTATTTGCAAGTCACGTGAACAAATTACCAGCTATCTGCATTATCTAAGCATGTCCTGGAACAACATGTCAGACTCTCGTATACTAATAAGATAATGATAATACCCTGGTTTAATCTTCACGTTCACAAGCACTTTATAGCGATCGGTCGTGGTGATGGAAACTCGGAAGCCAACGATGATGATACACTCTCATGGAGTAGGTGCAGCTTCGAATTTTGACGCTACCGTACTACTCTTTTTTCTAACACACACACACACATCATTCGAGGGATCCCGGTTGATCCCCCAATTGCTTGAGGGCGAACGAAAGTGTTTATATGTTTGAGATAAATCCCAAGTTCTTTAACAGTAGAAGCAGAAGGATATGAGATAACGCTGCCATGATGCAATGTATTAACATATTGAATACAGGGAGCTAAAGTACCTAATTCGCATAAAAAAAATTGACATGACATTCTGGGACACCCGCTATAACTAGCAGAATGTTTTACTAATAATATAATTTCCAACATGATTGATTATACTGCTTTAAAGCTTGATTTGGTTAATGCAATATCGCCTGTACTGTGCGATGCTTCATAGCTGCATGTTAGTATGCTTGCCAATTCTTCCGTTTACTGATCCGTTATTTTTAGATATACAGACGAGACTCATTGGGAATGTACACGCAGCAGCAGATTGACCAATTCCCAGCCAATGACAAACCCGATTATCACAGTTACTGAACATACTCCAACACCTTCACCTGACTACTTGAAGAAGGAGGTAAATGTTCATATATTCAGTAGTTTGCTTCGACTCAATGACTTGCCACCTGTTTTGGACATTGCCAACTTTCTCAACGTGTCGTTTAAGTATTTCATTTTCTTCACCCTATTCAGATAAGAGTGACAATATTTCTGAGGTAGAAAAACAGGGTCGTGTGTTTGGATCTAGTATTTTAAATAGCTATGAATCTGCTATTATACAGGGTGCGGCAGAAAGGATGGACGGTTTAAAAAAAATCATAAAATAGTTAATTTTTACTGGAAATTAAATTTATTGATGGAATCATAGTCAACATTAATACTAAGACTATTGTTCCCTAACCAGGCATATAATGTCTTTAAGCGTCCATTAATCATTTTAACCAAATTGTCTATGTTGTCACATTCCATGAACAAAATTGTATCGAATGCAAACAACTGAATTTTGCAATTTTTTACAGCCTTTACAATATCATTTATATACAGCACGAATAGATCAGGACCCAACACTGTTCCCTGAGGGACACCATGCCTATTTTAGATAAGGAGTTTTTGTACTTTGTTCGCTGAGTTCTTTGTTCCAAGTATCCTGAGAACCATCTTAAAACGTTGCCTTCAAAGCCATATTTTTCTAGTTTTTTTATCAACAAATTTCTATTTATTGTTTCGAATGCTCTCCCGAAGTCGATGTATACCAAGTGACATATAAATCTGAACACCCAGTTTAAATGGTTTTATTTTAATAAAATTTTGTATAAGTAATTAATGAAGCATAATAAGTAAATGATAAAAATTTCAAAATGATCGCACTGCTTTAAAGCTCTTTGACCTTTAATAATGTGTGGATGCACCCTGATGTGCTACGCATTCTCCAACGCGCCTAGGCATGCTTCTGATCAGGTGGTCAATGTCCTCTTCAGGCAACCACCAACTCCTCTCGAAGTGCTTCTAGAGTCTGAGGAGGACGTTGCGAATTGAGCAGTCTCCTACCCATCATATCCCACACGTGCTCAATTGGGGATAAGTCGGGAGATCTTGGTGGCCATGGTAACAATGTGACATCATTATGTTGAAAGAAGTCTATTGTGACTCTTGCAACTTGTGGTCGGGCATTATCTTGTTGGAAAGTTGGATCTGCCAGGGTGTCAAGATAGGGTAAAAGATGGGGTTCTAGAACTTCGTGTTTATAACGCTGCACGTTCATGTTACCTCTGATGAAGATTAAAGGTGACCTGGAACCATAAACTATAGCACCCCAAACCATAACTCCAACAGTGTGATGAACATGTCTTTCAACAAAAAACTGTGGATTCCTCCTTTCACCACGTCGCCTTCTAACCCTGGCACGACCATCGTGCATGCCTAAACAAAATCGAGACTCGTCACTAAAGATAATACTGTTCCATTCCTGATCCCAGAGTGACCGTTGTCTGCAACACTCAAGGCGATTACGTCGGTGTTCTCGAGTTAAAGGGAGGACCCAGTGTGGCCGGTATGAAAACAAGCCAAAACTTCTCATTCGTCGGTAAACACTTCGCATGCCAATAGGTCTTCCGTGTTCTGCAAACCATTCATTTGCAATGGACCTGGTAGTGGAGAAACGGTCCCTTAAGGCCAATAATCTTAGGCGGCGATCTTCACGGTCTGTTGTTCTACGGCGGCGTCCAGTGCCCCTTGCTCTTTGCGTACGGCCTTCTCGAAGCCATGCCTGACAACACCTAACCACAGTGTCTACACTTCTTTGCACTCTAACTGCAATTGCCCGAAAAGAAAGTCCAGCTTCCCGAAGTCCCACTATACGGCCCCTATCAAACTCACTAATTTGACGAAATCGTACAGGTCTCCGTACTCTAGGGATCGTAACCGATCGTAAAGGATGTCAAGAACCAAAATCCGCCAACGTTGATTCTTTACTGCGGCTGAAATATTCATTTTTAGAGCGTTAGTGAATTAAAAAAAAAGCAGTATAAAAACCGGAATCTCCAACTGATAAGGCTGAAAATTTTTTCACTTGTTATTTACAGTAAGATAAATACATTCACCAACTTTTATTAAAATAAAACCATTTAAACTGGGTGTTCGGATTTATATGTCACTTAGTATATTTATGCTACTTCTGGATGTACTTTCTGCTTCGAATTATTATTATTGGTTGTTTTACTAAAGCAGTAACGTCAAACTTGAGCTTTAAGACAATTGCTCCATAGTTACAGTTTTATCGTTACTTTATATTTTGCTTGAGTTTTTATTTAGATACTTTATGTTGCACACGTTCAATTCCAGACCTACGCTCAAAGTTCAATGGATAGCCAGCTGGATGCTGCGAGCCTTTCCGGCAGCAAGTTGAGTGGCTGGCAAGATAGGAAGTCAAGCTTAACGAGATCCCAAACAGATTCAAATATAACATATGCTGGTGAAGAGGTTCAAGAGGCTCATGGATCAACAAGATATATAACAAGAGACGGCGAGATGGACTTGCAAGTAGTTTTAAAGGTGCAATAATTACACTGATCAACAGCCAAAAAATATCCTAAATAAAATCAACAAAATATTACTATTTTTAATGTGCTAAAACCGGAATGAATCTTATTTTTTCAATATTAGTTCAAGTTCTAGAGATACGGGAATTATATGTGTTCCTGCTGTGACAGTGTTAATATACTGTAATTCACAAGAATGCACGTGCTACATTTTTATATTCGGCAAGGAAAGATGATGTAATCGGCATGATTGTGTTACGTTATACATACGTGTATATGTACATTATATTGTTTTATATTAGCCATTTTTTCCTCAGTTGGTTGACAGCGTTCATGCAAGATGTCTCGAAAGTGTGTAAACAATCCAGATTAGTTTTGTTACGTGTGTGGTGATGTGACTTTTGCGTCTCAGAGACGGTCTATTACTCCACTAATAACAAAGGCATATCAGCTTTATTTCGGTTGTAAACTAGGTGATCAAGACAAACAGTGGGCACCCCACATCTGCTGTAATACATGTGCTTCAAGTCTGAGGAGCTGGTTAAATAGCAAAAAACGGTTTATGCGCTTTGCTGTCCCAATGGTTTCGAGAGAGCCTACAAATCATATTAATGATTGTTACTTTTGCATGATACCTTGTGTTGGACAAGCCACAGGTATGTCCAAGAAAAAAAAATCGGTTATTAACTACCCAAACATACCATCTGCGATGAGACCTGTGCCTCACAGTGACGAAAATCCTATTCCAAAACCCCCAGAATCCTACACTTGCGAATCAGAAAACGAATCAGATCATGGCGATCGAGTGATTCGTCAGGAAGAAGATATGCCATCAACGTCAAGAGATCCTGATTTTATACCGAGCACGTCATGCCACCAACCGCACAAAATAACACAGTCAGAATTAAATGATCTTGTAAGAGATTTAGAACTTCCAAAATGTAAGGCAGAGTTACTTGGATCAAGACTGCAGCAGTGGAACTTGTTAGAAGACGATGTTTCGGTATGTGTTTTTCGTAAACGCCACAAAGACTTAGAACCATTTTTCAATATGGAGAATAACTTGGTTTTCTGCAGTAACATTAACGGCTTACTGGCGGCTTTAAATATAAACTATAACCCAGAAGAATTGAGATTGTTTATAGACAGTTCAACATTGAGTTTAAAGGCAGTGTTATTGCATATTGGAAATATTTTACCATCTCTTCCTGTAGGGTATGCAGTTCACATGAAAGAATCATATGACAATATGAAGTACCTATTGACATGCATAAAATACGATGAGCACCAATGGTATATTTGAGGAGATTTGAAAGTTGTTGCACTTTTACTTGGGCTGCATCTAGGCTACACAAAGTTTTGCTGTTTTTTGTGTGAATGGGACAGTCGGGCAAATGCACTTCATTACACCAGACAAAACTGGCCTGTTCGTCAATTCCTAGAGCCAGGTCAAAAAAATGTACAGCATATGCCATTAGTAGATTCGGAAAAATATTTATTACCACCACTGCATATCAAGTTGGGCCTAATGAAAAACTTTGTCAAGGCATTAGATAGAGATGGGTCAGCTTTTCAATACCTGCGTCAGAAATTTCCAAAACTAAGTGAGGCAAAGGTTAAAGAAGGTATTTTTGTTGGGCCACAGATTCGAAATATTTTGAAAGATAAACAGTTTGAAAACACTTTAACAGGTATTGAAAAAACTGCTTGGAATGATTTCCGTCTGGTGGTCACTAATTTCTTGTGAAATAGAAAAGCTGACAACTATAAAACCCTTGTCAAAAATATGCTGTCATCGTATCAAAAGATGGGCTGTAATATGTCTCTTAAGATACATTTCCTACACTCACACCTGGACTTTTTTCCTGAAAATTGCGGAGCCGTAAGTGATGAGCATGGCGAACGTTTTCATCAGGATATTTCAACAATGGAAAAAAGGTACCAGGGAAAGTGGAATCCTTCCATGCTTGCAGACTACTGTTGGACTCTTGGTAGAGATGCTCCAGAAACGATCCATAAAAGAACAGCAAAAAGACAGCGCATATAGTGATTCTTATAAGTATATGAATCTTGTTACTTTTTTTTAATGTATCCTTAAAAATAAAAAGTTTTTTTATAAACCGCAACTAATTTTTTTATTTCATTGTCATTTTTGGATTCAGCGCCCCAAAATTAACAAAGAAGTGCACTTTTCCCACAAGATACAATTAAAAAACTAAAATTTGTTGTCCACTGTTATTTTTTGTTTCTTTTGTGTTAAGCATATTTTTCTTTGATATATTAAATTCCACTTAGGAACATAGGGCTTCTACAAACTGACGCCATCCTGGTCCGTTCTTCTATCTCTAGCTAGGATTTCTTCACTCGTTATTCACTATGTTCACAAGCAACCAAATTTCGGTGAATTAGCTGGGATAAAGTTGCCACCTCCTTCCTGGGTTCATCACTTTAAAATTATTTGTGTGTCCAATCGAAAATTGTACCAATCATTCAATTCCCTATAAGTATGACTTCCCTTGAAATCTGACAAATATTTTCACAGTTTTGTACTGGAAAGTACTGTTCCGACCTATGTTTTGCTATTTTGCTTCAAAGAAGTATTAACTTGAAAATATTGGCGACAGGCAGTGCACAGAACTGCAGTCAGAGAAAACACTTCATGTACTCTTCGAGTGCTAGAAGTCATCTTGAACCTTGCGGAGCTGCTCTTGGACATGGGTGTCCTGAAGCAGTGCTTAAGGGATGAGGTCATGGCGAATATTTCCAGTTCCAAAAAGGAAGCGAAATTCTCCGGGGTTACCAAGGTATCTCCAGGTTCAACTGCAGATACTCCGTATAGCAGTGACGCCGAGAAGACTGAAAAGAAAGTTTCTCCACATAGGATGATGATGAATATTATTGTTAGGTACGTCATTGGTCAAATTGAAGTCCTATTTTAAACTCTAGAAACCGCTGGTAGAATATTGCGTACTTTTTTTCCGGTAGTGCTTCTCTACGATGTGGGATATTTTTTTGTAGTTCCATTACTAATTTCAGAGTTTTGAAGCATCTCGGATGTCCACATGGATGTATGGATGGCCAGAGAGGCCCAGCAGCAGAGTTTCTACGGACGCAGTGTCAAAACATTTTCTCCAAACTGAATAGAGCCAGCGGCAATATGTTGAAAAAATACTTGAGAGACTTCGTTAGGTACCAGCCGATGAACGACATACTCGATTTCTTTCACGCTTATTTAGGATATTGCGTGGATCCCAGCTCCTTGTTATCACCTCTGAGTAAGCATATTACATATGCGATATGCTATGATGTAGTAATCACGCAAAATGTGAGACAACTATCTTCAAGTACTATCTTGTCAATGAAGCTTGCAAAATGGAATTTTTCTGTTACCTAGTATCGGTTTAGTTATTATGGGATTTAATGACCTAAGTTCATTAGCCCATTTCTTAAAACGTAACTATACTTGTCATAAATTGTGTTTTGATAGATATCGATTCATGTGTATCAATAAATTTTATGAGTTGCAATAATATATGCACGTGTTAACGAGAATGATCGGTCAAAGGGACAATGATTACGTTTACCTGTACCGAGTGGCTGAATCAAAGCAGCACGACGACTGCTTGCTTACAACTTATTAACAAAGATTAAAGCATCCCACAAACCGGCGCGAAATATTCGCTTTGGCTGCGAAAATTTCGCGGCGATGAATTCGCGATCAGATTAAAACGCGGCGGTTTACGGAGAGGCTCAGACTTGTACGAAGCGAATGCGATTGTTCCAGCGTTTTTATCGCGGCGTATTTCAGTTCGCCTTTGACCGCGTTTTTGACGCCGTTCTTCAAAAATTCGCAATGGCAAAAACGGAATTATTGATAGAAATAGTGAAAAAGTATCCTTGTTTGTATGATTTGTCGAACGATGAATACAGGAATGTGAGAAAGAAAGACAAGATTTGGATGGAAATAGGAAAAGAATTAAATACAAATGGTATGTACCTAATATTTTTTATTAACTTGTTAAATGCTTTACAGTCTACACAAATGTGAAAACGAACATTCTATATATTGGGCATAGGCATATCAGAATTAAAATAATTTACGAATTTGTCACGAGTAGAAAATGCTAGCCTTGCTGCCCGCCGAGGATCATTTGCTATATCAGTAAAAGCTCCAAGCACGGGTTCTGGGGGATCTAAGAATTGAAAATATTTGTCATCGCCACTTTTACTTCGTAAAAAATTGTGTAAAACACACGCCGTACGTACAATTAGAATAGTAGTATCTACTTTAGTTTCTAATGGCCTGTAAAATATTCGCCATTTTTGAGACAAAATACCAAACGCATTTTCCACGACCCTTCTAGCTCGACAAAGTCTTACATTGTATTTCTCTTTTCTGACGTCTAGTTAAAGTCTGCTTATAAGGAAATGGTCTCATAAGGTATGGTTTTAAAGCAAATGCTTCATCACCAATTAAAACGTACGAGCAGATTTCATTTTGCCCAGGGAGAAATCTAGGTGCAGGGACACTCATTAAATTTTGTTCAAATCGTTTTCCCATGTTTGAGGTTTCGAAAATACCCCCATCACTATTTTTTCCGAAACCACTAATATCAACACATATAAATTTATAGTCCGGGCCAACAATGGCCATAAGTACTATTGAATATTTATGTAAATAGCACCAGTAATTGGAGCCACTGTTGTTAGGTCTCTTGATTGTTACATGTTTACCGTCCACGCTGCCAATGCAATTGGGAAATCCCCATCTATTTTCAAATTCTTCAGCACATTTTTTCCATATATTCTCTGTTGGTTCTGGTAAATATATATGCTCCATATGTCTGCATATCGCTTCACAGACTTCGGTTACGATTGCACTCACTGTTGTAAAGCCAACTCGAAAGCTATGCCCAATGGTATAGAAGGTGTCACCAGTGGCAAGGAATCTATAAAAAAAATCGTTTTTAGGTGATGAAGTAAAAAAAAGGTGGAAGAATATCAGAGACACATTTGCAAAATATATAAAATCTACCAAACTGACGTCATACATTTTGAGACTGCCGAATTTAACTCAAATATATATCAGGAAAGGGCTGGAAAGGTAGAAACCGAAAATTTGGAAGACCGCGGCCATGGAGAAGATGAAAATGCTGATGTAGATGCAGAAGATGCACAGAACGCCTCGGCAACACAGACAGCACCACCTTCTTCATTGAACACTACAGCAGTGACTACTCCAGGGCACACCTTTCCGCAGACTGCAACTACACCAAAATATAAAACGAGCAGAAAACGCTATGAACCACCATCTCCGTCTGTACAACAGCTCATTAATTATTTTCAAGGTAAAAAACCTAAAAAAGAGAACGAGGCCATTGATTCACTTTTCTTGGCACATGCATAGACTGTGAAAACACTTCCCTTAAAGCGTCAAGCCCGAAAAAAACTAAAAATAGCCGAATTAATAGCGCACGAAGAATTTGAACATATTGAAGAAATGTCTTCAGCGTCTACCCCGAATTCTGCAAGTATGTATGTATGATAGTAGTATGTCGTCCTTCCCAAGCGGCACTGGGTTTACTCGAATAATATACCCAACAGAGGAGGCAAATTCTGCCTCGAATTATTTAGCAACATTTAATCCTAGTGGCAACATGTAGTCCAATTATTACAATAAAATATTTATTTCACGATCCCTGAAGTTTTCGTATTCGATAAGCCTACTAATTTTAATACATATAATTTTTTTACCTGAGTGTAATAGCAAGTCGTTCTTCTGGGGAAATAGCTTCACGATAATTTGTGGCAGATTTTCGTATTTCATCTTTCACCAAGTTCAATATTTCATCGAAACACTCTGGAGTCATTCTAAAATATACGTAAAAGCGCTGTTCAGCCAGCCGAAGTTGTGGCATCAAGGTATGGTATTCCCCAAATTTATTTCGTTCCAAGTTCATATATCATGTACCCACTTCCTTCGTTTCCTAAACAAAATTGAAAATATTTGTTTTATGTACTTCGTTAAACTTAATACATACCCAACTATCAAATGGCGTTAAATAAACATAACTTACCGTGCATTTTGTTCCTCTTCTAAAGCAAGAAATAGAAGTGCCTCCTCTTCTTCTGAAGACGAGCTCATTGCAAAAGGCAAAAATAAAATGTACGCAACCTGTCGAAACCTTCACGTTCGCGGAGCGAATAAGACGCTTTGGTATGAATAAACAGGCGAAACAGATTGCGAATTTCGCTCTGAATTTCGTTGCGAAGACTTCGCCGCGATTATTTCGCGCCGGTTTGTGGGATGCTTTATTAACCGTGCATTTTAACGTTCGCGAACATTTCAACATAATCAAAGCAGTTGGCAAACTAGAAATCTCACTATGAAGCCTACTTAAGGCTCCCGTAGAAATAGTTTGGAATATAAAACTATTACCAATACTCATTCCTTCTTGAGAAGCTTTTCTGATGTACAAAGATAGTAACTCATATAACAAGGTTGTCGAAAAGTAGCAAAAATACCAAGATTTCTCGATTATGGGCGATAGCATCACATTCCTTGAAAATGCATGAACATTAAAGAAAGCACAACTGTCTCACAAGTTTCTACTCTTGACCAATATACACGCCCGTTATCCATTTCATTTCATTGATACTTTATATTGGGAAACCTTTCTCTAACAGAAACTTTCAAGAGGGTGTCACCTATAATGTTGCAGTTACCCAATCGTGTTCTAAGCTTTTGTTAACACGATTTTATCAGCTTATGCGTCGGCCGTCTGTTCTTTGGTAACCGATAAACTATCCACGTAGTCTGGCTTATTAGCTATGCAACAATAATAGAATGATAGAAAAATAACACTCCACTGTGATAAGAGCACAGTCAAAGGTCTGTCACCTATACGCGATACTGGCAATCGAGAAGCTGACACCCTGCATAAAAAAAGTGACAGCTTGTCATTCCACGAACGATGGAACCTTTCAAGTTTATGGGAAAGGCTACTTTTCAGCAAACCTTTGCAAGAATGCTTTTTATCACGTTCTGACACCACCGCTCGAGTCATTGTGCTGTGCTCCTTAGAAAATTACGTCTTCTTTTCCATCTTCCGACTGTTAGAACATGTAGATGCAACAAGTTGTTTCCAAGCCTATGATCACAAGCAGAACCATCTATCTATAGCCGATGGAAATTCCTTCCGCATCCGAACGTTGTAGGTATACATCATTCATTCATTGTATCGTCTTCGCAATCTTCTCTGTTCAAATATAATAAATAGCTAACCGAGTGAATAACAGGTAGCAGATGGTAACGAACATCATTTCCTAATAAAAAATACAAATTGCTTACTTAGAATCAGATGATATGTGCCTTAAATTTTGTTGCTAATTCCCCTAAAAACTGATAAAAATGGTTATGAGCTTCGATCAAGCAACATACTCTAACAAAAGATCAACATGAAGCGGTTGATTTCAAGTTGATTTAAGCTGACAGTTTCAGTTTTTTCGTCTATCATCAAGTTTCTAAAAAAGTTAATTTAATGTGTAGGGTAACAAAGAACCTTAGTTCATGAACTTATACAGGGTGTCCGCAAAGTTGGGGTTTTCCTTTTCAGAAACAACTACCCTTGAAATAACAAAGGTAATGTGTAGTGAAACGAGGGCGACCAAATAAAAAAAAAGAAAAAAGTAGTCACTCTCCAGTTGACAAGAAGGGCTAAGTACGTCTCTGCCCGAAATCATACCGCTCCAACAGAAAATGAAATCAGCTGATGCGCTACCGAGCAGACGCAGAAACCACATTGATTGTCTTACACTTAATGGCACATCTTCTAACAAGGAAGGCAAAATGTTGCGTAAAAAGTTTAGGTATTGCATCCCGTCCAATCGATTTGTGAGAATAAATGGTCCAATGAGCATACCGTTCACCATGCCAGCCCAAACATTCACCGAAACTGTTTGTTGAAAATGTGCCCGACTGACAGCGTGCGGATTTTCTACTGATCAAACATGAGTGTTGCGAAAGTTATTCACCCCATTACGCGTGAACGTAGATTCGTCTGTCACCAATATGCACTTCAAAAAGTCCGGATTATTGTCATGTTGATGCAACAACCACTCACAAAACCGCACTCTTGCTGGAAAATCGTCAGGTTGAAGGGTTTGTACGCGTTGGACGTGAAACGGATACAGCCCCTCTTCACGCAGCATTTGCCACACTTTAGTTTTTGATACTTCTCTAGCCACGTCCTCTAGTGCTTGTTGAGGGATTCTCGTTTACGCGATTACCTCTACACGCGTGACCGTAACCGTCGGTTGAAGGTTGCATACTGACCTGACACAGTGACCCCGATCCAGTTCTGCCGTCGGGTTGAGACATTGTACCAAACGGTGATGTCCCGGGTCGCGGCTACAGGACGGTATTAAGATATTTTTGATGTTGCAGAGCCCTTTATCTTGGTTCCCTTAAGACATTGTTGTATATGGTACTAAGAAAAATTGCTTATGTTTTCAAGATCTACACGTCGTGTAAAGGAAAACCCCAACCCTGTATATTTCAGAAAGGTGATATAGATTGACTACAGAGAAAACAAAATCAGGCTCTTAGATGTATATTAAGATGTAGTAGATACGCAAGAATTAAAGACATGTTAGAAGAACTAATTTAATAAGTATCAAACAAAATATATTTTACAATACAATGATAGTCATCTAAAAATAAAGAATGGAATGTATCCCGAACAGATATTGGAAGGTTTGCAATTTAACATTATATTATATATTGTATTGCTTAGCGTAAAACACGGATCATATAATAAAAAAAAATGCGATCAATTCCGCATCTATCGAATACCAATGTGCCGTGAAAATTCGTTCCGTTAGCTAAATATCTGCTCTGAAGATTGCGACCGTTAAATCGGTAGTCGAAAACAAATAACATGCGAGATGTAATAGATCAGAATCAGACACAAACTCAAAGTCAGAATCAGAAGACGAGGTGCATCAGCCGTTCTCCGGAAGCGGTGTCAGGGGGTGGTGATAATCATCGTCGGTATGACGCAGGCGCAGGAGTGGGCAGGTCTAGGGGAATTGAGGGGCAGGTCGTAGGATGCGCTTTCAAGCAAATGGTCACACGATTCATCGAGGCGAGCAAAGAAATCAAGACGTCGGAAAATTTGGTGAGTATTTGTGATAGCAAGGAGAGACTTGGGGACGATAATATTGACGAGTAGCTTGGAAAGCAGTAGAAAGATCGCGGCCAAGATAATTTGTTATACAGGGTGGCCGATATGTAACTCGTAGCTTGAATATTTGTGGAATAAACTAAAAAACGTCCATTTCTTTCAATCTTATATGAAAAATAATATCTGACAAATGTCTGCCTCTAGAACCTACGCAAACCTCTTTCTTAATCACATTTTTCATCACTTTTTGGTATGTTTCGGGAGGAATATACTAAGTGACATATAAATCCGAACACCCAGTTTAAATGGTTTTATTTTAATAAAATTTTGTATAATGATACTGATAAAAATTTCAAAATGATTGCACTGCTTTAAAGCCCTTTGACCTTTAATAATGTGTGGATGCACCCTGATGTGCTACGCATTCTCCAACGCGCCTAGGCATGCTTCTGATCAGGTGGTCAATGTCCTCCTGTGCTATCTCATTCCAGGCAACCACCAACTCCTCTCGAAGTGCTTCTAGAGTCTGAGGAGGACGTTGCAAATTGAGCAATCTCCTACCCATCATATACCACACGTGCTCAATTGGGGATAAGTCGGAAGATCTTGGTGGCCATGGTAACAATGTGACATCATTATGTTGAAAGAAGTCTATTGTGACTCTTACAACATGTGGTCGGGCATTATCCTGTTGGAAAGTTGGATCTGCCAGGGTGTCAAGATAGGGTAAAAGATGGGGTTCTAGAACTTCGTGGATATAACGCTGCGCGATTAAAGGTGACCTGGAACCATAAGCTATAGCACCCCAAACCATAACTCCAACAGTGTGATGAACATGTCTTTCAACAAAAACTGTGGATTCCTCCTTTCACCACGTCGCCTTCTAACCCTGGCACGACCATCGTGCATGCCTAAACAAAATCGAGACTCGTCACTAAAGACAATACTGTTCCATTCCTGATCCCAGAGTGGCCGTTGTCTGCACCACTCAAGGCGATTACGTCGGTGTTCTCGAGCTAAAGGGAGGACCCAGAGTGTCCGGTATGAAAACAAGCCAAAACTTCTCATTCGTCGGTAAACACTTCGCATGCCAATAGGTCTTCCGTGTTCTGCAAACCATTCATTTGCAGTGGACCTGGTAGTGGAGAAACGGTCCCTTAAGGCCAATAATCTTAGGCGGCGATCTTCACGGTCTGTTGTTCTACGGCGGCGGCCAGTGCCCCTTGCTCTTTGTGTACGGCCTTCTCGAAGCCATGCCTGACAACACCTAACCACAGTGTCTACACTTCTTTGCACTCTAACTGCAATTGCCCGAAAAGAAAGTCCAGCTTCCCGAAGTCCCACTATACGGCCCCTATCAAATTCACTAAGTTGACGAAATCGTACAGGTCTCCGTACTCTAGGCATCGTAACCGATCGTAAAGGATGTCAAGAACCAAAATCCGCCAACGTTGATTCTTTACTGCGGCTGAAATATTCATTTTTAGAGCGTTAGTGAATTAAAAAAAAGCAGTATAAAAACCGGAATGTCCTGATAAGGCTGAAAATTTTTTCACTTGTTACTTACAGTAAGATAAATACATTCACTAACTTTTATTAAAATAAAACCATTTAAACTGGGTGTTCGGATTTATATGTCACTTAGTATATATTGGCCACCCTGTATTATACGCAGCTCAAATCAATTACCGGATCACTTTTTGATCACATTTTTAATTGTAAGCCTTCCTACGCCTTAGCAGTAATCTTATTTGAAAGTAATACGAGTATTTGTGCATCGGTTTAGATATAACAGGCATGACCTGTATTGAGTAACCTCGAACATCTTTGAAGCCTTTACCTCAAAATGTTTCTGTCACTTTTTTAAAACCATACTGTTTTAAATGTTACACTACTACCCTTGAATGTTAAAAAGAAATTAGCAATATTCATATTTTCATTCGATGAGTAAATATCAACTTTTTTAGTTCGATATCATCAATTCATATGGTGTTACGTATAACATTAAATTATGAAAATCAGGAACAGGGATTCTTTACCTATGCCCACTTCATAAGAACTGCATGGCCGATGGTATTATAATTACAATTCAGCATTGTCAATGTATAAAATATACATTTTTGACAGAAAAACAATAAAGGCGGTAGTTGAGGATAAGAGGTGAAACATCAAATTCAAATTATGCCATCTTGTAGAGAAGTGTCAATGTTAATGAGCAATTTGTTTCGAAATATTACCTCAACTAAGATAAAGAGACAAACACGATTACGGGAAAGTTCAGTATTTTTGTCTATTCAGTCGCCTAAATGCGCAAATTTGTCTCCGTTTAAGCGACTTCGTGTCTCTTGCCGTTTTCGAGATACCAATGAGGAGAGTTGAATTTAAAATTTCAACGTTTTTCACCAGCTGATTAATCTGTAGCAAATGGGTAAATTTCTGTAACAATTTATGAAATATTCTTAAGAATTTAGTTAGTTCCTCATGTCTGAACATATTACAGGCAACCTATTGTGAAATTCGCCAAATGATGACCTACGTGAAAGAAGCTCACGGTAGCGTCTTCAGAAAAGTTGCTTTGAGCGCTCTCATCGACACCGCGGACAGACCGTCAAAAAAAGAACCAGCCACACAGACCACCAGAGTAATTAGGTATTTTGAGATCCCAGATATACAGGGTGACTTCGGAGTTGAGTCATTAATCTTCAGATAATGATTGTAGAAGGAAGATAAACCAAAATATGTGTGTAAAAATAAAAAAAAAATTAAAAAAAATGTTACCTTGTTTTATAAAGTATCCTCCCGACAAGTATTTCAGTGCGGACCTGTATTTGATCGTGCGGTCTTGGAGCACTGGCATGCCGTCCCCTGTGAGGTCTTAAGTCACCTGATTCACGAGCCCTTTGTACTACATTAACAAAGGCACGAGGGGTTGGTTGCACTCGATTGGGAAACCGATCCGCATAAATCCGTGATACCGCGTAAATAAGAATCATGTCCACAAGTTCAGCATTTTCGTAAACATGTGCCATTTTTGATTTCGTTTGAGCCACGCAACAGACACCACTATTCACTCACGCGTTACCGACTGACACTGACTGTATACAACTGAATAAAATAATTGTAAAAACATCGTTCCAAATTTTTTAGCTTTTTGTTTCCGATGCGATAAACCGATAAGGCGGATTATATCCGTTGTTGCCAAACACGAGCACATAATATTATTATTGAGACAGGGCGGTACTCAAACTTCCAAAGGGCTATAACTTTGTTACTTTAATTTTACCAGAAAAATGGTAAAGGAAAAAACATTTCTTTTGATCAGATCTACTCACTGTTAAAATAAATGACTCAACTTCGAAGTCACCCTGTATATTAATATTGGTAATATTCTTTAAGTTTTTGCATTTCTGCTTCGCTCATATTTTTACTACAAACAGATTTAAGGTCTCTGAAACAGTAATTGAGTGTAAAATTGGAAAATTGTATGACCGATCATTATCCTGTTTTGTTCAATTTTGGGTATTTGAAAGGAAGTAATTGTATCATTAATAAAAACAGCTATGAATTTAAGAAAATTGATGAGAAAAAGTTCACAGATTATTTGCAAGTGGTGACTTGGGGCAGTGTTTTTTCAGAGAGTGATGTCCAAAAAGCAACTGCTAACTTCGATAATGAATTATATAAAGGCATAGATCATTCAACGTATTATTTAAAAATAAATAGTAAGACTAGAAAACGCAAGCCGTGGACGACTGACGGTATTCTTACTTCGATCAAGAAGAGGGATGAGTTGAAACAGAGTTTGACGAAAGACAATGATAATTTGATATTGAGACAGTCCTATATCTCCTACAGAACAAAGTAACTAATCTTATTAAGATCTCTAAAAATCAATATTATACACAAAAACTCATTTTAGCTGGTAATAACTATACTAAGAGCTGGGATGTTATTAATGAGGTAACTAATGCTGGTAAAATAAAAAAAACTGACGTAAAATCAATTAATCACAATAATCAGCAGCTGGACGCTCCCACTGATATAGCCTGTGTTTTTAATAAATATTTTGTTGATATAGGTGAGCAAATAACAAGTCAGATTGATCAATACTCAATTCTTGATACATCAGATCCTCATGTCGTCAACATTGTTCACTCTATGTTTCTAATTCCAGTGGATAACATAGAGTTACAACAAATAGTTTGTAATCTGAAAAATAATAGCGCACCCGGAAAAGATGGCTTACACACTAAAACTATCAAGATGATCATGAAGTATATCAGTCACCCTATAACTCACATTATCAACCTCTGTTTCAAATCCTCAGTAATTCCTCGCCAATTTAAAGAAAGCATAGTGACACCAATATTTAAATCTGGAAGTAAAGACAATATGTTCAATTATAGACCTATTTCAGTTATCAATGTATTTGGGAAGATTTTTGAGAAGTGTTTAAATAACAGACTTTGTTCTTTTCTTGAAAAATATGACATAATATCGAACTGTCAATTTGGGTTCCGCAAAAATTGCAATACAGAGCAATCTCTACAAGAACTTACAGGACAAGTGCTTGACAATTTTCAAGATGGAAATAAGACTGTTGCAGTTTTCCTAGATCTTCAAAAGGCTTTCGATTCAGTATCTCATACAATTTTATTAAAGAAACTAGAAAGTGTTGGAGTGCGTAGCGGAGTTCTGAACTTATTTGAGAACTATTTGGCTGATCGATTACAACAAGTTAAGGTAGGGTCAGATTTAAGCAACATTCAAAAGATCAAAATAGGTGTGCCTCAGGGGACGGTTTTGGGACCAACACTGTTCCTCATATACATAAATGAACTACTTCGATGTAATTTCAACTGTAAAATGATATCATATGCAGACGATACTGTTTTAGTTTGCACTGGTCATTCATGGGATGACCCAATACGGAATAAAGTCAAATGCTGGTTAAATAACAATTTACTTAAACTTAATATCTCTAAAACTAAGTATGTAACGTTTTCTCCAACCAAAGCAGGCATGCCATTACACCACCGAACATTAATTATAAATGATAGTGCTGACACTGTCGAAAGAGTTGAAGTTATTAGATACTTAGGAATCATTGTTAACAGTAATTTAAAATGGCAGAGTCATGCCGAGCTTTTGGCATCGAAATTAAGGAGAATTATTCATAAGTTTTTCATTCTTAGGAATATTTTAAGCAGAAAGAGTCTTCTCTCAATATATAACTCGTTTGTGGGGTCTCTACTAACTTACGGGATAAGTATCTGGGGAGCCGCATACACTAGTACTTTAAAAATACTACAAACCACGCAAAATTATATTGTCAGGACTATTTTTCGTATCCCATGTAGGTCAAGTTGCAGATTTGTTTAGATTGAAAATGATCTTTTGAATGTTAGAGGTTTATATATTTTTGCTGCTCTAAAATTTGTTCACTCCCGAAACAATGTTCCAACCAGCCACGCTTATGAAACAAGAACTAAAATAAATATAAGTTACACCTATACCAGAGTGAATAAATCTGTTTGCCAAAAATGCATAAAGTTTGATTGTATTAGGTTGTATAATAAATTACCGCTAGAATATAAAATCCTCTCGAAGTATAGTTTCAAAAAAAGAATTAAGAAGTTCATCTTAAATAACTTTGACATGCTTGCATCGACGGTAGCTTGACTCAACTCAGTAATATCGTTTCTATCTCATGCTTTTTTTATTTCTTTTTTTTTATATACAGTTGCTCATAATACACCTTATAACCATTAGCCATGCATTGAATTTGTATATTGTATGACACACACAAGCTTATAGCTTAGATGTCTATTCTTTTGTAGTAAATTCTTTTATAGTAAATTGTAGTACTCTTGTTTCTCTGCTTAACCTTTACGCAAAATTTTTATTTTTAAACCAACATAGTTTGACCTTACTCGAAATATCCCTATATTATCATATTTCAGATATTCATATTTTATGTACTCTATACTTATACTTCTGAGTGTTTTTAGTATGCTTCTGTACTATTGTTATGAATTTTAGATTTGTCTATGCAGACACGTAATTTAGGATTTGTGACGACAAGATTCAGACATTTACCCTTTACGAAAGTATACAGAATTTTCACAATTCATATACCGTTACTTGCTGGTCCTAGATCTGATGCTAGTATCTTTGCTCAGATTTCTGTTGCAATCTTGGTTATTCAGGGTAGCAAGACTATACAAGCTCATGTATTTTTGAAGCTCTTTTCAATTAAATTGTACTGAAGGTTGAAATAATATAAGTTACTCAATAAAATAAAAAATTTAAACGTGGTTGCACACATCTACAAATACCGACTGTGATAAGCGCAGCTGGATAGTACGAATAGTTTTGAAACGTTTGATATTTTAGGCACATGCATCCATCGGAAATTGAAGATATACCGGACGCACCAACGGACAGCCAGTCTTTCAGCGTAGACGACAAAGGCATCAGAAAGCAACTGTTCAAGAAACGAAGCACCTCTTCAACATGTGCTGTATGTCAAATTACCTACAAATACTTATGTAAAATAACTACTACGTCGCTAGTAAAACCTTAAAATATTGGGAGTAAGAATTAAAGGAGAAAACCCAAGAAATTATCTGTAATCTGTGGGTAATTTGCCTTTGTACTATTGTTCAAACTGAGTATGTAAATATATACAGGGTGGCGAAACAGACGCATTTAGTGGCAGCTAAGTTTTTTTAAATTCTCATACCCGTCGATTTTGTTTTCGAGGGGGACACAAGTTTGGGGGTCGAGTGATACCTTATTTTAAAGGTCTTTCAATTCCCTTTATAATGATATAAAATTAATGTACTTCAGTTCAGTAGTTTTGAAGATTTATTGATTTAAAGCTTAAATAAAACTAATACATCATCACTAGTGGAGATCGATACATTTAGCAGCAAAGTAATTTAAAAATGAAGAATGAACTGACCCGTTAGGCAAGTAAATGTTGAAAATGGCCACCATGCAATGATAAGGATTTTGATCAAAACGTTGCCGCACATTTTGCAATATTTGAGGAGTAATTTGAAGGCACTCATTCACAATTCTTTGTCGCAGGTTTTCTAATGATGTTGGCTGAATAGCATAGATGTTGCTTTTTAAATGACCCCACATAAAGAAATCCAAAGGTGATAAATCTGCTGATCTTGGTGGCCTTTTAATGGCACCTCTTCTACCAGTCCATTGATCTGGAAACGTCTGATCTAAATATTGTCGAACACGTAATGCGTAATGTGGTGGGGCACCATCCTGTTGGAACATCAACCTATTCGCAATGTATCGCCGATCATTCTGATTTTCAATTATGGCTGTTAATGCAGGATCTATAGCGTCTTCCAGTAATTCCAAATACATTTCACCGATGAAATTTCCAGGTAAGAAAAAAGGACCAACTAAATACTATGTAATGCTGTGTATGAACCTCATGATAAATTCTGGGATTAGAATCGGACCAATATCGGCAGTTATAACGATTTACTACGCCATTTAAGAAAAAGGAACATTCGTCAGAAAAGCAAGTGTTGAATAGAAAATGTTCATCGTTTATAATTCGTTCACTCATATCTTCACAATCGCCTATCAAAATGGTCTTCATTAAGTTCTTGTACCAGGTGAATTTTATACGGTTGAAAACTATGGCCGTTGGACAGTACATTGACTAACACCACACACAGTCTCCAATTTGCGGGTACTTAACGTAGGATCTACATAAACTTGCCCTAAAACTCCCACTTCTATTGCTTCGTTCCTTATGGGATTTTCAATGTTGCGTTTCTTATTGTCGACTGACTAAGTTTCCCGAAATTTAGCTACAAGTTCTAGAACATAATTTCAATGCACAATACTGTTCTCATTTCGATAATTTCAACTCTTTCTGCTGTGGAATATACTATGGTTAATTTATGTAATAAAGTTATTTTAGCAACAGCGTATGGTCAAATCAATCGCAAACTATGTACTAAATTCCTATTCAAAATAAGTACGTGATATTTCCTTATCTTTCTTCAAGAAATAACTTTTTTGCCACAAAAACAACAAAATGATAAACAAACCATGGTCGTAGTGAAAAAAAGCATTTACTTATTAAGTAAATTCTTTTAGTCAAATTTCTTCTGAAAGTAGTAAAAACTAATCTGATGTATCTATTAAAGTCTACTTTAAGCTTTAAATCAATAAATCTTCAAAACTACTGAACTGAAGCTCATGTATTTTACATCATTATAAAGGGAATTGAAAGACCTTTAAATAAAGTGTTAACGTGATTTTTTGCCAAAGTTTTGTCCCTCTCGAAAACAAAATCGACGGGTCTGAGCGTTTTTCCAAAAAAAACTGAGCTGCCAGTAAATGCGTCAGTTTCGTTTTCGATGCGCCACCCTGTATTTCAATGAGTAAAAGAATAATAATTTCCAAAAGAAACTTTTCCATATATTCCTTGTGTGGTCTAGGGATATGCAATTAAGTGAACTTTTTTATCGAAAACTAAGCAAGATACGAAAAAATACAAAAGATAAAAAAGTTGTATTTCAATTTGCTTAATCCAAAAAACATAAATGAAAATTGCACAAAAGTCAGTAGCGTTTCTGGTCACAAATATTCGTTCAGATCCCGCTCGAGGCGCCACTGGACTTATAAATTCAATTAAGTCAAATTATCTCATCAATGTTACAAATACCACCGCCAAATTACAAGAAAATTATGTTAAGAATATTTAATGCATTTACTACAAACTTTTTTTTTTAATTTCAAAACCCTATGTTTTGTCTCAAACTTACACAAAGAATCGTCTGATAAATTTACGCTACATACTACCCTGTATACTCTATACTTCTTTAGAGTCTCCTTGAAACAGAAGCAGAAGAATTACTGAGAACCAGTCAAAGTCCTTTAGGGAATTTGAGAAAAAAACACCATGTTTTGACGCCGAGGCACAGCGAAAGAGCTTTGGGAATCGCAATGGATCCATCAGTCTGCATGAAGTCAAAAAGATCCAAATTCGGAGGAATAGGTAAAATTTGTGCCTAATTAGAGAACTCCCTATATAATTGTAATGGTGCTTAATCTGGCAACCTATAACTATGATATAATAGTTGCTAGAATTACAGGATACTCTTCTTGATACATTATTACTTTTGATTGCGATTCTAGTCAACTGGTTCAAAAAGGGAGACAGTTCATCTACAGATGATCAAGAAATGCGAGATAATGGGGAATCCGTCACCGACACAGCCAGTTTTGTGAGAAAGCCTTCGGTATACTATCAAAAACCAAGCAAAAGGTAGCTATAAAGTGTTTGATGATATTTTACAGCCCTGACTTTATCAATTTTCAGCAATGTTATAAAGAAGGCCAAACGGAGGATGGAGGGAAAGTTCAAATTTGTCTTGAAGAAAGGGAAAAGAAAGATGGTGGTTCGGAGGACTCCGGAGCTGGCCGTAAGTAAATCAAACTTTAATATTTTCAGTGGCTTGCTATCGAGACGTCACATATCAAAAACATCATACAAAAAAGGCCAATAACAGTTTGTTTTGAAATATAAAACATTATTCGTTCAGCATAATTTATTTTCCAACTTTGATCTTAAATGCATTTTAGATTTCAGCAGGAAAAACTCCTTCGACCAGGGAGAGACTTCCAGGGAATCAGAATTTGTTGTGCTCAAAGAAAGGAAGCTTGTATCTACAACGCTTGTACATGAGGGAGTAGCGAGGCTGTCATTTCTGCTAGAAACTTGTCCACCTGGATCGGTGCCAGACGCGCATCTTTTAGCATCAACGTTGGATCTGGTAAGCAGGTGTACTTCAAAAAAATACATATATAATCCTTTTCTTATAAATCATATATTGTTCTAGCCTCACTCGACAGTGGTAGCTAGAGCCGCATTATTGCTGGAATGCGCGTCCTTCGTCCACAGCTGCAATAAAGGGCAATGGCCATCCTGGATGAAATTGTCATTTCCGGTGTTCAGGCCATCAGGGCCCCTCCCGCATAGGGGGAATAATCCAGGCATAAGGAGATCGCACATTTTACAGAGTACGGCGGGAAAGATGTTTCATCAGTGGGCAGAGGTTGGTAATATACTCTGTATCATACAAATATATCATATTAAACATTCTGAAATACCAGCTGCTGAGCAATGAGGAATGAGAACAGCGTACAATACTGTGGGAGCATTATTAAACTTCGTAACAGGCTTGGGTTATAAACAACGAGTTATAAATATTTAGTCCTCTTAAATTGTAGCAAGGTATTTGACTTTATATATCATTCAAGCGCAAGCAGGCTTTCGAAAAAAATATTCCACAGAAACGGCTTTCCAGTTGGTAACTGAGAATTGGAGAAGAGCCATAGACTCAGAAGAAGTTGTCATAGCAGTATTTTTGGATTTGAAGAGGGCATTTGAAACGATTGATAGAGATATTTTGTTAGGTAAATTGAAGGTATATGGTATAACAGGAAGTGTTTTAGATTGGTTTACAAATTATTTGTCTAAAAGGATGCAAGTTGCAAAAGTTAATGACACTATTTCATCAAAAATTGAAAATACGTTGGGTGTTCCACAGGGTAGTATCCTGGGACCACTTCTTTTTATTTTATACATAAATGATTTACCTGCCATAGTCAAAAAATGCAAAATTCAGATTTTCGCAGAATACACTATGATTTATATAAGTACTAAAAATATTCAGACTGGTATCTCTTATATAAATGAAGACTTGAAACTTGTCTCAAAATGGTTAGCATCTAACAGACTAAAATTAAATACAAGTAAAACGAAAGCCTTGTTAATCGGAAAAAACAATGTACAAATGTTCAACTGAATATCGATGGTGAAGATATTGAATTCGTAGAAAATTTTAAATACCTGGGGGTTTCTGTTGACTCTCGATTAATTTTTTATATTCATTATGAAAAAGTTATAAATAAGATTAGTAGTAAAGTGAGATATTTATCGAGAGTTTCTGGATGTCTGAGTTCATATAGCAGAAAAAATATCTATAATACCATCATTCTTCCAAATGTCTTGTACCGTTCGACTATTCTATATTTAGCAAATAATTCCATTTTTGAAAGACTGCAAATTTTACAAAATAAGTGCATGAGAATAATACTGAATAAAGATAAATATACTCCAATTAGGCAAATGCTTAGCAAATTAAAATGGCTCAATGTAAAATTTTGATCAAATATCTTGTAATGATATTCATTTATAAAGTAAAAAATAATATATTTCCATCAAGTCTAACTAATTTAACATCATCAAATGTCGACCATCATTTACATAATAGCAGAAATAAAGATGACTTCCATTTAATGACCAAAAAGTATAACATATGCTACAAATCTGTATTCCATCAAGGGTTGATTGAATATAATGAATTATACTCAGAGATAAAAGACCAAAAAACTTTGACAAAATTTAAAGTAAAATTGAGAAATCACTTGCTAAATCTACAATTATAGGTTGCCCAGTATTTACATCATACACCATATGACTTGAAATTACCAGTTCTAAGTTGTTTACAATTATTCTGTTTATGTAGCCAAATGTGCTAAATACATCTTTTCTTCTACTGCTACTACTTATGTTCGCTAAATTTAAGTACTATTGCTCTTCTTACTATTCAGTTAGTATACTAAAAAATGTTACCACTTAGCCCGACTTATATTTATTTTAGACTATCGGTCAGCGTCTAGAAGAAATGATGAAGGAAGACAAAATCTTCAGCCGGCAATTACAGAAATCGTGTCCGATGAACAGAAGCAGAAAGAGCTACTGATCCAAGACGAAGAAGAAGATTTCTTAGATGAAGGTATGTATGAATAATGTCCATTCAGTAGCATTTATCCGATTGTATTGTTATAATGCAATATATTATAAATAATCGAATCTTATTTTATAAAATTCTTTGATAATACTAAACGTTGATTGAGGAAAATTGTTCCTGTTACCAAGGACATATCGATAATAATAAGATTCTAAATTGTTCACTTTGTTTAGTTGCTTATTTCAACCTACAGACAAGAAAATATGATAAATGATATCTGCATTGATTTCCACGATATTTAAAATTTGTCCCCCCTGCTCTACAGTAACTTGTCTTTCACGAGTGAGAATATTAGCGGGCTGAACACTTCCTGTATCTCGAAGTCTCTGGAACTCTTGCACAAATGTCTTTCTGTTAGGGTGTACCCGTTGGCGAAATCTGCTAAATTTGAGCTGCGAGATTTGAATTCTGACGAGCTCCACCTTAAACTAACATGTCGGCGAACTCTTGATTCGAGAACATTGTAAATAAACACGGCGACGTACGCGAACAATAACTAACCACTGTTACCGTTTGCGATCGATTGCCGGTTCGATAAGAGTGATGAATGACCGATGCGCTGTTGTCATGTGCGTTTTAAATATTTAATTTAACGAAACTTACTGACTACAAATTTTGGCTTAACTTAGAAAAACTTAATGCGATTTATTTATTAATTAGGTACCCAATTTAAAAACGTTTTAGATTAGATTATAAAAATTAGTAAGATTGTAGTGATTGTGGTTGATATAAGTTGTAAACTGCAAAGCCATTTACTTAGCATTAATGGTAAAATGTCAATTTTGTATAATTATTCCTGTACACATTTTTTTTAGACACGAGCTGCCTATAGAATTAAGATTTACCAGAATGACTAGCGACAGATTATTACTTGTCTGAGGATATTACTAGTTGAATTCAATGTTCGATCTCATCTTGTATTTTTCTTTTGTGTTCACAGCTAGTATTGAAACATACGGATCGTCATGTCCCATGCCGCTAAGGATCGTCGCTTGTGTGTTGCTACACGAAATCACAGCATTTCTCAGGGAGACCTACCAAACTCTACCCAAATCGTCGAGGATTGTCAGCAAGGACAGACCTCCTCCATGGGAGAAATTGTATAGCAAGGAAGCGAACCGAAGGTGGAGCATGGCTTTGAGTTCTATGGGTCATTCTCAAACTTCGGCGCAAAGCTTGCAAAGCATTGCGGGCGGCGATCCCGGTAAGAATTAAATCAGTTAGTGGATGTTAGCTTGCTCAACGTATGATAAGTGTCGAAGAACACTCGTATCTAATCAGGGGAAGGATCAGCAGAGAGAATGAATTCTTACTTGTCTTTGGTGTACCTTCTGACCTAGGTTAATTTGAAGAAGTTTTACAGCTCATATGTTCTTCCTAGTTTAATTGAGATTGTAACTGAACACTGAACTCTAATGAATTTGTTAACAGGACAAGCCGAGAGAAAAATTAGTTTTGTATTACATGAACCAGACAACGAATCAGAGGGTAGCAGTAATACGACAGTCACAATGCAGGTAGGTATTTTCAATAATTAATAACATTTCTAGAGAACAATATACCGTTATGAACTTGACGTAGTGTAATGGTAGACCTTTGCAAGTTTGAAAATAAACAAATCTATATTCATTGTTTACGTATATCCGGGGTGATTTATTAAAACATGCCAAATGTTTAACAACAAATATCTTAGGAACCATCAAACTGATTTTAATGAAATTCACCGGTTCATCCGTTCCTTCAGTGTCGCATGGTCAGTCCGGATCAATAACACTGATCAACAGCCAAAAAATATCCTAAATAAATGAACAAAATATTACTATTTTTAATGTGCTAAAACCGGAATGAAACTTATTTTTTCAATATTAGTTCAAGTTTTAGAGATACGGTAATTATATGTGTTCCTGCTGTGACAGTGTTAATATACTGTAATTCACAAGAATGCACGTGCTACATTTTTATATTCGGCAAGGAAAGATGATGTAATCGGCATGATTGTGTTACGTTATACATACGTGTACATTATATTGTTTTATATTAGCCATTTTTTCCTCAGTCGGCTGACGGCGTTCATGCAAGATGTCTCGAAAGTGTGTAACCAATCCAGATCAGTTTTGTTACGTGTGTGGTAATGTGACTTTTGCGTCTCAGAGACGGTCTATTACTCCACTAATAACAAAGACATATCAGCTTTATTTCGGTTGTAAACTAGGTGATCAAGACAAACAGTCGGCACCCCACATCTGCTGTAATACATGTGCTTCAAGTCTGAGGAGCTGGTTAAATGGCAAAAAACGGTCTATGCGCTTTGCTGTCCCAATGGTTTGGAGAGAGCCTACAAATCATATTAATGATTGTTACTTTTGCATGGTACCTTGTGTTGGACAAGCCACAGGTATGTCCAAGAAAAAAAATCGGTTATTAACTACCCAAACATACCATCTGCGATGAGACCTGTGCCTCACAGTGACGAAAATCCTATTCCAAAACCCCAAGAATCCTACACTTGCGAATCAGAAAACGAATCAGATCATGGCGATCGAGTGATTCGTCAGGAAGAAGATATGCCATCAACGTCAAGAGATCCTGATTTTATACCGAGTACGTCATGCCACCAACCGCACAAAATAACACAGTCAGAATTAAATGATCTTGTAAGAGATTTAGAACTTTCAAAATGTAAGGCAGAGTTACTTGGATCAAGACTGCAGCAGTGGAACTTGTTAGAAGACGATGTTTCGGTATGTGTTTTTCGTAAACGCCACAAAGACTTAGAACCATTTTTCAATATGGAGAATAACTTGGCTTTCTGCAGTAACATTAACGGCTTACTGGCGGCTTTAAATATAAACTATAACCCAGAAGAATGGAGATTGTTTATAGATAGTTCAACATTGAGTTTAAAGGCAGTGTTATTGCATATTGGAAACATTTTACCATATCTTCCGGTAGGGTATGCAATTCACATGAAAGAATCATATGACAATATGAAGTACCTATTGACATGCATAAAATAGGATGAGCACCAATGGCATATTTGTGGCGATTTGAAAGTTGTTGCACTTTTACTTGGGCAACAGCTAGGCTACACAAAGTTTTGCTGTTTTTTGTGTGAATGGGACAGTCGGGCAAAGGCACTTCATTACACCAGACAAAACTGGCCTGTTCGTCAATTCCTAGAGCCAGGTCAAAAAAATGTACAGCATATGTCATTAGTAGATTCGAAAAAAATTTTATTACCACCACTGCATATCAAGTTGGGCCTAATGAAAAACTAAGTGAGGCAAAGGTTAAAGAAGGCCACAGATTCGAAATATTTTGAAAGATACACAGTTTGAAAACACTTTTAACAGGTATTGAAAAAACTGCTTGGAATGATTTCCGTCTGGTGGTCACTAATTTCTTGGGAAATAGAAAAGCTGACAACTATAAAACCCTTGTCAAAAACATGCTGTCATCGTATTAAAAGATGGGCTGTAATATGTCTCTTAAGATACATTTCCTACACTCACACCTGGACTTTTTTCCTGACAATTGCGGAGCCGTAAGTGATGAGCACGGCGAACGTTTTCATCAGGATATTTCAACAATGGAAAAAAGGTACCAGAGAAAGTGGAATCCTTCCATGCTTCCAGACTACTGTTGGACTCTTGGTCGAGATGCTCCAGAAACGATCCATAAAAGAACAGCAAAAATACAGCGCATATAGTGATTCTTATAAGTATATGAATCTTGTTACTTTTTAATATATCCTTTTTTTCTAAACCGCAAATAATTTTTTTATTTCATTGTCATTTTTGGATTCAGCGCCCCAAAATTAACAAAGAAGTGCACTTTTCCCACAAGATACAATTAAAAAACAAAAATTTGTTGTCCAGTGTAATTTTCGCCCTTGACCACAGCCAACAGCTCTCATCTAGTGACTCAGAGTCACCCTGTAGTTCCTGGTGATGTACTCCTATTGGGTCTCTACAACATATATGAGTTTGTTGGTGGCACAATTCTTCGTTTGAGATCCGCGATTTTTTTTAGTTTTGTATGTAAAAATTTGCTTAAAAGTTTTATTCGATAATAAGTAACATAAAGCAACCCTCAGGACCTGAACATACCCAAGCCTCAGGACCTGAACATACCAGTTTTCTAGCATATCGGCGATTTGAGCTCACTACTGAACTGGTTGAGCAGGCTACTGTTTCACAACGGGCAAGTGTTATTTGACGTTTGTATGTTGCAACCATATGATTTTTTTTTTCGTAATATTGCAATAGACCAATCAAGGAGAAGAGCCAAAACGAATGGCACATCAACCAAGACCTCATCTTCTTAGAAGAGGAACAGCCGCTCAAACCGGTGGATCTTTCAAAAGACGAAGCCTGAAATTGCGAAGAGGCACGAAAGAAGGAAAAGACATGGATATGGAGGGTACGCGTTCATCCTTTACTGTTATCTTCACCAAACATATAGATCATTTAATATTTTTTGGCGAATCGCAGTAAAACAACAGGAATTACTTTCAACATCAATCTCCCTCACACAAACATAAGCAAATATGTGCGGAGATTTGCTTGTGTAAGCTCACAATCATGCCTCACCGCATCGTCATGAAAATTCTCTCGTCACCGTCTGAGTCTTCCACATTTATGCTTGTCACTGCCAATATGACAACTTGCAACAGACCTATAAAATAATTGTTCGATACCTTTCAGCATTCAGAAACAGCTATGCTTCTGCCGGGAGAATTCCCGAGTCTGTCAAAAGAACCGATTCGATCCAATCGAAGCGAAAGGTGAGCTCTTTATCGGACAGAAGTGACACATCAGAACCTGGCGGTGCAGGAGATGCGAGCGAAGAGGAGTCTACCGGAGTGCCAAGTGACGAGCAGCCTCCAGAGAGTCCAAGTGATAGCAATGACACGGACGACACGTCCAGAAACATGCCGTGGTTGAAGGTAAGAGAAGAGCTTTCAATATTCCCAAAATTTACCGCTCCACTGCCGAGGAAATATTGTGATTGGAAATATGTCACTTATTTCCGCCGGCCTATCTGCCTGCCTATATGTCGGTCTGTCAGTTTGTCTATCTACAAACAAGGACCATTTGGCCTCACAAAACATATGCAACCAATAATGCGTGTAGTTTAGTTGAATGATTCCTCCTTCGATGGACGTTCACAAAGATCCTAGTGAGCAAACGTGGAATGACTGTTTGCACCCTAAAAACTACCTAGTTTGCAAGATGACATCTTGTAGGTTCTTTTGACGTTTTATAGGTTTTTTACATGATACCCATGCGTCTATCTGTTCTCTAATCCATGGCCCGTCTTTAACTTGGAAAGCACAGCTCGGATTTTGATGAAAACTTCACACCAGGCTTTCGTTACGCTAGTGACGAATCCTTATTCTCACTAATACTCATTTTACTCTACGATCCTTATGTCGAAGGCCGATGATTTTCATAGTTGCCGAATAATAAACCTGCCAGGGCGTACGAAAGTTGACTCAGATATGATGTACATTCTAAGCCTTCTTCCAGCTCAATAATTCTATTCTACAATACTTATGTCGAGATAGAATACAGTTGAGGTTTTCCTTTTCAAAAACATCTACCATTGAAATAACAAAGGTAATGTGTAGTGAAACGAGGACGACCAAGTAAAAAAAATAAAGGAAAAAGTACTCACTCTCCAGTTGACGAGAAGGGCTAAGTACGTCTCTGCCGGAAATCATACCGCTCCAACAGAAAATGAAATCAGCTAATGCGCTACCGAGCAGACGCAGGCAAACAAGGAAGGCAAAATTTTGCGTAAAAAGTCTAGGTATTGCATCCCGTCCAATCGATTTGGGAGAATAAATGGTCCAATGAGCATACCGTTCATCTTGCCAGCCCAAACATTCACCGAAAATGTTTGTTGAAAATGTGCCCGACGGACAGCGTGCGGATTTTCTACTGACCAAACATGAGTGTTGCGAAAATTATTCACCCCATTACGCGTGAACGTAGATTCGTCTGTCACCAATATGCACTTCAAAAAGTCCGGATTATTGTCATGTTGATGCAACAACCACTCACAAAACCGCACTCTTGCTGGAAAATCGTCAGGTTGAAGGGCTTGTACACGTTGGACGTGAAACGGATACAGCCCCTCTTCACGCAGCGTTTGCTACACTTTAGTTTTTGATACTTGCACTTCTCTAGCCACGTCTCTAGTGCTTGTTGAGGGATTGTCGTCTACGCGATTAGCTCTACATGCGTGACCGCAACCGTCGGTTGAAGGTTGCATACTGACCTGACACACTGACCCCGACCCAGTTCTGTCGTGGGGTTGAGCTAGTGTCCTAGTACCAGTCGGGGATGTCGCGGCTACAGGACGGTATTTAGATATTTTTGATGTTGCAGAGCCCTTGATCTCGGTTCCCTTAAGACATTGGTGTATATGGTACTAAGAAAAATTGCTTATGTTTCAAGATCTACACGTCGTGTAAAGGAAAACCCCAACTTTGCGGACACCCTGTATATATATATACATATTTTTCAGGTAATGGTGGATGTATCAAATTCTCTCTACTACTACTGTCCACATCAGAGCTTCTGCCATCCCTTTTGTTACCGCAGAGTGATGAGGGGTTGTGGGAGGCTCATCAAGGCTGTGCGTAAGGTGTACGGTGAACAATTTGGAATTGTAGAAGACCGATTAAGTATGGATTCCGTGGGGAAAAAAAAGAACAAGAAAGATAAGAATCAAAGTAGAAAGGTTTCGGATCAAACCAGTTCAACGGTTTCACCGATCAGGCGTAAAGACAGCGTTGGAAAGAAAGACAAGTGAGTGGTAGCATACTTTGTGGTAGTATGGATTGTAGTAAATGCTTAGTATACATTAAAGCCAGGTGAATATATTGGGAAATTTGTTTCAGCGAAATCGTTGCAAGTTAGAAAAACACAAAATTAAGTTGTCTTTTTCAGGATTGATAAATCGTTTGATAGTTCGCAGCTAGGAAAAAACACTTCCAAGGAATCATCACGAGATGTTCTAGATTCGGAAAGTGGTGATGTTAAAGGCAAGATTAACGAAGAGAAAACCAAATGTGATCCTCCCCCAATTCTGAAATATATTCATGGATATGTAAGTGAAATGATACAAGAAATCCTATTTACTTTCACATCATGGCATACCTCGTTGTTTTTCCTGACAAAATACTCAGCGAATAATCCAAACTAAAGTATATTTTAAAAAGTTCTATCACGATGGAAGACAATATACAGGGTATCCCATTTAAAAGTGTATCTTTGCCAAGTGAATCATCTTGCGGAAATTAAAAAACAGCAGATACTTTCCTAAAACGCCAAAAATTTGTTTCACGTACTATTCGACCTGCATCTGTAATCATTTATTTATCCATTCATCCAAAGATGTTTCAACTTAGCTCACGATAAATAATGACGTGACGAGGTAATGTTTCTAGGTGAAAGACGCCTTTCATGCTCCACTAGCAACCCTCATTAAAGGTGCCGCGGTGTTGCCTGAAGACCAATTTCCGGAAATAATTCCCGTGGCCTGGCAACTGCTTTTAGAGACGAATCAGGAGGTAGCAGCATGTGCCGCATCCATATTTATTTTAGCTGCTGTGAAGGCACCACAACAGGTGTCCGATATTATGCAACATGGGCTTTCCCATCCGGACTGTTCCGTGAGAATTAATGCTATTTTGAGGTAAGCGTATCCAAACACAATACTATATGATTTACCACAAGGCGTATAACTAGCAACACATGCTAGGTTTCGCCCGCCAATAGCAGAGCTGAAAAATGTGCTGACAAAAAACTCTATAATATTTATTTATAGTATATACATTTTAGGTTCCAAGTTCTTTGGAAGATGAGATACCAAGCGTGGTCCCGAATGGAAGAAAATGCTCAAATGTTGTTTAAAGTTCCACCACCTGGAATTGAATTTACACTTCCATCTCCAAAAATTGGTATCGAATCTCTTGAAGTAGTGGATGCACCTTGGGTCCCTTCGGTTAAAACAAAGGTCGAAGAAGTTACCATCAACCAGGAGAGACACGTAAGTTACTCGTTATATTTACCCAATATTCCGTACCTACTAGCAGATATTTTGTTACGTTAAATTTTGGACCTCAAAATATGCCACTCAGTATTCATTTAAATGATTCCAACGTAACGCAAGAACACACGACAAGCGCCCGCACCAAAATCGTAGCGGAAGTGGAACCTCCAAAATCGTAGGGCAGGCAGCCCCCCCAAAATCATAGAAGCAAGAGGCCCTCCAGAACCGTAGAGCAAGTGACCGACAAAATCGTTGAGTAAGCGGCAAGCAGATCTTCCAAAACCATGGGGCAAGCGGACCCCCCAAACTAGTAGGACAAGCGGTCTCCCAAAATCGTGGGTCAAGCGGCTCCGCAGAATCGTGGGACAAGCGACACCCTCAACATCGTGTGGCAAGCGGCACCCCGAGAATCGTAGGACAAGCGACCCTCCAAAATCGTGGGATAAGCGACTCCCCAAAATCGTTGGGTAAGCGGCAAGTAGACCTTCCAAAATCATGGGGCAAGCGGACCCCCCAAACTTGTAGGGCAAGCGGTCTCCCAAAATCGTGGGTCAAGCGGCTCCCCAGAATCGTGGGGCAAGCGACACCCTCAACATCGTGGGGGAAGCGGCACCCCCAGAATCGTAGGACAAGCGGCCATTCCAAGATCGTGAGGTAAGCGATTCCCCAAAATCGTTGGGTAAGCGGCAAGTAGACCTTCCAAAATCATGGGGCAAGCGGACCCCCCAAACTTTTAGGGCAAGCGGTCTCCCAAAATCGTGGGTCAAGCGGCTCCCCAGAATCGTGGGGCAAGCGACACCCTCAACATCGTGGGGCAAGCGGCACCCCCAGAATCGTAGTACAAGCGGCCATTCCAAAATCGTGAGGTAAGCGACTCCCCAAAATCGTTGGGTAAGCGGCAAGTAGACCTTCCAAAATCATGGAGCAAGCGGACCCCCCAAACTTGTAGGGCAAGCGGTCTCCCAAAATCGTGGGTCAAGCGGCTCCCCAGAATCGTGGGGCAAGCGACACTCTCAACATCGTGGGGGAAGCGGCACCCTCAACATCGTGGGGGGAGCGGCACCCCCAGAATCGTAGGACAAGCGGCCATTCCAAAATCGTGAGGTAAGCGATTCCCCAAAATCGTTGGGTAAGCGGCAAGCAAACCTTCCAAAATCGTAGGGCAAGCGGACCCCTCCAAAATTGTATAGCAAGCGGCATTCCAAAATCGTGGGCCAAGCGGCTCCACAGAATCGTGGGGCAAGCGACACCCTCAACATCGTGTGGGAAGCGGCACCCCCAGAATCGTAGGACGAGCGGCACTCCAAAATCGTGGGGTAAGCGATTCCCCAAAATCGTTGGGTAAGCGGCAAGCAGACCTTCCAAAATCGTAGGGCAAGCGGACCCCTCCAAAATTGTATAGCAAGCGGCATTCCAAAATCGTGGGCCAAGCGGCTCCACAGAATCGTGGGGCAAGCGACATCCTCAACATCGTGGGGCAACCGGCACCCCCAGAATCGTAGGAAAAGCGGCCCTCCAAAATCGTGGGGTAAGCGACTCCCCAAAATCGTTGGGTAAGCGGCAAGCAGACCTTCCAAAATCGTAGGGCAAGCGGACCCCTCCAAAATTGTATAGCAAGAGGCATTCCAAAATCGTGGGCCAAGCGGCTCCACAGAATCGTGGGGCAAGCGACATCCTCAACATCGTGGGGCAACCGGCACCCCCAGAATCGTAGGAAAAGCGGCACTCCAAAATCGTGGGGTAAGCGATTCCCCAAAATCGTTGGGTAAGCGGCAAGCAGACCTTCCAAAATCGTAGGGCAAGCGGACCCCTCCAAAATTGTATAGCAAGCGGCATTCCAAAATCGTGGGCCAAGCGGCTCCACAGAATCGTGGGGCAAGCGACATCCTCAACATCGTGGGGCAACCGGCACCCCCAGAATCGTAGGAAAAGCGGCCCTCCAAAATCGTGGGGTAAGCGACTCCCCAAAATCGTTGGGTAAGCGGCAAGCAGACCTTCCAAAATCGTAGGGCAAGCTGACCCCTCCAAAATTGTATAGCAAGAGGCATTCCAAAATCGTGGGCCAAGCGGCTCCACAGAATCGTGGGGCAAGCGACATCCTCAACATCGTGGGGCAAGCGGCACCCCCAGAATCGTAGGAAAAGCGGCCCTCCAAAATCGTGGGGTAAGCGACTCCCCAAAATCGTTGGGTAAGCGGCGAGTAGACCTTCCAAAATCATTGGGCAAGCGGACCCCTCCAAAATCGTAGTGCAAGCGGCCTTCCAAAATCGTGGGTCAAGGGACACAATTAAAATCGTGGGGCAAGTAGCACACCCCAGAGTAGTAGGGCAAGCGGCCCTCCAAAATCATAGGGCAAGCGACTTCCCAAAATAGTGGGGCAAGTGGCACCCCAAAACCGTAGGCCACGCGGCTCCCGAAACTGTGGGGCAAGCGGACCCTCCAAAATCGAAGGACAAAACACATATTGTGTTATTCCAGTTGTTTAGTTCATAAGTCATTTGGCTGCAAAGTTCCACCTGTCGAAATTGTACCTAGAGTGGTGCTATTCAAACCTCTTTTGGTTATAAAATGTCACATTCGTAAACTCCGTTAGCCGCGATTTCGTACGGTCAAAATTGTTAAAATAGCTTTTGAAATGATTACTTGAGACTAAACCAAATTTTACATTATAGATAGATACTCTCAAGTTACAAAAAAGCTACATGAATCGCTGGTGACGTCAATAATATTAGTCAGTGTGGTGTCGTTTATCATCCGTGTTTGGATCAGTAGTGACTTCACACGCTTCAAAATAGCTGTGTCTGAAATTTCAGAGGTCATTGGTGACTGCAACGAAAACAAGGAAGAAGCAACAAACTGAGTTGATCAAAATGGCTCTGCAGGCGCAGGATGACAAAAAAAGAGAAGAACGAGAAAAATTTTTGATCACTACAATACCTATCACTATACAAGCCGCTCACGAGCCAAGTCTGCACCATGCGAGTGAGGAGCACGAAGAAGGTAAAATCTACTATGTGAAACCACAAACTGTTACTTTGATGATTGAAAAAATAATCTTACGTAACAAGAGTGTAACTAGTTGTTTGCTTTCAAAATCCACATATTATTTTTACAGTTACAGTTTTATATTATAATAGTAACAAACTGGAATTAGGCATTATACTCATCATGTGAAAACTAATGACGTCGCATAGTTTCTTGAAGCACTAGTCCATCATTAAGAGTAGTTTATAAGACATGAAACGGAATGGAAGAGATCTCTGATCTATTCATATTAAAATTATCTTTTACAGTGGACGAAGAGCAGGCGGACGGTCCGCCCAGAAACACCGCAACTCACCATCTACATTCAGCTCATTCCCTTTTCCCATCTTGCCTTTGTTCGGCAGTTGTACAAATAATCAACTTACTCGACGACGCCGCAGTATCTGTCGATGGAAACGCAGTCTATGAAGTCGCGTATCAAGTAATATGGACTTGTTTGGTGGAGGACAGTGCGCTATTTTTGAGGTAAGCGACGGTCGAGTTACACCGAGTCTAGCGCCGTTATTCTACCCTCTGCTGACCTCTGTAGAACTCTTATGGCGAAAATGCCACATATTTGTGACAATTAATGACGACTTTGTATCTAATTGCCTACAACCTCCGCAAGAGCACAAAAAGCTGTAAGATCCTTCCTAAGGAATAGTTTCAATACAAAGTAGTTGCGATGGTAAAAATCTAACAATTCATCCCATATTCTAAGCTGCAACGACACTCGACCCCACCTAATCGGGGATTTGGATGAATAGTTGACTATAACAATATCCCCTGAAATGCTTTGGGCTTTTGTTAATGGGTATTTATAGAATATTTAGGACGAGGATGAGAGAGAGTTTCACTTTCTTAGCGTTTGCAATTTAAGGCTCAGACGTTCTCTAATCATGTGGCTCGCCTCCCCGTCAATACAGAGGCACTTCAACTATAACGCCTTCATTTTACAATACAACCATAAAACATATTCTATGAAGTGTCCATATATGCACTTGTACACAGAATGACAACTTGTGACACATAGTATGGTTAATGAGAAATGTGACTTTTTAAACTTATCAGTCTCCATGTTCTGCTGACTGCCAAATGAAACCATAAAGTTGTCCAAAAAGTTCTACTTTTACGGTTGAAGAAGATATTTAGACATTATAAGATGCTTCAGTAGATAGAAATGTTCTTTTGCAGATATATCCTTGAGCGGCTGACAAGAGAGAAGCAGGATCTTATGATAAAAATACTTAGACATTTGATAAGATTCATTCCGAAGCTACCCCAGCAGGCAGCATTCGCCCTTTATAACTACATCATAGGATATGTCATGTTCTACGTAAGGACACCGCATGAAAACGGTCAGCAGCTGATTGGGTCAGCTTTGTCCTTACTTTGGATGGTGAGTAGCCTACTATTCGCTGTAATATGGTATCTTGTGTGCAATGTTTGCTAAGGCTAAGTATACAGGGTGTTTCATTTGAAACTTTTGCAACCCTGTAAAAATAGAAAGAAGTTTCAGCATTTTTTCCAGATCAGTTTCAAATCAATGACGATAAAATTGTTTCGAAATAAGATTTATCTAAATATGGCGGAGCTGCGAGCCGACAAAGCTATTCATTTTTTCCAACTTTTGATCAAATATGTAAACAATTATGTCGCTCTTCTTATTGTTGTAGGTTGTCCACAGCGTTCACGGAATAATGTTCAAAGATCTGAAACAAATTTTAAGGAAAGAACAATGCGATGCTTCAATCCTCTTAACTGCAAATGTCCCATCGGCAAAGAAAATAATTGTCCATGGACCTCAAGGTGGGTAATTTTTATTGTGGTTAATACTTTTTGACTCTTGTCATACAGAGTGTCTGAGAATAACATGCCCATTTCTCGCATGCATATAAACAAATAATGCCATGAGTTCCTACAAGGAGTCTTTACTGCAAATCGGTTTTTCTTGACCAATACTTGAATCAACATAAATGATAGATTAGTAGTTAGTTGGTGCCTCATTTGATGCTATTCATGGAATTCGGATTCGAGCAGAAAATAGGATAGATAACCGGAGCAATACGCATTGCTGCTTAATGGCTTCATCGGGCCCGAAATGAATGCACATATGCAAGTACACACATGTCCATACATCCGGATACGGGTGTAACCTGAGGAAAAGAAGATCGAGAGAGAACAAAACGACCCACGAAGTCACCAACAAGACCCAACCTACAATGTATGGTGTATAATGGCCAGAAGACCTCGAGTTTTTAAGGCCACATCTTACCACAACCACGCGGCTGGTTATAGCTACTTGGTACTTACAAAAAGAAGAGGATCATGCGGCGAAAAGTATGTATATATTGAATAGAAAAAATAATGAGCAAAATCCGCAAAAAGAAGGAAAGTGGAATCGAGCAGAAAATAGGATAGGTAACCCGAGCAATACGTATATCTTCTTGTTGGCTTCATGGCTATTTATTATATTTACTGATTGACAAAAAAAAGGTAAGCACCTACATGTGTTTATCCGATTTTATGAATCTCGGCGAGAACTTATTTGGGTCCACACTCGCAAGGTTCTCAATACAGTTCTCGTGCTCGATGACGATAACCGCAGAATTAAATGTTGTGACATATGAGTAATCCGATTTCTCTTAAATAGCTTGTACCTTTGTTAGAATTTATGGCATTGTGCTCTGTACGCAGACAAGAGTTTGACAACTCATTCTGGCACAGAGTGCAAAGTCATCGCATCACCAAAAGATAATAAATATGCGACAGCCATTCTTAGATGATTTTACAGGCCAATGATTAAAGAGTACTTTCAGACGAGCGTTTAGTAATTGTGTAACGGCTGCTTATGCTACAAAATTTAATTTCCAGATCCAGATGCTGGGGGTATTCCGTCACAGTTTCCCGTTCAGGAAGATACGCAATTCTATCAGATCCTGCGAGAATCGCTAGACTTTTTCGGCATTGACGAAAACAAGCACAAGGAATATTTCTTGGTAGACTATAAAACCCGTACGTAAATCATTGGTATTCTATTTTTTGTTAAAGTATTCACCGTTGAAAAAGTAATTATATGATCAAACGAACTTACCTGTAAGTGATGTTCGATCCTAATTATGTCAAGGCCTCGTCTCGTAAATAGAACAGGTGTAGTACCCCGTTTTCCGGCCACGAGTTCAAAGCGCACACAAGATCGAGCATCACTTACAGGAAAGTTCGTTTGATCATGCCATTATGTTCCCGAAAATAGAACAGGTGTAGATGTTCAAAGCGAGTTTCAACAACATACTACTAACGTTCTGCAATAGTAAACGATAAATTGTACACAGCTACACAAATTGTACACAATGCATGTGTCAACTAAATTTACATTTTCATTCTAACAACTAAAGTTGAAGCCTTTAACTTGTAATTCGACGTCCATGGGTTCAAAAATAAAAATACGATCTATTACATGGTGAAAAGCAAATCGCGTAGTAATATAGTTGTATTTAAGGTGTGTGAACTTGATTTTCCTTAAATGCCGCTTGAGCAAACTTATTGTTTGGCATAAGAAATGTGTGAGGTGTTTCAGAAAACGCGCTCCAGACCGATGCGAGTCTGAGCGTACTATCGTGTTTCCCAATAGGGACTTGACAACTTCGAACAAATCAATTACCGAACTGTCACTGTCAAAACATTCAGAAAATATCTTCGTCATGGTGGCTGTATTTGCCTACTGATGTACCGCTTATCTTTTTTAGATCAAATTCGTAATCCATCAGCTTACGTTCGCGATTTTTATTTCTTCAAGAGGTCTCAGTATCCGCAATTAGAATTGGTTCATATGGACCCAGATGCAGCATTCAATGCCTTGCAGCAGCATGAGCTCGTTCACAAATTTGTCGAAATAGGAAAAGTTTTACTAACCTGGGCTATATTGAAGAACGTGGATATGGTAAGCGACGTTTCGTCCGATCAAAAATTGTTGTATCGGTGTATTCAATTGCTGTCGACTTTCAGGTTGTACAAAGAGTGGTATTTCTTCACGAAGAGCTAATGAAACTGCCGTCCTTTCCGAGAAAAGCCTTAGAATCTAGCTTGGAACTATATAAGTCAGGTCCCTTGGGTAAAGAGCTTCTCGGATTGGATGTTTTACATAAGTTTATGTGGGTTAGGCTGATTGCTAGAATGTTCGAAGCTATGGCTGGCAATTTCGCTTACTCCGGAGATATCCACCTCTTCGTTAACGTACTCAATGGAGCTGTGGTTCTACACTCGGAAGATGCATGTATTTTAAGATACGTTATGGCTACCTATATCAATGCAGCGTTCCATTTCAAAAACATATTTTCAACTAACGGGCAAGTATTCACTTCAATCAAAATTAGTTTGATTGGCCTTGTAACTTTATTAACTACTGTAAACGTTTTCAGCTACTTATTGATTATGCCAACTTTGTTGAAGATATATTCCAACCATCAATCCAACAAACTAGTAACTACTACGATCGAATATGCAGTGAAGCAATTTTATATGATGAACAGAAAACCGTTCATATTGCAGATGTTTGGATCTGTATCAGCTATGTTGGACACCGATGAAGAAGGCACTTTCGGAGATGCCCATAAGGTACGCACAAAATACTAGATAGAGTATAAGGAATATTGTTTATTATTTAGCTTACGTGCGCACATGGTATTTGGACGACTTTGTATGATATTTGTTGTGTGCTATTTCGTACGTTTGATGTTAAACCATAGTTCGAATTCCATAATATTTTGTTTTTCTTTTTTGGGTGTCACAAAGTAAGGACAATATTGCAATCTCAATGCCATAATCATTACGTTATTAAAATTGACCAAAACTGTTCTTTCTACGAAACATTTTATAAGATGCTCCAAGTTTTTGAGTCTTTCCTAACTTTTGTATATAGATAGTATTTCCAAATTACATTCAGCGTGACAGAAAACTCCCGGAATGGCTGTATTTTCTCAGATAAGGTATTTTTGTAAAAAATTAAGGTCATGTCTTCAGTAACGTTCAGAAAGGAATTCAACGGTGACATTGAACTCAAACTTGACCTTGACTGTCAAGGTTAACTCTTGGTCAACTTTACGTTTCAAATAGAAACTTTTATTTTTGGAGCCGGCAATCGAAAGGAAAAAAACTAAAGTGCAAGGTCAGGATAAATACTAAAGGTCAAATGAAGATCAAATGTGTGCTGCCAAGAAAACCTCATTAAATGTCACAGGATGAATGATGAAAATAATTATCAACGTAAGGTATTTGACATTTAACGAGGAAGTGTTGTCTGACCTTGTATTTGACCTTGACCTCCACCTTCAAGGTTATTTCAAAGTCAACTTTATTTTTTCATGACAATCCATATTTTTGATGCCGGCAATCTAAAGAGCGGAAACTTATACTTTCAAATACAAACTGAAGTCCAAGGTCAGGGTGCCATCTTAAGGTCAAATGTGTGCTGCTAGGAAAACCTTTATAAATTACACAGGATTAGTAATGAAAACAACTATCAAGGTCAGGTCATTGATAAATTATAACGAGGGAGTTAACGGTGATCTTGGGTTTGTCCTTGATCCTCATCTTCAAGGTCAACTTCATTTTTTTATGGAAATCCCCATTTTTGATGTCGGCCATCGAAAGAGCGGAAAATTTTACGTTAAAATTCGAATCAAAGACCAAGGTTAGGGTAACGGCGAAAGGTCAAATAGAGGTCAGATGTGTGGTGCTAGGAAAACCTCTATGAATCTTGCAGAATCAGTGATAAAAATTACTGTCAACGTCAGTACTTTAGTAAATTTTGATGAGTGATCTTAGATTTGAGCTTGAAACCCTCACCTTCAAGGTTATTTCAAGATACACTTATTTTTTTAATTGGAATTTCTATTTTTGGTGCCGGCAATCGAAAGAGCCGGAAATTTTACAAAATTCAATATCAAGATGACCGCTGAAGATCAAATAGGTTGAATAAAGGTCAAATATGTGCTATTAAGAAAACATCTTGCAGAGATCGTGACGAAAATAACTGATAGGCTCAGATCTTTAGTGAATTTGAGCTTGTACCTCACCTTTAAGGTCAGATTTTTGGGTAAGTTTTATCGGAGGGAACTACGGTGCTTGTTACAAATGACACTGACACTGTTCATGCGAGTTTCTACTTGAAAAAAAATGACCTTGAAAGTGGGATTCAAGGTCAAATCCATAATCAATAGTCTAAATTCACTACAGACCTGACCTTGATAGTTATTTTCATCACTAAGGTTTATAGAGGTTTTCCTAGCAGCACATTTGATCTTCATTTGACTTTTAATGGTCATCTTAAGCTTCGAAATTGATTGAACGTAAATTTTGTTCTTTCGATTGTTGGTTTTAAAAAAAACGAGCTTCTATTTGAAAAAATAAAGCTGACCAAGAATTAACCTTGAAAGTGAAGGTCACCGTTGAATTCCTCGCTGAAGACTTGACCTTTCTCTTTTCTAAAAATACCTTGCCCGACAAAATGCAGAGCCGTACCGAGACTTCGGTGTCACGCTGTATATTGTTGCAAGTACTATCATCGATAGCGAGTACAACTCTTGGAGTTCTATCATTTTTTACATGGGAATTATTTTCTATATTATTAGCATGTACGAATCAACAACGTTGCACACGTCTTTTTACGTTGAGTACTTCCAAACATCCTTTTGTTAATCTAATGTCAATGATGCAGATTCGGAAAAACCAAGTTTGTAATCAACCTTGTAATTTAGCTCCGGTACTCTAATTAAGGTTTTTGGAGAGGAAAAAGCAGTTTCGTTGCTAGAAGATGGATCCTGGAGCATGAATTGATAATTCCATAAATTTTGTTTACGTAAAGTATGTCCAATTTTCGGTATAATTATCAACAATGTTAATTGCAGATACAATCAAGCTGTCTGTTTAATTTATTACTCAGTTTGGAAACTCCATCTCCGGATCCTTTGAATATTGCAGAGTTGGTGAAAGAGGACAAGCCTCTGAAGGCCATAGATTTTTGTTATCACGACGAGAACGAAATGGTTACCATTCTGGATTGTATTTCCATGTGTGTGATGGTAGTATCGTATGCTTCGGAGAGTGTCAGGGGCTATCAAATGCTGGTAGGTTGAATAATACCAATTTATATTTGCAATGTGAAATCATAGTTTCGTTATTGGCAACAAACGGAAGTCAATACAATCCTGGACCATTGTGGATTGTGAATCGCCGTATCGGAATTGAAGTTATATTTACATCGAATCATACAATGTGACGCCCTTTTTTACGATGGTGGGAACCTGCCGAGGGGCTGGTAATACGGAGTACTACTTTTTGAAGTCAAAATAATGTTGTTCTGTTTAACTATTTTTGTTTTTTGAAATTGATAGACTTTGTGGAGGGTAAAGGTATTATTCATCTTATGTGGGATTATGAGAAAATTAATACATATTAAACGCTGTAGAATTACATTGCAGCGGACCCCCATTACGTACTATATCACTTATTGTTTTAGATTATACTGGAGGCTATTCTACCGTGTTACGTGAAGCAAATTCAAAAACCTTCGTACAACAAAGAAGGAAAGGCAGAAAAAGAGATTATACACCAGCTGGCTGTGGCGATAAGGACACTCGTCAACAACTGCGAGGCACTGACTAAGTAATTCACAAAACTATTCATCATTTCCTTGGTGTCTAACGAACACGCATAGTTGGCGAAACCAGAGAGGCTATAAAATGTATAATCATATTTATTAAAACCATCAGAGTTCCACAAGGATCCGCCTTAGGGCCGTTACTGCGGAACGCGATCTATAAGCTTGTATGGCTAGATGCCAGGAATTAACTTGATGAGGTATACTAACGACTTGGCAATGGTGGTTACAAGCTAGGAGGGAGATAAATTGAAAAGTCTCCTGCCATATTGAATAACTCAGATAAAACCATGCTGTTTTTCATATTCTATTAACATTAATTTTTTGAGACCATGAAGATAATCAGATTTTCTTTTTGAGCGTGTATTTTTAATATCTACAGGGTGACTTCGAAGTTGAGTCATTTATTTTAACAGTGAGTAGATCTGATCAAAAGAAATCTTTTTTTCCTTTACCATTTTTCTGGTAAAATTAAAGTAACAAAGTTATAGCCCTTTGGAAGTTTGAGTACCGCCCTGTCTCAATAATATTATGTGCTCGTGTTTGGCAACAACGGATATAATCCGCCTTATCGGTTCATCGCATCGGAAACAAAAAAGCGAAAGAATTTGGAACGATGTTTTTACAATTATTTTATTCAGTTGTATGTTGTATACAGTCAGTGTCAGTCGGTAACGCGTGAGTAAATAGTGGTGTCTGTTGAGTGGCTCCAACGAAATTAAAAATGGCACATGTTTATGCGGATCGGTTTCCCAATCGAGTGCAACCAACCCCTCGTGCCTTTGTTAATGTAGTACAACGGGCTCGTGAATCAGGTGACTTAAGACCTCACAGGGGACGGCATGCCGGTGCTCCAAGACCTCACGATCAAATACAGGTCCGCACTGAAATACTTGTCGGGAGGATACTTTATAAAACAAGGTAACATTTTTTTTTATTTTTACACACATATTTTGGTTTATCTTCCTTCTACAATCATTATCTGAAAATTAATGACTCAACTTCAAAGTCACCCTGTATATAGCAATATCGATAGCTGAGTTACCCTTTTTTGTAGAAATTTCTACCGGAGAAGCTATAACGGTCCTTATAAATCAAGTCCTGAACACAAAGGTTCTAGCCAAAGGAACTACAGTAGAGGGCCGTATTCGCCTGGGTTTGACTTTGAGGACGACTCTCATTCTAAATTCATGAGCGAACATTCCAGGGCGAAAAGCATGTACGACCACGAGGTAGAGGATTCTGAGGTAAATGTCGCTGAAGCTATATACAGGGTGGCGCATCGAAAGCGAAACAGACGCAGCTCAGTTTTTTTTAAAAACGCTCAGACCCGTCGATTTATTCTGAAAGTAGAACAAACTAGTCTGATGTACCTATTAAAGTCTACTTTAAGCTTTAAATCAATAAATCTTCAAAACTAGTGAATTGAAGCTCATGTTTTCTACATCATTATAAAGGTAATTGTAAGACCTTTAAAATAAGGTATCACTCGACGACTCCCCTTTCCATTTAAGATTTTAGGGTTGGTATCACCCCTGCCCAGGGAGCTGCACGTGTCGGCTTAATTTTTTGCCAAACTTGTGTCCCCCTCGAAAACAAAATTGACGGGTCTGAGCGTTTTTCCAAAGAAAGTGCCAGTAAATGCGTCTGTTTCGTTTTCGATACGACACCCTGTATTCACTATAACAGAAATATTGAACACCACTCCATAACGCCTAATACACAAGCTGTCACATTCGCTTGTACTCCTTGGAACATTTTTTTATTGGAACTTGTGACATCATTTTTCGTTTCCTATGTTGCTGATAACACTGATCAACAGCCAAAAAATATCCTAAATAAAATCAACAAAATATTACTATTTTTAATGTACTAAAACCGGAATGAAACTTATTTTTTCAATATTAGTTCAAGTTTTAGAGATACGGTAATTATATGTGTTCCTGCTGTGACAGTGTTAATATACTGTAATTCACAAGAATGCACGTGCTACATTACACACACAGTCAGAATTAAATGATCTTGTAAGAGATTTAGAACTTCCAACATGTAAGGCAGAGTTACTTGGATCAAGACTGCAGCAGTGGAACTTGTTAGAAGACGATGTTTCGGTATGTGTTTTTCGTAAACGCCACAAAGACTTAGAACCATTTTTCAATATGGAGAATAACTTGGTTTTCTGCAGTAACATTAACTGCTTACTGGCGGCTTTAACTATAAACTATAACCCAGAAGAATGGAGATTGTTTATAGACAGTTCAACATTGAGTTTAAAGGCAGTGTTATTGCATATTGGAAATATTTTACCATCTCCTCCTGTAGGGTATGCAGTTCACATGAAAGAATCATATGGCAATATGAAGTACCTATTGACATGCATAAAATAAGATGAGCACCAATGGCATATTTGTGGCGATTTGAAAGTTGTTGCACTTTTACTTGGGCTGCAGCTAGGCTACACAAAGTTTTGCTGTTTTTTGTGTGAATGGGACAGTCGGGCAAAGGCACTTCATTACACCAGACAAAACTGGCCTGTTCGTCAATTCCTAGAGCCAGGTCAAAAAAATGTACAGCATATGCCATTAGTAGATTCGAAAAAAAATTTATTACCACCACTGCATATCAAGTTGGGCCTAATGAAAAACTTTGTCAAGGCATTAGATAGAGATGGGTCAGCTTTTCAATACCTGCGTCAGAAATTTCCAAGACTAAGTGAGGCAAAGGTTAAAGGAGGTATTTTTGTTGGGCCACAGATTCGAAATATTTTGAAAGATACACAGTTTGAAAACACTTTAACAGGTGTTGAAAAAACTGCTTGGAATGATTTCCGTCTGGTGGTCACTAATTTCTTGGTAAATAGAAAAGCTGACAACTATAAAACCCTTGTCAAAAATATGCTGTTATCGAATCAAAAGATGGGCTGTAATTTGTATCTTAAGATACATTTCCTACACTCACACCTGGACTTTTTTCCTGACAATTGCGGAGCCGTAAGTGATGAGCACGGCGAACGTTTTCATCAGGATATTTCAACAATGGAAAAAAGGTACCAGGGAAAGTGGCATCCTTCCATGCTTGCAGACTACTGTTGGACTCTTGGTAGAGATGCTCCAGAAACGATCCATAAAAGAACAGCAAAAAGACAGCGCATATAGTGATTCTTATAAGTATATGAATCTTGTTACTTTTTTTAATATATCCTTAAAAATAAAAAGTTTTTTTTCTAAACCGCAACTAATTTTTTTATTTAATTGTCATTTTTGGATTCAGCGCCCCAAAATTAACAAAGAAGTGCACTTTTCCCACAAGATACAATTAAAAAACTAAAATTTGTTGTCCAGTGTAATCATTGATAAACGTAATAAATTAATCAAGGGCCCTATCTACCAGCCAAAAAAATGAGTACAGTCAGTAATGAACAGAAAATAAATCCCGTCTCTATTAAGCGACACCATCTACTAACCTAAAGAACTGCCAGTAAGTTTGACGTACTTATAATTTAACCTTGTCTGCCCAATTCCTGGTAAATTTAGAATCCGAAGAAGAACCACCTTCAAGTTCTACATAGCTTGCGCGAAGGAAATACTTGAAATCAAGTTGGAGAGTTGTGGTCTCGACACACAGTACGAGTTTTACATTTGACGGCAATGATTTATAATGTGACACGGTGCCGAATTGTTTAGTATTCTATCTCGTGAAGAGATGCTTAACCCTTATACTTGCAGGTGCTGAGAGCCGAGTATCGTAGACCGAGGGACGTTCTTCTATCGTTGGTAGGAGAGTTTGTGAACAGAGCGTCGATGCGCCTGCAAGAATTGTATAAAAAGAATGACTGCGACGGAAAAGTCGTTGAGTTGCTGGATATTAGGTCGCACATCGTAAGTACCATTACGATAATTTGAAACACGCTGTATAACGTGCGGGTATTCGCAAATCGTACGACTAATAGTATGGAATGATGGAAGTTGGCTCACAAGGAAATGCTGAGTCTTAAATATACACTTCTACACTTCCGTTGTCTACAAAGTTTTATTTTTTGTTTCATGACGGTTCGATTAATATGATCTTCAATCATCAGCAGGTAAACTGGCGAACATGGTCTTTTCTTGACTTTTTATACCGTTTGAAGACATGACTGGAGGTTGATTGTGACGAGTTCCAATTGGTTGAGTTATAGTTGTTTGATATTTCTTATAATAGGTCGCCAAAATCCCACTTATAGTCTAATCATATTAGACGAAAATATGCCTGGTTTGTGAAACAATTGTCTGGTCTTATTGCTGCAAGTTGTTCAAGGGGATAGTCAAAACATGGATCCCTAAAACGGGTACACCAATTTTTGTGGGAAAACTTTTTATTCGATAACAAAACTAGACGGGGAAATTTGCTAATATGATTAGACTACTCGTATTATCAGTTATCCTGCAGAATGGTGAAACTATACAAAATAACGACGTGTCGAACAATTTTCAACGTTCCTGTACTTATTTTTAGCGCCTGGCTGATATAGCTCATACCCTGCTCAAAGTTTCTCCTTACGATCCCGAATCAATGGGATGCAGAGGTCTTCAACATTACATGGGCTACATTTTACCATCGGCTGATTGGTCGAACGATGCCATGCGGCCGGCATTAGTTACGATTTTACGCCGGCTGGACAAGGTTTTCCAGAAGATATCGAAAAAGCCTTCGATAAGAGTGAGTGTTATTGTTGTCTTGTCGGTTAAGCGTAAAAAGTCTCTCCCTCAATTACATTTTTCTTTGTAAACGAAACATAGTTTGATGTTTGCCTTACTAACCTCTGTTCAGTGCCGATGAATTGTCCTTAAACTGCCAACATTCATTGAAATATGTGTAATTTTTAAAAACAAGGGGTCGAGACACAGTTTATTGTTCCTTGCATAATTGTTATAAAATTGGCACGAGCCTGTATGGGAAATCTGATACCAGGCAATATTATAGCAATTTTCTTAAGAATAAAACTTGTTTATTAACCCTAATTATGTAATACTCGAAAGGCTTCGAAACCTTATGCTCGATATTTACAGACAGCTATTCTTCTCTTTTATGTAAGAAAATAATCTCAAACTGTTTAAAATTATGAAATTTCGAAAGCACTATTCCAATCCTCCATTCACTTTTTGAAATACTCAGCTAGAAAGCTAATTTAGTGTCCTTTTTGTGACTTTACATATCGTATAGGCCATATAATTATAAGAAAATTGTAAATCCAGCTGTGGAATTCATCTTTAACGATAACGAGAAACACGATAAATACGACGTCAGTTGAAAATCACTCATTAGGAATGAGGAATTTTGCTTGGATTTTTAGTGACTCGAACTGAGTCTAGCCACACTTTTAATAGGTTCTCTCAATACAGCGTGTCCGCAAAGTTGGGGTTTTCCTTTACACGACGTGTAGATCTTGAAAACAAGCAATTTTTCTTAGTACCATATACACCAATGTCTTAAGGGAACCGAGATAAAGGGCTCTGCAACATCAAAAATATCTGAATACCGTCCTGTAGCCGAGACCCGCGACATCCCCGAGTGGTACTAGGACACTAGCTCAACCCGATGACAGAACTGGGTCGGGATCAGTGTGTCAGGTCAGTATGCAACCTTCAACCGACGGTTACGGTCACGCGTGTAGAGATAATCGCGTAGACGACAATCCCTCAACAAGCACTAGAGACGTGGCTAGAGAAGTGCAAGTATCAAAAACTAAAGTGTGGCAAACGCTGCGTCAAGAGGGGCTGTATCCGTTTCACGTCCAACGTGTACAAGACCTTCAACCTGACGTTTTTCCAGCAAGAGTGCGGTTTTGTGAGTGGTTGTTGCATCAACATGACAATAATCCGGACTTTTTGAAGTGCATATTGGTGACAGACGAATCTACGTTCACGCGTAATGGGGTGAATAACGTTCGCAAGACTCATGTTTGGTCAGTAGTAAATCCGCACGCTGTCCGTAGGGCACATTTTCAACTAACATTTTCGGTGAATGTTTGGGCTGGCGTGGTGAACATTATGCTCATTGGACCATTTATTCTCCCAAATCGATTGGACGGGATGCAATACCTAGACATTTTACGCAACATTTTGCCTTCCTTGTTTGCCGGCGTCTGCTCGGTAGCGCATCAGCTGATTTCATTTTCTGTTGGAGCGGTATGATTTCGGGCAGAGACGTACTTAGCCCTTCTCGTCAACTGGAGAGTGAGTACTTTTTCCTTTATTTTTTTTACTTGGTCGTCCTCATTTCACTACCATTACCTTTGTTATTTCAAGGGTAGTTGTTTCTGAAAAGGAAAACCCCAACTTTGCGGACACCCTGTATATTTTAAACAACTTTACGTTAGTAATAGTTCATCTAGAAAATGGATTTCTAACAATTACGTTTTTTAGAGGAATACGGATTGGGATGCGGCAGCAGGATTGCTCAAAGGAATTTACGATACGATGATTAAACATTCGTACATTGTCCACTGGTCACAAATTAAGGCTTTAATTAATACTTGTCAGGTAAGTGCTGAGGGCGGAATGACGTGTTTTTGTTAAAACGCACATGGCTACTACTACTACTTCAACACATTCTAGTCAGTATTTTTACCGTGCACTTCATATTTAGTAGAAAATCAACGTTGCACCTCCACATTATAAGGAGATTTCTTTAGGCATGGCTTTCATATCCATTCTCGAAACCTTTTTAATGGATCCTCTACATGTTAGTGGCAGTAAAACAATTTTTTCTCCCGTATGATGCAGCTTAGTAGCTTTGCTTGGCGTCATGAGCGCCCATATAGCAAAATCCAGAGAGGGCCATGTTTTGTATACAGGTTGTGCAAGATTAAAAATGCTGATAATTAACCAACCCGTTGGTGACAATTGAAGGCAGGGGGGAGGGATGTGCGACTATTCAAAATGGTAGCAGAAATAATATCGTCTATGTTGGGATGCTTTGAAGAGCAGAAAAAACACATACGCCACTTCTTACCCAAGGATTGGATATCTTATTAAGAATATTTTACTTTGAAACAGCAGCCAGGGGGACGTATGCCCCCCCCTTGCCCCCCATGCGTGTATGCAAAAACCAAAGAAGAATAAAGTATCGATGGAAGTTATTTTTTATCAAATATTTTTATTGAAAGCGTCGACAAAACACTTGAGACTTATTACTCCAACGCATTTTGAAGTTGTTAAGGGTTCAAGAGTTCACAGTTGTATACCTCAGATCAAAATATTAATGAAAAGGCTTCCGATATCTCCACATATAAGCAGTTATTTTTTCTATAACAATTTTTATTAGAAGCATATTATACACGGTGGCGCATCGAAAACGAAACAGACGCAGTTTTTTTTTTTGGAAAAACGCTCAGACACGTCGATTTTGTTTTCGAGGGGGACACAAGTTTGGCAAAAAATCACGTTAACACGTGCAGCCCCTTGGGCGAGGGTGACACCAACCCTAAAATCTTAAATTGAATGGCCCCCAAGATCGCCAGATTTATCACCTTTGGATTTATTTATGTGGGGTCATTTAAAAAGCAAAATCTATGCTACTCAGCCAACAAAATTAGAAGGGAATTAAAAGAACTTTAAAATAAGGTCACTCGACCCCCCTTTCCGTTTAAGATTTTGGGGGTGGTGTCACCCCCGCTTAGGGGGCTACACGTGCTAAGGTGATTTTTTGCCAAACTTGTGTCCCTCTCGAAAACAAAGTCGACGGGTTTTTTTAAAAAAACTGAGCTGCCAGAGTTGAGAATTTTCCTCTTCTGTACGTAATTACTTTGTACAGTACTATTGTCATTTCTAGTACAGTTGCACAATTATTGCCACACATTCCATTTAGAAAACATCAAGAGGGGTGTGACTGCAAATCATACTCGTAGATTCTCCATTTTATAGATAATCCTCATATCCTTCAAATACTTTTTTCATTGTACCAGCTGATGTTGAATGGTTATTTTGCTGTTTTAGTGTATGTTGCATGCATTCACCATCCAAAATATGTTAAACCGCTCCTAAGAAAGTTATATTTTAAGAAATGCAAGAGTTTTCAGTTGCTGTCACATTCTGAAGTGGGTGCTTGCAGATTTGCAGACACACTCATGATTTTCATTCAGTGAGGTTTGGTCACATGAATGTACGTTCGATGAACTTTTCAGAGCCTGATTGTGAGCGATTTGGTCCCTGCAGAAGGCGTGTCTGGTGCTACGGTTGCTCTTATGAGCCAAGCTCCCCCCGCACACTTCTGTTCGATGGTCGTTAGGCTTATAGCTTTACAAATACAAAACGGCCAGGTAAGTTTATAAATTTGAATTGTCTTTCTCAGGATTTTTTTCACTTATCATATCAGTTGATGCTTACATACAGGGTATTCCACGTAGAACTGCACAGATCAATTGCTAAAAAAGTTGAATTGTTAGTCAGTAAAGTATTTATTATACAGGGTGGCCCAACGAAAAGGTCGCACCCCAATTTGTGATTCACCTGGTATATTATGCGAAAAACGCTCGCACACGTCAATTTTTATTTCTAGGGGGACGTCTTTTCATCTATAGCCGTATGATACAGGGTGATCCAAAAACAAGATATTGCGTTACACTTTCGATTTTTAAATGGAAACCCTTCATTTTTTGTAATTTTTAGATTTTGCATGAAGTTTTCAGTATGATAAAGTTTATACCTATCTTCAATCGTTTTGAAGCTATTTGCGGTGACAAAGCCCGCTCGTAGGCCTTCATTCGTTGTTGCCTCTAAAGATCCCGTACTAATGACGAAGGCCTTAGTATTAGAAGAAATGAACTTGAGCCTAATAGTAGGTAATAGTAGAAAGATTTATTTAGCATATTTGTCTACATAAACAGAATAATTGTAAACAACTTAGAACTAGTAAATTCAAGCCATATGGTGTATGATGTAAATGCTCGGCAACCTATAATTGTAGATTTAACAAGTGATTTCTCAATTTTACTTTAAATTTTGTCAAAGTTTTCATGTCTTTCATCTCTGAGTATAATTTATTATATTCAATCAACCATTGATAGAATACAGATTTGTAGCATATGTTATACTTTTTGGTCATTAAATGGAAGTCATCTTTATTTCTGGTATTATGTAAATGATGGTCGACATTTGATGATGTTAAATTAGTTAGACTTGATGGAAATATATTATTTTTTACTTTATAAATGAATATCATTACAAGATATTTGATAAAATTTTTTACATTGAGCCATTTTAATTTGCTAAGCATTTGCCTAATTGGAGTATATTTATCTTTATTTAGTATTATTATCATGCACTTATTTTGTAAAATTTGCAGTCTTTTAAAAATGGAATTATTTGCTAAATATAGAATAGTCGAACAGTACAAGAAATTTGGAAGAATGATGGTATTATAGATAATTTTTCTGCTATATGAACTCAGACATCCAGAAACTCTCGATAAATATCCCACTTCACTACTAATCTTATTTATAACTTTTTCATAATGAATATCAAAAATTATCGAGAGTCAACAAAAACCCCCAGGTATTTAAAATTTTCTACGAATTCAATATCTTCACCATCAATATTCAATTGAACATTTGTACATTGTTATGTTCTGATTAACATAACTTTCGTTTTACTTGTATTTAATTTTAGTCTGTTAGATGCTAACCATTTTGAGACAAGTTTCAAGTCTTCATTTATATAAGAGATACCAGTCTGAATATTTTTAGTACTTATATAAATCATAGTGTCATCGGCGAAAATCTGAATTTTGCATTTTCTGACTATGGCAGGTAATCATTTATGTATAAAATAAAAAGAAGTGGTCCCAGGATACTGCCCTTTGGAACAACCAACGTATTTTCAATTTTTGATGAAATAGTGCCATTAACTTTTGTAACTTGCATCCTTTTAGACAAATAATTTCTAAACCAATCTAAAACACTTCCTGTTATACGATATGCCTTCAATTTACCTAACAAAATATCTATATCAATCGTTTCAAGTGCCCACTTCAAATCCAAAAATACTGCTATGACAACATCTTCTGAGTCTATGGCTCTTCCCCAATTCTCAGTTACCAACTGGAAAGCCGTTTCTGTGGAATATTTTTTTCGAAAGACTGCTTGCGCCTCCACTAAAATTTGGTTTTCATCTATAAACTGCATTAATTGGTCATGCACTATGGACTCTAATAATTTTTCAATGTCTGGTAACACATTTACTGGTCTCATATCGCTGCATCTTTTAGAATTTTTTATTTTGGGAACTGGTGTTATTGTAGAGCATTTCAAATCTTCACGAAAAGAACTGCTTCTCAGTGAACAATTGATCCAATTTAATACAGGATATCCCAAAATTTCGAAACAGTTTTTCAGCACGTTTTTAGTAGTGATTTCGGCACAGTTGTTATTTGATTTTGAACTGTTTACTTTTTTCTTAGATAATTTAATGATACACTGTGAAATTTTGAAAGTGTATGCAACATTTCTCCCTGGAAACTGATTTTCATATAGTCATGTGCAGTATTGCCAGTACCCACAATATCAACAATACTTTCCACAAAATATTCATTTAGTTTGTCTGCAATCACCAAAGAATTTGTTTCGGTACCGTTTTCGAATTGAACTTGATTTACACAATCATGCGGCTTCGAATTGATCAGTCTTTTTAAAGTCTTCGACATCTTTACACTGTCGCACTTGTTACTATCGATTTGTTTATCGTAGAATTTCCTTTTTTCTTCTCTAATTACATACACACATTTATTCCTAAGAGTTTTATATACCTCCCAATCATCATTTGATTTTGTGAATATACATTTATTGTATTGTTTGTCTCTCAAATTTTGAGCTGCCTAAATATTTTTGTTATACCAGGGTGTATTTTTTGTCGAGCAAATCAGTTTTTTATCAGTTGCAAGATCTAAACAAGTTTTTATATTTCCTATTTTGTTGTCATATATTTTTTCCATACTCTCACCAAAGTTCCAATAGCAGCCAGCAAGTTCTCGTTCAAGTTTTTCGTACTTAATAGTATTTACGATTTTCTTAATTTTTGTATCAGAAAAATGCCCTACCAAGGGCAGCATTGTCCAACTGTGGTCACTAACTTTAGGTGTATGTACAGCTTTAATCCCTGCACATTCGAAATTTACAATAACAAGATCTAACAAAGTCTCTGATAATGATGTTATTCTGCTACACTCTTCAATTTTTTGCTTGAACCCATATTTATTTATGGTTTCTTTCAATTTTCTTGTTTGAAGCCAATATGTTCGTATGATATTTTTTCTTATCAAGTGGTCTATTTAAACATTGACAACCCTATACATTAAATCGAATATAGTATAATATTAAAAATCAAAATTGGCCACAATTATTACGTCAACTTTTAAACACACTACACGAAACATTATAAAAATCCATGCAGTGTATCCGGGTTCCTAACTTTAAATCTAATGTTGCTCCATTTTTGAAAACTTACTTGAACGCTAGTTTTATTTGCTTTCAGGACTCTTGCACCTTAGAACAAGTCTGCGGAGGCAGTTCGTTGTTTCCAAGCCAAGAGAAGACTGAGAGTATGATAATAAACCTCGTTATGCCACTGTGTTTGAGAGTTGGATCCGGCAGAAAAGGTGTGTTTGCGCATTTTACCTACAATCCTCCGTTCGTCCACCATTAAAAGGATCACCCGACTATCAGCCCGAATGGCGTTCTATGCAGAAATGCGTAAATAGGCACAGGAACTGAGTGTATTTGTTTGCTTCCCGCCTTTGAAACGATGACCAACCGCATACAACGTTGCTTATTAACAACAAGTAGTGCGTTATAGATTTAATCGTTAAACACAGAAACAAGATAAGCTGGTATAATCTATCATCTATAATTTCATATTCCGACTGTCTTTCAGTAAAAGTCGGAGACGTAGGACTTCCTGTCATTATCAAGCTTTGGCAAACCATTTGTAGATCACGCTTGTCAGTGCTGCCACTTCTCTGCGCACAACATACTTTTTGTTTTTTGTAGACCATACTCGCTTGTTTGCTTTCTGTTTGCACGTCTCCAACGACTAGGCTTATACCGTACTGATGATTGCCAATGAGCATGAAACACAGCTGTATGCAGTCGGCCATTGTTACAGAGACGAAAAGCAGATAGCTTGATATAATTTGGTGTTCATTTATTACCATTATTAAGGACAAATACAAACACGTCTCATTAGATATACAGGGTGTCCCAGAAGTCGACGTCAAGCCGAAACCGTTTGATAGGCAAAGTCATAACAGCTATCAGAAAAATATTTAAAAAAATTTTATGTATGTGTTTTGAAAATTATAGGTCTTTGAAAAAGATATAGAAATTTCACACCCTACGGCAGTCTGTCAACTCCTGTTACTACAAATATTAACTTTTTTGGATTTTATTTTTACAATGTAATGATGCATCTTCAAACTGGTGTCTCAACCTTACTGCCAACTTTTCTCGTTCAGGAAAAATTGCCACTTATTTCCCAACCAAGTATTCCAAAGTAAAACTTTGCTCAACTTTAACTGGCTGTACTGGAAAAAAATGTACTACGAGAGTTTGGCAAGTAACCTTAAAAGTTGGCGCATTTAATAACGATTCCAAAATGGTATAACACTTAGAAGATTACTCGTTAACTTATGCACAATTTTTATTTGAAGAAAAACTGATGAAAATTTTTCAAAATTTCCTAATTAAACAGCGATTATGAAAACGCACAAGGACCCTTAAGGATAACTGTTTGCACAACAGTGGGCGTCAAAATGCTGCTGATGATGATTTACCTTTACAGCAAATGCTCAAACTGTTTTCGTTCAGCCGCAATACATGCTCGACATCTTCTTAAAAAAGATCGGGTTATTAAACGAGCGAATCCACGGTTATTAACAAACTCAGCTGCTTCCAATAGTCTTTGCCGTAGCTCAGCTACATTTTGAATCGGCTTGAAATACACTTTTTCTTTTACAGTTCCCCAGTAAAAAAATCTAAAGGATTCAAATCAGGTGATCGGGCTGGCCACGGTATTTTTCCAGACCGCCTTATCCATCTGCCTGGAAAGTTTTGATCGAGATACTCTCTCACTGAGAGTGCATGCCCCTGTAAATACAGTGGCACGTCCACCAATAAATATTGTACATGATTTTTCAAAAAATCCAAATAAACTTCAGCAGTCAAAGTCTCTGGGAACTCAAACGGACTGATTATTTTACCATTTAAAATTCCTGTCCAATGGTTTATCTTGAAGCGATATTGAGATTTATCTTCTCTCATCAAATGTGGGTTTGCTACGTGCCACTCGTGTAAGTTATGCAGGTAACATGTACCCATCTTTCTTAAATGTGGTCTCATCCGACCATAAAATTTTTTCAAAGAACGGTGGATCTTTCCTGTGTCTTTGTGCGACAAAAAGCAACTCGGGGCTCATTATCCCGGGGCAGGAGAAGTTGAACACGCTGTATGTGGTATGGATGAAGCACATCACTTACTTGCTATTGCACACTTTAATACCGATCAGTACTCCTTCGTTTACTGCGCATCTTTACATGTTCGTGCTTGTTGATTTTGTATTGTTATTCCTGAACTGGGCTGTTGATCGCTTGTGATTTGGATTTGGACTGTTTAATTGCTCTTCAAAACAACATTTGCTTTCCTTAGACTATCTTTGGTAGTGTGATTGTGCAGTGCCGCTATGTCCGTGTACACCGTATAAGAATATGCTAACATGCACCTCATTTATGGGGAATGCAGATGCAACGCTAGTGCTGCAGCGAGACTTTACTGTGAGAGGTACCCGAATGCAGCTCGTCATCCAGGTCATCGAGTGTACACAAATGTGCACCGCTTACTGTTCTCAGAGGGCCAACTACCAAACCAATCACACGGTGAGGGAAGATCTTTCCTTCCTTACGAAGACGTGGTGCTAGGAGCTGTCGAAGAAGACCCGAGTACTAAAAACAGGTGTGCCCAAAAGTACAGCCCATAGAATCTTGCAAAAAAACGTGCTCCATCCATACCACGTACAGCGTGTTCAAGCTCTTCTGCACCGGGATTATGAGCCCCGAGTTGCTTTTTGTCGCACAATGTTAGAAAGACACAGGGAAGATCCACGGTTCTTTGAAAAAATTTTATGGTCAGATGAGACCACATTTAAGAAAGATGGGTACATGAACCTGCATAACTTACACGAGTGGCACGTAGCAAACCCACATTTGATGAGAGAAGATAAATCTCAATATCGCTTCAAGATAAACCATTGGACAGGAATTTTAAATGGTAAAATAATCGGTCCGTTTGAGTTCCCAGAGACTTTGACTGCTGAGGTTTATTTAGGTTTTTTGCAAAATCATTTAGAAAATTTATTGGAGGACGTGCCATTGAGTATTTACAGGGACATGTGGTTTCAGCATGATGGCTGCCCAGCGCACTATGCACTCTCAGTGAGAGAGTATCTCGATCAAAACTTTCCAGGCAGATGGATAGGGCGGTCTGGTACAATACCGTGGCCAGCCCGGTCACCAGATTTGAATCCGTTAGATTTTTTTTACTGGGGAACTGTAAAATAAAAAGTGTATTTCAAGCCGATTCAAAATGTAGCTGAGCTACGGCAAAGACTATTGGAAGCAGCTGAGTTTGTTAATAACCGTGGATTCGCTCGTTTAATAACCCGATCTTTTTAAGAAGATGTCGAGCGTGTATTGCGGCTGAAGGAAAACGGTTTGAGCATTTGCTGTAAAGGTAAATCATCATCAGCAGCATTTTGACGCCCACTGTTGTGCAAACAGTTATCCTTAAGGGTCCTTGTGCGTTTTCATAATCGCTGTTTAATTAGGAAATTTTGAAAAATTATCATCAGTTTTTCTTCAAATAAAAATTGTGCATAAGTTAACGACTAATCTTCTAAGTGTTATACCATTTTGGAATCCTTATTAAATGCGCCAACTTTTAAGGTTACTTGCCAAACTCTCGTAGTACATTTTTTTCCAGTACAGCCAGTTAAAGTTGAGCAAAGTTTTACTTTGGAATACTTGGTTGGGAAATAAGTGGCAATTTTTCCTGAACGAGAAAAGTTGGCAGTAAGGTTGAGACACCAGTTTGAAGACGCATTATTCATCATTACATTGTAAAAATAAAATCTAAAAAAAGTTAATATTTGTAGTAACAGGAGTTGACAGACTGCCGTAGGGTGTGAAATTTCTATATTATTTTCAAACACCTATAATTTTCAAAACACATACATACAATTTTTTTAAATATTTTTCTGAGGGCTGTTATGACTTTGCCTATCACCCGGTTTCGGCTTGACGTCGACTTCTGGGACACCCTGTATGCGCTTACTTTAGCGCCATGATGCAATTATGTTCACAGACGTTCCACAGATGAAGCCTAGCGATGTCAGCTTCTCGCTAACGTTGATTCTCCACGCCATGAGCCCTCCCAATATAAAGACAGCTGGACCATCAGGGGCTAACGTGAAACCAGTGGCAGAAATAAGGACCGGTAGCCTTACCTTTACAGGAACTAGGGACACGAAAACCTCAGCTAAAATAAACAGCTCTCTGTATCAAGTGGCATTTTTAGGTAAGATTTTTATTAGCAACTAACATGTTTTTGAATTTCAAAACGCCGCATTTTCATTCTTCTTTAACTAGCATCTCTAACACTAGCAAACAGACGAAGTGGACAGTAGATTCTTTGTACATACAGGGTGTCTCACAGTATGTACGCAACCTGTCGAACACGTACCGGACACTAAAATGCGTCAAAAACTTCATAAAATAAACCGCCCCGCAACGGTGTAGAGGGCGTAATCAGGATAACATTATTACTCACACGTTTCGTGGAAATTTGAAGGAGGTGACTGCAAGTGTTGATTGCCTAATTTCGTCATTTTTAGCTCTAAAAATTATGAGTATCTGCTTCGAAAACGAACTAACAATGGAATGGATGAAAATAGGAAGAACCATGAGAGAACTAGGAAAACGTAATGAAGCAGCTAGCTATTTATGGGACTTTCTTGACTTTGTGGTGACGCATCGAACTACGCTGTACATTTTGATGCAACCTTTCATTTTTTTGAAGGTAACTTTCAATCGGTATTCTTTATTTTTGAAAGGCGATTTTCTATATTAACGGTAACAATTTTGCTTTCAGTTAGCTCAGCCGCCAATATCCGATTTCGAAAGAAACATGCATACGAAAATAAGAAACAAAATGAGAAGCATCGATTTGCCTTTGCCGAAAGGTAAAGGGGCGCTGCTTATGGAACTGGCTCAGGAGATGAAAGTTTTGAAAGAGGAATTAGACGAGTGTGAGTCACAAACAAGTAACTAGGATTGTCGGAATTAGGCTTTTCTCTTCAAATGTCTTCGCTACCCTGTACAAGAAGCATGCAAACAGAAAAGAAGAAAATAAATCTATGTACTGCAGTGACTTTTTAGGGCACTGATCACTAGCTTCATCAAGTTTCAATTCATACTCCTTATGTTTTGAATAAGGTCTTACATGTCTAGATAGCAGATGCTACAAACTAACAAATATTATCGTGAATTGGTACTGGATGGTCCCTAAAATGACTCTTCAGCATACCCGTGCTTACAGTTACTGGTAGTTTTTTTGCAAAATCCATAAACAGGTTATGTGCCTCCACTTTTTTTACTTAGGTTCGCTGGTTCATAATTGATCATTACTTGTCCGCGAAGTTTTGTCCAAAACGGACGCAGGAAAGTAAACGCATATTAAAACAAGAAAGATTGATATTCAAATCAAGTAGGGTACTTTATTTTGAAGATTCATTTATACCATTTATGTATGAAAAATAATATCGCTCAAATGTTCACCACGACTGGATTTACAGACGTCCACGCGATGGTCGAAATTTTCAATGACATTTTGCAACATGGTCGGTTCTATGGCATTTATCTCGGCATTGATGTTGTTTTTGAGTTCTTGGAGGGTGGCTGGTTTGTTGATGTAGACTTTGCTTTTCAAATATCCCATGGCCATGGCCATTTCCTCTGCGCGAAATCACGCGATCACCAAAGAAGGACTGCAATCGATGGATATTGACGTTGGTTGTGTGGCATGTTGCACCGTCTTGTTGGAAATAAACATCGTCCATATCCATTCCTTCAAGTTGCGGTAAAAAATAGTCCTCTATCATCACGTGATATCGCTCAGAATTGACGGTAACGGCGTCCCCGGCCGCATTTTCGAAAAAGTAAGGTCCGATGATGCCTTTTGACCACAATGCACACCACACAGTCACTTTTTGAGGATGCATCGGCTCCTCTTGATACTCACGGGGATTTTCGATCGCCCAGATGCGGCAGTTTTGCTTGTTTACCGTCTCATTCAAAGTGAAATGCGCTTCGTCGCTGAACATGATTTTTGATGAAAAATTGGCATCAATTTGGCGGTGTTCAAGGAGCCAATCTGAGAACGTTCGGCGAGAAAAATGGTCGGCCCGACGCAGCTCTTGCGTCAATTGGATCTTGTAGGCGTGTACATTCAAATCCTTGTGGAGAATGCGGAGCAAATTGGTTCTCGAAATGCCCAATTCTTGGGATCGACGCGTTGTTGATTGTTTCGGATCGTCTCACACTCTCCTTCACAACAGCAATATTTTCCGGTGTGCGAACGCTCCTTGGCCGGCAAGAGCCTGGCAGATTTGCCACAGAACCTGTTGCCTCGAATTTACGCACCAGACGACCGATGGTTGTTTCGTTTGGGCGGTTGTTGCGACCGAAATGTTCACGAAGCGCGCGAAACGTGTTTTTTATTTTTGCACCATTTTTGTAGTGCTCTTGAATAACTTTAATGCGGTCTTCAATCGAATACGACTCCATAGCGATCAATGGTAAACATGCAACTAACACAATGACATGTCGGTGACAGAAAACAAAGATGGCGTCTATGTCAAATTGACGTTTACTTTCCTGCGTCCCTATTGGACAACCCATTATTTATATTTGTATAGCTACCGAATCATCCTCTGAAGCGAAGAAACCGGATTCAACGCCGACTTGTCAAGTGACCAGCGAGGTTCAACAGCCAAGACATCAGAGGCATTCTCTCATCGGTTTGTTCACTAGCGAAGGACACCACGGATCAAAAGCTGCACCGGCTCACTCTCAGATCAAAGGTACGCTTAGATCAAACGTTTATTCGACGACAATTTAATAAAAATGAAAAAAGGTGTACACCTGTACGCTAATATTGAGGAATGATTTATTTACGGTAGCACTGGTGAATAAAATAAGATATGAGAAAACGTATATTATGTTATACCGAAAACGCAAAATAGCGTTTTCATTCAAATATTAGAAGCAAGTACCTACGAGTAGTAATAGTAGTGGTAGTTTGTAAAAAGGTCCTTGAGGATCTCAAAGACCTCAATTCAAAAAAATTTGCATGAATGAGGAGTAAGAAAATTAGTTTCTCGTTGGATACCCCACCTGTTGACTGAAGAGCAGAAAGCAGCCAGGGTTCATTGGTGACAAAAAACGCTTGACCGTTTCAATTTCGGAAACTCAAAAAATGTGTACAGCATTGTTAGTGGTGATGAATCGTGGATTTACTGTTATGAACCAGAAAATAAACGACAGTCGGCTGTTTGGGTGTTCCAAGGTGAATAAAAGCCAACAAAAGTCATCCGTTCTCGAAAAAGATGGTCGCGACATTTGTGTCAAAAGCGGGTCATATTGAAACAATTCCTCTTAATGAGCAAAGAAATGTTACTGCGGATTGGTATACCACCATTTGTTTGCCAAAAATCATCACCGAGCTTCGAAAAATCAACCCCGAAAGAAGAATCATCCTCCACCAAGACAATGCAAGCCCGCAAAACAAGGCAGTATTCAACGGAAGAAAACGGGAATTATTGGACCATCCTCCATATAGTCCTGATCTAAGTCCTAACGATTTCTTTACTTTCCCGAAAATTAAAAACAGACTGGGTGGTCAAATGTTCCAGTCACCAGAAGAAGCAGTTGACGCATTCTAAAATGCCGTTTTGGATCTGCCAGCAAACGAGTGCAGATGCAGATGTGTATTAATCTTTATCTTTATAACAAACTATTGTATCAGTTCATTCAGATCTGTTATATCACATCATTCCGATTTGATTTCAAGAATCTTCAACAAGTACCAGCCACGTATCTACTCCAAACCAAGGGAATACAGTGAGTAGTGAAGGACATGATACAAACGCAAACGGCAGTTCTGCAACTTGTAATATCCCAGGTATGCTATTGTGATACATTGTTACTTAGTTTTGCTTCGTAGCAGATGTCCTTAGGGTATTTACAAGTGGAATAAAGTTTATTTGCCTTTTACTCTCACTTGATGATTCCATTTCATTCGATTTTTATTCCTGCATACTGCTGTAGAGCTTTTCGTAATATAATAGTCCGTTAGATGGATCGATTGTCGCATGCTTAATGTCATAAGTTCACAACAGATTTTCCATACAGTTTAAATGCCAAACTCATAAGCGCATGTTAACAAGAAATAAAATTTATAATGAAAATCAACATCAACGCACAGTGGGATGCCTGATCAATCTATGTGGCCAAAAATGTTTCATGTCCTGTTCTAAAGTAAATATTCTAAGTGACATATAAATCCGAACACCCAGTTTAAATGGTTTTATTTTAATAAAAGTACTTAATGAAGCATAATAAGTAAATGATAAAAATTTCAAAATGATTGCCCTTTGACCTTTAATAATGTGTGGATGCACCCTGATGTGCTACGCATTCTCCAACGCGCCTAGGCATGCTTCTGATCAGGTGGTCAATGTCCTCCTGTGGTATCTCATTCCAGGCAACCACCAACTCCTCTCGAACTGCTTCTAGAGTCTGAGGAGGACGTTGCAAATTGAGCAATCTCCTACCCATCATATCCCGCACGTGCTCAATTGGGGATAAGTCGGGAGATCTTGGTGGCCATGGTAACGATGTGACATCATTATGTTGAAAGAAGTCTATTGTGACTCTTGCAACATGTGGTCGGGCATTATCTTGTTGGAAAGTTGGATCTGCCAGGGTGTCAAAATAGGGTAAAAGATGGGGTTCTAGAACTTCGTGGATATAACGCTGCGCGTTCATGTTACCTCTGATGAAGATTAAGCTATAGCACCCCAAATTATAACTCCAACAGTGTGATAAACATGTCTTTCAACAAAAAACTGTGGATTCCTCCTTTCACCACGTCGCCTTCTAACCCTGGCACGACCATCGTGCATGCCTAAACAAAATCGAGACTCGTCACTAAAGATAATACTGTTCCATTCCTGATCCCAGAGTGACCATTGTCTGCACCACTCAAGGCGATTACGTCGGTGTTCTCGAGTTAAAGGGAGGACCCAGTGTGGCCGGTATGAAAACAAGCCAAAACTTCTCATTCGTCGGTAAACACTTCGCATGCCAATAGGTCTTCCGTGTTCTGCAAACCATTCATTTGTAATGGGCCTGGTAGTGGAGAAACGGTCCCTTAAGGCCAATAATCTTAGGCGGCGATCTTCACGGTCTGTTGTTCTACGGCGGCGTCCAGTGCCCCTTGCTCTTTGCGTACGGCCTTCTCGAAGCCATGCCTGACAACACCTAACTTGTTATTTCCAGTAAGATAAATACATTCACCAACTTTTATTAAAATAAAACCATTTAAACTGGGTGTTCGGATTTATATGTCACTTAGTATATTTCGGGGAAATTTTCTAATATGATTAAACCACTGAATATCCTGGGGCCCAAAATAATTACCCAGAGAAAACTGGAAAAAACTATTATTTAGACATTTTAGGTGAAACTTCAACAACTCCACTTAGTGCAACCAGCCCGGTAGACGACAGTTCTGGGGAAACATTTAGCAAGCCGCGGCTGCAAAGAATCAAACCTCAAAGTCGTAAGACATTTCGCCTGAAGAGAAGTCGTAAAGGGGAGGTAGGTAACGGCGATTCGTGCAAATTTATAAAAAACTTGTCTTGGACGTAATTTTTATTAGATAGGGAAAATCTTTTATAGTCGCTTTCGCGCAGGAGAGCTCGATAGTTCTCTTTTATCGGCCCTTTCTTCAGTGCGAGATTCTTCAAAATACGGCACACCCGCTGTAAACCTGGAAGTCGTAATTCATTATGTCTTGATATCTGATTCTAGGAGTTTTTGAGAAATGTTTTTGTTTTTTTAACTGTAAAATCAATGAACTGTAACTTTTTAATCAATAAATACTTATAGGGTGCTACTTCTAGGGCGCATTCCTGAAACAAACAGCTCCAGTAAAAATGGTCCATTCTTTTTTTATATGCATCAGAGATACCTTACTTATTTTTTTCAAAAATGAGACGTATGACATTGAATAGTGATTATATGTATGTACTTTCATTTTCGACGTGAAAAGAGGTCAGTCTCTCGGTTTTCAGAGCGAGACGTCGCATACCAGACTAGACTCTGAAGATTGCAGTCCTCCAACGTCTCAACATTCTCATTCGTTGGACATTTATTCGCCTCCATTGACTCCCGTAATAATGACAACGCAGACGGAAGAATCCTGCGGATCACCTTCTGACGGAGCAAAAGATCAACAGGGAACATCAGCGTCGACCGCAGTTATCGACGATAAGAAACAGCAGACACTTTTGTCACAAACCGAGCAAATCGCAACTCAAGATTCTCATCGTTTGCGGATCGCTACTAGAGGAAAGATGACAGATGGATCGTGGGATGAAGACTCTGCCATATCTCAAACGTCCAGCACGTCTGGGTATAGGTAAGTTATCCACATATGTAACAAATAGCATATTATAGAATACTGTCATGAATGACACTTCTCAAATTTACAACACTCGCAACTTTACTTACAATTCCACACCCGTCTCATTTCCTGCACAAGATTGCATTTTTGGCTCTCCAAGGAAGCGAAACCAGTACAATAGTTGAATAGTTATGTTTGCTTAACCGTTCATAACTTGTCAATAGTTTAAATGATAAATAAATATAAATGATACGACCGCTCCTTTGTCCCGAGTGTGTAGATTGTGGAACAATCTACAAGAGGAAGCTTTTCCCAATTCTACTAACCTTAGGCAGTTCAAAAATCGTATTAACAAAATTTCTTTGGGATCATCATAGCAGCCGCGGTGTTCCGGCATTTAGGCTTGTGCTTGCGCGGCTGTTTCGATATATATATATACACACATATATTCACAACCATAAATAGAATCTGTATGTTGGTCAATTCCACCAGTAAATTTCATTCCACTCAAAATCTAATAATTCTCTTCTCACGATTTAATAATAATTGTTAATTTAATTTCCCATTAATTAAAATATAGTTTATTCAACTGCCTCTGGTCGGTTTAACAATTTCTTACATAACATTCTGAAAATCACATCATCTGAAGTGATTTGGCAACGTTGGAACACGCCCACAATTCGTTCCATCTTTCTACACAGACATTGACAACCTTCGGCCTTCTGTCAAAGGGTTCATCTCACTCATTATTCCATGACAACCATTTTGTGCAATCATCAAGTGGCTTCACGATGTAATGCTTTAATGTTTTTAAATAATTTTTAATCTGTTTTTAACTTGTTCTTGTCATATTTTATATAATTTTGACCATTGTACCATCTATCCAGCTCTCACCATGTTACTGGACGTTTCCCTCATCCTATACGTAAACAACAATTAGCAACATCCTCACATACTACTGTAAGTTGAGTCAATTTAAATTCATTTTACACTATTGTTGCTACTGTTATCATTGTAATTGCAGCTCCTGATGATGATGGCAAAGTCCATTGAAAGCTAGAGAGAATTAAAAAAGTATAAAGAGTCCTCTTTGCTTACATTTTGTCGAAGTGCCCAACAAAAGGCGGAAGCTTTAATTTTTCACCTAACTGGTCTAGACGACAATGACCACGTCTCAAATTACGTATATATATATAAAAAAAAGTAACATATCAAGATAAAATTGCTTTTTGCAGGGAATCGTATCCCGTAATGCACTTAAAAGAATCTCTAGAGACGTCATTGAAGCCTTTTCCACCTTTAGCGTCTCCGGACATCAATAGCTTTCCATCTACGAGCAGCGCTGCCACAACGGACAACTTCTTTCACTTGGACAACTCGTCTCCAGACTGTTCCCTGAACGAAAATGGTGAAAAGACGGCACTCCTCGGACAAACCGAGAGATCTTCCTCGCAGCATTCGTTGCTGATGGTTTTTGATCATCAGGATGAGACAACGTTTATGTAATATCCAACTAGTCGTTTTCAGTAATTCCTGTTATGTATATGGTCGAAAATTGAGAGAACAGATGATTAAGATCATCCACTTCACCATCTACCTAGCAGAAGGATGAATCTCTTAATCTTATTTTGAAAAGGTATGGAGAAATTTTCCTAGTTTTTTTTATTGATGTTACAATTGAAGGCGTGTGGAATCCACGTTTTATGTAGCAGATAGTATGTGCTCTATAAAAATAATAAATAAATCTCTATACAATGGTAGTTTTTCTGTAGTTCTTGAAGTATTGGATATTGACTAAAATTAGCTCACAAATCAGACTAACAATTTTGCCAACTGCTATGTAATGTATTGCCAGATGTCGAGAAGCTCTTAGAAGGAATCATATATGAACACGTCATCGAATATATTGAAGAAAATAAGAAAATTTCAAGCAGGATTCAGAAAAAAGTATTCTACTGAAACAGCAATTTAAATGGTAGTAGAAGAATGGAGACGAAATATGTATGAAAAAAAGTTTACAGTAACATTGCTCTTAGATTTCAAGAGAGCATCTGAGACTATTTACAGCGAGGAATTGTTAACGAAATTGCATTGCTATGGATTTCAAGGTTCACTGTTCGACTTATTACAAAATTATTTAATCAATAGAAGTCAAAGAAGCAATACATTATCAAACATTAAAAAAAATTCGGTAGGTGTGCCACAGGGTAGCAAATTAGGTCCATTACTATTTATCTTACATATTAACGATATTCCTGGTATTTTACAACACTGCAAAATTCAACTATTTGCTGATGATACATTAATATATATATCTTTAGATCAAAATACGATAAATCTTACAATTCATCATGGATAAATTTTGTCAATCGAATCATTTAAATATAAAAATTCCAACAAATTGCCCTATATAGTATTAACCACGATACACGTGCACTGCTGTAACGTTATGACAATGCTGCCGCTGGTAGCCACGAGCCGACAACTCTCTGGGTGACGTCACGAAGCTCCGCCCACATGCGCAACATCCTATCTTCAGTGTACTCGTATGTGTATCGTGGCTAGTATTCTCCAACGCATGTGGACAAAAGACAATCAGGTAAGAACTTTCGATGAAGCGAGCCATCTCTTATGTTTTGGGAGAATATATAGAAATTAAATCCTTTATATCAGTTTATGATAAGCATCAGGAATTTGATTATGATGGGATAGAAGAGGAACCGATAGATCGATCCTGTTCAGTTTTCCTCGATTTTTGTAAGGTATAAATAGTCGAATGGCTTGTAGGGATGCGAAGACTTTTTAAACTGTTGGGGACGATCCAAAGGAAAAACCAGATGATACCAGATACTCCGCTTATAGCAGCCGATATAATAATCGTACAGAGAATACAGTTATTTTTGACGGCATTTCGTGGCTGGTATACCTAGTTCACGAAGGCTTATCGTGTCTGTTTACATTTTTCGATGCTTTTTTATGATACTGACACGCGTATAGTTCTTTATACAGGGTGGTCCATAAGTCCTTTGAAATTTCAAATTTGAATAAAATTTAACGGGTGAGCGTGAGCGGCACGGGCGAGGTGGGGGCAGTATCTTCACTGTCTGGGAATTCAGTCGCCATGGAGTGTTTCACTGGAGCGGATCGTGCTTTTTGTGTGCGCGCGTTTTATCAAAATAATGATTCGGCAACTATTGCGCGGCGTAAATATCGAGAATACCACAATTTACACAATTTTACAAAGTGTCCAACAGCTCAAACGATTAAGAACTGGGTTGCTAAGTTCGAAGACACTGGTTCGACGTTAGATAAACAGCGGTGGGGTCGACCAAGGACAACTCGTATTGAAGAAAACATCAACATTGTGGCACAGTCTGTTCGTCAAAATCCTACCCAGTCTACTCGTAAGCGTTCCGGTGCACTAAACGTATCCAGAACATCTTTACAGCGGATTTTAAGGAAAGATTTACGTCTGCACGCTTACAAAATTCAGTTAGTGCAGGAATTAAAAGATAATGACGCTATTCAGAGACTAAACTTTGCGAATGAAATGTTGAATCGATTTTCTTCGCTCAATAATGTGTTGTTCTCGGACGAGGCTCACTTCCATTTAAACGGGCATGTAAATAAACAAAATTGCCGTTATTGGAGCCCCGAAAATCCAAGGCGTAAGCATCAGAAGCCCTTACACAGCCCTAAAGTTACAGTTTGGGCTGCTATGTCAGCGCATGGCATCGTAGGCCCTTATTTTTTTGAGGACGACAGAGGTCGCGCATTAACTGTTACTTCGGAGCGGTATGTAGCAATGATAGAAGAGTTTTTGACACCAGCGTTGCAGAATTTTCCAGGCTATAATACGCAGACCTTGTTTCAACAGGACGGAGCAACTGCCCACACCTCCAACACTTCTATGCCCGTCGTCTGTCAACTTTTTCCCAGCAAAGTAATTTCTCGAAGAGGAGACATCTCCTGGCCACCGCGTAGTCCAGATTTGACCCCAATGGACTTCTTTTTATGGGGCTACCTCAAGAGTAAAGTGTACGACACCACTCCGCGATCAGTTGATGTCCTGAAAGAAAATATCCGAAGAGAAATGGCAAGCATTACAGTGCTGACTTGCCGCGCAGTCATCGACAATTTTAGACGTCATTTATATGAGTGCCGTGATCGTAATGGATTGCATTTAGACGATGTGATTTTTAAAACATAATTCCCATTCAATAAAGATGATAACAAAATTTAATAATTCTTCATAATGTAACTAGTTTGGTTTTATTCCTTTTTTTCCAGCTCAAAGGACTTATGGGCCACCCTGTATATACCGACTGACAAAAAAAGGTAAACACCTACGTATGTTTATCCGATTTTAATAATTTTTGGCATATATGTTCAGTGCCTCTTACTGGTAAACTGGTTAAATTTTCAACTTGATTCATCAACTGACTGCAGAGACTGGTTCAAAAATGTGTTGAGGATCCACGATTTCTTATAAACTAATTGATTAAGTGTGTGAAATAATTATATTCCAAAAGTATAAATAAGTAGAACTCACAGCATTTGTAAAACCTCAGTCATCTAACTGACACAACGAGGCTACACCCCTGTTGATCCAGTGCTTCTCTGGTAGATTCGTAGCGAAAGACATGTACATGACAAAGTTAGTTGAATGACCTGTTGTAGACAACACTCCTCTTCTCGCCGACGTCTTGTACACGGGACAATTGTAGGATTGTTCTGGTTTGAATTTAGCTATTTCGGCTGGTTTCAACCATATCACGGGCACGGTGTCGAACAGGATCTTTGGGAAGGACTCGTTCAGCATGTTCAAGTTTCTGTCCCAGCGGGCTCCCTCCAGAAATAGACCCTACGACACAGCAAAACATGTAAGAACCTGAATTATTACAGGTAGTTTTGAACTTAAACCGTTAAATTAATTAAAATTTTAAAAGGAAGCCTATGTCCGTATCTAATGTCTACTTTATACATCTACTATAAAGCATATTAAAATCGGTAATGAAAACGGAACGTACATTTCACGATTTTTGGAGGGCCAAACTTAAAGTTTTGTAAGCAAAATTTGGAGTTATCGTAGATCAAAATTTATGCTTCAGTTTCACATTAAACGACAGGGTCGAGGAACTTTATGTTATGGCACAGCTTTGGTGCAAAATTTAGTCTGAAAATTGGGAGCTACTTTTGCCACGTCTACTTCATACAAAAAAGTGTTAGTACCCAAAATAATTTTTGGAGGCAAAATATTGATAACCTATAGAAAAGTTGGAAAATAAGTGAACAAAATCAAGATGCTACGAAAAATATGGTGCCACCATGCTAGATGAAATTACATGCGTTACTCACTGCTATCAAAACGCTGAACTCTTCTATTTCTTTGCATTGCTGTATATAAATTTTTTTATTAAAATGATGTTAAACGTTCGGACATAAAATCAAGTTACCTTGTCATATTTTTCTATTTCTTCCAATTGCTGCTTGAAAATAGAAAGTACTATTATAGATATTCTACGCTTATATTTCCATTATTTATTTGTCCGTGAAATACATTTGATATCGGAATTATTTTAAATTCGATACCTTGCAAAAAACCCCATAAAAAGGACAGACGTCTGGTTCTGTTTCGAATTTCGAAATGTAATATTCAAAGTGAATCCAGTCTATCGGAAGCTTCCGCTTTCTGGAGAAATTCTGCAGGATGCCAGTCAAGAATGATTGGGTGAAGTAAAAACCGGAGATCCAGAACACGTTGGGTGTCCCACCGTCGATCCAGTCTTGAAAAAATTTCAATCTAGAACCATAGTAAATATTTTCAAACCGTTTATAAGACGTGGGAGCAATATGCTTTTCGTCATTGTAGGATACACTACTTTTTCTACAGGTTTTAAAAAAGGCTGTTGTGGTACCTTGCGATCAAATCCGTTACATAAGACCCTAGTGGTTTCAAGCTAGGGTAACTTTTGCTCGCCCAAGCGGTAGGCACTTTTCCTATAACCAGTGAGTTGCAAGTTTCCTCTAACTCAGCGGACATCACTACCAATCCTGCGACTGCTTTTATCATGTCTCTGAGAGTCCTTTTCACAACTACCACCAGCCTGTTGAATCTTATTAGCTCCTATAACAATAGGTACGGATATCATTAAGTTTATAGAATTCGTCCAGCTAGTGAAACGCTCCCGAAGTAGAAAATGGCAGTTAGTCAAACTCGTTCGCAAAATTTTCTTCTCAAAGATAAAATTATTGCATTAAGAAACAAGCCTTCTTACCTGTCTCAAAACTGTATTCATGGAATTATTATACATCACAGGGTATTTCTTGCTGACATCTTCTACATTGAAAACATCCGGGACTTTACTAAGTATATCATTGGCCAGGTCAATGATCATATCTTGAGTATCTTCACCACCTCCGCCAGCCGTTATTTGGGTTTGCGTCAACAGAACGCCTTGCAAAAGCTACAAAGAAATGGCGCTAGCTAAAATTTTAACGACGTTATTTCCGAGACAGGTACCAGGTACTTGGAGAAACTTTCCAGATAACCAAACAAAAACGTATATATATACATCTACATAAACTTGCCCTAAAACCCCCACTTCTATTGCTTCGTTCGTTATGGAATTTTCAATGTTGTGTTTTTTATTGGCGGCTGACCCAGTTTCCCGAAATGTAGCTACAAGTTCTAAAACATATTTCCGATGCACGTTACTGTT